AATGGGCATGGACACACTTAAATTGCTGTTTTGTTATCAATTTTGAATTCTTATTCTTATCTGAAAATAGCATCAGTTCAATGAATAAGCCTTATATGCATATTCTTAATATTATAATACTCAGTATGACAATTGCATTCTTCATGATAACCTTACACCAAATAGTGCATCATACGTGTTTGAAAACATTGGTATGAGCTCTTCTATACATTTAGCTGACATTGCTCAAATCACTGTACATTGAACAACTTTTTTGCTTTTGTGCATATTTTAATTTTCCTTGATTATACTTTAATATCATTTATGAAGCAGATTTCCAATTTTCATTCAAGAGTATGAATAAATTTTACCTCATAAAAGTACATGTACAATGATGTAAGACAATCAAATACTGTAGACGTACTTTTTTCCACGGGGTCATAATTCTGCGGAATCTCAATTTCTGTTTAATCCTTGGGTAGAAAATTACGCGGATTTCTTAGACTGTCACTAAATGCCTTACATTTACATTAAGTATGCTTGGATAAATTTCCGCGGAAAATTTGTGACCGCGTACATAGCGTAAATAAATACCACGCGGAAAAAAGTACTTCTACAGTATTCTCAGAATTCTTAGTTTTTTTAAAAAATAATTTTCAAATGAAAGAAAATTCTAAACAGCTTTTAATTATATATCAGTCTGAAACTCTCAAGCAAAATATGTACTTGAAGGTCATGAAATTCTGTCAGAAATTTTAAAGATTATTTATAAAATTCAAATCTAAGTTCATGCCCATTTAAAACAATTTAAATACTTTAGACATGTAATCATTTAGCTCAAACTCAGCATTTGCTAAATATGAAACTTAAAGAAGATAAAAGAGAGGAACAAATTTTATCTTACCATCACTATTCTGTAGTAGAATGGCTAAAATTTCACTGGCATACAACTTGTTGGCATCAAATGGCATTTTAGCCTGTAATCATTTTCAAATGTCACTGGTTAACAAATCATTTTTACTAATTGCTTGGTCTCTTGGTTCTTCCTTTACTGATCATTGCTCATCATTAAGTACAGATAAATATCCTTTAGAAAAACTAATTCCCACCTTTATCCTCCTTAACAACCACTGCATCAATCCCTGCTGTGCTGCATCTGCTGACATTTCTGGGCGATATTCCAGGAGGTTCTCAATGATTGCTAAACCAGAATAATTTGAAATCAGATATTTTTAATAAGGATGTTCTTTTATTGAAACAATCTTTTACACTCTTTAATATATGTTCATTATAAATTTATATAAGTGCTGTTGAACCACAGCATGAAAGAATATCCCTTTCAAACTATCTTAAACAAGAGATGTTTGTAAAACACTTATGCCCCCCTGGGCCCCTCCCCCCATATTGAAATTTTTCCAAGTCCAAAAGGGAATAGCTCTGTCAAAAATGGTGTGATTGTACATGTACCCAAAACAGAACTTGACGAAGATAGTCATCTGATAAATCTGTATACCAAATTTCATTTTAGTATGTGCAACCTCTGCAAAGAAAATGAAAGGAAACTGCAAATAATTGGATTTTTTTTTCTAAGTCCAAGGGGCATAACTCTGTCAAAAATGGTACAATGTGAATATAATGTAGATATTCATCATAAATCTGTATTCTAAATTTCATCTCAGTATTTTCAACGGTTGTGAAAAAAAATGAATCGAAATTTCAAATAATTGGAATTTTTCTAAGTCCAAAGGGCATAACTCTGTCAAAAATGGCGTGATAGTACCAAAAACAAAACTCGACCAAGATATTTATCTGATAAATCTGTATGCTAAATTTCATTTCAGTATGTACAACTATTGCAAAGGAAATGAATGGAAACTGCAAATAATTGAAATTTTTATAGTTCAAGGGGCATAACTCTGTCAAAAATGGTGCAATTGTAACCAAAACATAACTTTACCTAGATATTCATGTGATATATCTGTATACCAAATTTCATTTCAGTATCTACAACGGTTGCAAAGAAAATCAACGGAAACTGCAAATAATTGGAATTTTTCTAAGTTCAAGGGGCATAACTCTGTCAAAAATGGTTATTTAACAGAACTTGACCTAGATATTCATGTGATATATCACAAATTTCATTTTATCTACAACGGTTGCAAAGAAAATGAACAGAAACTGCAAATAATTGGAATTTTTCTAAGTCCAAGGGGCATAACTCTGTCAAAAATGGTGCGAAATAAAGAACTTGACCTAGATATTCATGTGATATATCTGTATACCAAATTTCATTTCAGTATGTGCAACGGTTGCAAAGAAAATGAACGGAAACTAAGTTGACCGACAGACCGACCGACAGACAGACAGCAGCAAAGCAATATGCCCTCCCTTCTTCGAAGGGGGGCATTACAATTTGACAGTAATACCTAGTGTGTTGTGAACTCCATCGGCTTCCTCTTTGTTATTTTCATCTAACCTTTCCATGTTCTGCACAAGAATTGCAACAATCTGTCCATCAACCTGCAAGCAGAAGAAACAAAATAGAGAGTGCATATATGAAAATTACAAAGTTAATATACACTACAAAACTAAAGATGAGAAACTACTAATATTAAGATTATTTAGTTATACAATAAAAACCTCTTTATAAGATGAGACAATCGTGTTTTGTTGTCAATGTGTTATAGCTGTGTTTTGCTGTACAAACAAAACTGATTGTTTTGTACGAGAAATGTTTACCATGACATCTGTAAATGCTGTTGCTGCCTCATCATTTTCATTCAGTGTGTCTACATCTGTCATTTCTTGAAGCAAGTCAACAACAGCTATAGATATATCTAAGCCTAACTAAGGAAAAATAACTCTTCTAAACAAATCTTTACTTCCCTTATCACAGAAATAACAGAAAAATTGATTCATATAAATTAAACTCCTAATCACAGATCAACACATAGTTGTGACATTAAGTTAAGATCAACACCATGTTACACATACTTCTACCCTAAATTCACCAAAAAAAAATTTGATCATTGCTAGACTCCTTGTATTTTTTAGTAGAGGATATCAGTATTTTCATGTGAGAGGAGTTGTAGCAAGGACTGCACAGTATTGAGATCCACCAGAATCTGATAGAGCTCTGGTACGGTCGCAATGACATGCATTTCCTGAATTATGTCATTTAATTCAATTTCTGATTCCATAAATCTGAAAAAGTAAAAACAAAATATAAATAATTGATTTTAAAAAGAATAGAAGCTAAATGTAAGTGACTGTAGATAGATACACTTAATAAATCTGTGCAGACAGCTTTTAAATAACAATGGATCCTCTTACTTTTCTGGAAGGTCTGGATATTTTATCCTTTGCTCTTGATTTTTGTAAACTTTTTTCTCAAAATTCAAAAGCATCTTTTTGAGATTGGTTTCATCTAAAGCTTCAGTCTATATTGAAAAAAAAATAATGCAAAGCAACCTTCAGTAATAAATTTTACAGTGTGACTATTTGGGCAAAACCACTTGTTTGAATACATTAACAAAATATCCTATTGTGGTTCCATTATATTACCCCCTGGGTATGATTTAAACAATTGTATTTATTTCACTTGTAGCTGCAGAACTGTAACATTATGTTTTATATACAAAAACTGTCTTTGACACACTAATTCCGAGCCCATTTTTGCATTTTCTTTGTTTCACACTGTGCAATCCGACACCTCTATTCCGTCTGTCTCCCAGTGCATGTCAAAAAAGTCTTTGACCATAAAGCTACAGATCCCGTAATGCAAAAAATGTGCAATTTACAGTGCATGATTTGTTGCACACTGTTAGCCAAAATTTCTCCACTTTTCAATTAAGGTAAATCATCTACCTTTCACTCCCTAATTCCATGCACATTTTAAAATCAATTTGTATATTTCAATCTCCTCTCAACCCATTATAGTCGCCTCTAAAGGTGATAAACTGGTTTGGTTTGAATTGTCTGAGGGACTGCAAAAAAGTCAAATTCAAGTGAGGTTATCACTTGTACAGATGACTATAAATGGTTGGGAGGTGTATTGAATATACAGAATTGTTTTTAAAAAATATGTCTTGAATTATGAAGGGAAAGGTAGAATGATTTACCAATGCTGAACAGAGGCAAAATCCTCCCAAACAGTGTGCAAAAGTCTTGTGCTGTAAATTGCACATTTTTGCATTTTGATGCATTTCATAAAATTTTCATTAAATTTGATTTTATTTGCCATTGAAAAGGGATTATTGTCTTTCAATTGAATAAACTTTAATTCCCTTCACCCAAAACTGGTTTATAGCAAGTTGGGTTGAACTTGTCTTTGCCCCAACTGATCTGAAGTCTTTGGCTCAGGTGAATTTTTTATTTTTATTTTTTTCAAATTCTAAGTGGTTTTTAATTTTCATCTGGTTGATTACTTCTGTCTCTGCCTCCACTAACTGAAGTATTTTTTCCCTTTCCTCTTCACTAATTCTGGAGTCCTCAGAAGCTGCAGCTTGGCCTCTCTTCCTTTTATCAGCAACTGGATCTGGGATATCATCATCATGGAATCTTCTTTTGCCTTTAGCAGGTGGCAATGGTTTTTCGGGCTTCATGTAAAATGAAAAAAAAAACATATAAAGCATCAGAAACATAAATACAATACAATATGAATAATTTAAAGTTGAAATATATTGAAAAATATGGAAGCAAAACTGACAAGACTAAATTAAAACACAGCTATATTTTTATCGAGGAAATTCGAATTTTTCATTAGTAATGAAATAGCATTTCAAAGACAAGTATAATCTGTTTTTTTAATTTCAGATGAAACATTTTTCTTTTAATACATCGAATATTTTAATATATCCAATAACCAACGCTAGATTCTTTGTATATCGAGCTAAAAACGTGTGTACCTGAAAAGAAAGTAGCTCCCCGACGTCCATTTTGAATTCAGTCTTTAGACTTTTCCATATAAATGAGTGAAAATATTAGATGATCTCCGATGTATATTTGCACGTGATTTCAACAGACCAATCACAAAATATAAATGGCGACGTCTATAGAGTCGGTCAAGTTGTGAGGAATTACGGTTATTTTATTATTTTCCTGTAATTAAGACTTAACTAGATAAAATTCATAGCTTAAAACAAAACCCAAGATCACCAAATTAAAGATCGGCTTGTATTTTATTGGATCCACTGGTAAGAAAAGCACATAAATTGCGTATATATTTAGAGCACATTGTTCCATCATTATTTTCTAATATTTTATGGGTTTATAATTTCTTTTACACAGAAACTACACTTTTAATTTTTCTGATAGTGTTCATAATAAGAGGTGCTTAGTTTCAGGATGGTGTATTTTGTGTATTATTTGTTTTTTCTAGGTTTGCCTGAATACCTTCATTATGATAAAAATAACAAATAGCTAAAATTGGCACATTTTAAAAATATCATGTTGGATGTATAATATGTTTTACAGTGTGACCGTTGGGGCGAGCGCAGTTGTACCATAAAAAACACTTAAATTGATCAGCCACTTCGAACGTCAAGCCGCACGAGACATCTCGACTAGCTGTGACGTCATATGACGTCACAAAGCTCGTTGGAGCTTACGGAGACAGCCGAGCGTCTGTTTGAAACTATAGAACTAGTGCAATATTTGTCAAAAAACATTGCAGAGTTATTTCTTGTTTATTTGAAAGATTTCTACAAACTGAAAGCCTGATATATATGCTTTATGTTATTATTTATTTATTTATTTATTCGCGCAAAGGACATTGGGTAGTGCAGGAATTCTGGGAATGTTTCACAACAAAATTTGCTTGACGTATGTACAATTCCGAATTTCCTCTGTTCTTACACGTTAGTCTATTGAGCTCGCTTTGCGACGCTTGCTGCGCTCGCTATAAAAAGAGTGAAGGTACGACACTTGCTATCTTAGATTTCAAGAGGTGCCTCGTTTTACGCTTGATTTTAATCAAAGTGTATCCACACCTAGTCCTTTCCTTCCGGTGTCGTGTGAGATTTAGATTTAAAAATGATTATATAGGACCCTTCAACCGTTTTTCAATTTGAACTTGTTGTATAAAAGATGCAGTAAACCAAAACGTCCTTGTTAGTTTGCACTGAAACTGAAACTCTGAAAACAACAGAAGTGCCAATTTCTTATGATGAAAAATGTAGATGCATCCCAATAATACACTAAAAATCTAGAGAGAACAAGTTTGGCATGGTTTCTTATCTCTGTAGATTTTCTGTGTAATATAAGGACATTTTTTCTTTCTTTTTAAGTGAAATCCTAATGGATGATGATGCTAGTGCAGTAACACCAACCAGGGATGAAAACTCTGATGTTGACCATACCAGTGATGAAGTAGCAAATGGTAATGTTAACAACGATCATAATGAAGAAATTTCTGGGAAAGTTAACCTGGAAGACAATGAAATCAGTAGTCCTTCACAAGGCAGAGAAGTAGAAGAGGAACTTGGGGGAGAAGATAAACAAAATGAGGAAGATTCAACCAGTCCTAAAACTCCTCAAAGTGTCAATGATGACAATATACCTAGTCCAGGTATAGAAAAAACAAGTGAAAGTAACTGTGATGAATCTGAAAGTAAGGAAGATAATGACAATGTGGAAAAGGAGATTGAAGATGATGGAACTTGTGAACCTGAAAAGGAATCTGATGCTGATGGTGATTTGTCAGACTTAAGATACGAGGAGAATCAAGCTGAAGAAAAATCTTTAGACACTGAAAAATCCTTAGATAATGAAAATGAGATAGAGAATAAAAGTGATAATGTGAGTGAAAATTTAGAAGATAGTGAAACAGTGAATAGCGCATCTCAGGAAGATGTAGAAAACACGCAGTCTAGTAGAACTTCATTTGAAAATGCAAGTAGAACTTCACTTGAAAATGCAGCAGAAACATCAAATCAAGAAGTTTTACCAACTAGACCATTCGCTGATATTGGATCAGTTGGAAGTGACAATGATGAAGGAAGCGTTTCTGAGGATCAATTCTTAGACAGGTCAAGTCAGGAGGGGCGAAGTGATGGGGAAGCATTTCCGCCCTGTTTAACATTAAATCAGGGCAATCTTAGTAGTAGAAACATAGAGGGAAGTGATATCGACAGTGAAGAAGACAATGAATGGGATGGGGATCAAAGCAGACAAGTTGTCGAGGAAGGGGAAACAGGTGATGACAATACACAAGACTCAGTAAGAGAAAATGAGGAATCAATGGATGTAGATGAAAATTCTGGTTTAAATGTCATGAGAGGAACCGATGATGTTTCGAGTGAGGATGAAAATGAATCACAGTCAAATGAAGTGTCTCAGTCTGAGTTTAGTCAGGGAAATGAGGAAGACAAGGGGGAAGAAGATGAAGGAGAAATTGTGGATAAGAAGGAAGAGGTGGACAATCCTTTGTCACCGGCGGAGGATATCAGTGAAAGTGAGGCAGGCGAACTGTCTGATAAGGAAGAGGAGGAAGAGGAGAAAGATGTGGCAAAAGAAAAACTTCCGGAGGAAGAGGATGACTGGAATTTAGACTTAACCAAAAAAGGGGATAATGTTCAAAGTGATAGACCTCTTGCAGAGGCTGAAGATATAAATAGTCCGGAAAGTGACCTTCAGGAAAGGGAGAAAACTCCCATCAGGGACTTAGAATCAGCAGCCTCGCCAATATCTGAGGACGGTAACTTGTCAGATATTGACCTGGAGAAGCGGCGACGTGAAATGTACAATGACATATCAGATGAGGAGGATTCTTTTAGTGATGATGGAAAAGTCGACGACTATAAAGTAGACAGTGTTGTTAAAGAGTCAATCAAGTCAAGTGACACAGCCTCCAAGAGGTCAGAGGTGAAGAGAGACAGGAAGGTGGAAAAGTTTCACAGTCAGACCAGCATGGGGGAGGAGCAGGTAGAGCTGGATTATGATGAGGAAGTCGGGGAGGACGAGGGGCGGGGCCACGAGGACAAAGAGAAAATAGATGACAGCAGAGCGGGGGAAAATGAGGTCGAGAAGAAAGAGGCTGAGGAGGTAAGTGTGTACTATAAAGATAAGTAATGAAGTTATAAACATGAACAGAAATAAACAATTGTTAGATAGTTAGCATGGTTACAAACTGTTATTTATGAAGACTTTTATTTATGATTCATCAATATTTGAAATCTGTGTGCAGCTCTTCATTTTTAGTGGAAAAATTCCACAAAAATACACTGTGAAAAATATGGTTTGGCTGAAGTTTATGAAGGTAGCATTTTTTGAATGTTTTTATGTAAAAATTTAATAAATAAATTTTGTCCTCTACAGGGTGAAGCACATTCTGATGATGGTGAACTAGATGATGTAAGTATAACTAGAATTACATGTATATCGTAAAGTGTTTTCAACTTTCTAGTCTTCACTTTTTGAATTTAGATATTAATTATGCTAAAAATAAACATGTTTATAAAGTTTATGTGAAGGTATTTGATCATCTAATATTTTAAAATTCTATATTTTTGATGTCAAAAGTACACATATGCCAATAAAAACTTTTTGTTACGAAGTTCTCTGTATGTATGTTAGGATGAGGATTGTGAGGAGGGAGAAATCAGAGAGCCGGGATCCAGAAAGCCTTTTATTCCCCCCATCTGTCGATTCTTTACCAGAGGGGCCTGTACTTGGGGAAACAACTGTAGATTCCTTCATCCAGGTGTCAATGATAAAGGTCAGTTTATTTTGAGGATCTTTCATAACTTGTTTAATCCATTGTAAATTTTAATTTATATTATCACTGAAGATCACTAAATTTTTGCTTGCTACAGATGCTGTATCTTATCTTCATTTGCCGGATGAGTAGTGTCCTTAAGAATACTTACATACTCAAGAATGAAATTTTTCACTAGCACACTATCATGTATTTATAAATATAAAAGTTTTCGTGAATAAAAAGTGATTTACGGTATTATTATATTATACCATGATATTATTTGTTGTATTTGAAGTTTTAACCACAAACTTATTTGTTTCATGTTTATAAGTCACTTTTTATACAAAAAAATATCCAAACATGCCCATGATTGATGTGTTCCAAAATTTATCATGTAGGCAACTACAGGATGATTGAGCGTCCAGGGTTTGGACCTGCAAGTTATGGGCAGGGCAGTGGTCCTTGGCAAGGCCCAGGAGAGGTATTTCTAAAGGCATTGTTTACATACAAATAATGCAGTTACTTTATCTGATGTAATGTTAAATCTTTAAAAAAATAAATTAAGAATACTTTGATCTATTTTAAATGATGTCAATTACTGTAGATTTTCATTTATAAAATTTTACATCAAAGGAAAGATCCCTCTAACTACTTAAAGGGGCTGAGGGGTGGTGGCCATTTTCAGACTATTTTGACCTCCTTTAGAGGAAGAGCTCCATATAAATATATACAAAAATGATCAAATTTTAAAACTTCAATGTATGAATTTTTTCTTTGCCAAATGATAGTTGACAGCACAAGATATCGTATCTTAAAAAATAAGTGACCAGTAAATCTGGTTGTTAATTTGTGGTTACTTTGTTGACCCCCCAGCCTCATTAAAAATGTCATGGAATTAGAGCATTTCAGTGAGCAGTGTCTTGGTCTTTGTTTATTTTACTGTTGTTTCGTGATAGAAGCCTGCAGCAGAAGAGGTTGAAGAGGAAGAGTTACCTCCCCCTCCCATGCCTCCAAAAGTAGAAACAGCCTGGGAGAGAGGCCTAAGGCACGCTAAGGAGGTAAGTGGTCTGATGTTTCTTACTTATAGGATGTTTTGGTTCAAAAAAGATCAATATAAAAATATTTAGTTACATAATAAAATTAAATTTGTTAAACTGTTTTAACTTGTTGCATGAAGTTCTCTTTCTGTTAAACACAGCACAATTTGAAACAAAGTTTTGAAAATTCACAATTTTTAATTAAATTGTTCATCTGATAAATAAATTATTAAATGTTCAAACTATTATTAGAAATTTGCTGAGGATTTCACTGTTTCCTGTTGCAGCAATTAAAGAAAGCTAACATGCGAAAAGAGCAGGAAACAGATTTTGAGCACAAGCGACTTAATTTATCTGTAGAGGAAGAGCGTGAATTTAACAAGGAAAATGACCGCTACAAAACCTTGCACAGGGACCCATATTATGACCAGTAAGCTTACTGACATCAGAGTTATAGATATTCAGATTTTTTCTGCAATTTTTTCAACATCTGATTTTAGATCTTGTATTTGATAGAAAAACTGGACTTATCTTCTGAAATCAAGTAATTTCTACAAAAAATGTTCCTGCATAACTTTTAATGAAGTCCATGAACTTTTGACAATTTATTTTTCTATTGTGTCTTTTTTTCTAAATTAATTTACACATGGAGATCTAAAACAAATTATTTTCTCAAAACATTATTTCAGTTCATCATTAGACAGTTATTTTGTATTAGAAATCTACTTCATGGAAAAATAAATCACACTGTTTCTAAGTGCAAATACTTTCTACTAAACAATTGACACACACATCCTACATTTTGTTTATCCTTACAGTTTCTTTTTGCTGTGAAAATGTTATAAAAATTTATGATTAGTTTTAGAGTTCATATTTACCCCCACTTGACAGAGTCTTTAAACTTTCAGGTATGATGATGAATATTATGACAAGCTGCCATCAAAACGATCTCCTAGTCCTATTGGATGGCAGCGTGGTCAATATGAAAACTTTGAGGTCCGGTGGACCAGGGAGCCAGAGTGGGTACCACCTCCAGTGTCTCATTATCACAGGGTAAGATTCCCAGTGGGTACCACCTCCAGTGTCTCATTATCACAGGGTAAGATCCCCAGTGGGTACCACCTCTGGTGTCTCATTATCACAGGGTAAGATTCCCAGTGGGTACCACCTCTGGTATCTCATTATCACAGGGTAAGATTCCCAGTGAGTACCACCTCCAGTATCTCATTATCACAGGGTAAGATTCCCAAAGGGAATACCTCCTCTACAGTTCATGGGAAATCCTAAATTAATCATATGAACAATTGCATGATGTTACCCCCTATCCAAAATTTGTAAACATGTTAAAGTGTTTCCAATGCTAGAGGTTCCAATCAATTTTGGAAAAGAAACAAAAGGTACTGTAATGACAACAAATATTCTCAATGTTATTATATATTTTGTAGGAAAGAGAGCATCATAAATTTGTCAGGGAACCTTTTCCAGGCCGGCATCCAGCAGAAAGGTATTTTAATATTTTATGATTTTTATTGCAAAGTAATAAAATAATTAAAGAATAAAAAGTAGATAACTTGAATGTAAATGTACATTGTAATTTTGATAGATTTGAGAGGAAGCCGACCTCCCAGAGAAGTAAGCCGTGGGTAGAGGAACCTGCCCCCAGGGAGACGAGGGATGCCCCCGTACACAGACACACAGCTGATGTATGGCACGACCCTTGGAGAAGGTGAGAGTTGGAAATCAGTTATCTCAGTTCGCAACTTCTACATTTACATATATGTAACTAGTACATTTTTATGTGAGATTCATTTGCTAAATTCTAATTGCAGGTCAAAGTCACCAAAGAAGAAACCAAGAGGTTCAAGAAGTAGGTCAAGGGGAAGACGGCGATCTAGAAGATCTTATAGTTACTCATCTTCATTTTCATCAGGGTAATCAAATCTGCATAATCTTGAATAGTTTTGCACACAACTTCATACTGAGATTTAAAAATTTGTAAAATCTCTTAATACTATTAATTCTGCTTCCAGGTCATTCTCGGGTTCATCACGTTCAAGGTCAAGATCATCATCCTATAGTTCATACAGTAGTCGTTCTGGTAGTCGTACCTCATCTAGTTCAAGGTAAGTTTTCTAATCAATTGTATTCATGAAAATGTTGTTATTGGAATTAAAATGTGAATCTACTGCATCAAATCTTAAGTACAATCTTCACAGAAATTGGTTTCTAAGGGCAAAATATGGATAATGAAATATTGAAAAAAACAGAACTTTTCGAAATTCTCCCATTTTCAGATCTCCAACCAGGTCACCAATGAAACGTATGGGAGGTCCACATGGCAGACATCCTCCAGGAAGACAAGAGTAAATATCTCAAAAAATGTCCAAAAGTGTTATTTTAAAAATGTGAAATGTATAAGCAGAATTTACAAATTTGTTAATTTTATACATAATGAAATAAAAGTGTATGACCAACACATTTGATTTGTAGTGGAGGAAAACCAAGAAGTGCTATTTCTGGTCAGCAAAGACAGCCTGGACCAATCAGAAGACAGCCAAGTCAGAATCAAGGTGGTCCACCCGGCAAAGTACCACCTGGTGGTCCCCTATTGGGAAGACAACGCTCTCAACCAGGAATACCTGGGGCCCCCCAGCAAGATCTCAATCGTGGTAGGGTCCCTAAGAATAAACCAGAGCCACCCTCTCTTCAACAGCCCCCACAGCGGCTGGGCCAGGGACCACCTCAGAGGTTAGATGAGTGTTCAATTCTTTCACAGTATCACAACCAGTATTATTTCCTCCCTTATTCTCTTACAAATATTAAAAACGACACACAGCATATTAAACAAAGTTTGGCTTATGTCCAGTATTGTACATGCTGCTGCTATATTTTATATATACTTGTGCACTTGTCTTGAAACACTGGTTTTGATTGGTAGAGCTGGACGTCAGTCTCGAGGTCACAGAAGCAGCAGTGGATCTAAGTCGAGGAGCAGGTCCTCCTCGTCAGGGTCCTCGCGGTCCTCCAGTGCCAGCAGTGTGTCCTCAGCCAGCAGTCACTCCTCTAGTAGCTCCTCAGGAAGTGCAGACTCAGAGCACCTGTACCGAGGAGTGGGCGGGGCCAAAGAGGGATCACCTGTCTCTCCCAAGAAGAAGAAAGGTAGGAAACTCTTAGAAGAGAAGTAAGATTTTGCTTTTTAGCTCACCTTGATGAAGTCAAGATGAGCTTATGCTATACCGTCGGCGTCCTGGTTAAAGTTTTAGGAGCAGGTCCATTCCCAAGTAACTGAGCCCTACCCTGACCAAACTTGCATGGATGATGCATCTTGGGATGGACACTACCAGACTTGCTTTGGATGCTCGATCTGACCTAAGTTTTGGTACAGGTCAATCCCCAATGAACTTTAAGACCTACAGAACTTGCTTGAATATTGTTGTCAGGATACATACTAACTGTTAAGAAAATATGATGTGAGATTTGCATTACTTAAATTGATAACATTCGTTGAGTTGAGCTTCATAATCTTTGATTACCTATGTTTAGAGCTTATGAATGGCAGAATTTCACAAGCTTCACAAGCTTTGGTCATGCATTTCATTTTGCATTTAAGTAAAACTCAATAAATTTATTCACAGCAAAAACAGGAAAAGGCCCTCAGCCTGGTAAGCCAGAGAGGAAACCTGCAGCAACTGTTGGCAGTAGGTCCTCCCGAGGAAGTCGCAATGAACCGAGTCAAGCTCCAGTGACATCCAAGCCTAAAGATCCACTGAAGGTGGTGGGATCAAAACAGAACATCAAGTTAACTCTTCTGAATAAGGTACTTAACTGAAACATTTATAAGTACAATTTATTTAACCCCTTACATGGCATATACGCATTTCTACGCCTCTGACTTGAAAAACAAGTATAGTGTGAAAAAACATTCATAACTTTGTTAAAAGTAGACATATCAGAATAGATCTTGCACCGTTGGAAAGAGAAAATAAATACGGAAAAATAATATATAAAAATATTTTAATTGGTTGTACCAGTTTTGCTAGTTTGAGTAAAACTTTGATCACTATTTGAGCGATTTGCCATTCCTGAAATCAATGTTGGGGGGTAACACATTATATGTAAAAATGCTAAATTCTGGTACGTGTTTACATCCCAACCCTAACCAATCCCCCCAAAATACTTAAAATTAGTTTGTAAAAAAAAATGTACAACATTTCATGATTTTCAATGTCCACAACAATACAATATTTTTTTTATATATTTAACTATGCAAAAAACTAGAATGAAAATCATTGTTTAATAAATGAAAATTCCAGCATGATTATGGTGTATTTCATTGCCGTGGCAACTGAAATGAAATTTTTATAATCATTTTCAGAAACAACACAATACCTGCTTTCAGAATATATTGGTATATACAAAAATTACAAGAAATACCCCCAAAATAAATTGAAATCTTAATATCAATTTGTCTAAAAATGCTTAAGATCTTTGCCATGGAAGGGGTTAAGCATTATTCCCTATTAACACACCAGGACAGACTTTTCCAAATTTTCTTCATCAAAGTTGTATATTAATTTTGTGGCTCTTTGTATTAGCCAATGGAGAAGGATAAACCTGGTGGCATGGTGTCCAAGAAGAGGCCCTCGGTAGATGTTGATGCTCCTCCTGCCAAGAGACCAGCCCTGTCTGCACCAGTACCCTCAAAACCAGGTAAATATACAGTCAAACCTGAATCATTCAGACACAACTGGTTCCAAAGAAATTTACCAGATAAAACAACATTCTGGATTAGAAAACATTTAAAACAGTTGAATTTGCTGAGATAGACTGAATGTTTACTTCATATAAGGCAAGATTATGGAATTCACAACATCCAAATTTTAATAGACAAGCTAAGCATATCATGTTACTTTTCTTGCTTTAATTTACTGCCAGTATATGTTGGCTGAAATAGAGTTCCAGAGATCTTTCTCTGGGGGGAACAGGGAATTTTTATTATCTACTGCAGGAAAACAAAGAGACTTGGTGGTCATTGACAACCATAACACTATAAATTGCTTATACATGTACTAGATGCTGAAACAATAGTTTTGTATTACGTCATGATTTACAAGGAAAATATCAGCTGTCAAATCAGTTAAAAAATCAATTATCAAGTGAATTTGATTTCTGTGGAACTGATTAACTATGCAATCACTTACAATATTCAGTAGGAGAAAATGACCTAGGAAAAGTTTCGTTGACTTGATCTCTCCTTATGTAATTTTTACAGATAAAAAAGCAAAGAAACCAGAAAAACCAGCTGTTGCAGCTCCTCTTTCTCCTACAAAGGTTGCTGCCAAACCAACGCTTCCTACAAAGAATCCCCCCAAAGGACCCCAGGCTGCCGCTAGTGCCCCCAAAGAGAAGAAGAGCACATCCTCTCGCAGGGAGGAGCTCCTCAAGCAACTGAAGGCCGTGGAGGATGCCATCGCTCGCAAGAGGTCAAAGTTGAATTGATGAAGGGGGACATAGGATATTTAATCTCGGAACTTGTCATGGCATTCTTTTAAAGGAATGTTTCATAGATATTCACTAAGCTAGAAATATTTCTGTCATTCACACGGCCCTGTCACTTATATATCAGGTTTTAAGGATGCTTTTATGAATGATGAAAATTGAAAGAGAGAAAGAGCATGTTTTTCCCTCATGCCTGCGGATCCTCATTTTATGAAAGGAAAATATGAATACCAAATTGTTTCTGATTGCACTGATGTGCAAAGATTGAAATAGGTGAATGTGATCTTAATATCATTTTATATGGCACATAAATACTATTTGCTATAAGATATATTTGTATATGTATATATTGTAAATATCATATTGTAATTTTATAGACAATAGCATGGCAGTTTAATGAGTGTCTGTGTCTTGTAAAACAAGTGCTTGTGAAGGATTTTAATTCATTTATTATTACAATTCTTTTCTTTGTTCTCACAAATAAGTCTACAGTGTATACTGGTATTTCACTGTCCATGCAATTTATTTAGATCAGTAAATATAGTTTGTAATGACTTTGATTTCATTATATTTTCAAAATTGTTTTCAAAATGTCTCTTAAGGTCAGACGACACATTCCTCAAAAATATATAATTTTTCCTAAGAATTTGTCATTGAAGCCTAGGTACTTAAAGAAGTTTCCTCTCAAAAAATTAGGGTACCTTACCAGGCATTCGGACAATATACCACAGGGTCGTATTTCTTATATATTTCTTATGGGTTGTCTTCTGAAGGCCTGTATCACAATGTTTGGTGTACTTTTTGCAAACAATGTAGATATCAGAGAAGAATGACAAATATTAATATTTTTTATATAATACTAAGAGATACAAAACATATATTTGAGGAATGTGTCGTCTGACTTTAATAGTGTTTTGTGTAAACTGATTATTTTTCTATGATTGACTGGATTTTTTTTTTAAAGTAAGGAAACTTTGTGGCACTATAATGGGTTTAACTTTCCTAAATAGAAGTCAATATGATATTTGATTACTAGGTGAATATTCAAATGAAGGCAATGAACCTCAATTTGTACACATTTACTTTTATTACTATACACTCATTGGGATAACATATTTTGCTTTGTACAAATTTGGACTTGTATATTAGCGAAACGGAAGTTTTAAATATGTACATTTTTATCAACTTGCATGAAGCAAGTACTATAATTTCCTGCTGTTTGTCTAGCTCTTCGATATTCCACATCTGTTGATGTCGAGAGATGAATTCTGATAACCTGCCTATATTTTACTAGGATTTCAAAATAAAATCAATGATTTAAACATGGTTCTGTGTCATTTATGTATAGTACATGTCTTACCTCTTGTACGGATAACTAATTTGCATTGGAAATCTGCAGGTGTTATTTTTGTACACTGTGCAGTGTAAATGATGACTTTGAGGACACAGAGAACATGTATGTGATTGTATCCTGGCAAACAAAGATTACTGTGAACCAACTTATATTCACGCTGACTTTATTTTGCGATTTACCAGGGGTAAACTAGTTCATGATGATTAAATTTCGCGATCAAGCCCTTTTTTGGACCTTTGCCAATAGATACAGACTTAAAAGACTGGTTCGCGGGGAGAAATATTTGAGATACTGAAGCTCTCACAAACATTTCTCGCACACGAATAATAGTTGGTTTACAGTCCATGTATGGAAATAACCTTGTCAATGTCCCCTTGTTCCAATTTAGAAAGTTTCAAACAGGTCATAAATATAACTGTAAGTTGTGTTTGACAAAAGTTCATCATGGTCCTTACTGATACAGGTTTTTCTTCTGTGTCTTGAACCACCACATTATCTATCCAGTACTTAAAAGGCCATTCAGAATGTGAAAAAAACAATAGAGGTATTCTGTAAAATATATTTAATTTAACTTGTAGTAAATAATACAAGTGTTAAACAATTAAAATAGAAACAGTTTTAGGGCACTTGATTTAAAGACCTGCTTTTAATTTTGAATAGGGATGTCAACGAGTACCCGGTTAACCGGGTACTCGATCGAACGTCCGAGTATCGAATACTAAAATCGGTACTCGGTTACTCGGATGTATATTTTAAAAATATTTCTAAGCTTATTTATTAATGCATTAAAACATCGGTTTTGAAACGTAAAATGTTCATTGCACTTGTACATACAGTAATTAGGGTTTCCTATGCCTCTAAATGACCGTTATCGCCTGTGGCAGTGTTTATACAGTAATTATCGTGTCCAAACACCTTTCGACTGTCGTCTTCCCTTATATTTAGTTTGCTTTAATTATTTGTTTTCATTGAACATCGTATAAGGTCCATTATATTTAAACAAATTAAATAATTTTGTCATTCTCCAAGAAGCCGTAAATTCCATGGAGATAACTATTGCACGTGCGATTGTTGATTTGGATGCATTTGATTACATGCCAATTAATGCAAATCCTTTAAAAATCTTATGTCCATCGTTGCTCTAAACTACAACATACCGTAGGATCAAAGAGTGTACGAAGATCGTATAAATCCGCTCTGTTATAGGATAACTTGATCAAGTTTATACCGTATATATAGCTCAGACAACTTATCACTTGGACATCAAACGCACCAAAGAGTTACATTACAATTACGGAACAGATTATTTTTTAAACAAAAACACTGTGAACCATTTCTGATTTTATTTCTCGTATTTATCTGATAAATAAATTGAACTTTAAAAAATGTTAGATTAAATTTCGTCGGTTACAAACTGGTCATAATTGTTACAACGCATTTACAGGTAACCTCCCATCGGTTTTATTTCTACAAGAGTTTAAATGTTTTACAGTTATCAATTAACTTGTTCATATTTATTTACACCTTTACCGAGTACCCGGGTACTCGATAGTAACAATCAATTGACCGATCCCTAATTTTGAATGATTTTTTTGAATACATGCAAAATCAATCATTCTTTGAACCCTATTTGGACAAAGACGAAATTTCTTACATTTTTAATGTATAATGTAAAATAATATACCGGTACATACATCTATGGTTGATAAAGTAAATTTTCTAAGCATTTTCCATAGAATTTGAACCATGTAAAAAAATATGTATCAGTACATTCCATAGAATTTGAACCATGTAAAAAAATACGTACCAGTACATGTATTTATAATTAAAAGGAAAATGGTATGTATGTTTTTAAAATATTTGCTGTCTTGTACAGGACTTTCGGAATCATTCAATCTCAAGATCTCTTAATTATGACAAAATCCTACAGATCTGAGTTTACAGAACACAACCTGCAAACAGAAAATGCTAGTTTCTGGGAAGCACTGCAACAAATTGCATCTATGGTTTAACTGAAACCAAAAAAAATCTATTCAAACTATACTTTGAAAATGGTTGAAGGATATGTAATTATGTTTAATTGGATACAATGAACTTCTGATTATCAAAGAGTTATTTAACTTAGTGTCTCTGTTTTAGTCAAACAAATCCTGAAGATATGTATTCTTTAATTCAATCATAAAAAGGTTATTAAACAAGCCCAACCTTAAATATTGCATGTACTGGATATTAAACAAAATATTCATACAATTGACATTTTTTCCTCTGACAAAATTATACATCAGAGTTGAACATTGCTTCAATGGTTCAATTTTCCATCTTCTTTTACTGCTCCAGTTATGTCTCTTGTTTATATCCCTTTATATGATGAATCTACATGCAGTGCATGAAAATAATTTCTGTTCCTGAACTAAAATGATAGCACACTTCTGAAAGCACAACTAATGAAATAACCATAAAAATATTTTTCCGTGAGGAAAACATTTGTGAAAAAATATATTTTTGGCCATAATTAATGCTGTACATTTTGTTGTTTAAATTTCACAAATATTTCACAACCATTGATATTCAAAATATTGCATACTGTACAAAAGATCAATACACATGTATATATAAATTGAAAATGCAGATTAATATCTGAAGAAAAAGTTTTCCTTTCAATAAAAAAATATAACTTTGGCCTTGTGAAATTCATCACATGAAAGTCAATATCAATAGTAAATCATTAATAGCACAAATGTCAGTGTCCAATGTCACAGAAAATATCAATGTTATAAAATATCACAGAGTTGTAGAGAAGAGAAAATTAAATAGAACCATTTTCTAAATTGTTACAAAATTAAATGACCCATTTAACAAATTGTATAGGTCTGTCATTCTGAATTTTTAAAATAAAATTTCATCATGACAAACAACTGATCCTGCATCATGTTAACAAAAACTGACTTGATATGTATTAGGCTGATATTTTTGATCATATTACCCAAAATGTTTTTTTTTCTTTTTTACATTTTGAATTAATAAAGTAATGTACATGCATTTACATGTAATTTGAAAGAAAAGAAACAATCATTCAACTTCCTACAAAATATTGAATCAATTTAAAGTAAGTAAATGATTTTAGGAATGTTTGCAGGAGAAAAAATAAGAAAATGATTTTTAAGGTTCTAATTTTCCCTCTAGGGCCTGAATTTCCTCTGTCACAGTCCGGCATTCCTCATCTAAGTGTGAATACTCTTGCTCTAGTTGTTTCTGCAGACTGGGTTCACAGCACAACTTACGGTCTCTGAGGCAGATTCTGAGAAACAAAAACAAATAACTCATTTAATTTTAAATTTCCATTTCAATTTCATTTATGTTTTTACTTCTGCACATGATTAATTAAGCATATAACTTTTATTTCTTTAACTTAACAAATACTGACAATTAAATATAATTCAGGGATTACGCAGCATTCCATGCATCAATCTTAACACACAAGTCTTCTTTGCATGACTTTTTATACATATATCATAATTGTATATGAATACATGACAAAAATACTATAACTGAATGGCCCTCACCTGCGCTGTTTAAGTTCCACTAAATGAGTACGTAGTTGCTCAATTTTGCGCTTCAGTGCATCAGGACTAGCACAAGACAAGTCATCCATGATAGAATCCGATTCGAAGATGGCGGAATCACACTGGTCCCTGTTAGACTTGGAGTGTGTGATAGTTGTCAGAGTACCACTAACACTAGGGATGATAACATGGGGTAAACTAGGATCTTTGTCCAAGCCACTCAGAGTGTTATGCACATTCATACTTTGTTCCAGTTCAACAGTCTTGATATTTTCCACTGAGATTTGATGTTCCATGTTGTCATGAATAGGCTGTATATCCAACTCCTCATTGGAAGATCTTAAGTCTTTTAATGTGGATGACTGACTTGAAGAATCTGTCTCAAACTTATTTTTACGTTCCAGCGAACTATTTTCTGACCCCGCAGCACTGTTATAGGCAGTGTCCGTGGGGGTCCTTTCATCACTGTCTTCCTCTAAATTATGCCTGTCTCTTTGATTTTCATGAAGTTTAGACCAAATCTCATCAAACAAACTGCTATCATTGGCTCCCAGAAACCCTGTACTGAAGGAATGTGAAAATGTCTTGGTCATAACAGATCCATTGGTTGAAGACTTGGTAATCCTAGACATTGTAGCAGAGGATTTTCCAGAACTATTGGTTTTCACTATTGTAGAACTAAAGAATTCTTCATCTAGACTGTTAAAAGTTCTAGATTCTAAATATCCATTGGCAGTTCTTTGCACTTGTGTATAGAGTTCCCCAGTTAGTTCCCCTGGGACTCGTGGATTAGATATAGCACTATCGTTAGCGGTGTCGTCTGCTGCCTGGGACTGTTGTGACATCACAGAGATCTCCATCACTGAGTCATCAGGGTCAGAGGTCGTGGTATCAGCATGTGCCAGAATGGTCTTCTGTAAACGAATAATGAAGTACAAATTTAGAATTTTACTCAATTATTATTTATGAAGCGGAAACCTTTACTTTTGCCAAATAACCAAGAAAAAATAGCACTAGTATATGCAAAAACAGCCTTCTCTTTTGAGGTTTAGCAAAATTAGAAATTAACATCGACTTCAAAAAATTGGGGAGGGTGAAGGGGGGGAGAGGGGTGTTAGCTAGGAACAAATAATAAAATTGCTTAATTGAAAAAAAAAACTGTTTATATATGTAAAAGTACCTCATCTACTGTGTCATAAGGGAACACGTCTGACAGAGGACTGCTGAGATTGTCTGACTGGATGTCATGGTAAGGAGATTCATCATCTACCCAGAATTCCTTGAGTCCGGCAGGAAGACATTCCGTCGATGTCTGGTTCATGAACACACGCAGCCAGCATGCCATATCTTCTCTATTTAAAGGCTGAAAAAATTATCACAGCATTAAAATAGTGAATCTCTATGGGACATGGACAGTAGAGTCTATTTAGACTCTTGTCTGTAAGAAGATCCAGAAACCATTTTACTTTACATGGCCACATAATGTGATGCTTGTGGAGGATGGTTATCATTTCTCTATTCCTGCATGCCTTGATTGAAAAGATAACAATTATGTGAAAAAGACAACTGCTAAAGGCTTAGTTGGTTTGTACAATGTATATTATTTAGTTTGATTTACCTTTATGTAAACTTTACTAGTGCAAATCCTCAAGCAGATTAAGTGTGGTTTGTCTAATCAAGAGATTTAACCTACCTCTACTGTGATTTTTTCTCTGCCATTTTGTGAGATCATCAGCCCTAGTTCACTCTTAGTCTCCTCCACAGCTTGCTTCAGAACACAGGGGTACAGTGGGATTTCTAGCTCACACACAGTGCTGGACTCGTTCCTATAACACTCAAACACATTGCCTCGCACCATACACCATCGCTTACCCCACTTCCTCTTGTTGAAACTACTGTAGATATTCAGGTAACCTTGAAAATAAAGACCAAGATTTTGGGAAAACACTAGTTAAGAAATATAATTTAATACTAAAGATGAAATGATTAAGGAGTAGAGCTTTTCTTACCTTTATAAACTATTTTCCTATCACAGACCAAATCTTCTATAGAATTACAGGTATTTTTATTAAAGCTTGCTGAAGAGGCAATGGTATCTTTGGGAATGAGGTCAAGTTGGCTGTTGTTTTCACTTCCTGTTTCTACCAGGTTGCCAAGGCTACTACTGTTTGGCAAAGTGGCAGCCATTTTCTTGCCCTTGTTTTTGCCGATAGATTCGAAGAAGGAGCTTGCTCTAGAAGCTATGGAACCCATCCTACTTACTCGGTGTCGATCCTCTGAAAAGAAACATTTATCATGGTATTTTGGTGAAGAAAGTAAATTTAAAAGTTACCAGTATACAGTGTAATTGACTGTTTATATGTGGGAGCATCACTGAAATTACATTTATATATATAATTATTTCAGGAACATCACGAAGAGCTGGAATTAAAAGTCTTTTTCAACAAATTATTTCATCTTCAGAGGTCTAAATAAGTGATCAACATTTAGTAATGATTAAGTTCTAGTATATAAAAACACTCCAAAATTTAGATAAGCAGAATATCATAATTTAAGTTTATTATCAAAATATTTAATGTTTTATTCTTATCCCAAGATGCTCCATATCATAAATGTGATAACATATCAAGCATTTTCAAACTAATATTATTTTTTTTGTTAAAATTAAATCCTTGCGTATTATAATCTTGAGATAATTCATACATTCTTTTGATTACATATATTTTTGGATTTTTCATTCCCTGGTAATGATTAATGTACAGTGTAACAGTTTGGTACGAAATATTGATACTTTGGTGCAGGGGTGTGAAAAAAGTCTACACTAATTTGAAGAAGGAAGATAAAAACTGAATAATTTTGCATATATTTTGGGTACATTTTATTTATGATGTTTTACAATGAGTCATTACATCTCTCACTGGTACTAAGCCAAAACTGATTTAAATTTCACTCCTTTTTTTGCACTGACTTCTTAGTCATCTAGAATTAAATAGGGATCAGCTTATTGTTAACTTGAGCTAAATAGATTTAATAACAAATAAGGATGTCTTTAAACAGACATTTAAAAGTGATACAACACTGATTTATCATAACAAGTTTAAAATTAGGAACACGAAATATAGTAAATATGTTATTTCACACATCAATGATACATGTTTATATATGTGTACAAATACCAAGTCATGTACTCATAAAAAAAATGCCAGGGAAAGGGAAAAGTGAAAGAAAGCAAATTCTACATTCTAACATGGCAATGTTTTGGCTGAAGAAAGTTAAAGATTTATATTCCATAACATTATGAAAAGATTTATCTTTATTTAAAAATAACCCACATTATTTTAATTGCATCAAATTTCTTCACAACACCCACTCCAAAGTTTTGATTATATACCCTGTCAGACTAAAGAGTTATGCTGAGCAATACTGAAATGATTAAGTCCTAGTGGTTCTAAGGGATCCTTATTAGCACTGAAAAGCAATAAATCTAACTTTTGATCTTACTTTTTCTTACACATCAAATGAAGATTTGGATAATCATATATTTTCTATCTCTTTGATTTCAGTCTCATTTCTACAATGTATTTCACAAGATGTCAAGTATGCTCCTGAAAATGTCACAAATATTTTGGAAAACATTCATAAGGCAACTCAAAATTACATAATAAATTCCTTTGCTTGTCATTCTTAATACAATGCTAGCTATGTGTTTATAGGAAAAACCTATCATCATTTTGTCAAACTTTATGGCGCCTTTTGAAATCTAACCTTTATAACAAAATATGTGATAAATCAGTAGAAAGGCATTTGTTTTGCAGTGGAAGAACAACCTAATTGATTTGCAGATTTAGGGATAGACAATTTTTTAGTCCAGAACTTAGCATACATTATCAGGTAAAAAAAAAAAAGAATGATCATACACTAACACCTAAGTATGCAAAAACCTACTAATACCCGCAATATATCGATGTTTTACAAACTGATGCACATAAACATCCCAACGAAAATCGGCAAAATGTCAGGCAACTGATATGCAAGGTAAAAACGATACATGGGGATTTAAATTGCACACATTATACAAAGCAGGCATAAGATACAACAGGCAAAAAAAAGTAAATAGTGAGCTGTTTTAACCTTCCTCTCCGGTCACAAATAACTGAAAGAGACCTGAAAGGAAAACAGGCTTAACATTGAATTCAATCAATCAAAAAAATGAATTTAAAAGTTTCCAAAATATTGCAAGGTATACTATTCCTGGAAAGGGATATTTTTTTTTATTGATTTTTCTTTGAATTCCCCTACATCTGCTGTAGGTAAGATAATATATAGAAGAATCTGTCTGGTTACAATATATTTGATACGGCTAAGCTGTGACCTGGCCATTATATCTGCTGTGGCGCGAAATCAATTTTCTAGGTGATGTTAGTTTTATATATATGGATTTTTATGCTTTTGAAAATTTTACTTACTGCGACTTTTCCTTTTCATTGAAGAGTATTCGGTTTCAGAATTGCTGCTTTCCGTGGATATATTAGAAATGGATTTCCGGAAATCTGGCTATAAAAGAAACCAGAAGTCTCTGTCGAGACTGAAGCTCTACTGGTTTGTACTTATAGCAAAGGAAGAGAAAAGTACTTCAGCAGTTGGGAATTGAAACTTAACAACAGCAATAGACAGAATAATGATCCTTGATAAAGTCTCTTTATGTTCTTAGTGTAGTCTACAAGTTTGCGAAGTTATATTGAAATCAGACCAAAACTGTAGGAGGAGTAGCATTTTAAAGGAATTTCACAGAAATTTCTATTTTTAAGAGGGCTGTTCGGAAATTATTGAGACAATTACATTTACTCCATAAAGGACGGAGATAATTTCATGAAAATTCATCAACATCTTATAAAGAACGAATAAAACACTTAAGCAAAATTTCCAATTCCTACAATAATTAGATAAGTTTTGGTGAAGGAATAAATATGCATATATCTATCGACCCGGAGCAGCCTCGTAATGTCATTTAACGTTACGTTAGCTGTAGATTGTTTCGCATGTGAAACGATCGGGAAGCGTTTAATACTCTTCCTTCTTTGTTATTACATAATTATATAATATTACAAAAATCAAACAGTCTCTTTTCTTAAACTATGTTTCAAAAATGTATGATGTTGCTACCACAGTCAAAAATTTTCATTTGTGAGAAAGGATGACTTAGAATCATGCAGTGCCAATTTATGCAACGCGGGTGAAATACCGTAACGATATCAATACTGTACGTAATAACTCATGGTCGTCCAGATCTTTTAATTTTACTCGAGTTAAAATAATTGTTCAAAAAATGTATACCAATGAAATAACAAACCCTAACACATAAGTTTATTCTCGTTGTTATTGTTTTAGCAGGTTGTTCAGTCTTGAAAAGAGTCCTACATTGCGCTTCACAAAATTTTAGGTATGCTGGATGCTCCGCCCTTGACGTCAAAATCCATTTTTTCGTTGTTAGCAGATTTCTCTACCGCGCTTGATTTTTTTTATGATCTCCGTATTTCTGATCATAATTCCATCAAAGTTGCACAACATGAATTTGAACTAAAGCTGAAAAATTATACTTTTAAACTGAATTATTTTCGCTCACATTATGGATCCACGAAGAGTTAGAATTTTGGGGTTACATATTTTCAATATCTGATTCCTGCTTGCTCATACCCCTACTATTGACATATTTATATACCATTGTAGAGGAAATATTTAATATTTGTAAAATATTTCTTGCTCTCATTAATTTTTAGTGTATGTCAAACGTATATACCAATTTTCACCGAAAGACGTTCATTAGAAAGCAAAATATAAACAATGTCTCAATAATTTTCGAACAGCCCTCGTAGTTACCACGGCAAAACCGTTTATTGAAATCAAAAGCTGATAAATAGAATTATGTATCTTAGTGTAGTCTACTTGTGTGCCAAGTTATATTGAAATCAGACCAAAACTGTAGGAGGAGTAGCATTTTCAAAGAATTTCACAGAAATGTCTATTTTTAGTAACCACAGCAACAACGTTCATCGAAATCAAAAACAGATACACAGAATTATGTATCTTAGTGTAATCTACTTGTGTGCCAAGTTGTATTGAAATCAGACCAAAACTATATGTGGAGTAGCAATTTAAAGGAATTTCACAGAAATTTCTATTTTTAGTAACCTGGGCAACAACGTTCATCGAAATCCAAAACCGATATACAGAATTTTGTATCTTAGTGTAGTCTGCTAGTGTGCAAAGTTATATTGAAATCAGACCAAAACTGTAGGAGGAGTAGCATTTTAAAGGAATTTCACAGAAATTTCAATTTTTAGTAACCACGGCAACAACGTTCATCGAAATGATCAACTGATAAATAGAATTATGTATCTTAGTGTAGTCTTCTTGTGTGCAAAGTTATATTGAAATCAGACCAAAACTGTAGGAGGAGTAGCATTTTGAAAGAAATTCACAATAATTTCTATTTTTAGTAACCACGGCAACACCGTTTATCGAAATCAAAAACCGATATAGAGAATTATATATCTTAGTGTAGTCTACTTGTTTGCTAAGTTATACTGAAATCAGACCAAAACTGTAGGAGGAGTAGCATTTTAAAGGAATTTCACAGAAATTTCTATTTTTAGTAACCACGGCAACAACGTTCATCGAAATCAAAAACCGATACGCAGAATTATGTATCTTAGTGTAGTCTACTTGTGTGCCAAGTTATATTGAAATCAGACCAAAACTGTAGGAGGAGTAGCATTTTAAAGGAATTTCACAGAAATTTCTATTTTTAGTAACCACGGCAACAACGTTCATCGAAATCAAAAACCGATACGCAGAATTATGTATCTTAGTGTAGTCTACTTGTGTGCCAAGTTATATTGAAATCAGACCAAAACTGTAGGAGGAGTAGCATTTTAAAGAAATTTCACAGAAATTTCTATTTTTAGTTACTACGGCAACACCATTTATCAAAATCAAAAACCAATACACAGAATTATGTATCTTAGTGTAGTCTACTTGTGTGCCAAGTTATATTGAAATCAGACCAAAACTGTAGGAGGAGTAGCATTTTGAAAGAATTTCACAGAAATTTCTATTTTTAGTAACCACGGCAACAACGTTCATCGAAATCAAAAACCGATACACAGAATTATGTATCTTAGTGTAGTCTACTTGTGTGCCAAGTTATATTGAAAGCAGACCAAAACTGTAGGAGGAGTAGCATTTTAAAGAAATTTCACAGAAATTTCTATTTTTAGTTACCACGGCAACACCGTTTATCAAAATCAAAAACCGATATACAGAATTATGTATCTTAGTGTAGTCTACTTGTATGCCAAGTTATATTGAAATCAGATCAAAACTGTAAAAGGAGTAGCATTTTGAAAAATTGTTTACAGACAGACGGACAGACAGACGGACAGACGGACGGACGCCGGACGCATTACTATCGCATAAGCTCTTCTGGTCTCTGACCAGTAGAGCTAAAAATGAGATTGATTTTTTTTTCTGAAGAAAAAGCTTTTATAAGATTGAACAGAAGTTCAATTGTTCACTAAAATCAAGACTTTTTCTACATGATTATGTGATAAAACACCCTACCTTGTTGCCATACTCTCTACCATTTTCGACACCATTAAAGGTTGAACTTCTAGCTAAGTGTTGGTGCTGCCCTGGAGGAGGTTTTCCCTTACTCATGGCATTCATAAACTACAGAAAAAGAAGTTCCAAATAAAACTGTATTTATTTTTACAGATTGATAAAAAAGGCATTTAAAAAAACAAGACCAGTAATCTCCCTTACCTCTACCCACAATTGTGCCCAGTCCTTGAAATCCACGGAGAACATGTGAGTTTCCAGACTGGGGTGAAGCAGACGGACATCGAACCCTCTCTTGTTTTCCTTCTCCAGATAGGAGGCCTCGTACCCAGTCAGTTGGATGACCAGAGCGGGCTTGGACTCGCTCTTCTCTGGCTTGTAACACACCATCCTGCCATCTGTCAGTGCGGCCAGCTTCCTCGTCCAGGATAACTTCCCTTTGTACAGGAGCTCTCCTGACAGAGTCACATCTTCCAAACGTTTGTATGGAAGGGTCACGTCCCACTCTTTGGAGGAACGGCTGATTTTGGGTTTAGATGGCTTCTTCTTCTTCATTGGCCTAAAATATTATTTTTTTTAAATTTTAATTGCTTGCTGTAACCATGTTAAAACAAAACAAACAAACAAGAGGCCCATGGGCCACATCGCTCACCTGAGAATCTTTTGTCATATTGTTCTTTACCAGATTTCCCCCTTGTAATACATATTGTGGCCCTGCCCTACCCCCTGGGGTCATGATTTGAACAATTTAGAATCTACACTACCCCAGGGTGCTTCCACATCAGTTTCAGCTTTTCTGGCCCAGTGGTTCTTGAAAAGATTTTCAAAGATTTTTCCTAAATATTTCTATGTAAAACTTTTATTCCCCATTATGGCCCTGCCCTACCCCCGGGGGTCATGATTTGAACAATTTAGAATCTACATTACCCTAGGGTGCTTCCACATCAGTTTCAGCTTTTCTGGCCCAGTGGTTCTTGAGAAGAAGATTTTCAAAGATTTTTCCTATATATTTCTATGTAAAACTTTGATTCCCCATTGTGGCCCCGCCCTACCCCCCGGGGGTCATGATTTGAACAATTTAGAATCTACACTACCCCACAATGCTTCCACATGAGTTTCAGCTCTTCTGGCCCAGTGGTTCTTGAAAAGAAGATTTTCAAAGATTTTTCCTATATATTTCTATGTAAAACTTTTATTCCCCATTATGGCCCTGCCCTACCCCCTGGGGTCATGATTTGAACAATTTAGAATCTACACTACCCCACAATGCTTCCACATCAGTTTCAGCTTTTCTGGCCCAGTGGTTCTTGAAAAGAAGATTTTCAAAGATTTTTCCTATATATTTCTATGTAAAACTTTTATTCCCCATTACGGCCCTGCCCTACCCCCGGGGGTCATGATTTGAACAATTTAGAATCTACACTACCCCAGGGTGCTTCCACATCAGTTTCAGCTTTTCTGGCCCAGTGGTTCTTGAGAAGAAGATTTTCAAAGATTTTTCCTATATATTTCTATGTAAAACTTTGATTCCCCATTGTGGCCCCGCCCTACCCCCCGGGGTCAATATTTGAACAATTTAGAATCTACACTATCCCAGGGTGCCTCCATATAAGTTTCAGCCTTACTGGCCCAGTGGATCTTGAGAAGAAGATTTTTTAATGACCCCACCCTATTTTTGTCTTTTCTTGATTATCTCCCCTTTTGAGGGGACTTGGCCCTTCATTTTAACAATTTAAATTTCCCTTTACCCAAGGATGCTTTGTACCAAGTTTGGTCAAAATTGGCCTAGTGGTTCTTGAGAAGAAGTCGAAAATGTGAAAAGTTTACAGACGGACAGACAGACAGACGGACAGACAGACGGACAGACAGACGGACGGACGACGGACAAAATGTGATCAGAAAAGCTCACTTGAGCCTTCGGCTCAGGTGAGCTAAAAAGACTAATATCACAAAATAATATAATTTGAATTAGATACATACATGGAGAACATTTATATATGTCTATGATATTTCTGAATTTATGTCTCTTATCAATGAAATTTTACCCTAATAAAATTATATGAAAGTACACTATTTGCAATACAATATGTATAGAACTTCTTACTAGTTATTTATTTCATTTCCTAGAATTAAACAAGGATTATCATACTTTGGGAGTTTTATGTTCATTTTGCTTTCTAGTTCATCCTCATCACAAGATTCGTAAGAAGTCAACTCAGCATCATCTAAAAAAAAAAGGATTTTTCTGATTCACTTTTTACATGAAAATAAAAGCACTCTAGCACAAGTCAGCTATATCGAAACTGTGAATTTTCAAAACTAATTTTAATGTAAAATTGTTTATGCTTAAATGCATGGAATGAAAATTAATCTAGCTATGACAAATTAGAGAGCAATATCCCTTATAACTATTATATTTATTTAAATTTCTTTGTGCAAATTATTCCGCTGATATCAAATTCATAGTCCTTTAAATGACACAAGATACAATGCTTATGAAACTCTGCACATGCATGCTTGGGTGAAATGCATTGTGAAATGGGTTTTCCATTAGCATATTTGAATAAATATCAAGTAGCACCCTCGTAATAATGGGTGGCTATAAAAAGCATGCACCTACTCATCCTTGGCAATCTGTGGACACATAGGGTGTATTAACAAAACACTTGTCACCTTGAACAGGTTCTAAACACTTTTTTTTCATTAAATCTGCATGAATTGCATTCAATTGCACTCAAGATATACAAAGTACATGACAACAAAAGCAGGAAAATTATTTTATTTTGGGTCAATGAATCTCTTTTGTCGTGTCTTTTAAATCTCTACATGTATATCATAGGTTTGCAGCAAACAATTTAATTATAGTCAAATGAAAATGGAATAAAATTAAATTTCATAGTAATTGTATTTGCTTTAGTTGAAAACTTTAGGGAACATGATTTTATACATCTTAAGTTAAAAAACAGTACATAAGTGTGCTGATAAAGTACACGATTAATGTGTATATATATTGATATTTGATTTTTTTTAAAAAAGTCAATTAAAATTAAGGATATTTTCTTTGTGTACTTTCTACTAAAAACCATAATAGCTTGTGCATAATAATAATAATTTGCATGTACATTTCTTGGGACAACACGTTAAAATTTCATTAATAGGCTACAATTCTATTTTTACATGCAATCATTAGCTGTAAAGTAGATTTGGAATCTTTTTGCTTGCATAAAATCTTTCCTCAACCACATGAAAATACACAATTATTGACACATAAATATCATGCTGTTTAAGCAAAACTATGTAATTACACTGCATTATCTCGGCACAGTGAATTCATTAAGATGGGCGTAGGTGCTGGAGCCATTTTTTTTTTTAAATATAAGAAAAAGCTGCCATCACGTGACTTTTTCTAATGCTAGATTTTGTTGGCATGATGTTAATTTTTTACAGTTGTAATAAATCGTCTTCACTAAAACAGTTTGTTGAAGATGAACTTTTAAAGAAGAGGTGAAGGCCATTTCACAGGTATCAGAATATTTATCAAGTGTACAAACCATGACTTACAACCTTGTCACCGAAAAATGAATGCTGTTTTTCTTAAACAAGTTACATAAAAGCTTAATGTGTTCTTTCTCTACTTTACAAATTTTCTTTTTTGACAATGATATCTACATAAAGATCATAGTTAGGTTCCAAAAACGTCATTAAATAATGATATTTGTGTATGTATAGTATTTAAGTGGTGAATGCCTTTCGAGAACAAAAAAACTACATGGATTTTAATACATGTATATCTACTCCAGAATTAACTAGCTTCCTTTTAAATCATAAACACATATTTATCAAAGTAAATGGCTAATGTTGTATCTTATATTCCCCCAGAGCACATGTTTAAGCTCTTCTGTAGGGGCACTCCACCTAAATCCTTTCAACTTTATAGGGCAGAAATTATTCATTCGCACTCAGGTGTCAGTTTTAATCACGTCATTCTCTTGTTTATCTCAAACTTTTGTTTGCAGAAGAATTCTTTATTTCAAATGAAAAATGCCATGATGAAATCCATGATCTTATATCTTTTCTACAATTAGAAATTACATAATCTCCGTCCTTCTGACTCACCGAGAAGCTTTACAAAGTCAAAGATTTTATGCATAGTTAAAGATTTTTTGTGCTTTACAACACAAAATTAGAAATAGAGTCAAAGGTAAATTTCACATTTTCTTTGAAAATAGAAAGGTTCGATGCGTTTGCTTTCTAAGATCCTCTGACAAATATTTAACTGTTGTCAGCTTAAAACTTTACAGGTAGTTGACAAAAATACCTGTTTGTGGTGCAATATAAATGTTACTTCAAAAGAAAGCCCATTGCTTTAAATTACAATATAGATTTTAGATAAATAAAAACGACAAGTTATTGATGGTTAACCACAATCAAATGCCTGGAAAAAACAGACAATTACATTTAACCTCAGGGGTAATGTAATATGTTTACTTAAAATGCATAATTTCATACATGTCTAAAGAGTAAATATTACACTTGGTGCATTAACAGTTGTCAAAACAAGGAGTACATTTTTGTTTTGAACATGTCAAATATTTCATAACTTAATTTATGTTTACAATTGGTATGAAAAGTATTGAAAACTAGAAAAAAAAAACAAGTGGTGTTCTAAATTGTCAAAATAGCAATTTAAAAAAACATTTTATCCAGAACAGTACAGATTTCAAATAGTAATGATTTAAATCAATATATTAATGAAAAGGCTTTAAAAACAAATCCTTAAGCATGGAACTTTATGCCCTTCAATAATTTTAAACCATTTATTAATAAAAGGAATCAGATCAAAATCTAAGCTCTAAATGCATACTTAGAATGAAAAAGATATGTGGGTAACTCAAAGCAGGAAGAAAACACAGAAAATGAAATGTCGGAAGTTAAAAATAATTTTTTTTTTTTACCTGTCAGATCCACACTTCCCTCAGATCTTTCATCCCTTCTCTCAGCGGCATTATAAATGGTTGGGAGGCTGGGGCGGGCCGGGAGGTCAGGGGGTTTATCCCCTTTAATGGAGGACTGGCGTTCAGGAGGTTCTGGCCTAGCGGGAAATGTATTTTTGGTAATGGACCTGTCTCTCTGCAAAGGGGGCTCAGAGTTTTCTCTTCGCGGGGGTAGGGGTGGAGGTATCACCTCTGGGGACTGATCCCCCTGGATACTGGTGGTGGTGGCGTAGTCATCTTTGGTGGGGGATTTTGTCTCCTCGTATCCCCCCGACTGATCAGCTGATTGGGCGAGATTAGGGACAGGTATCTCATATAAGTCTGTCTCATCGCTATTTTTGGATTCACTACAAAGTAAATATTTTATGTTATGTTAACCTGGTTCAAAAATAGAGGTAGACTTTGCTAAAAGTACATAGCAAAGAGCATGAAAATTCAATTTTCTTAGGATAAATATATACCATGCTATCTAAATGGGCATCTGGGAAGTTTTAAAGAAATTTTTCTGACTTTTAAAGATATTTATGCTAACTCACAATCAAATAAATGTTCATATCGCTTTACAATATAGGGAACCTAATCTTTTACTTTGATATCGAAATTCGTAACATGGACTTATATTTAAGCATATCAAATTACTTATGAAACCTGTACATTGTTATATATGTGATCTCAGTTTGTGCATTTCCCTGTATCAGTAAAACAATATTTTTATCTATTTGACAAACTGGAAATGAAAAAGACAATGACAATGCAATAGAACTTCTCCCTTTTAGTTGGAAATTAAATGAGATTTCAGGGTCATGGGAAAATAAAAAGCCATCCATTCTGCATTTTGTTGTGTAATTGCTACAGAAATATAGCCCTGATATGGCACCTGGGTAAAAAGGATCTTAAAAAGAAACATGAGGCCTGTACTAACTTGTGTTCCTGCTGTATTTCTCCGTCCTGGTGATTGAGATCGATATCATCGTAAACTTTCACCTCCTGTTAACAAGAGTTAAAACAATCGTGAATTTTTAAAATCATAAAAAATCAGGAAAAAAAAAGTGGGTGAACGAAAAACAACATTCAAATATGTTTTTTATTAATCTTTTTTTTTTACTGAATCAAATCTGCTGTAACAATGATGTGTTCACTCCAGAAAATGCTACAAAGGAGACCTAAGCGGGGGTGTATTTCAAATGAAGCGAATATATTTTGATGATATCTGAATTAAAACACTTGGCTGACCAAGACCTTCGCATGTAATAATGGCGATATAATCAGGTTCCCACGACAGTCTCACAGAACTTCCATTACCCTGCTACAGTCCTTTCCCAGGCAGTCTCCTTCAAATTTCTCCCATAAAGAAATTCAGAAACACTTGAATGTGGACACACAGAGAATTTAATTTGAAGGTCATTCTCTTTGTTAAAAAGTTCATTATCACATTAAATGGGAAAAAAGAATCATTTGAGAATACAATTTTCATTCAAATTCTGGGTGTTCTATTTCACTTTTTTGTAGTGAACCATATCATAAAGTCTGTTATGACAAAAGCTTAAAATGACTTTGAATTATTATCCCATTTAATTGACTATAAAAAATTATACAAGTCTAGAGTAATAAATTGATATGTAAATATTATCAATCATAAAATATTAAAGATAATCAAACTTGAGTGACAATAATCTGAATTCATTTGAGAGTGAATAAACTATTACTATGACAATTTAATAGAAAAAAAAATGTTGTTTTGAAAAAAAAATGTTGTGTGGTCTTTAAGGATACCCAAAATCTGGCAGAGGACTTTGGGGTTTGATAATTAAAATCTTTTTGTATTTTTAATTAGGTGCTCAAATTATTTTGCAACATTAATAAAATCAGATTTAATTTGCACTTGGGGGGGGGGATTACTTTATGCATTTGCAATGAATTTCTAAACAGATATTATAAAAGTATAGATTTAGGGAAAATGAAAAAAATAACACTCTTTTGATTATACACTGTAATGATTATGATTAAGCCTTCACAATATTTATAGACATACTTTTTTTTAATATCCTACATCCTTAACAATAAGGTCCAATCTTTACAATGTACTGTACAAAGAAATTTCTCCATTAGAAATTTGGGGATGATAAATTTAAAAATTGGATATAATGCTGATGCAGGGCTTTTTCTTTTAATGAATTTAATACATGTGCATGTTACTAAGCCATACAGATGAAATGATGAGAACTAAGAGATATAACCCTCTATCCTGATTGATAGATAATCTGGTTACAATGCTTCATTTTCCTTAAATGATGGATCATTCTCAGAATATCTGAGAAAATTTCTAGAAAACTGAAAACAACACTTGCAAACCCCCAATGATCCATCTTTCTGAATGACAAGACAAACAGAGAGAAGACCTAAAACGTGTCCGAACTTCAAGGCCCAAGTCCAGTCATTATTTATCTTATAGCACCTGTTCTTAATTTAAATAAATTGTCAGTAAATTAAATAAAATTTCCTGTTTTTGTCTAAATGGCTAAACACTGAATTTTTAATTTAAAAGCAAACTGTAAAACATCTTTTATAATGACATTCATGCAATCAGATCTGAATTAATACCTGACAAAACACAGATGTTTCAAAAGGAACCTGTTTGACATTTTCCTTTGATCTAGTGATGTGTACGATGTGTGTATATTTGTAAATAAAAAGATCTAAAAATGCACCTTTCCCTCGATGGCCTCCAGTTCCTCTGGGGCGATAAACGATCGTGAAATTTCTCTCTGATGTGCAGCGAAATCATTCTCCTGCGATTCAAACAAAAAGTGGTCGTGACTTAGTGTTGGGGACTTTGGGTCACCGGCAGCTTTGATGGGGGAAGGAGAAAAGGGGGCTCCAAAGTCAGGTACTGCAAATATAGGGGGAAAAATTTGTACATAATAATACATTCAGTAGTGCATATCACGAAAGTAATAAAATACATAACAAATACATCTTCCTATGAGGTCATAGAAATTGTGTTTAGTTGTGGTGAGTTTTTATGTCAAATTATACTGCTCAGAGGTATATACTTAAAGAGAGAGCTTACCAAACCGCAGGTATACACACAAAATTAACATGTCAGATACTCTACATAACACACACTTTTAACTTTTAGTTTTACTGGAACCCCCACAGTGCAGTTTATAACTGCTTATTAGAGGAGGAAAACGTTTGGAAGACATGAGAAAGGGACATCAAAAGAACCAGGCCCTGCCAGCAAATAACTGTCAATGGCCGACAAACTGTTCATTATCCATCCCATCTAGCTTCTGGACATCACAGTTTGACTTTTAATGTCTTCTTCTGTGCTCTTTATTTGGGCCATCTCAAATATGTAAATTATACGGAAAGGATTTTATACTTCAAGGACAAGGGGACATTTTTTAAACATGCATGCTTTCCTACTTAGTGTGATATTTAAAAAAAAAAAAACTTTGGCTCTCAAAAAATCTGTTTAGATGGTAAATTTCTTGTGTCAATAGTAATTGTGTTGCGAGAGAGTCTAGTGGTGATCATCTGTATATCTTACCTTTTAATCGAGGCGGGACACTAGGTGGTAATTTTAGAATATCGAGTCTCTCCAGATAATACAGACGTTTGTTTTCTGTCTCCTCTGACAACTTTTCTCGAGCCAAATCTTGACACAGAAATTCTTCTATTCCAGGAAGAAGCTCTGAAAAAAAACAATGGAAAAACCTGTATTTTTTCATTTTTCAGTAATCCATCATTCAAAATGTCATAATTTTTACAGATTAATTAGCTGTCTGTACCTATCCAAAGGAGGTTCCAATCGACAGAACATAATGGCCTATTAGATCTGGCTGCCATTGCACCAGGTAGAAAAAAAGAGGAAGATTTTTTTGGTTTCCTCAGAAGAAAATCTTGTTAGAAAGTTTAACTGTCAGATTGCCAAGCAATCTGTAATCTTTGAACAGAATTTGTTAACAAGCTATTTGGTAGGGTAATGTGCAGCATCCAATCTGCTGAATCTACCGAACATCAAAAAAAGGAGACTATGGGGTGAAAGGATGAACTGTTTAGAATAGGAAGATATGCAATGTGTTTCTGTTTATCAAAATTTTTGGGGCAGATTGATAAAACCAGGGCTGCCATCTCTGATAGAACTGTCAAATCTATTTTATATCAAAGTCCTGACTGACGTGTAGTAGCAAAGAGCAATTGGGAGGCAATCCTAATGCCAAGTTATATTTGCACATTAAGAAACAAAATGGAATTGTATTTTTGAGCTTGAGCCAGAAGTTTTACTTTATTAACTCTTTCTTTTAAGAGCTTGATGAGAATTGGTAAGTACATGTATTATATACACTATACACAGTGCCAGAAAATTAAAATTGCTGGGTATTCAAATAAATCATTTTTATGAATTACAAAAATTCCAGCTCAACAATTCTATTTCAAAAATATTGTGTTCTAAATTTTAGATAAAAGTAACTTTTTTCTCTTAACTATCCCAAAATTGACTTGCAAGTATTATGTATTCCTGTAATATATTTATATAAATTATATGATTTATACTGATAAATTACTGATTACACATTGATGGACACCTTGATATCACAGTTTAGTAAATGAGGTATAATAAAGATTAATGAAATAAATATCTGGTGAATGTTACTATCAGAAAACTGTTTATTGAATTGACTGATAGACCCAAGGTGCCAGGTCTTTAAAATCTAATACATCATCTGATATAAGCTTTCGTAAATCTCTTTGAACAATTCAATAGCATATTCATAATTGATACATAAAAGTCAAACACATTACGTCATTAAGACTTATGAAAATCTGCTTATAGTTAAATAGTTTCACTAAATCCCTGTAAGATTTATTAAATGAAGTGTAAAGGGAAAACATGTCACAAAGATGATGAATAACCATAGAATGTACACAAGTAAAATTGGGCTAATTTCAATTCATATAATTCCATTAAGCAGGTGTAAGCTCCAGTTAATTAATTTTGCAACCCTATGTAATAATCTGAATAACTTATGGTTGTGTACTTTTCAAGCATCTTGTGTTAAATTAAAATGGCCATAAAATATACAGAGCCTAAGTATCCTGGCTATATAATCATTTGTATTAATTACGGGGTTAAACAAACTTACCCAGAACAGTGTAGAACTGTACAGTACCTGCATAAATTGCCAAACAAGGTAAAATAATTCCTCAATAAAAAATTAATTTTCTCTAACTCCCACTACAATTACCCTACTGTCAATCACAATGTGACATAATACTATAGCATAATATATGTCATTATGGTGACATCATTAGATTAAGGTGGAAGATGGGACACCTGTGTAAAATATACTGAAAAAGTAATACAAGGGGTATCTATAACATTTTCCAATTTTAAATATTTAAGAGTTTGGATTTTTTAAAGACGTTTAGAAACTGGTTTTGAAATCAGAATGTTATTAAAATTTTGAATATTTTTCATACATTACGAAGATATACAAAACAGATATTGAGGAACGTCTCGTCTGACCTTAAAGAATCATAAACCCTATAAGAGATGCAAAAAAGTCACGTTTCAATATTATATCATAGAAAGTTTTTATGAGAGGATTGAACAAGTTTTAAACAAGAAGGACATTTAGTCTGAGAGAGAGAATAAGAGAAAGAGAATGGGAGAGAGACAGAAAGAATGGAAGAGAGGCAGAAAGAGAGAATGGAAGAGAAGCAGAAAGAGAGATTATGGAAGAGAGGCAGAAAGAGAGAATGGGAGAGACAGAAAGAGAGAATGGAAGAGAGGCAGAAAGAGAGAATGGAAGAGAAGCAGAAAGAGAGATTATGGAAGAGAGGCAGAAAGAGAGAAAGGAAGAGAAGCAGAAAGAGAGATTATGGAAGAGAGGCAGAAAGAGAGAATGGGAGAGACAGAAAGAGAGAATGGAAGAGAGGCAGAAAGAGAGAATGGGAGAGGCAGAAAGAGAGAATGGAAGAGAAGCAGAAAGAGAGAATGGAAGAGAGGCAGAAAGAGAGAAAGGAAGAGAAGCAGAAAGAGAGAATGGAAGAGAGGCAGAAAGAGAGAAAGGAAGAGAAGCAGAAAGAGAGAATGGAAGAGAGGCAGAAAGAGAGAATGGAAGAGAGGCAGAAAGAGAGAATGGGAGAGGCAGAAAGAGAGAATGGGAGAGGCAGAAAGAGAGAATGGAAGAGAGGCAGAAAGAGAGAATGGGAAAGAGGCCGAAAAAGAGAATGGGAAAGGCAGAAAGAGAGAATGGAAGAGAGGCAGAAAGAGAGAATGGGAGAAAGAGAATTGGAAAGAGAGAATGAGTGAAAGATAGAAAGAGAGAATGGGAAGCAACAGAGGAAGAATGGGAAGGAGAGAAAGAGTGAATGGGGGAGGGAGAGAGAGAATGGGAGAGGAAGAGGATACACAATGCAGTGTAGTGTATATTGGCTTTTATATTTTTAAGGGAAAATGTACATGCAAATAAAACAGGTCATTTTGACCCATTTGCATTATTTTCCAGTGTATGTAAAAGGGAAAGGTTTTAAATACTGTTAATCCATTTTAACTCTTTAATCCCTTCTTGCAATCTCTAGAAGTCAAGCAGAAATTAGTCAAATTACCTTAGATTTCTGCACCCAACTGAACTTGATTATACTTAGCTGCAGCCTTAATTAATCAGCTTGTAATTGCATATAAATAAAATATATTTTCACCTTTCAGTCATGCAGCAGATCGTCAAAATCATCTAGCTCAAGTCTAACGGAACGCACATTATGTTTTCTAGGCTCCTTAGTTTTCTCAATTCATAATTACATGCAAAAAGTGCTTTATTTAAATGACAATTACTTTTAATTTTTTTCTTTTATTTATACCACATGACTGACTTTATAACTTTCTGTTGTAAAATAAAGATGGCAATGGTTTGTGCATCTTATCAAGTAAGCATTCTAGGAAAGTAAGATCTGTCATTATTCCAAATGTCAGGCCCAGAGATGGATCTTTTTCTGAATTAGGTTTTCCTCCCTGTGAACTTAAACCCCATTTCTTTGAAGACAGGTAAGAGAGATGGCTACATTCACCGTGCTATACATTACCATACATAGTGATCAATTTATAATGAATACCACTAACCAGATCTACCTTTCTCTCTTTCCTGATTAAAAACTTCTGAATCAAACAAAGCCAACAAAATAACACAATTCAGATAACTTTTCTTTTTATGCTCTTGGAAATAGCAACTAGAATTTTTAAAGAAATGCTGACATGAATTGTTTTTAAAAACAAATTTTATTCTTCAACAGAGAAGTGCATTTTTTGTAACATACACGAGATAACTTGTTGCGGTTGATCATTCATCATTTTGTCTAACATCTCGCTCTTCAGGAAAATATTTGTCTGAAAAAATTACCTGCTTTTTAACAAATAAAAATTACAGCAAAAGTTATTTAATTTTTTTTCTTGCTTAAGTTTTAACATTGAGTATAATTTGACACAGAAATGACAGAATACATACCACTGCCAATATACAAGTGTGGACATAATATTATACAAACAAGCAGGAACATAATTTTTTAAATTCCAATTTGACTAAAAAAGTTTAATTTATCCCCCTCAATGCTGATCCCCTCCCCCAAGTGCACATTCATGCATATGGTATTGCTTTTATTTTTTCACAATTTTTGACTATTTCTGTATATCAAATGGGTAAATGTTGTGATTTCTTTTGCTTCATCAAGTTTAAAAACCAAGCCCTATGTTTGATTGTTAGAATAATCACAGAAACTTAATATGCAATACAGGTTAATATAGTTTTGTTGTTGAAAACTTCTTTGTTTGCAGTAGACATTCCAAATAAAACTACGTACTAAGCAAAGAAGAACTAAATAGGAAGTACTAGCATAAGGAAAATTCTCCAGATATTTTCGACTCATTAGGAGGAGATAAATTTTGTGATGCAATCTCAGCACTATTTCACACCTCACTTATTACTTATGTATCTCTGAACAATCAAGGTTTTTGAACCAAAGGACTGAAATTGGATCTTCTCTGTGCAGGTCTTTAATTATAAGAGACAGTTACCTTCATGGTCTGAGTGTCACATACAACTAAGGTTATTTAAGAAAAACTTGCATAATTGTGCATGATGATATGCAAGAATGCATAAAAATGGAATGTGCAAAGTTGCTCATACTGCCAGTGCATGCACGTTAAGCTTTGAATGGTATATTATGGTCTGACAGTGGATACATTTTTCCTTACATGTCAAAAAAAGTATGAGGAATGTCAACACTGCACAAATGTTACTTTTTATTAACAGCATAGGACACCTGCCCTCCTTAAAATATATGTACATGTCAAGAAAACAGCACATTTTTATTCCCCCAAAGGATCTATTTGTTTCATTACTTGTGACAGAGGGCCCAAGGTCCCTACGGTGAAACTCCCATGAACCAACAGCTGATAATGGACCACAGTGTATGCAGAAAAAGATAATATTGTCAGCTACATTCTCCTTGAGACTTTGCAGCTGCACAAATTTTTTTCTGCTCATAAAAATAAAAGTCAGAAAAAAGCCCTTCTTAGAGAGAGAAAGAGGTGAGATGGGAAGAGAGAGAGAATGCTGAGTTTATGACCATCTCTTATTTGTTTATGCAGCATTTCAGACAATCCTTGTTAACCAATATCTTGTAATAAAGTACATGTTCGTGTTAATATTGACATCAGTCTGGGTCTATTTCTTGCCTGACAAGTGATAATCATATCGAGTGTCCATAATTATGTGTCATCCTTCTCTTTCCTACCCAAGTATTTTACTTCAGTGGTCAGTATCAAAATACAATGGGGAAATTTTATTTTGCACTTTTGATATAGACATGGAAAAGTGGTGAAAAAAATTTAATTTCACTCCAAGAAAAGGTGATAAAGTACTGGGTTCATTTTTCTTTGTATTAAATTCTACTTATTAGGTCAATGAAATTTAATCCCCAATTTTTGATTCAAAACGATTAAAAAAAAATTGTGAATATATATTCAGGATGGGTCACCTTTAAATCAACCCAAATTCATAATGTATGCAATGATATTCTTTATTCTTCACGCCATAAACTGGTAACAAGGTCCTTATTCTATTATCTACCTGTACAAAGAAAAACCAGGTAGATCTCACCTGAATACAGAGACAAAATTACAAGTCAGTGCACTTATGACACCTGCACAGCCCGTAGATTACACGCCCAGGTGTGTGGTTAGAGATACCCTGATATCTGATGAACAAACCACAGAAAACTGCCACCGCAACCAATCTAGTGCCCCTGACTTATCCTGTAAGACCACTCTTCCACACTGTCAAAAGTCACTGAGGTGATAAGACAGTGACCAACTTTATATCAAACACAATTGATTTCAGATTTATGATTGTATTCTTTTTTTTCTAGGGAACAGTCATTGATTCTGGTGTGGTCTCTACAGGGTTGAAATGAGGCTGTCTTAGAATAGCTGATTAACTGAGAAAGTGATCATTTGCATAGATTCTTTTTGAAGTTTAGTTTAATTCAGAAATCAAGGATATTTTATGGGTTTGTGGGATTTATGCTGAATTTACAAATGTTTTCCTTTAATTACAAAGCATTCTAGTAATGTAGAAGCTTTTAAAGAAATATCTGTAAAATGTTTAAAGCTATAATATGTATCAGAATTAGTCCAGACAAAATGTTGTCTCTTGGTATGAAAGACCTTTAGGACATGTGAATATAAATAAATAAAAAGTGCTTAGTGATATTTTAAATACCAGTAGCCAGCCTTCCATAACAAGTGCTTTTATAATATCTATACAAAAAATAAAATAAAGAACATTCCATAACTCATCTAAGTATATATCACAAAAATAACTTTTAATTCAAAGAAAAAAAATAATAAACTGCTTTTGGATAATATGAACTCACACTGTGTCAAGAAATCAGAAAAACTGACAGACAGACATACAGACAAAAGACAGATCAATCAGAATGACCAACTATTTACTTTGTTAAAAAATCTTACATCATAATACAAAATGCTGTATTACAGCCCAGCTGGCACTGTATCAGGATTAATGGTTCGTAGAAATGTCATTAAAACAGTTTATGTTCATTACCTCAATATGAGCAAACGTGTGAAATGATAAAGTAAACTATTCTTTGTGAGGTAACACTAATCCATGTGATTAATTATAAATGGAAAAACGAGGGACTTAACATAAGATATCAGCTTTCAAGTGAAGTGCTCTTATGTCTAGAATTATTGGTTATTTTTATCGATCTCCAATAATGCCACTGCAGATGGTGTATGTTACAAATTATTGCTGTAGAAATAACCATTTATGTACATTAACTGATGGCCTGTTATTATTGCTGACCAATGTATATGGACCACAGTGATCTAATGTTTGTAAATCCTGTGTTCCCCATAGAGGATGAGAGAGAGAGAGAGAAAGAGAAATAAAGAGCTTAGTGAGCCAATGCTGTCAATCAATCTAAATCCTGTTATCTTCAGCATTCCAAAATGATTTCAAATAAAGTGGTTGATAAAGGAATCAGAAGTATCTATCCATTGAAAGTAAATGAGCCCCTCAAGTATCTATTATGCAACTGTTTACATGGGGGCAAATGTTGGAGACTTCTATCATTTTCTAAACACAGCATGTCCTGAACTTAATTGAGAATAAACATCAACACCTGAAAAGGTAAACACAGACAGGAGATATGCAATAGTCCATAAAACTTGATTGAAGTATCGACAGTAGGTGTACCCATAGGACGTTAACAAATTAGTTGCATAAGTCAATCACCAATACAACATGACCTGTGGAACAAAGAAATCAAATGTTTACAAATGGAGAAGGTGTTTTACAAGGATCGCTGATGTCCCCATATCTGTTAATGTTAACTGTAGGAGCATTAGTTACTGACAATCTGCAAACATGTTGCAATCTACACAATGAAACTTAGATATAGATTTATATTTGCCCTACATTTATTCTTCTTATTAAATTACATTTTTAACTTGCATGCATGTTTGCACAAACTAAATATACAGGTAATGCATACATTACAAGGATGTTTAAATACTTTTAATAATGTAAATCTAAAGATCTTTCAAGTTTACAAAAATAAAAAGAGTTTTCCTTAAAATCTTCATTTAGGAAAATTCAACAAAGGTCCTTCAAGTATCTTACAGTTAATACAGTTCATGCATTAAAGTGATGCATTAGTTCCTGAAAACTTGACAAAACAAAATGTAAGCACAACCTTGAGAATGGAAGATGATTTTGATAAACTTATTAATGTATGGAGAAGTCTGAGTCAAATGTAAAACCCAAGGAGTCATCCTGAAATATGAAGATTTAAACATCCACAATCTGTTCAAATCACAAAATGTGCCCAAGCATTCAATACTTGATAATAGGTGAATTCCCCACAATTGATGAAAGAATCATATTTCAGCAAGGAGGTAAACAATAAATGATAAAGGAATGAGGTAAACAATAAATGATAAAGGAATTAAAGTAGTATGGAATTTTTTCAATTTTAAGTTAACCTAGCTTGTTAAAAAAGGACAAAAAAAGTAATTTCATCAGCCAAACATTTCATTCAATTTTTCTTTGGACAAACTTATATCATTATTGAATAAAATATGAAGTTTAATTCAATTTTTTAATTTGCGAAAGGTGGTTCAAATAAAATACATGTCTTAGCTCTAACACAGATTACTGTGAAATCACAAATTTTCGTTGTTTTCGAGGTATGGCGAGACCCACAAATTCATGTCCACCACGAAATGTAAAATGTTACATACATAAGTGCTCATTAATTCTTGATCCACGAAATCAAATCCCCACGAACTAAGAGATTTTCCTCAAACCACGAAAATTTGACCCCACGGAAATATTTGATTTTACAGTATCTCATTTTATTCAATACTTATAAGGAAATTGTGTTTTCTTTCTCAAAATGCCATGATGGTATTATATTATGTTTTAACACATAATGCAGTTTAATTTGCTATTTATAATACTTTTTTATTTTTCTTAAGAAAATATATTGTTTAATCTAAAAGATATGACAGTTAATTAATATCTTATTATACAGCATATTTTTTGAATTCTTGATGAATATCCTCTCTCTCTCTCTCTCTCTCTCTCTCTCTCTCTCTCTCTCTCTCTCTCTCTCCTGCTTTAAACATAAATTATCTATACATACAGACATATATATGTTATTTTCAGCACTAGATGACCCAAAGACCCAAACATCTGATTTACTGCAGGTCGGTTAGTGTCAAAGTGAGTCTCATTCAAGCTCAACTTGGCCTGAATAAAATAAAGGCTTAAAATTGAACGCTTCAAAGCTACACTTTTCACACCCTGACCACAAAAGTCCAAACCCTGTCATTTTAAAACTGGGTAGCTCATTCAATAAATCTAACCTTTAGAGGCTTGAAGTCTCAACACCTATGTGCCAAGTCATTGGACCATTATTAGCACACATGTAAAAACATCCTCAGGACATTGTCATACAAATATAAAAATAATCCTTCCTCAGCTGGTCAATCTTTTACTCCAAAATGTCAGTTAGTGTATTTTTCTTCTCTCTTTTTTCTCTTTTGACACCAACTTTATGTAAAGTTTGCTGACTCTACATGTTTTATCATTATGTCATTTTGTATAACAGTATTATTGGATGTGAACAAAAACTATTTTCTTTGCTAAAGTAATCAATGTTCAAGTTTGTATTCATATGCTGAAATGATTTTAATTAAATGCTCAGTATGTATGCTATGCATCATCTGAATCATTAAATTGAAGAACTCAAATTGAATCTTTTTTTTTTTTTGGAGTATTTTGCATTAATCAAAAATAGTTTAAGTTCTTATAACAATCAAGTTGAAGACCAAAAAAATCTGTTCTATATAACACCATCAATTTTATACTTTTTTTCTCTCCTCTCTTAAATAGATTGCAGGTTGCAAATGTCTGGCATTAATTAAATTTGTACTAGCAGAATGATAAAGAAATTAAAATGTCTTTATGGAAGTATGGATACATTTGTTAATTAGGTCATTCAAAACATGACATAATTTATAAAAATAAAATGCTGGTCTATAGTTTGATAAATTTCTCTTTTTTAAAATGAAAAATAAGGTAAGTTAATAATTATCTAGCATTAAGTAGTTAATTTGTAATTAACATGAGACATATGCTCAGAACAAAATTGATCAAAACTGGTTTCTTAAAAAAAAAATCAAAATATAACATCCTTCATGTGAATCAAAATTATGACGTTCCGCACAATTAATTTTATTTTACAAATGACATTTTAAAAGTAATTTTTTCAAAGAGAAATGTAATTTCCACATCAAAAACAACAACGACAAAAATTCACGCATCAACTTCAACTTATATAATAATAAACAGACTACTTGATGACCAGTGCTTACTGACCAGTAGGCCTACTACTGCAATATTTACATTACTGCCCATTGTTTACAAGTAGTCACCGCTGTCTAAATCATTTACCAAGTCAATTTTTTTAAGTGACGCTCACCTTCGAGTTTATCCATCTGAAGTCTACAAATTCACAGAATAAAAGTATTTGTAATCGTATTTCATCCTTGTGTTTACTTTTTACTGTCACATACTTCGATTGCACACCTTCGTCTAAAACAGCTGGAGCTAGCGTGACTAGTAAGCTGTACCTCTCACATGTAAATAGCCAATTAAATTCAAGGTATTATTTCCCCGGGAAATTCGTCAACCAATAGAATTTTACTTAACATATTGAGGTTAATGGTGCTGTTGAACCGACGATTTTTCAGGGGAAAATGAAAAGAACAAATAATTAACCCTTTAAAATCACCAGGTGAACCTTTGGACAATGGTATATGATTTTTGATTTAATTGTTAACTGTTTATATCACTGTTATATAGTTCTGTTTTTGCAGAAACTGTTTATAAATGCACGTGTTATTTAAAGATGGCGGTTACTGAAGAAGTTTCAAAGAGCAACAACCATTTTTAGATCATTAACAATTTTCAAGCATCATTTATAGCATCATTTATTTTCAAAACTTCTCAAAATGTATTTAAGATTAATGTCGAATTTCATTTACAATTGTTAGAGATTGAAATACCTGATACCAAGAGATTCATTTATCTCGAATTTTCTCTGTTGACATTTTGTAAAAGATAAATGCACCCAGTTGCCTTTAAATTGACTCTACAAGTAATAATAAGTACTTTTCATTTTCTTTTAAAGTTTCTAAATAGAAAACCAACTTAAAGAAATTGGAATATTTGATAGAGACATAGAATGCGACCAGGAACAACCCCACACACTGTATCTGCAATAAAACCATTTACTGGAACTTCCACTTCAGAAGAATTTGATCAAAGTGATGTTGCTTTTGCAGGAGTTTCAAAGGGTAATAATTTTTATTGTAATTTTGAGTTAATGCAAGCCAGATGGTTCAATTATGATCCATAAATTATTTTTCAATATAGCACTAAATCTGAAAATACAGGTGATATTTTCAGAACGAGTTCAAATAGGGAATTTTGTACAGATTTTTATAATATTAATTGCCTCCAAAGTTTAACATAAAAATTAAGAAATTGCAATATATATAGCAATATTTGTAGTTTCTCTGCATGAAATGTAACTTATCTGCATTAAATAAATTTAAATCCCATAAATATTTCAGATGGATCAATATGTTGGCTTGTTAGAGAGGCTGTTCTTGAGGTGTTGGATACAAGAACAAGCCAGTGTCTATCATCTTGGAAATTTGGCGAGATCATCTGTGATCCTCATGCCTACATAACATGTGTAAAGGAATACCATTACGGAAGCAATCGTAAACTGTTGGTTGGAGTTTGTTATTCATCACCGTGTGGTCTTCTATGTATTCTTGACATCCACCTTTCAAAGATCACCAGGACCATAGAGATCCCACAAAAGGTTATTTAAACAAAATCAAGTTCAGGGGATTTTTTTCTCCTTAAGTATGAAGTAATTCTAACCATGAAAACCCAGTCATCAGTAACAAAATTTTGATATCAATAGAAAAACATCAGCAGTACAGGGGTTCAAAATTTTTTTTGTCATGGTCAAGTCCAGGACTTAAAGAGTAAATTTTAGGCAAGTCCGAGGAAGAAATTTCAGAGTCCATATTTACCTATACATCATTAAATTTATGTTACTTATAATTTATTTTCATTTGTTGCATTGAATGAATAAAGACTATATGTATTAAAATATGTTTTAATTTTTATTTTACCTCCATAAACTGTCATATAGTCATACATGAGTATTTCAACACAATACCAGACTGATAGATTACTGGTACATTACAATAACTTTTACAAATACTCACTACTGAATAAACCATCTGTTACAATAAATAGAACTTAGAATGTGCTGTAAGTCACAGCTAAAACCGAAATTTAACAAACTCATTGCCGTTTGTTATATAGGAGGAAACATGAGAAATTGCGTAAAAGCAAGAGTCTAACCGCAACGGAAAATAAAAAGACGGATTGTATTATCGAAACGTTCGTATTGTTTTGTGGGTATTTTAACGCCAACAAACTCACCTTTTTACTTAACACATTTGAGAATTTGCTATAGAAGTTACTTTTAGCTTTACGATCATTTTTTTAACTTATAAAAAAAGATAAACAAGAAACATAGCCAAGTCCCAGGACTTTGGTGAATTCTAAATGCCGAGTCCGGATCCGGAATTTGTTAGTCCGGGACGTCGGGCTTGAGGAATTTTGAACCCCTGCAGTATTGTAATCATTTCAAAGAATTCATCTGACCATTGTTACTCTTGCAGATTTCATCGTTAGATCCTATTACAAACACCGGGGGAGATGAAAGCCCTGTTTGGGCACTGAGTGCACACTTGCGGTATTTCTATGGCATTGTTGCAGTGGGAACTAATGGTGGCATTGTGTATCTGATAGGTAAAAGAGATATGTTGTAAATCTGTGAGATTAATCATATTGCAACTTAAAGCAATATGAGCTGCATTTTTAAGAATTCTATTTTGCTGGTAAAATGTGTTATTATGATTAATCTGTATGTAATCTAAACTCTTATGATCAATAAAACCAAAATAAAGTTTAAAAATGTTTCAGAAGAAATATTTCTGTACAACCGAATATACAGTAGTATATAAGAAATCATTATTGTACAGGACGACAATAATTCAAATTTGCTTCAATCAACGCGTATTAAAAGTTCTTTCATAGCAAATATAAACAACAGAAGTTTATAAATGTTCTATTTTTCTGTCATTGAAATAGTTAATTACAAATTTGCAACATTTTTTTCCGATGTCAAACATGCAGCTCATATTGCTTTAATTAACAGCATTGTTGCCATAAGAATTCATTGTTAAAAGAATTAAATCCGTAATCAAGGTAATGATGCAAGATACATTTCCAGACATGTGCCTGGACGATGATGTGGAATCTGACGAGATAAAACCAAACAAGCTGCAGGTATTATCCCCCCGCTCACGTGACACAGAACAGAGAAGGGTGCAGGCCATGTCCAGGTCCCAGAACCTCTGTATGGTCCTAGACGGTCAGTCACAGTTTATGTCGATTTCTCAGCGCTGTCTTAAATGTGTGCTCTTGTATTGAAATATAACAGAACAAAGCAACAGTTTGTACATTCTAATATTCAGGTTATTGATAATCGTGTAAATTGTCAAAGTGATTTTTTTCTTTTATCACACAGAAGAAGCACAAGGAAATGGATACAAATACAGAAAATGTGATGGAACTGTTATGAAGACATTTAACACAGGTTCAATATTTTTACACTATTACTGTATTCATACTTAGTTAAGCAATAATGATATTTTAATTCGTGTGGCACTGCCTATTGTCATGTACTTCAAGTACATACTAACAGAAGCACGGCTCCGAATGTTCTATCTCATTATTATACGGAACAATTGATGAGGAAATTTGCACTAAATTTTTAGTGTGTAAATAAATGTACATTTGTTGTAGTTTTTAAGTTGCTTTGAATAGTTGTTGTAGTTTATGTGAATTTAACATTTCTAAGAATTCTTAGAAATACAGTATTTTTGTCTCGCCTGCGACGAATGTCGCGAAGCGAGACATAGCGACCATAGATTCCGTCGTCGTCGTCGTCGTCGTCGGCGTCCAACTTTTGGTTAACCCAAATGTCAAAGTTTTATAAACTGCAATAACTTTCTCAAATTTTATTCAGTCTTCTTGAAATTTGGACACAATATTCAGTATGGATAAAAATTTATATCCCAAGTATGATTTTGAAAAAAAAAATTCAAATTTTTCCGTATTTTTTCCTTAAGTTGGACTTAGTTTTTTCATGATAATTTATGGTGAAGACCTATATTCCAGCAACTATAAGTTATAGGGATATGATAATTAGTCAGTGGATACATCATGGGTAACCACAAACGTCAGTACCAGAATTAGGTTTGACCTACATTTTTCTGCATGAGTGACTTTGGTTAAATTTTTGGTGGAGGTCCATATCTCAGCATCTATTTATAATGGCATGATGATTTGTCATTGTACAGGTTAAAGTAACCAACAACATCAGTACCAGAATTAGGTCATTTTGACCTACATTTTTCTGCATGAATGACTTTGGTTAAATTGATAATGGAGGTTCATATTTCAGCAACTATAACTTATAGTGGCATGATAGTTAGTCAGTGGATACATCATGGGTAACCACAAACGCCTGTACCAGAATTAGGTCATCTTGACCTACATTTTTCCGCATGAGTGACTTTGCATAAATTTATGGTGGAGGTCCATATCTCAGCAACTATAACTTATAGTGGCATGATAATTTGTCAGTGGATACATGTTGTGTTCATCAGTATGCAAAAGTTATATATTAAATCCATATAAAATATACCTATAGTCAGTCCAGATAGAAACGTTTTACAGTTCTTATTAAGTCCATGACAATATCTCTTTAAAAACCAGCAAAATGACTCGATCCACTTTTTGAGTTATTCCTTCTGAAATGTCAATAAATGCTTCAGTTTATCAGACAATCATTTCTTACTAACCACAGCGACAGCAGGCGAGACACAGGGTTGCGGGCAACCCTTACGTACTTTTTTATATTAGATATTTGCAGTAGAATATTTTTGGAAAGGTTTCTCTTTATAAAATCTTGAAGAAATTAGTGACAATTGTTATGCCTTTATTTATTCATTTTAAAAAATAATATCATATTTTTTCACCTTGTTGTTTGTATCTTGACTTAGATGCTATACATGTCAGCTGCTTGCAGTATATCCAGCAAATTGGCAGTCTGTTTGTGGGTTTTAGTTTTGGCTGTTATCAAATCTGGAAACTTCATGTCCCAGTACTGGAGTAAGTTTGAAATTTTGAAATCTCACTCTCTGGATATTGGAAATTTTATTTTGTAGTTGTATTCATGGTAGTTTATATGACATTCTGTGGGTGATTTAATCCTATAGATACAGCAGCAGATTAGAGGGAGAAATGGTCCCCATCACACATGTAGCTTACCAGGAACCAGAGAATGATCCCAAAAATTTCAGCTACATCTGGGTCACAAGAAGCACTGGAGATCACCAGTATGTCAATGTTTACTCTTTCTATTAAATGATATTCATCTGACATTGACGTTTTGCATTTTAATCATCAACGTAGAATTTTTTTTATTTTCAAAGCTGTACATCTATGATATTTCAACAAATGGTTTTCAATTCAGTGGTCAGTGTTTTTCAATTTGTATTTTCTACAAATTGTTTGCTTTGTGAATTGTAGAGATGATAGTTTGTCAGGAATTTCTTTGTACCAGTTGGCATATAACAGGAAGACTCTGTATAGCAATTATGGAGCTTTCTATGAGGTAAGGTCAAAAACTGTAGAAAATTGATTGTGATTCATTACTTGCAGTTAAGACCTTTTAGTGAACATTTATTTACATGACTCAAAATTATCATATATCCATCAGTCCATATCTGATTTAAAAGACTAAGCTGACTGACTGATAATTGCCTAAACCAGACCAGTTTATTTTTTAAAACTTTATTTTGGAAAAATTGTTTTTCTTCTGAATTCAACACATTACACATATGCAGGGTTATTGAGTTTAAATTCCGTTAAAGTGGGGAGAATTAAAATTTATGATGCAGAAAAAAACATGTAATTTAAATATAACTGAATAATGGAAAATATGTTTAGTAATTTCTCAAAAAATAAATGAATAAAACTCTGTAGACTTGGTGATAATATACCCTGCTAGTCCGACAGGACTGGTGTAGAAGTTAATTACAAGCCCTGCATTTAAATAAAATCACAATCATGATTTAAAAAATTAAATGAATTCATACAGGTTATTTTGCAAAATAGTGACAGAGGTGAATTTTCTTGTGAAATAGCTTTTACCTGTGTTCTTAATTTACAGGACCTGACCTCAGTTAGCCTGAGGTTTGACCTTGAACTGGTGGCATCTCCTTTGAACCCTAGTGTAAAATCCTCTGTGTCAAGTCGGATCATCACCTGCTATACATTACAAGATCCCTGTTACAAGCCACCCTCAAAACTGAATGAAGAGGAATCTTTTGAAGAAAGTAAGACTGAATTGATACTATATAAATATAGATGACAGTGAATGATCTCAAATTTTTTTTTAAATCTAACAGCATGGCCTGTTCTCTAATTTTTTTTCCCTTATGAATTGATGGAAGTTACTTTCCAACTTGATTTAGTTTTTGATTTCTTGAAAACAATTTTGCTGGTTTTATTTAGAAAAATTCTAACTCTCACTTTAAGCACTGTAACATTATATATTATTAAGCATTATATGTTGACAGGTTTACATGGTCCAGATCTAAGTCTGAGTGTGTTTGTGTGGGAGTGTTCAGATGGATCCAAACAGACATCTCACATGGCAATATTTGACATGAATCGCTGGTACCATGCTCAGATGCCCTACACTCTCAGGTAAAGTCCCTACAGTGTGGATCCTGAACTATCTCTGCTGTGAAGGTTTCGCTTATTACACTTCAAGTGGCGATGCACATGTACTTCAAGTTGAACTTTCAGAAGTGTATACTTTATTTTACAGAGCAGCATCAGGGCCTTTGGACACCTGCTCCTACTTTTCCTTTCTAAGTCTGGATGAGATCGCGGAGCAGTCTGAGCAAGGATCTGTTCTGGTATGTAAACTCTCGCACCAAAGGTGACCTGTATCAGATTTTTAGTATCAGAGTGTTCATCATTATTTCAAGCAACATAATCAGAGCCCTCATATACAAAATGTACATGTAGGCCTTTTTCATATGACTGCTTAACAAAATTGAGTATCATAATCTTGAAAAATCCTACCTCTAGTCCACCATTGCATGATGTCATAGTATGCTTGCATTGGGCAAAATTTTAATAAGCTATGAAGTAATCATTTCTCATTCAGAATTGGAAAGGATCTTCAACTTTGGTCGTTGTTAGCAATGAAGTTGTACATACATTATGCTTTTTATACACCTTGATATTACTTTTTCCCAAGTTGACTATTATTTTTATGCATGACTTAATCTTTGTAGGCTGTGTACCTATCAGTGGACAAACTGAGTCGATTCACCAACACCTCCCTTATGCCCCCAGAACAACACTTCTATCCCTCAGCACTGGCTTTTAGTAAGATTAATGAGACTGTGAAATTTTGGTTTGATTTTTGAGGGAATATTGTTAATGTTTACTGCTCTTAAAAAAATTATTTCATTGAGAGTTAATATTTGCATTAATATCATTGTTTATTTTAGATGCACTGTGTGTTGTTGATGAAGGAGTAGTGAAAGCTCACTATCTGGGAACCCAGCGGCAGGTATACAAGAAACAAAAAAATCCAGACAAAACTCTGTATTTGTCTGTCCATTATCTATGGAAATATGATTTATCTGATCAAGAATTACTAGTTTATTTAAACATCACTCATTTGTGAATGTTTAACTTAACTGGAAGTATGTTCGTAGAATAGGATGCAAAAATTAAAAGGGAATACATGTAGAATTGTAGATATATACTGTAGATATCAAGTTTGTTATAAATTTTGTCAGCCTCTTGGTTATTAATTTATTTGGAAAGGTAATGGCTACAATGCAAAAAGTTGGACCATCCATACTTCTAAATCCTAAGGAACTGTATAACCTGTGTATAGTTGTGGGACTGTTACCCCGGCCTCTGGACTCAGCTGCCAGCAATCCAACCCTTGTAAGTTTTGTCAAAATAAGATACCGTATTTGGCCGAGTATAATACGCATTGATGTAAAATACGCACCCTCCTTTTTGAGTCTGAAACTGGGGAAAAAAACGCAGTTCGGATGTATTATACGCAACAGAAAAATTTACCAAGCGATGTTCTACACTTTGAAAATCGCGGTAATTTGTTACGAAAATCGGCGCGAGGATTAAGTGTCAAAAATTTACTGAACACACTTTTTTTTTTAAAATACACACTTTATAACTTCTCTTAATCCTGACATTCCATATCGCGGCAATCTGGAGAAAATTATTTATTCATTTATTTCAACAAAGTACAAGGTAATATTGCATAAAAGTATTAACAGATTTTTTTAAAGAATAGTTACGGTGATTTTGAAATAATGCGACGCCATATTCTTAGAGGAAATAATTTTATTTCAACTAAGCAAGAGATATTGTCGAAAGTTTTATCAGTTGTCATATTTAATTTTGGTTCTAGATAATCATGCTGAAAATTATCTGACAATATTTTAACAAGAAACGAAATTGAAACATCAAAGTATTTATTTCTTTAAGAAGACTACGCTTTTCCTCTTCTAAATCTTCGCGGATATCTTATTTTCTAAATGATACCACTTTTATTAAAAGTTTTAGCATAATTTATATTTCATTTGTCAACTCTCAATTATTTAAACAAGAGGCCGATAAGTATAAGATAAGGTAAAATTACATTTAACAAGTGTTTAATTGTTTAAAGTGCCGTAATCAACACATGCTCACACATACGAAAGGTCATAAACCGACCCCCCTTTTTAACAAAGAAAATAATCAAAGCAATTAACATGGCAGTAAATAATCAGTGCTGTAACTGTAAAAACACTGCTTTGGAATCGGTAGACATTTAATTGCCCCGAGGGGTGTTGATAGGTAATTATCATTTGACAAGCGCACGTGTGTCACAACATTGGCTTCCTTTCATTGGGACGTATGGAGGGGTGTTAAATATTGTTGCAGATTATCAATGAGTTATTTTAAACCTAAAATTAATATTTATTTTATTGTATTTCATTAAAAAATTGATTTATTACTTTGTCTGGCAGATAAGGTTCATGTGCACTATCATTACGGAAACACGTGACATAAGCATGAGTTAACGTCTAAAAATAACATCGGTAATGGCGGCCTCCTCGGAGACAATCAACATGCAGCTCAAATTACTTTTAACTTACTTTTTCATGTTATTTTGGTATCAAAAGATTGTGAAAGTGACATTTTTAAGAAGCATACCTTCCAACAATAACTTTCCGAAGTTTAAAATATGGCAATAAACAAAAGAAATTGCATATGTCTCTAGGTAATACTACGGTATGTACGTATGATAGCTGTGTTTCACCTGAAAGAAAAACTTGTCAAAATCCCATTGTGATGTAAAATACGCATCCCTTTCTCACAGTAATTTATTTTAGGAAAAAAGTGCGTATTGTATTCCCCGAAATACGGTAATTGGAAAAAAATAAACATCTAAACAAAGATATTAAATTCATTAAAGAAGTTTATAGATTGGATGTTGAAGTGGACAGTTATTTTGCAAAGACAGCCATTGTTTAAAAGAAAAGTTCTTTATCTGATGTTGATGTAAAATGGAGATAGTGTAAGTTTTTGTGTGCTTTTAGGTGCAGATGAAGGAATCCTTACTGACTATGGCTCTTAACTACCACATGCTATCTTTCATTATCAAGTGTGTCCAGGAATGGGCCCCAGGAGGTATGTGTGAAACATAAGCCGTAGTTCATCTATTTTCCAAGACCTGATTTATATTTGTTGAAATGTGTGTATCTGTACAAAATTTTTTTTTTTTTTTTTTTTTTTTTTGCAGAGTTTGTTCATGTTGGCTGTACGCTTAAGTTCCTTTTGGACTGGGTTTGGAATCGAGTTGCCGAGATCAAGAACAACATTGATAACTCATGTAAATTAATGGTCTATTCCCTCACCATATTATAACAGTTTTTAATAAATATTAAGTATTTGTAATTTACTTTTTAAATTGTTGTTCAATGACTCAATGTACATTCTTAAATTTCTTCAATTTTAAATGAATTGAAAATTTAAGAGATCTTGAATTATTTTTACAGGTGTGACGCTGTACGACTTTTCTGGAATCCCACTAGACAGGCGAGCCGTGCAGACTCTCTACCAGTCCAATCAGAGACTGGGCAGTATAGAGGCCATTATCAAGGCTCTTATCACCCAGTCAGCACCCACTACTGAAGAGGGTGAGATTTCACAGAATTAATTATCTCATTTTCTTAAAGTCATCACAACTGTATACACAATTTTAATGTCACTTCTAGGGGTGGGACGATACACAGATCTTGCGATACGATACGTATCTCGATACATTAGCACGATACGATGATAAATTATAAAACCGTAAACCGTATCTTAGAGGAAAATATCGGTATGTATCGGTGTATTGGTATATCGTCCCACCCCAGTCACTTCGTATGTTTGTAAATTTAATTTTTTTCAGGTATTGGTGACTTGCAGGACAAGTTGTCTGTTGTTACATTTATACAGCAGCATTTACAGATGGTTATATGGTTTTACAACATGGGGCTCCTTCCGAATAGAGATGGTTAGTTTTAAAAGGATTGTACACAGTAAACTCACTTCTTTTCTTTCATTTTCTTTAGGATCCCAACTAACAAGATTTTCCCCCCAAACAGAAAAAAATGTGATTTTACGGTATCTATTCATAGTATTGTTAATATTCAGTTATGGTATTCTTACTGCTAATACAAACACTTTATAATCTTGTTTTATATTCTTTTTTCTTTAACTAAATGTACTCACGACACTCGAAAGTATCTTTGGGGTAAATGCAGTGCAATAAAATCACTTGAATCCTAAGAGAATTACTATACATGTTCCAAAGAGTCAGTAAGTACATGTACCTATATCACCGTTGATTTATTATTGTACAGAGGAGGAGGAGAATGATCAGCAATACAAGTACCCTGCTGGATTTCTTATCCAGTCCTATACACAGAAAAGGCAGGAACTCCAGAAACTAGATAGGTTTGTCATAAACAGGAAAAATTTCCAGGGAAACTTAAGTCCTCAATTACAGTGTTTTTTGCTCCTTTCTTCCTCCTCTTTACATAGTAATTGATTTGCGTTTCCATTTGACAGCTCTGTAGGGTTGACGGACGTGTTGATGATTGATGGGATGGTAGAGCAGATGGGGGAGAAAGTGAGGAACCTCTGGTACAGCGAGGGAGGAAGTGGCATATATCCTCCCAATTCCTTGCATGTAAGTAGCAACTTGTGAGTGACCAGCCTTTGTGAATGCTGCCAACATGTGAATGTTTACTGTAATGACCATAGCAGATCTATAATAATCAATGTGTGATATACATGTAATAACAATACATTTTTTGTAGGCTTTGTTGAGTATCTACCTGTTGGATGACATTTCTCTGATGGACAAACATTCCATGGTTCTGTACTCACTTCTGGACATGGTGTCTCTAGCAGACCCTTCCTCCCATGATAAGGTACCCCACTCTTGTCTTTTCTGATGCAAATAATACACAGTTTTGGAATACCTTTTCTTCATGAACAGACAAATATTTTCATTTTAAAATGTTGTTATTCTGTAGCTGGCGTCACAAGTTCAGAAGTTTTCCAGGAAATTTGGAATTCCATATTCCGTTGTGAAACAGGTCCAGGGATTCTGGCTTCTGGATCACAAGGATTTTGAGGTGAGAATCAGAAGAGTGAAAATTAAATGTGCAGTATTAGCCTAGTATTAGGATAAATGTCTTAATTTTATCTTTGTCTTTAGATATTCTGCAAAATATTTTCTTACTGTGAAGCAAATAAGCTGAATCAGAGAGACCCTAATTTAAAGGATAGCAAAATGTGTGTAAATTTTAAAACTTGTGCCAAAAATTTCTATCACTAGGAATCCATGTCCCTAGTTCTGGACCCCCTGGTGACTATGGACTTTGGCAGGTGGCAGCACCAGCGAATCGTCAAGTCCCTGCTGTACCAGGGAGAAAGTAAGATGGCTGCTCGTTATCTGGCAACTGTCCAACCTTCTTTGTCGACTCCAGAAGAAGTGAAACTAAAGTTAACAGTACTTCTGGCCAGTGGGTAAGTAACAGTTAACAGTACTTCTGGCTTGTGGGTATGTAACTCAAGTAGTAGGTATATACATGTACATGTATGTTTCTTGAATTCTTTTTGATGTGTGATATCGACTTGAATAATCCAGATTGGTTAATCACTCCTTTCACTTTGTTCAGGTTAACAGCTGAGGCATTAGAGTACCAGAGATCATGCCAGGATCAAACGCATGCCTTAGATTTACTGCAACACATTTTCCAGGCCTGCCAACAAAGTAAATGGAAGATTTTACTATTCAACATTTGTTTTCTTAGATTGTTTACAGTTTACCAAAAATAAATGCACGATAAAGATTGTAAGACGTCTTGAATAGTAATATGGTTTCAAACACATTAGAAATGGATAATGATAGTTGTGGAAATTATGACACATTCAAGTTTCTCATCTTTGATGGTGATTGGACTATCTATTGTGTTTTAAAGCTAAGACAGTGGACCAACTACTACAGCTCCCGATGACCGGACAGGAGGAGGAGACCCTGGTCCAGTTCCTGACCGCCAGTAATGACCAGTACTGTCAGGAGGTCCTCATACTGCACTATCTACAGAGGGCCTGTTATGTAGAGGCCATCAGGCTCAACGAGAAACTCAAACAAACCGTCATGGTAAAGCCATGGGCATTTGTTACATTCCTTGCATATATAGGATACAAACGTCTGTCTGTCTTTCCTTACAATTGTGTCCAGACCTTAACTTTCTTATGCAGAGACAAAAAAGATTTCTTTTTGAATTGAGGTTGTGTTATGACCTTATATAAAGGTCATTTGGACAAGATTAAGATCACTGGCAGTGAAAGAGTGTGAAAGTAAAATATACAATGTCCCAATCTGATTAAAATCAGATCCTTTGATCCGCTCACATAGATCGCTACACAAGGATCTGAAGAAACCCAATTCAGGGTCATCTCCTGGTGACCTTTGAATTATCCAATCAAATGTTTGCTCTGGAGAATTGGAAAGTATCTCGGAATTCAGTTACAGAGGGGAAAGGACCGATGATACACGAATGGAAAAATCGTGACCTAGTTTCTGTAGCCTGTCAAGAGAAGGACCAGTCTTTTCTGTACAGTAATATAATAAGTACTTGCTTTTGTCTTGTTTTTTATCTCTTTGTTTTGTACGAAACGATAAGATCTCAGACCTGTTTACTCTTACGATTTCGCCGTATTTTGTACGGATTTTTAGTCTAAAATACGCCTCACGTTTTGCCATTATGAAAATACGGAAATCGAAAAAACATAAGTTTGGAATTTAACAGTTAGTTTGCGTTATGATCTGTCTTAGTTTCACCCCATTTTATCATTAAACAAGAGAAAGATTTCAAACACATAAGCGATGTCAGGTTGCCAAAACGCTGTGGTATTTTAAATGACAAAGACCTTGTTGTTAAACCATGTTTTTGTAATCAGAAAAACAGTTTTTCTCTTTTAATATATGTAAAATTGATGGAAAGTGGAATTTAACAGTTAGTTTTCGTTATGATCTGTCTTAGTTTCACCCATTTTTATCATTAAATATGAGAGAGATTTCAAACATATGAGCGATGTCAGGTTGCCAAAACGCTGTGGTATTAAGAAATAACAAAGACCTTGTTGTTAAACCATGTTTTGTGATCAGAAAAGCAGTTTATCTCTTTTAATATATGTAAAATTGATGGAAAGTGAAATCTTACTGGCAAATGCCAAATCTCACGGACAAATCTAATAAAAAATACTGAGAGACAGCGTTATGGGTAAACAGGTCTGAGATCTTCTCCGCAGCTACTTTCACTTCTAATTTCGTTTTCCCGAATGTCGCTTAAGTACGACCTCTCTGATTGGTCAAAATTTTCATGAATATTTTTATTAGAAAGGTCACCAGGAGATGACCCTGAATGGGGTTTCTTCAGATCCTTGTGTAGCGATCTATGTGAGCGGATCAAAGGATCTGCTTTTAATCAGATTGACAATGTCCATGCAAGTCTGGACACCCATCTTTTTTCCACCACTAGTTTATCCCTGAATTAAAAATTACAAGACTTTAAAAAAAAATCTTGACTAAACAATGTCATGATGCAACTTCTATTTTATGTTCTAATCTGACAGATATTTGGGTTTTCCCATAGCAAAACATGAATTTTTCCTTTATTATAATATTCGTTTGGGAGCAGGGAAAGGGATATCATTTAGTGAACATAGTGCTCACTATTAACTCTGTGATAATTCTTTTTAAGATTGATGCAAGTGCAAAAGCTAGAGAAAGAGCCACAGCCAGAAATGCTATTGTAGATGGTTTCCTGTCAGTTTTAACGAGTGTGCAGAAGAAACTTGTCTGGGAGAGTTATCGTTGCCAAAAGAAGCCATCATCATCAAGGAGAGAGGGTATGATAACCACATATTTTGTTAAGATCTGAACATTTTGAAAACATTCTTTCTCAAGAAAATTCAATTTAATTCAAAATATCCTTATTTTTATAGTGAAGAGACCCCAGCCTTTGTCTACCAAAGTGACAAAGAGGACTTATAATATGCAGTCACGGTCCTCTCTGTATGCAGATGTAATGAACCATGTGGAAGAAATGGAGACTGATGATAAAATGGACACGTCTGACAGGTAGGATTAATACAGATGTAGTTAGATAATGATGACAAAACTTATGATATGTTATGAAATAATTTAACTAGCAATACTGTATGACTACATTTCTCCTCTTTTTTAGAACCCCAGACAGAGTATCTAGAAATGCTGTCTTTGGAACTCCTCTTACACCAAGAGCAAATGAAACATTGTAAGTGATTGTTAATCTCTGACAGTGGGAAATATGCTAAATTTGGCAATTAAAGTTAACTGGTCCAATATTTTGCTACAAAACTTTGGGCATTGAGTCTCAATTCTGATATTTCCACTTTGGGGTATCATGAAATGTTCCAATGATTCTTCAGATTGCAAAATATTGCAGCTGTCTTTTAATGAAGACTAAATTTCTTGTTTCAGGAAAACTACCAATGTGGTTTACCCAGAAATTAACCAAACCCCCTGGCAGAATACCAGTCTCAGCTTAAATACAAGTGGGCTTACCCCCATCAGGTAGGAGGAACACATAAACCTCTTTGTTTGACAAGAGTTGATCTTTATTTTGGGTGAAAACATTTAATTTATTTTATTTTATAGATCTAAAATGAGAGTTCAAGGAGCTTCTGCCTTAAAACTGTTACAAACTCCAAAAGTGGAGCGAAAGACACCACGGAAATCTGTTCGATCCTTGTCATCTGCCCCCACTCCCCAGTCCATCCTGAAAGTCCGCAACCTTATCAACAGCAGCTCCCAACTACTGTCACCAGATACAAGCAACAAAGGTACTGTATGTCTGGAAGCACTTAGTAGGGCCCTGCTCTGCTGGCACCTTATAGTGATCAGTCTGTCCGTTCGTCCTTCTGTCAGTCTGTCTGCCCGAGATCTCTTGTCTGGAGCATACAGTGTATCTTTTCTCTCCTTGGCCCAATCTGGCTTATGCGTAACCAACAGAGTGTCTGGGTAAAGGGTGTGCAGTGACCTAAATTGAACAATAGTTAAGGTCATAGCAGAATTATATGAAAAATCCTTGTCCGGAGCATATCTTCTCTCCCCTTGGTCCAGTGTGGCTCATACTTCACTCACAGAGTGCCACTGGTCAATGGATATCCATTTACCTTGAACGATGTAGGTCAAGATCAAAAATACTGTATACAGGGAAATTTTCGCTCCCGTTTTATTTTCGCCCCTTTCGCCCTAGCCTCAAATGGGCGAATTTAAAAGGGGCAAATTCAAAGTATAAAGTATAATTTCTTAAACAAAACTGTGACTGGGCGAATTTAAAATGGGACAAAATTGTTTGCAAGTGTGAAATAAAGCGGGGCGAAAATAACCCTGTATACAGTAGCCTTTCTGTTTAAAAATCTTTGTTCGGTGCATAGTTTCTTTCCCTCAAGTCAAGTCAGCCTTAAACTATGCCAATTGGCTTAGGGTACAGAACATTTATGATTAGCACACAAATATTCCTCTTCAAATTAAACCCTTTTCAGCTACCTTACATTTTCATGTTCGTTGTTGAAAGTTGGGTCCTTTGAGATGGCCACCATCTGAATGATATCTAGTATTTATGTGTTCAGAAGGTATTTCAATGGTAATTTACTTTCTCGTAACAAAAATTATATTGCTGAAAAGTCCCTAAATAAAGTTTTATGTTTTGCTTGAAGATCTGTCCACGGTCCAGGCACCTCCATCCCAAAAATTAGGCTTCAGTGAAGAGTCTATGGCTGTTTCTCCTAAATCAAGCAAGCCTGCTTCTCCGAAAGCTTCATTCCTGATGAATTCTGAGTCAGTTCATGGAACACCCAAAAAATTGAGGTTTGCCATGGAAGATGCTGAGGGGTCAGCTGAAGTGGAACCTCCAACACTGAAAAGAGTTTCTCCTGCTCCGTCCCCCAAAAAACTACGCTTCTCAGATGTTGGTGATAGGGAATCGATTAGTACAACTCAGAGATCACCCATTAAAGTCAGGTCAGCCTTGGCTAGATCTCCAGTCCGACCTGTTAAAGATCGTAGTCCAACACCAGAAAGGTAGGGGATATTTTTTTGTTTGAAATTCAGTATGTAAGGATTTAAAGTGCAGAACATTATTCTTATTCTTGTAAACTTTGCAGCATTTCTATGTCACCTAAGAACCGCTCAAAACTGGACAGGGTGAATCGCTCTCCAAGAACAAGTATATCGGATGAGGAAACCACCAAAAACAAAGTCCAAGGAGAAGACATAGGTACATCTTCTACAAGTACTGAACAGTGTCATAAAGCAATAAAGTCAGACATGAAATGTTGTGTATTGAAAGTACAGTGACGAAACATACATGTATTTTTTTACTTTACAGAAATGGAAGAAGACGGATCTTTCCACTCTCCGTCTGTGCCATATCCCAGCGAGATCAGTGCCATTAGATCTTCACCAAAGGAAGTGGAAGCAGCTGCCTCAAAGACTGGGGAGGTGTCCCCTACCATTGTCATGTCTAACTTTCCCAAAGGGAGGTTCACTCAGCTGAAAAACTCTCCACATAAAGCCAGTCCAAAGAAACTAAACATTGGCTCAGTCTGCAGGTCTCCCACTGTCAAACTATCCCAGGAAAGGACGGCATTGTTCAGTGATATAGAAACAGTGAAGACATCAGAAGAGGAAGTAAGCACTACCACAGGAGTGAAAGAGCCCATCGAGATTGACTTAACTATGGAGGAGGATGAGGAAGAAGAAGACATTCCTAATCAGACTGGTGAAGAGGTTAGTACGGCAGTGGAAGAAGTAAAAGACAGAACTCTGGTGTCTGCAGCGGACAGTTCTGTAGACAACATTCCAACATACGCTTTCGCTCCTCCAGCAAGTACCAACGATGTACCATCAGTGGAGAGGAGAGCTTTCCAACGTTTACGATCAAAGCATCAGTTTACTTTTTCACCACCTGTTCAAGTTGACTCACCTGGACATAAAGATGGAGGTACTAGCTTTGATTTCAGCAAGACAGCTGAAGCAGATAGTACATCAGAAGTAAGAACTGATAACAATGAAGTGTTTTCTTCAGTGAATGGAAAAATAGATGTTTCCCCAGATGAGGAAGTTAGCATTAGAAAAGAATCGAAGGCTCGTAGGGGAAATCTGAGATCTCAGAAATTTAAATTTAGTTTAAAATCTCCACCATCTGAACAGAAACTTCTCGGAAGGAAGACATCTAAATCTTCGAAAAAAGCTGATGGATCTTTTCTGAGTGAATCAAGTGATGCTAGGACAAAAAAATCTCCCAAAAAAGACAACAAAAAAGATGCATCTACGTCTATATCAAAAAGAACACGTAGAACTCCATCTAGGAAATCTGCAAAGAAGTCAGATTCCGAGAAGGAATCTACAGAACAAGAAGAAGTGGAGAGTGAGGTTTCAGAGGATATTCCAGACTCTGGCACACAGCCTGAAAGTGAAGAACCAGAGAGTGATAATAAAGAACAGAGGTCAAGACGGGGAAGGTCAAGGAAACAAAATGTGTCAACCACTCAGACAAAAGAAAAGTCATCAAGTAGATCTCCATCCACAAAATCTCGAAAAGGATCAAAATCTAAATCTCCAAGTGTGTCGCCTTCACAGAAGACTGCTATAAGTCGCTCTAGATCTAGGTCAAAATCACAAGAAAAGGTTGTCAACAAGGCCAAGGTCACTCCTTCAAGACATTCCACTAGGAAGGCTTCAGAATCCTTTTCACAAGATGCATCTTCTAGTGTTGTTGAAAAACCAGTTAGACATTCAGGTAGAAGAGGAGGCTCAAAATCCAAATCTCCTGTTGCAGAAGTGCCTGTCACACCAACCAGACATTCCTCGCGACTCAGAAGTAAGAAGTCACTCTCCCCTTCACAAGACATTTTACTGGAGACCTCTGTCAGATCAAGGAGGAACAGGGGTAAAGCAGTTAATTCTTCCTCCAGAGAAAGAAACAAATCCCCAAAATCAAAAGAGGTAAAATATGAACTTGAATTTCAAATCACAAGCAATGGTGCAGTTGAAAGTTTTATTTTTGGAACATACAATTGATATGACACATGTTTTCTATGTTTTTGTCTTAGGGTAAAGTGGTGAAGATGGAAGAAAGCCCCACTCCAAGAAGAGGAAGAAGAAAACAGCTGAACAGCGAGTCATCTGAGGTAGAGGTTCAACAGACAAAAACTCCATCAAGAAGAACGAAGAAAAAAGATCAAGAGCAACAAGATGACGTCAATAAGACTACTGAAACAGAGATTGGTGCAACAGTAACAAAAACGGTGACCACTCCTAGCAGACATGGAAGGAAAAAGCAAATAGAAGCAGACGAACAAGAAAAAGAGTCAGAAACTGAAACTAAAGAACTTCCTGCAACTCCAAGCAGACGTGGTAGAAAGAAACAAACAAAAGCAGACGCAGAGGAAAAGGAGTCTGAAGTGGAAAATATGGAAGTACCAACTACTCCAAGCAGACGTGGAAGAAGGAAGCAGACGGACACAGACATGGAAGATAAGGAATCAGAAATGGAGAGTGCAAAAATCTCCACCACTCCCAGCAGACGTGGAAGAAAGAAGCAGACGGACGCTGAACAAGAGGATAAGGAATCTGAAGTGGAGAGTGCAGCAGCAACAACCACTCCAAGCAGACGTAGCAGGAAGAAGCAGACAGACGTGGATATAAGTGTTCAGGAGATAGAGGTTGATGCAGTGGTCACTCCAAGCAGACGTGGTACGAGAGTTATTGTAGAAAGAAAAGTTACAGAGGTACATGTTGTTGCTCAAACCGAGGTCACTCCCAGTAGGAGGGGAAAGAAAAAACAGTCACTAAAGGAGCAAGATGTGGAGGAGGCAGAAGGAACTGAGACGGGGAGTGGATCAAGGGAGGTTGAGGAGGCAGAGAGTCAGGGAATGGAAGTGGAAGAGATGCTCAACAATATAGATGATGGTTTATTTACATTTACTTTATTGATATGTTACATAGATTATACAATTTCTCCTTGAGTCATTTTTAAACAAAAAAGACTTTTGAATTGTTGTTTCTAAAATCTTTTATAAGAAATATGTGGTAACAGTGTTAATGTGCTTAAGATTATAATTTAAAATAAGAATTAACATGTAGATTATTTTAAAATCAAGTACAATAGAAAAAATGAATGTTTATTTTACTTCAGCAGAAACCGATGATCAGATGTTTGAAGATGAGAATAAAAGTAAGTGTTCAAATATTTTTGTAAGCAATGTACTGTATATACTACATACATTGTAAATTTTATTTTTTCCAAGATCTATAAGTAGACATTTATACTGGATATGAATCAGTAAGTACTGTAATGTATTTTTCAGATGACAATGCAGCTTCTCTGTCGTTTGAGTTTGCCTTGCCTGTTGGTGTGGAAATAGATGAAGGTAAAACAATAGCTGTATTCATGTAAGATTCTGTAGGAGAGTTCCACAACTGTATTTGTTAACTGTAGTGGTGTTTCGATTATCGCCGACATCGCCGAATCTATCGCTGAAACCAACCGATTTCGATTAATCGGATTGAAATTTGAGATCGATTAATTGGTAAAACCTGTAAATGTACGAGTTTACAAAGAAGGAACTGTTGTTGACATGAATAGTCGAATACACTACATTGGCAAAGATGGCGGCGCCCTGTGTCGCAGACAACGAGGACGACCAGCGAGAAATACTTCCCTACCCCGGCACTAAATCGAAGTCCGCCGACGAAACAAAACTTAGACATGAATTGATGTAGGGCCGTCACTGCCCTCAAATTTGGACCGAATATCGGACCCATTCCCAATGGCACAAAGTGCTAGATTTTCCCAATTTCATACTTAAAAATTCCCCAAAACGTGTTTTCTTGTTTATATCACCTAATTTTCCACACATGCATCCTTTATTTGATCCATTTAGCAGTAATGCATGTTTGATTTTAATCTGCAACAACCCTGTCATGATCGTTTCTTTCGAACTCGAATTTCCTCTGTCATGGAATAGAGATCTATAGATAGGTCATACGTAGATTGGGTTGGAGAACTTATTTACATTATTTAACAAGGATAACCATTATGAGTTAGTTCATAAAATAAATAAATATATTTTTAAGTGAACTATAAGTTAAAATAAAATCTTGAATACTATCAGTATCTATTTCATTTGCATGTGTTAAATGTCCAGAAAAAAAATAAATTGTAGATCTAGGCAATTTTATGACATTAAAAGCAAAATTTTAAATAGTAACTTAATAATTTCAATAAAATTATTCTTTATAATCTTTATAATGTAATTGCCAAATTTCATGTTAATAAGTTGTTAGTTACATTGAATAGTAAAAAAATAAACATTTTATAGAGTCATACATCCTTTATTTCACATATGTTTCAAAATAAATATGGAAACCGATTAATTCGATTAATCACTAAAATCGGACTCCGATTATTAACTGATAATGGGTTTCAGATTTTTTCCGATTATACAACACTAGTTAACTGTCGGTCACCAAATTTTTTATGTGAACTCGCAAAAGTTTTTTATACCCCCCGCAAACGAAGTTTGGGGGGGGTATATAGGAATCACCTTGTCCGTCTGTCTGTGCAAACGTGACGGTCCATATCTTTCTTACGGAGGGACATTAGAATCTACTACTCCACACAAAGATTGCCCATGACCTAAGGGTGTGTCATGTCCTTGACCCAAGGTCATTTGGGGAAGTTCAATGTCACTGGAAGAAAAATGTCATAATTCGTGTCCGGTCCATATCTTTCTTATGGATAAACTTGGTAGGTTCTTATTTCATGTAAAGATTGCCCATGACCCAAGGGTGTGTCATGACCTTGGGGGAAATTCAAGGTCACTGGAAGAAAAATGTCATAATTCGTGTCTGGTCCATATCTTTCTTATGGATAAACTTGGTAGCTTTTCATTTCACACAAAGATTGCCCATGACCTAAAGGTGTGTCATGACCTTGACCCAAGGTCATTTTGGGAAGTTCAAGGTCACTGGAAGAAAAAGTTCATAATTTATGTCCAGTCCATATCTTTCTTATGGATAAATTTGGTAGGTTCTCATTTCACACAGAGATTGCCCTTGACCTTAGGGTGTGTCATGACCTTGACCTAAGGTCATTTGGGGAATTTCAAGGTCACTGGAAGAAAAAGTTCATAATTTATGTCCGGTCCATATCTTTCTTATGGATAAACTTGGTAGGTTCTCATTCTATACAAAGATTGCCCATGACCCAAGGGTGTGTCATGACCTTGACCCAAGGTCATTTGGGGAAGTTCAAGGTCAGTGGAAGAAAAAGTTCATAACTCATGTCCTGTCCATATCTTTCTCATTGATAAACTTGGTAGGTTCTCATTTCACACAAAGATTGCCCATGACCCAAGGGTGTCATGATCTTTACCCAAGGTCATTTGGGGAACTTCAAGGTCACTGGAAGAAAAATTTCATACTTCATGTGCGATACATATCTTTATTATGGAAAAACTTACTTCTGAAAAACCCAGCGGGGGGTATTTTGTCCCGTTTGGACAGTTCTAGTTTGTAATAATAAGCAGGGGGAAAAAAAACCAAATTTTGCTTAAAGTATATTATCTTTAGAGATATAAATAGACCAGAGAGAAATTGCTTGAGGAGATGGTCTTGAGTAATTGTATGAAAAAAAAGTTCTTGCGAATAAAAAGTGATTTTCAGTAAACTTTTTTAAAGACAATTTTATGTTTTTCCAGATTCCAAAAGAGAGCTAGAAGCTAGTTTTGAGGCTGCCAATTCTTTCATCTTCTCCCCACCACTGACGAGGGGTTTAAGCAAACGTCTCAGTGTAGAACCAGATGGTCGAACCAGTATATCCAGTCGGCTTAGTCTAGAACCGGAATCCAGAAGCAGGCCTTCCCAGAGCAGAATAAGTCAACAGGTACCTGAATCAGTTCCCCCAATACTTCTACCTGCAGATCTTGTAACACCCAGGCCACCTATTCATGAAAAGATATCCATACCGAGGAGAATGTCTTTACGAGGTTCCAGAAGTGTGACTCCTGAGGCTCAGGATAAACCCGCCGTGCCCAGACGAGGGGCCTCCGAACCTCCAGACAATCCTCCCGTGAACAAAGTCAGGAGAAGGGGGAGGAAAAAGTAAGGCTTATTTTCCTCGTAATACTATAGTAATAAAGATTCATTTATAACTTTGTCAATACTGTCTTAGAAGCAGACTTAACAAAAATGTTCAAATTGTTTCCGTCATGCCAAACTCAATAGAAAAACGTGTATTAATTAAGGCATAGCTAAATTTTTTTTCTTCAAAACTGTAAAAGCCCTAGAGGAGCAAGGTCAACAAATAATGATTCATCTGTACTATGTATAATTTATGTTTTACATCCCACTTGCTGTCGTTTTGCTAGGAGAGAGCCCTCCCCTGTGGATGACGTCAGTCTGATTCCCGAGATCCCTGAGGAAGAGGAGCCGGTGATGACGAGGAGTCTGAGGTCCAGACGGGGTCACTCTGAGGAGCCCAATACCACACAACGCAACGCGCGGCGAGGGAGGAAGAAGGCCTACAGAATTTAATTATTAGCCCAATACCACACAATACAATACACGAAGAGGGAGGGAAAAGGCTTACAGAATTTAATAATTAGCCCAAAATTACACAACGCAACACTCAGCGAGGAAAAAATAGGCTTATAGAATTTGATAACAGTGCATGGGGAAATAATCGAGATTTTTGAATACATAAAGAACCGACAGAAATGTATTTGTACTTTTCATCACTGTCTTCTCATCAAGAAGTGAATGCAATTATTGTATATTTTTATGTTAAGCAGAATTTTTGTAAGTTCAGAATGTGCAGAGTTGTTTGGAAGGAATGAATGCAGAGTTTTGTAGGTTAAATAATACAATTATAGAAAATTAAGGACAAGTCAAAATTATTGTTAACTTATTCTAAGAAAGTATATACATGTATTTGTAATGCAGCAATTGTTAATGTGAAGGAAGATTTGCATTGTGGAATTTTTTTGCTGGGCAAAATGTAAATTGAAGACAATTGATGCCATTGAAAATTGATATTTGTTGTCCTTTTTCATAAAATAAAAGTTAAAAAACAAAAAAAAAAAAATCTTTTTTATATTCAACGTAAAGTTCCATTAGACAAAACAGATCTATACTGTTTTGTTTCAGTTTTATTTTTTCGCTTTTGCTATCTGACATTGAAAATGATCATATTAAAAATGGAATGAATTCAAATATATAACAGAAATTTATCTGGGCAAATTCCTTTCAAGCAAAATTGTTAGCTGGTGTGAAATGGCGAAAATAAAATGGAGGGAAATATTCCTGTATACAGAAAATAAGTACTACAGTATGACTTTTTAGGACGGCAAAGAAGCATTTCTCTGCTTTTATGCATTCTCTAGGACACATAGGATGAAGCATGTCATGATAATTATACAGTCTTTGCAGCATTTGTCCGTCTGTAACTTAGCTAATCTTGCAAAATTTGAAACCACAAACAGGCACCTAACGTTACTTATTTTTCTTTTAATAAAAAAAATATATACCATCTACCTAATAATAGAGGTAGAGAGGTAATGTAGGTGCCTGTTTGTGAAAATGAAGCCTTTCTTTTGGAAGAAGTTGAGGGGTGTCACAACTAAAAAGTTGGTCAAGACTACCTCCAGTTTGGAAAATGTATGGCAATGCATCATGGATTTGTGTCAAGATCATACTAGTAGACATAGGACCATCTAATCTCTACAACTGAATACAGTGTATTAAGATGACTAAAATCTGGAACCTCCTATGTCTATGAGTGAATGCTGTTTTATTGAGCTACTGCTACTGGACTGTTTTTCCAATTTTAAGTACTAGTATATTCTTTTATTTTCAATAAAATACAAGATAATTTTGAGGCAAAGATTCTGCGTATACTTCACAGGATGGTAATTTATTTTATCAGGGACATACATACTCAGTATATAGGTCCATGATTTTATTTACAGGATTATACATTATCAACAATTTTCATATATACACCAGTATGAGAAAGAAAATTATTTTTACACAGTTAATTTGATATCGGGGAAGAGGGGGTGAGACCTAATTATGCTAATGGGAAGTCACTGGCATAATTAGCTCAACTAGGTCAGAGAGTAATAAGGATATTGTTGACCTTTCAATTATCTTTTTTATTAACCCTGAATAGCGGGGATTTCTTTGTTTCTTGTTAGCTTATCCGGATTACCATTGGGTCACCAACCTAAGACCGGACTGGTTTTATCAGTTTAACTTATCAAGCAAAATTCTTCTTAATACTTTTTACTCATTTCGTCTCGGTATGGTAAATCTACAAGTTTTTCGCCTTGGTGTAAAGCGAAAGTAGACTTGTGACGTAAATGTACGTAATCAATGTACTTCCGGTTTTGGCTGGAGGTTTGTCCATTGTCGATTGAAATGTCTGTGTGAAAGTTTTATCTTCTTATGGTGTTTGTCCACCAGGAAATTTCACAATTTTAAGCATTTCTAAGAGAGGTAAATAATTTAGAGAGCATCTGAAGCGTAACCTAAAGCCGTCCACTGTTCATAGCATGTAGCGTGGACCAGCCAGTTCCAGTTTTTGCAGAGGGAAAATGTGGTCTCACTTTTAGACCAGAGAGCGTAAGTTGAAGAAAGTATCGTCTTTATATCTTAATCAATTCTCCAACAAGTTGCATTTTAATCATTATCATTCAAATTTTACTTAAGATGCAATTTTCTATAGATTTTACAAAGAAATTGATCATGTTAAATAAGAGTTCCTGCAAAATTTTTATTGACCTTTTATTAAAAGATAACTGGTACTGCCCTTTTGCAGGTCAAATGAAAAAAATCTAGGTTGGTTATAATTAAATGACATTTATTTCATAATTTGTCTTGCATCATAGTTCACTAAAATATATTGAGTAATTTGCCCTGTTAAAGAATACTCTTTATTGAGAAGTTGATGGCACTTTTTACTACTCCTTTTACCTTTGTACATTTAAAGTTAGTGACCCTAATATTTTATAGGTGTGTCCTTTCATTTTAGGCAAAGATAAAGTTTTCCACTGAGTACCTGGCTCAAGGAAGATGGAAATGGAACAACAGGACTGTGGTACAGCAGGTAATGAGCAGCTCAAATCAATCAATGAGTCTCCTACATTCTGCTTTAACCTCAGTATTTTTCTTTTTTAGTGATCTATATGAGCAGATCAAAGGACTGTCCAGTAATCAGTCTTATTTTTAGCTCACCTCAACGAAGTTGGGGGAGCTTATGTAATACCCTCGGTGTCGGCGTCGGCGTCCCAGGTTAAGTTTTTTTGAGCAGTTTTCTTTTTAAGTACTTCTATATCCTATATTGATTAGACATGCATGGAAGATGCTTCTAGTGTGTTTCATTGTACCAGTCAAAGTTTCAGATGCTGCAATTTCAGCAAAAGAATGACCAGATTAATGTTTTTGGAGCAGGTTAACATTTTTGGTACAGTTTTTGGTGTAGGTCTCATTTCCAAGGAAGTATAAGCCCTATGTTGACCAAACTTGCATGGATGATACATCTAAGGATGCATACTACCAAGCTTGCTTCGAATGCTGAATCTGACCTACATTTTCCGGTTGAGTGAACAGGTTAAAGTTTTTGGTGCAGGTTTCATTTCCAAGATACTATGAGCCCTATAATGACCAAACTTGCATGGATGGTACATCTTAGTATGCATACTACCAGGCTTGTTTTGGATGCTGAATCTGACCTACATTTTTCGAATGAGTGAACAGGTTAAATTTTTGGTGCAGTTTTCATTTCCAAGTTACAATGAGCCCTAAAATGACTAAACTTGCATGGATGATACATCTAAGAATGCATACTACCAGGCTTGCTTCGGATGCTGAATCTGACGTACATTTTCCGGATGAGTGAACAGGTTAAAGTTTTTGATGCAGGATTCATTTCCAAGTAACTATAAGGCGTATGTTGACCAAACTTGCTTGGATGATACATCTAAGGATGCATACTACCAGGCTTGCTTCGGATGCTGAATCTGACCTACATTTTTTGTGGATGAGTGAAGAGGTTAAATTTTTATGAAGGTTTCTTTTCTGAGTAACTGTTAGCCCTGTGTTGTGCAAACTCGCATGGATGATACATCTTAGGATGTACACTAATGGACTTGGATGCTGAATTCGACATACATTTTCCAGATAATGGACCAGGTAAAAGTTATGGGTGCAGGTCTATTACCAAGAAACTATAAGGCTTATATAAATCAAACTTGCCACTTGCTTCTGATACTGGATTTTAATCACATTTTCGTGATAAAGAACTAGTTTGAAGTTTTAATATAGGTCTATTCCAAAGTATCAGATCAAAATTGAATAAATTTTGCATTTTTGGATGTACACTTTTTATTTGGTAATTGTGTGACTTTGCTTTTCTTAAAGACAACATTCGTTGAGGTGAGCTCTGTAATCTCTGATTACCTATGTTTGCTTTAATGAGAAATTAAAAATGTAATTTATTTTGAAAAAGAATTATCAAAGAGGCATATTTAAAATGTGAATAGAGCCAGATCTAAGGCATACTTGAAAAATGTAAATTATGAAGGAAATCATCATTGATTTTTAATATTTTCAGACCAGACTGTTCCAGATTCACCGAAATCCCAACAAGAGGCAGGGAATACAGATGTGATGTACCAACATGAAAGTGGACTGTTGGTTAAGAATATGGAAGTTGAGACACCAGAACAGAAAGTGGATAATGATGTTTCTGCAGACACCGTCCAATGTGAAGCCTCATCAGTTGTGACTAGTGATGCTGACAAGGAAGAAAATGTTCCAGATGTGGTAAACACAATATCAGAAATAGTGGATCCTAACTTGGAAGTGTCCACAGATCCTGTCGATGATGGTCTAATAAACGAAATAGCCAAGAAAGTGGATACTGAGGACAGGATGACTTTCTGCATTGAGAAACCTGCTGAGTCTCTCTTGCCCGTCACGTCTCAAGGAGAGAAGATAGAGGAGGTCCTAGTCGTACATCCAGTGTGTGCTTTCGCACGCCCTGTTAATATGGAGTATGATTTAATAGAGGAGACAGATGTCATGTCTGAACTAGCCAAAGAAGTCCAACATAAAGTAAATGATGCACAGGAGAATTCCGCCTCTGGTGATGATTCTGCAACAGCATCTAATGAGGAGGAGAAAGGGGAAAAGATGCCATCAAGTGAAGGAGATAAAGTGAATGGAAACTCTGGAGAAGTTGTAACTGATGAAGGTATTGCTCCTGTTGTAGAGCAAGTTGTTAGAAGAAGCCAGAGGGTATATAATTCTTTAGTGGGGCCTGATTATGCTGTGAAAGTTGTGGCCCCACTTCCTCTGTATAGAAAAAGTGCACTTCCTGCAGAAACTTCAGTGGTGGACAGTGCAAGAAAAAGACCAAAGCCAGTAGTTGCTCTGAAAACTAAGAAAAGTCAACTAAAGAGTGGTAGAAGGCCAGTCTCTGCCAAGTCGGATGTGAGCAGAAGGACACCAGTGCGTATGGAAAGCTTAAAAATGTGTAATCCTACAACTTCCCGTGCTTCAACTGTAGTATCAACAGCATACCGCAAAGATGGAAAAGGTGTCAAAAAACTGCCAAAGTTTTTGTCTCAGTTTGGTGTAAATTCAAATGGTGCAGAGAAAACAGATGTAAAGAAGACAGTTCCTAAAAACAGAGGTAACACAAGCTTAGCGGATGCAGAATCGGGCAGAAGTGCAACACCTGATAAACCTTTAGCAAAGTCAGCTTCCACAGCAAGTTTGATTAGAAAACTGAAGATGAAGGATGGAAGTGAGGTTCCAACTCCTAGGCGCAGTCAGAGAATTTATAACTCCTTAAATGGACCGGAGGAAGCAGTGAATGTTATCACACCTACAACTCGGAACTGCAGGCCCAATGATGAAGTGGTGTACAACTCCTTGGTGGGAGAAGAGAGGGACGTCAAGCTGGAAATCCCAAACATTAGGAAGAGAATTATCAAGAAGCCTAAACCAGCAGACAAAATGAAAAAGACAAGGATGTCGTCTGATGAGGAAGGTAACCCTGGTCAAGGCTATGGCAAGTTTGATGGGTCACTGGCAGAGTCCCATTCAGGGATACCACTGGCTACTCGTATAGCACATGAATTTTCCCAAACAGCAGACGCAGGTGAAAAAAGAAGATCCACACGCTCTCAGTCCAAAACAGAGGAGAAGGAACAATCAGAGGAAGACAGTGTTGACAAAATTAATACAGACTCTATTACGTCTGCTTCCCCTCCCAGTGAGGCCAGCGTTCTAGTCGCCTCCTCTTACTATACCACGAAGAGGGGCACCCAAACAGAAGTCACTTATTCAACACCATCTACACTTTCGTATTCAACAGCTTCGAAGAAAAGACCCGCAATGTCTGCCTCTGTTCAAAAGACTGGCACCACACAAAGAAAGCAGAACCTCAAATCAGCTTCTAGTAGGCCAAGTTCAACCACCTCGGGAACTTCAGTAGCTTCAGAGAGGTCTCTGCGGTCCTGCACAAAGACAGCTAAGGGTTCTGTGGACACTGAAAAAAGCAGTACTCAACAGGTAAATACTGAAGAGCATTTAAATGATTTTTGTTTGGTGTTGATTGAGCTTATGTGATTTTAATGTATCCACCTATTTCTTTGTAAACACTAAACACTACACATGTACTCTTACAAATTTTATTTATGTTTTTTTATCTCATTTCATGATCAGTTAAGTTGAGGTGGACTTGTGCCCCCCCCCAAACATTTAGTTTCAGGTTCAATTTTTATACCCCCCGCAAACGAAGTTTGGGGGGGTAATATAGGAATCACCTTGTCCGTCTGTCTGTCCGTCTTTCCATCTGCAATCAAGTCCAGTCCATATCTTTCTTACAGAGGGACATTAGAATCTACTACTCCACACAAAGATTGCCCATGACCTAAGGGTGTGTCATGACCTTGACCCAAGGTCATTTGGGGAAGTTGAAGGTCACTGGAAGAAAAATTTCATAATTATTGTCCAGTCCATATCTTTCTTATGGATAAACTTGGTAGGTTCTCATTTCACACAAAGATTGCCCATGACCCAAGGGTGTGTCATGACCTTGACCCAAGGTCATTTGGGGAAGTTCAAGGTCACTGGAAGAAAAATTTCTTAATTTGTGTCCATATCTTTCTTATGGATAAACTTGGTAGGTTCTCCTTTCACACAAAGATTGCCCATGATCCAAGGGTGTGTCATGACCTTGATCCAAGGTCATTTGGGGAAGTTCAAGGTCACTGGAAGTAAAATTTCATAATTCGTTTCTGGTCCATATCTTTCTTATGGATAAACTTGGTAGGTTCTCATTTCACACAAAGATTGCTAATGGCCCAAGGGTGTGTCATGACCTTGACCCAAGGTCATTTGGGGAAGTTGAAGGTCACTGGAAGAAAAATTTCATAATTTGTGTCCAGTCCATATCTTTCTTATGGATAAACTTGGTAGGTTTTCATTTCACACAAAGGTTGCCCATGACCCAAGGGTGTGTCATGACCTTGACCCAAGGTCATTTGGAGAAGTTCAAGGTCACTGGAAAAAAAAATTTCATAATTTGTGTCCGGTCCATATCTTTCTTATGGATAAACCTGGTAGGTTCTCATTTCACACAAAGATTGCCCATGACCCAAGGGTGTGTCATGACCTTGACCCAAGGTCAATTGGGGAAGTTCAAGGTCACTGGAAGAAAAATTTCATAATTCATGTTTGATACATCTCTTGATTAAGGAAAAACTTAAAAAACCCAGGAAAAAAAGCATGTGCATTTTCCATGTCAAAAACCCAGTTGCAGGGCTTTTCATATATGAATGCTTAACAATTTTCACATAAAGTGGCTTTTTTTTAGGGAGCCATTAAAGTAACTTTCAACCTTTCAACATTACAGGATTGGATAATGCTTACATCTTCAGTTATTCTTTGATTTGCAGAGATAATTTTTCCATTAAAGTAACTTTAAGTGCATTTGCATTATTTAGCTATTCTGGGAATGCTGTCTTTTAGCTTAGATTTGTGTATGAATAGACACTTATTATTTGGAGCAGGTTTATTCCCTATCAAATGCAGTCCCAATTTTGACCAAACATGCATGGTTATTGTAGGTTGGGATGCTTTCTACTACAAATTAGTTATTACTACTTCATGTATTAATTACAGATGTTATATTTAAGAGATATTTTAAATCATAAAATGTCAGATAAAAAGAAGATTAGTTTGTCTGAATTTCATCCCTAACATTATTAGTACATGGTTTGCATAAAATCTTCCATGCTTTTTGCCCTGTTCTGAGAATTTTATTGTTTGTAGTTTTTTAAAGTTTGACTACTCTTCATTCTCTATGCCATTTTCATGAAACATTTTATATAGCAAAAATCACATTCATATTTACATGTATATTTCAGAAGGAAGAGTCACCTGCAACAAAATCTGCTTCGCTGAAAAAGTCCAGATCAAGCAGCAAACTTAACTAACAAGAGCTTATGAAGCCAGTGCTTTTCCTGTTGGCTTTTGTGGCATTTCAAGTGGCATGTTTTATACTTAATGTTTCATACTTTTTTGAAGAACTGCAGTAGTTTTAATTCCACCATTAGAATGGAAATTCAGGCAGTTTTACCTTCTGATGGATTGAATGCTTTAGTAGATAAACATTACACCTATTCAAAATATTAAAAACAAAAATGAAAACTGGTACCTGTATATATATCTTTCAAATGGTACTGTACAGACTATATTGATTGATGTTCACATACATTATCACAGAAAATTCAGAAATAAAATTGATGTGTTTAATGGTTTATTTTGCATTTAAAGGGAAGAGTAGCTTTAAAGTTTAACCATACTACCAGGTACTCAACAGCAACTTCTAGGGCATTTCCGACAGGAAAAAAAGCAGAAAAACAAATTGAATGAAATATTTGTATTTAAGGTTATCCGATCCTCAGGTTCAGAAAATCAGGCATTGAGTAATTGAAAATGCTCAATTGTATTTACCCACAGTGTTTCTTTAAACTTCATCTTTAAATTTAATCATATTATATAGGGAAAATTAGTAAATCATAATTTTTCAGGAAATGCGATTTGAGATATTTTTTGATTGATAATTGATCAAGAAATACATTTTAGGAATAAAATTCATAGGTATCCAGGCTTTTAAAGAAAATTGCATGAATTTTACACTTATATAGTACTTTACTTTCTCCTACTTACGTCCATCGTTTCATAATGCATAGTATATGAAGTGTTTCCTTTCAAAGAAAACACCGTAAATCACTTCTAATTGCAAATCATGCTTATAAACATTGGTAACTAAGGCTAAATTAAAAGAAATTTGATTTTTTTTAAATATGCAAGGTTTACTTAATTTTATGAGGTTAAAATGTCAAATTCTTTAATACCGTTTGTTAAAACTTGAAAGAACATTGAATCATATAAAGAGGCAGAAAATGAAAATTGTTGCATGAAAAAATTTCAATTTTAAGCTTTATTTTAAGACTTTTTGAATTAAATTATAAATTAAAGAGTTATCCTTCCTGGCTGAGGAACGTATATCCTTAAAAGAAGGAATTTCCAGCTGTACCATTTCACAGTGATGCACACTGTAGGTGTCGGGATTTCATGAGACCAGTTTATCTATATGAAGTTAAGAAAAATGTCAAGGAAATGTAATTAGTTTTATCACAGTAGCTTTTATAACCATCAGTTATAAAATATATTCAATTTACTATCAGGAAATTGAAGAAAATAAGGGGGGATAAATCAACAACACTAAGCCCCAATTTTCAATGTCTATCTTCGCAAAAGGGAGAGGATGAGCCCCTACCTGGCATAAACCTAAATTTAATTTTCATAAAATCATCACAGGTACTTGAGGACAGGAACCCCCCCCCCTCCTTTCGATATAGACCCTTTGGCCTTTTCAATTTTTTTCTCATAAATTATCTTCCATTGACATATTTGAGATAAGATCTATATCAACAAATCGAAAAATTACATAAAAGAAACGTTTTATAAAATCTACCCTACATTCTATATATAAAAATTTATATAACAGTTTAAGTTATAGTTAAGTTTAAGCAATTTTTTCTGAATTGATAGGATAGATATATCACAGATGTGTCATCCATATATAATTCTTGTGAAAAAAAGTCTAAAAGACCAGGGGTTCTATATTGGGGGGGGGGGTCCTGTCCTCAAGCACCTGTGAAAATCATCTCCCTCTAAGCTATGTTGGAGCCACAAAAAAATTATTAACTATAAAAGAAAATCTAAAGTGCATGTATGAAGACTATTTATTTGCAAATTGATCAGAATATCGGATAAATAAAATTATTCCCATATTTATAGTGTAGAGGATCGAGGATCCGTGTTTAAAAATGGTGAAAAGTTTTACACAGGAATATATTAGACGTGGTAATATAAAACAGGTGCTGGCCAAATATTTTAACACCCCCCCCCCTCCCTTTAGCCGAAAAATGTCGAAATTAATAGACACATACATGTGATATATATAATATATAAAAGCCCATGCAACAACGGTTCAAAAGTTGGGCCAAGGTTGATTTTTTTTAAGTGTGTCAAAATCAAAAGTCAAATGGTCAAAATTAATGGTATACCTAAAGGAAGGCATGTCACAAGAAATTCATGTTTAATAAGTACAGAGTATGAAATCCATAGTAGTTATCAGGTGCCTGTGGTAGTTATGTGAACTTATGTCCAAGATTAAAGTTTTTCAAAAGTAGGTCAAGATCAAAATTTCTATAAAATATAAAAATCATAGCTTTAACCAACCAAAAAGATATAGGCAGGGATAGAGTTTTTTTGCAGACAGTCAGACGGATGGACAGGACAAAAACTAAACATCTCCAAATCTTCGATTACGGGGGCATAAAAAAGAAGACATACTTCAAACTTTAACAATAGGGTAAGATAAAACTGCATTGTTTTACATTTTGGTTTTGAAATATGAAAAAAAAATCGTATATATATTTTTTTCAATTCTTATCGGATTGTAGTTAACTTACACGTCATTAATTAAAGTATTTCCATTACTTTTTTAGCTCACCTGAGCTGAAAGCTCAAGTGAGCTTTTCTGATCACCCATTGTCCGTCGTCTGTCTGACCGTCCGTCCGTCTGTAAACTTTTCACATTTTCAACTTCTTCTCAAGAACCACTGGACCAATTTAACCAAACTTGGTACAAAGCATCCTGGGGTGATGGGGGTTTAAATTGTTAAAATGAAGGGCCAAGTCACCTTACAAGGAAAAAAATAGGGTGGGGTCATTAAAATATCTTCTCAAGAACCACTGGGCCAGAAAAGCTGAAACTTATATGGAAGCATCCTAGGGTAGTGTAGATTCTAAATTGTTAAAATGATGACCCCCGGGAGTAGGGCAAGGCCACAATAGGGAATCCAAGTTTTACAGTGAAATATATAGGAAACGCATTCTTCTCAAGAACCATTGGGCGGGAAAAGCTGAACCTTATGTGGAAGCATCCTGGGGTAGTATAGATTTTAAATTGTTAAAATGATGACCTCCGGGGGTAGGACGGGGCCCCAGTAGGGAATCCAAGTTTTACAGCGAAATATATATAGGGAAAATCTTTAAAAATCTTCTTAAGAACCATTGGACCAGAAAAGTTGAACCATATGTGGAAGATTTCTGGGGTAGTGTATAGAATCTGAATTGTTAAAATTATGACCCCCGAGGGTAGGTCGGGGCTCCACGCAATAGGTATTACAAGGGAGAAAGGTAAAGAAAGGAATCACCAAAGTTACTCAGGTGAGCGATGTGGCCCATGGGCCTCCTTTTTTTTTTTTTTTTTTTTTAAATAAGGCTATATTATTAACAGATACTTGTTAAAATGGCAATTTTTGACACGTTCGAACTATTCTTTTGAGAGAAGTAGACAGGCTTGTATTGGATGTAGGCGAAAACCTATAGATCCACTTCTCTAAAAGAATAATGTGCGAACGTAAGGCCATCCTTAAAAAATTGTTTGTTTGGAATTGCCGCCTGAAGGGTTTCAGACACAGGAGGGAGGGAGGGAAATTATTTTATTATTTAAATTGAAGATAAATTTAAAATTTTTGAAAAATCTAAGAGACATTTTCTGACTTTTAAAAAAAGTAGACAGAATTGTAATTTTACATAGATCTGACATTATCTTTTGGTGTTTTGTATGGTGCATGTGACATATGAATAATAGGCAAAAAAATTGATTAAATAAAAAAAAATCTTCCTACTTTTGTTCAATAAAATTTTTTCAGGAGGGGGCATTTCAATGAGGCGGGAGGCAATTCCAAACAAACTATAATTTTATTTTGGCCTAATTAAAGCCCCCCCCCTCTCTCTCTCTCTCTCTCTCTGAGTCTCTCTTTCTCTCTCTTACCAAAGGTTTGTTTGTTTATTTTCTGTTGAAAGAATTTAATGTGAATCTGCAAAATCTCATCCCCACTTTCAAATTTTAAATAATGCTTTCGTCCAGTGTAAAAATAATAATTTAAAGAAGTAGGAACTTTTTTTAGTAATGAAAGTTGTCATTTATATATGAAAATAACACTTTAGTTTATCACTGTAAAATAAAAGATACCTTTATTTAAAAAAAAGAAACTTTTCCTGATATACAAATAAATAGAAAACTGTATGTTTACATCCCTGCAAAACATAACCGTATCTAGTTTACGGAATGGTTCAACTATTAATATCAAGGGCAGATCACTCTGAATAGTTGCATGTCGGACTAGTCAGCCTGAAAAATAAAAAGATACAGAATGGCAGAAGAAGAGGAAAAGGGATACAGATGGGAAACAGAATACGAGCGGACTTGGTATAATTCAACCACCTTATTTATTTTCCTCGACAGCTCCCTACTTTATTTGTAGTTTTTATTTATTTTTAATTAGTATATGAAAATCAAATGATACTGATAGGACCATGTGGTTTATGATTTTATGAATTCGGTTGTTGCGGTCTGGAAGATTGGATTTGGGCCGTGGATATTGGCCTGGATAGCTCAGTCTGTAGACTAGTGATGCAGGAGTCAGTTCGAGTCCTTTCCCAGTCATATGAAAGTCCTGCCAGGGGCTAGTAAGAATTTGGGATGTGTCTTTGAGGGGGACGACCATTTCATTAGGAATGTAATGGTTTGCACTGTGGACATTGGCCTAGGTAGCTCAGTCTGTAGAACACCTGAATAAAGATGCAGGGGTCCTGGGTTCGATTCCCAGTCCAGCCATATATTTTCTCCTTTCTTGTTTACATGTGGATTTCGACCTGGAGAGCTCAGTTTGTAAAGCACCTGACTAGTGATGCAGGGATTTGGGTTCATTTCTCGGTCTGACCATACATTTTTCTCACATATAACACTTACTACATGTGGTGTCAAGCCGTGCTATGGAGGAGCATGGTCATTGTCTTCAGTGGACAATCACATTTTTGAAAAGGGGAGGAGGGAGGTTCAGTCGCCTGTGGCAAAGTAGATCAGTTTGAAGGGCACCTTACTAGTGAGGCCCACGTCTTAATCATAAATTCATATGATCTGGTCCATTGCCATACATGCTAACTTTTGAAAATTCCCATGGGGGATTTAGCGCGTGATGACATTTTTCAAAGCTTTAAATTCGCGACATTTTGTCGTGAAATTAAATGATTGTATGAAATGATCTTTTTTAAATTTATTATATTGATATCACTTATCAATACAACTTAGGAATTAAGTCAACACAAAAAATAAAGTTTTTCTTTCCACAATCGAAATATTTTTGCTAAAATAGGTGCCTCTCTCACTAAAGAAGTGGTATTTAGTTACATATGTAAACATTTTTCTTTCTACCAGGACACATAATTTAGTGAAAAATTGTACAACTTTTAAATCATTTTTTTTTTTCAAAGGCTAAAAAAATATGAGGTTTTGATACTGTAAAGTCCTGTTTCTGGAAACATTTTTAGCTCACCTGAGCCGAAGGCTCAAGTGAGCTTTTCTGATCAAAATTTGTCCGTCGTCGTCGTCGTCGTCGTTGTTGTCGTTGTAAACTTTTCACATTTTCATCTTCTTCTCAAGAACCACTGGGCCAATTTCAACCAAACTTGCCACAAAGTATCCTTGGGTAAAGGGGATTTTTGTTCATTTTTCCAAGGGGAATGTAGAAAAATTAATGCCATTTTTAAAAAATCTTCTTCTCAAGGTTTGCACTGTAGTGTAGATTCATTTGTTCAAGCCCCCGGGGGTAGGGCGGGGCCAAAATGGCCGATCAAAGTTTTACATAGGAATATACAGGAAAAATCTTTAAAAATCTTCTTCTCAAGAACCACTTGGCCAGGAAAGATAAAACTCATGTGGAATCATCCTCAGGTAGTGTAGATTCAAGTTTATTCAAGTCATGACCCCCGGGGGTAGGGTGGGGCCAAAATGGCTGACCAAAGTTTTACATAGGAATATATAGGGAAACCTTTTCAAATCTTCTTTTCAAGTATTTCAAAGCCATGATGGTAATATTTATATGGAATCATCCTCAGGTAATGTAGATTCTAGTTTGTAAATTATGCAAATTTCTGACTTACGTTAACTTTCAGTTCTGATCTGATATGTTTTTTTTCCTAGCTGATGTGCTCAGGTGAGCGCTGTGGCCCTTGGGCCTCTTGTTGAGATTTTTTATTTATATTTCAATTAATTAGAATTTCTAATAAGATATTAAATTTACAGAAATTTATACCACACTTTATTTTTTTACAGTCATGAAATTTGTCAGTTTTGATGGTGCCATGTGGGTATTTCCTTAACATGCACATACCTAACACATATTACTTATGGGAGAAGAGCTAATTGACATACACTTGATTGTTTCATCTTAATTTTTTCATATTATTTTCATGATTTTAACTGGCAAACTTTACAATATTTTTCATTAGGAAGATAAAATCAGCAGCTATGCGTTGTAGTTTTCTACTTTCGTTTAAAAAAAAAAACGATCTCTATGGATTCCGATTTTATGGTTTGATTAGTATTTTATTGTCTTTAATTTATGTTTTTAATAAAATGACTAATAGTTATCACGTTAGTCTATGTGTTTCACCTTGCATACCCCTTAAAACAAAGTAATTGCCCCAAGCTATAAGCTACTTGTACCTGATTAAGCGTGAAGTGATTTCCCGTGGCCTAAGACCTAATTAACACCTGGTTAAATAAACAATGAAACCTATCTGTGTGCATTGAATAAACAAGTCTGACATTGTTATCCCGATTGTCAAAATTCAGCGGTAGGGAAACTTTTATAATATGAAATTTTAAGGTGATTTTTTTCAAATCGGGAAATTAGGGCAATATTTCTCTCCCGATCGGGAAGGCGGGATGAAAGGGTAAAATTGAGAGAATCCCGCCTAAATCGGGAAAGTTGGCATGTATGCATTGCATATTTCTTTTTCTTCTTTTCCATTGCACAGTGATTTAGCTTCAGAGTGATTATAACTTTTAAAGTTATACCAATGTTGAATTTTCAAATGAGTCTGTACATACACTGCATACACTGTCAAGCTGAACTCACAGTGGTCTACTTTTTGCATTTTGTCATTATTTTTCAAATTGTCAGTTATTTATATTTTTGAAGGTCAGAGGGTTTGGATTATCAAACCTTGTCAATACTTCCCATACTGAGGCCTTATAATGACTATAAAACAAAAAATATGTTGCAATGACCTACAGGCTATTTCCTAAATTTTTAGCTCACCTGAGCCGAAGGATCAAGTGAGCTTTTCTGATCACATTTTGTCCGGCGTCTGTCTGTCCGTCCGTCCAGCTGTCCGTCTGTCTGTCTGTAAACTTTTCACATTTTTACATACTTCTTCTCAGGCTGGGCCAATTTCAACCAAACTTGCCACAAAGTATCCTTGGGTGAAGGGGATTCAAGTTTGTTCATGGGCCACGCCCTTATTCAAGGGGAGATAATTGGGAATTAATGAAAATTTAGTGGTATATTTTAAAAATCTTCTTCTCAAGAACCACTGTGCCAGGAAAGATGAAACTTATGGGGAAACATCCTCAGGTAGTGTAGATTCAAGTTTGTTCAAATTGCCCCCGGGGGTAGGGCAAAAGTTTTACATAGAAATATATAGGAAAATTCTTTAAAAATCTTCTTCTCAAGAATGACAAAGCCATAATTCATGATATTTATATGGGAGCATGCTCATGTAGTGTAGATTCAAGTTTGTTCAAATCATGTTTTACATAGAAATATATAGGAAAATTCTTTGAAAATCTTCTTCTCAAGAATGACAAAGCCATAATTCATCATATTTATATGGAAACATTCTCAGGTAGTGTAGATTCAAGTTTGTTCAAATCATGACCCCTGGGGGTAATTTTACATAGAAATATATAGGAAAATTCTTTAAAAATCTTCTTCTCAAGAATGACAAAGCCATAATTCATTATTTATATGGAAGCATGCTCAGGTAGTGTAGATTTAAATTTGTTCAAATCATGACCCCTGGGGGTAAGGACCCAAAATGGCCAACCAAAGTTTTACATAAAAATATATAGGAAAATTCTTTAAAAATCTTCTTCTCAAGAATGACAAAGCCATAATTCATCATATTTATATGGAAGCATGCTCAGGTAGTGTAGATTCAATTTTGTTCCTTGGCCGACCAATGTTTTACATAGAGATATATAGGAAAATTCTTTAAAAATCTTCTTCTCAAGAATGACAAAGCCATAATTCATCATATTTATATGGAAGCATGTTCAGGTAGTGTAGATTCAAGTTTGTTCAAATCATGACCCCCGGGGGTAGGGCGAGGCCAAAATGGCCGACCAATGTTTTACATAGAGATATATAGGAAAATTCTTTAAAAATCTTCTTCTCAAGAATGACAAAGCCATAATTCATCATATTTATATGGAAGCATGTTCAGGTAGTGTAGATTCAATTTTGTTCAAATCATGACCCCCGGGGGTAGAAAATGGCCGACTAATGTTTTACGTAGAAATATATAGGAAAATTCTTTAAAAATCTTCTTCTCAATCATTTTCTAAAAATAGCAAATCCATGATTGGTCGTGGGACTACTTTTGGATTTAAACTTTACAATAAAAAGCCATTTTATACTAGTCCTACCCTTGGTGCTCAGGTGAGCGATGTGGCCCATGGGCCTCTTGTTCATGTATCTAGCCATATGTTTTACATACTTAGGGGCTTCAAACCATTAACCTTGTCAGTTGATGCATCTTAATGTGCCTTAGAGCGCCATAGGTTTGCCAAATTAGAAGTAGGGAACAGTGATTTTTTTATGCAATTTATCAGAAAAGTCATTTTACTTTCTTGGACCTATTGTTTTATGAAAGTTTGAATTAATTCTTTCCTTTGTAGGGAAGCTATTCAAGAAGATGAGAAAGGCTCACTGCAGGCTAGCGTAGATGATATTGTCAGTAAAGCCAAGAGGAGGAAACTCCTTGAGAAAATCAGTAATGTCCGACTTGGTATGGTAAGTAGATATACCAGTAATCATCTGAAAAAAATCAGTATTGTCAGACTTGGTTTGATAAGTAGAATAATCATATAAAAAAAAATCAGTAATATCTGAGTTGATTTAGTGAGAAAAAATAATTTTTATTTAATGTAGTTCTTAAAATTCTTATTAATTTTATCAAAAATAATTTGTATTTCATTTTGTTTATATTGTCTTTTCAGTCTTTGTCTATGTATCTGTATTAATAGGTTTGTTTTATTTCAGATGAGACATTTATTTCTTATAATTGACATCTCTGAAGCCATGAGTGACCAAGATCTGAAACCAACCCGTCTCTTGTCCACCTTAAAAGTAGGACCACAATGCTTCGTATAATAATTTATTTGTAAAAATAGGATTTAATAATTGAACAACATTTTCATTAGTATATATTGCCTAAAATGCAAATGAAAAATGATCATGACGTGTATTTAAATTCCTGATAATTTTTTAAAAATTCAGCTTTTGGAGTATTTTGTTGAAGAGTATTTTGATCAAAATCCAATCAGCCAACTGGGTATCATTACCACAAAGAACAAAAGAGCAGAAAAGATATCAGAGCTGGGAGGTAAAACTGTTAAAATGACTGTAAACCAATTATTATTCGTTTCATATTCTATATTGCCAGTTTGAAATCAATTCCATGATGATGAATTTTTACGAATGAGGAAATATTCTCTAGTTATTAGAAGAATTAAATTTAAAATATAAATCCTTGCACTTAATAGTTTATGAATTCAGTATTCTAAAATAATTAAAATTGTAAAATTTATTATTATGATGTAAATTTCCTGTAAAACATGTACAGGACACAAAATCAGTTTACGATATATCCAGAGATTTGCTCTATCCATAAAATTTAACATGCATGGATATGGTTAATTTCACAAGGGATTAAAAAACTTTGATTGTTAACATAACGATAATGGTTCCGTGAATGTGATATATTCAAGAGAGTTCTGCTGAATAAGTTATCTTTTTCTTCTTCAGGAAATCCCAGAAGACATATAACCATGTTACAGAGCCTTGCAGATCAAGTGTGTCATGGGGAACCTTCTCTCCAGAACTCATTAGAACTGGCTAATCAAACTCTCAGGTATTCAACAACTTGGATGTCACTGGAAAAAAAAAATTTTTGTATCTGAAATTGTCTTCGAGTTTATTTGGGAAAAAGTGAAATTTCCTCATATGACAATAATAGTGAATTGCATTTTTTGAATATGTAAATCATTAAATTTTTGCAACATCTTATTTTTGCCAAATAGTCATTAAACCCTCATAAGCAGGACAAAATTTCCTTAAATTATGGTTATTGCTCTAAATAATCTCAAGGTATTCTAATATTTACAAGAATGAAATTTTCACAAGTAAGCTGTCTCGTGTAATTGTGCCAAAATAGAAGAATTACACGCTTAGTGTGGACTTTCAGTAAGGCGTGGCATTTCCTTAAATTAGCTTCTGAAATTTACACAGCTTCCCTTCACTGTTGAAATAAACATATGATAGAAATGCGGCCGAATGTCAACTGGTATAGTAAATAGCCAATTAAAAGTTCTCTCACGGCACAGAGGTGGGGCATAAGTCATCTGATCGTTATCAACAACAATTTTAAGTTCCTATGTTATTAATTTCGTAACCAATGAGAATCTACTAGTATTCTCCATTACGTAGCGCCGAGAAAGTCACGCCTACTGAAAGTCCAAAGATAGGGTAAAATACTCCTAAAGTTCTTGCGAATAGTCCCTAACTGCCTATATACTGCTATACTATTTATATAATACTATATACTTATTATAATTCCTGCATCTATATTCTCTTTGCTCTGAAGACATATGCCAGGACATGCCAGCAGAGAAGTGTTGGTGGTGCTGGGAAGTCTGACGACATGTGACCCAGAGAATATACACAGCACCATCTCCGTAAGTTTACAATAGTAGTCTGGGGTGGGGGTGTGTCTATTATACACAGTTATAATCTCTGTAAATGAACAGTTAATAGTAGGTGGGAGTATTGAAAAAATGAGACCTGCATTTTTATCTTGGAATGCTTTTATGAAAACAACCATTTTTGCCCACAGCTTGAATATTTCTTAATCTATCAAGAATTTCGACTGTTCAATGGATGAATTTTCAGTATATTTCTACTGTATTGGATTTCAGGTCCTTAAAGATGGAAACGTTAGGTGTTCTGTCATAGGTCTGGCAGCAGAGGTGTGCATCTGTAAAAAGTTATGCAAGGAAACACATGGTAAAAATTCACAAATCTAACATTTTAATAATATTGATTTATGGACAAAATGAATCATTTTGAATTCATTCTGATCTTTTGTTTTTAAGTTGCACTTTATTGAAGTAGAGCCATTGCTTAACTGATTTTTGTCCTCCTGTGTTTAGGTAGCTACAATGTAATTCTGGACGAGAGTCATTTTAAAGATCTCCTGACACACCATGTCACTCCTCCACCAGCCACGGTCAGTAACAAATGGCTGGTTGTCCTTGTCACTGAATTAAAGCACTGATTACTTTGTCAAATTTTATCGTCTCATATCTTGTTGGGTTTTTTTTCTTCAGGCAAGCACAGAGTCATCACTCATCAGGATGGGTAAGGTTCTAAAATCGTCTAAAATGAATTTTAAACATCCCTTTGTCTCAGAGAAAGGAAACATTTAATCTTATTTTTAGTGATAATGCAGAAACTGTCAAAGCTATTGCAGTTTGCTTTTCTTGAGAATATAATAAATAGTAATATTAAGTTAGGAAGCAAATATTTTTAAGAAAAAGGAAATGATTTTTGTAAAGAAGCTCTTTAAATTGAAGATTTCTATCTAGTTTTTTTTTTTTCATTGCAGGTTTTCCTCATCATCAACTCAGTTCAGACAAAGAAGAGAGACCATCCATGTGCATGTGGTACCTTGTCATTTAGTTTATTTACCCCTCTCATATAAATTGTTTGTAAGATGGACAAAGTTATTGCCCTTTGAACATTTTCTTGTTTGAAAAACTTGTCTCCTGAAACTTTTTATTTTCTTTACAAATTAAGAATATAATATTTAATAGATTTATTTTCTGTTCTTCTATTTTACAGTCATCTTGACAGCAAAAATGGTCAGGGCTTCAGTAGCACAGGATATTTCTGTCCCCAGTGTAAAAGTAAATACTGTGAGCTGCCCATTGAGTGCAAGGCATGTGGTGAGTTTAACAACATATACAGTTGATATCCTGTGTCTCAAACATTGATACTCACTATCTTCATTAGATACCATAAATATGCCAAAGTGATCTGAAAGTCCCAATTACATATTGTTTTTGTATTTTACACCCCAATACCTTGAATTCTTGAATATCTTGTGTTTCTTCATGGAGCCATTGAATCTGAGATAAGAAGATTTGACTGTATTTTAGGTTTTCGTCATTATACAGTTTGGTGATTTTGTGTAAATTTCAGGTCTAACTCTTGTGTCAGCCCCACACCTGGCTCGTTCATATCATCACCTGTTTCCATTAGAACAGTTTCGTGAAATTCCTGTAGCTCAGATTGGATCAAATGTGTAAGTTAAACATACTGCCCTTAAACTCAGGTATTCACCAAGAATCTCTCTCTGTAATCTTTGTTTTAAATATAAATGTAAAAGTTCAGTATTAAAGGTCTTAGGGTTGCTATAATTCACATGGAAATATTAAAGTGTGCTTTTCTTTTGTAGGATATGCTTCTCTTGTCTATCAACTGTTCAGGAACTTAATGTAAGTTCAGTGAATAAAACAGAATAAAATTGTTCTTGCTGAATTTAAAAAGCCATGTACTCAGATTTCGTTTACTTTCAATGTTATGGATTGATTTACTCTGTGTAATTGATCAGAATGAAAAAAAGATAAAACCTCTTTTCTTTTTATTTGTAGGTGTACGTATGTAACAATTGTGAGCAGATTTTCTGTTTGGACTGTGATTTATTTATCCATGAGACATTACATTCCTGCCCTGGGTGTGCTAGCTCTAGACAAACACAACAATTAGCCAAAATGGCTGGCTTTTCTTGACAGGAATAAAGAACTACAACAGAAAAATGACTTAAGTTTAATATTTTTGAAAGACTGTAATGAATGGAAAACATACTAAAACCCTCTTGAAAAATTGACAATATACAGGTAAAGCTAAAAAAAATAAAACACATATTTTTAGGTTTATCAAAATCATAGGAGTTGGCATACCTACATGTATCAATATTAACTGAAATTTCAGTAAATAAAAAAATATGTTATACTTTAATAATACATTATAATTATATGTTGTATTTAATATTTTTCTATTTAATGGAATTTTCAGAAAAACTGATAGGTATACCAACCCTGCTATTAAAACACATTGAAAAATATTCTCTCGTTCAATGAATTAATATACCGTATACATTTCACATAAATTAGCAAAAAGTCATAAACAATTTTCTGAAGACTATCAATATTGCACAGAAGTGATTTGGCCGTCATCAAAAATCATCCACTTGATTATTCCTACAGCATGAGTACCAGCAACTGAAATGAATGATAAAGACGATAGGTTGCATGTCTCAAAATTCCTTATACTGGAAATTCAACGGAGTGATATAAGTTGTAATAAAGATACAGACCTTTGATATTCTAAATTAAGGACTTCCTCTTTATTTAAATTTCGCCTTTCCCAGCGTGGTGTCGGTAGATCTTTGCCTGACTGAGCTTTTGTTAATGCGCCCAGCCACATCCTATAGAAAGAGATACAAGTATTGATGGATTATAGTGGTCACTAATGGTTGCAAACCTGTATTTGACTGCATTTAAAATATTCAATAATTTTACAGTGTAGCAGGAGGGCAAATAGATGGTGAATACTCTTGAATTCAGTAAAATCTTTTATTGTGAGATTTTAAACGGCAATTATTCATCACTGGCATTGATTAAATAAAGAAGAAAGTGTAACTTAATATACTGGAGCAGAGGCTGGTGGTAAACGGTAGTCTATGTAAAGTTTGTAGTTTGAGTATTTTTTAGCAATCCTAAATTCAAATAAAATAAGCTAATGCAGAGAATGTGTGTTCCTTGCTGAAGAAAAAAGGAAGGAAATGTGCGGATCAAGAATGGATCGAAGGGGGGGGGGGGCTTTAAGAAGAGCAGGGGGGAGTTGTGGTAAAAAAAAATGATTGCTAAAACTTTAACTTCAAAGCTTCTTGAGATATCGCCTGGAAATAAAAGTTACACACACAAAATCTATGAATTTACGACCTTGACCTTTGACCCATTGACTTTAAAATAAGTAGGGGTCTCCCTCTGACCAAAGGGTATTATGGTATAAAATGACGTTGCAAAAACTCAAAGGCTTCTCAAGATGTCGCGCGGAAACAAAAGTGTTACAACTGACTGAATTTATTTCTTTTATTAGTACCTTCGAACCTTTGGCCTCAAATTCAAGAAGGATTTTCTCAGGTCAAAGGGAGTTGTGTAAAATTTCATCGCAAAAGCTCAAAGGCCTCTCAAGATATAGCGTGGAAACGAAAGTGTTACAGAAATACAGACAGACGAACGGACGGACAGAGAGACAGAAATACCGAAATTAATACCCCCCCCCCCCCCACTTACAGCGAGTTAAAGAGCACTGCAATGTGGAGCGTCCCTTCGCAAAGAGCATGTCTATAAATCAAGATCAATCAGCAATCCTCGGCTGACCCCGCTACGCTCCATTCAAACGTGTGCGAGATACGAGCCACCCGAGGAGCTCAAAGTGAAACAAGATAGCAGTCGACATCGATATTACTTCACTTCCGTTTCGCACAAGGACAAACAAACACACACAAGCGCATTTCTATACTAGTGTACACCCCAACTCTGTTGCAAGGAGATAACAACGATGCCTTTAAGATATAGTATGGTTTGGGAAGGAGGTATATTTTTCTTTGATCCAACGTTACGTCCTCCCAAAGTTCCTGTAAAATGTATGCGTTCCCTAAAAAGGGCCGTCACGGTTGGATTGCCTGCAAATCTTATAGGGGGATTTTGCGTAAATGATGCACTTGTACCCTCCGTACATTGTTGTTGACAAAATCAACGCCAAAGTTTGTACACGATTTTGAACTCACCTTGCTGTTTCCGCGTCATTTGCGCAAAGTTTAATGGCCCTGTCACCGGTCAGAACGATTTCTATGAGGGCTGATGAGTCTATCCCGTTTGGTGGGAGAAGATACTGGCACTGCAAGTGAAGAATAATATAAAATCAAAACACAGAGATACATGTACCGTCGCCAGAATTAAAAAAAAAAACATGCTGGTGGCAAAGTATATGGACAAAGAATTGAAGCAACATTGACTGTTCCTGGCTTTGGAGCATGCTACGGAAACAGCTGTGGAACTCCAAAAAGCTCAATAGGAATTACGTATATAGGTGTATCCCTTTTTGAAACAAACCTGACGTCCAGTTTTGATGACGATACAATCTGTTTTGAGATCGTATGATTTTTGAGGACGCGAAGCCCGTTTATTTTTGAACACCCTCACGGCTCCTCCCGAGCAGACGACTATCCAACTTTTCTTCCACTTCCGAAAAAAGGCCTCTAAAAGTGTAAAAATTGCTGTATAAATTCATTTAAATATAATGATTCGGTTATTATTTATGTTTGGACAAGAAATAATAGCAAAGTTTTGGCCATACAGTATGATTTTGTTTTGCACCGAATCATTGTTGCCAGAGTATAAGTTAATGTTTACAGGTCAATAATGACCGTTCTGAATTAGCTCTTTAATTTCTAGAGCCCTGTAATTTAACAAAAGAATTAAAAAATTTCGATTTAAACTTACTTGACCAGTTGTTTTGTAATACTGATCTTAACAATGGGTTAACTTGCAAAATATTATTAGGTCCAATTAATTGTTTAAATTTATTCAGAAACCGTTATTTCAATAAAGAAAAGCAGAGCTTAAATTCTTAAAAAAGGCATTTTTATCATAATAAATTGTCTAACATGCATGCATATTGCATTGTTGTTATGGTGCTTACTTTGTCTAAATATCCATCCAGCTTTCACTATCATTCCATCGCCTTCTTGTGTGAAAAGAGAGGCCATTTTCCATCACTGGGGACAAACAACCGTGTCCCGATGGGAACTCTTATCCTGCTAAGGATATAGACTGTATATAGAAACCTTTATCCCACGAAGTCCAGTTCTGACTAAGTTAATTCCACAATGCAGTTTGTTCATGTGTATTGCCTGGTATTTCTTTGTCACCTATTTAATCCTTTAAATGACCCAATGATCCATATGCAAAATGAAATCGATTTTATTTTAAAATACAATACTGTTTTCTCTACTTGAGAAGATTATTCCACTGATACCATTAATCGACTTGGAAAACTTGGAGTGTACATTTTGAAATGGACGGCTTGAATTTTCGTTAGAGAGTTATTAGTTTCTTTTATTATCACTAATGATTTAGACTGAATATGCGTTTTTTTCTTTGTTTTGAAATGATGATTGTAAGTTGCAAAAAGTAGCTGCATAACTGTAGCTCTGTTGGTAAAACAGAGAGTTATGGATCCAGTCTTTTTAAAAAACCTTCGACTTTTGGACAGTAACAGGAATAGAAGTATAACGCACATGTATATTTTATCAAGATCGTGAGGGAAATGTGTATGAAGATTTATTCAACCAAGGAAAACCATATTCCTCCGAGGGCTTCACTCGACGGGAATTTGATTTTTCTTGGCTGTATAAATCCTTCCTGTTTTCTGAACATTTATACAATAAAACAATTGTTTTTTACGCCAAAATAACGAAGTACTTAAAAATTAAATGAGATATAACATAGAGACTGAATAAATCTTTCTGTCTCTCGCACGATCATGCAATATAAAATGTATATTTTATTTCATGAGCGGAAACCATTCTTCGGGACTGAGAAATCAATGCGATCCTCACAACGTCAAGGGTATACTGAGTCCACTCGTCGCAACGCGTTGACTCAGGACCCCTCTGACATTGTGAGGACAAGGAAATATATACACGTACGTGTATAGAATTTGAGAAATAATACCAAAAATGTGCAACCAAAAAATACGGAGTTGCGGAAGATCGAAGATCACAATAATGGGTGGCTATTTAATTCTTTGGTACATGTAGGTCTGTCAAATTCTTCAGTGCCACAGTTTTGTAGCTATCACAAAAGAAAAGACATGAAAGTTAGCAATAAAAGAAGGGTTTTTGGTTTTGTAGGGTTAAAGTCCACTTACCTTTTAGAAATAACCCCCCTCCCCCGAAAATCAGAGATTTGCTTGCTCAAAGGCTCAAAAAAGGTATGTAATCGATCAATATGTCAAGCATAACATTGATTTTGAATCCGCGCGTTGTGAAGCCATGAAAATGTGAGCAACCATCAAGTTTACGAATAAGGCAGCCATACCCAAAGTATAGCAGCCTGTGTATAACTTGCTTTATTTCGTAATCTTTAACTTTGTTTCATAAATTGCTTAACATCCCCATTTATTAAAATAAAGATTTACTTTTATATCTTATAAAATAAAATTATAGATATCTGAATAGAAACCAAGAAACAAGAATGGCTAAAAAGTGCCGTACAATATGGAGAAAAACTACGTCTTTGTCCAAATAATTTAATGAATTGTATCAAGATGAAAGAAATCAAGTTTAAAAGTAAGGAAGAAAAAAATGAAGGGCTAGACCAGGATTCAAACCCGATCTCCCTGAACAAAAGGCGCTATTGTCTTGCGATTGAGCAATCTGGCCCCTGGAATCAAACCTGCCTGGTCGCTATATTCCTCCTTCAATAAATAAATACCGACCTACCCCCTCCTTCCCGAATAGATAACCAGGATCATCCAAGACAGGTCTGCTACTTGCTAGGGCATGGACGGCACCTCGCGTAGCAGGACCAAACCAGGATCGAATCAATGCATGCCCCCCCCCCCCCCCCCCCCCCCTGTTCTCGGCATACTGTAAAACAACTTTTATTCGCATGCGAGAGATATCCGCGATATCCGCGAACCCCATTAAATAGCGAATATTAATCGCCGCGAACCATTTCTGTAAAGAATTCTTCCTCAGTCGCGAAAAGAATGAAGGCGTACAAGGTGATGTCAATCCCCCGCTCTGAGAAAAGACATTTCTTAATTCTAAAAGTTCATGATAGCTATATTTTTCAAAATAATATGGCTTTATATATATATCTTCTTTTACACATTTAATTCTGTATTTCATTGTTTTAATATTTTATTAATAATTTATTTTGTTCACTCATGTTTTTAAGATACCGGTATGTGAATACAAAAAGTAAAAAGCGTCACGTATGAGTGATTACCGTATGACTCGAACTCTCTCCACAGCGCAGGGTTTGGCACAGGACCGACCGCCTCAACCACTACGCAACCACTAAGTATATGCGTTATCGATGTCTGTCAGTGGGATTTAAATGAACGGGTTTGTTGAAGCGTATATTTTTTCCAGAAATGTTCGATTTTCATATAGAATGGGTTCAGATTCCATTTTGGACAAATGATATAGATTTCACATTTACGTTTCTATCATTTAAGTGTTAACGAAAAATGGAGACTTGACCCATTCATGTTCAAAATTCATTTCTTATGGCTCTAGTAAACCCATTTTTACAAAATACGCTTAACTGTCGACTTTGAAAAAAAAGATTGTCAAATGATAAGTCGTTCAGTAAAATAAATAATAAAATGATTTGAAGATGACATTACTGAGAACATGATTTTAGAAAGAAAAAAAACTTTTCCGTGAATTTTGAAAATTGTGAAACATATTATCTCAGAGTGGGGGATTGTCCACGCCTTCTACGCCCTCTTTCTTTATCGTCGCGGATTGATTTCAAATCGACAAATCGCGAATAAAAGATAACGCGAATAATGTTTGGTTTACAGTAGGTGTACGTGCTTTACCAGTTGAGCTATCTGGCTACAGGTGATCACCGTAACAAGGGAAACGAGAGGTCTCATATTATGTATATACAATAACTGTGTGAGGGTAACTTAAGAATTCAATCTGTTTTGTCAATACACTGAGCATCTCTGGTTATGTGAATACAGTTTATACCGGTATGTTGTTTTTCCCCCAACATTCAAATGGAAGGTTTAAATTTCATAGGGTCGCAGACTTTTATTACCAGACTGATAACATGGGTCCGTGCGTGCTCTGTTCTGTTGGAGACACTCTCATATTACATAAATCTTATTACTATTACGCTTCCTTACTGTTTCACGTGATAACTGCTCCGTGCTCACACTGCGTGGTGGTGTTCTAATTAGACTCGTGTAATCTCTAATGCCCGATATAGTACAGATTTTTATGTCTGAACCAATTTTTAAACTGATAACATACTACAAAAATTTCAAATATCTTATTTCAAATAATTTACGATTTAAATATAACTCGTAAAAATCGCAAAATTAGACGTCAGATGTGAGAATTAGGATCAAGATTCTGCAAAGAACACGCGGAGTATTTGTTGCATAATCGTAAAAAGGAAGAAGTGACGACCTCGTTGTGACGTTGATGTACATATCTGTATCTTGGTTCAATAATCTTGATTTTTTTTTCTGGTTGACCTTAGCTTCATCTTAGGCATGCTCGTGTCATAGTTTTTGAATCCTTTGTGTATTACGTATACTGGAATATTTTTAAGATGGAATCTGGTGAAAAATATAATTCAAGGTAAGAAAATAAATTAATTTTTCTCCATTGATGTTTTATTATTATTATTTTTTAATATTATGGAAAGTCTTGGTCAAGAAATTATATCTCAAAGGATGTGAGTAATTTTTTTTATTTTCTCAGTCAATAACAGCTAAATAAATGTTTTAAAAACATTTTAAGCGATACAAATGTTAATTTTGTTTTCCTTGGAAACAAAATAAAAAAAAACAGTGATGAAATTCCCATCTCTTCTTTGTCGATCATGTATAATTTGGGGGTGGGGGAAGGGATGTGAAGAACGGAAAAATTAATTTGATTTAATTTTTTTGAAATTGTAGATTCTTTTTCTTTGAACATCATTAAATATTTAGATTTTAAAAAATCAAAGGAATTAACATAGTACTAATCAGAAATTTAGTATTAAATATATTTTGCTATTAATGTTTTGAATACATGTGTACCTGTATATGAAATGTAAACCGATCAGCTCAGTTCTATAAACTGTGGATCCTGACTGCATGAGATTTCTGTAGTTACAGCAGAGGCGAATGTTTGATACATCCTCTCAGCAGCAATGTAATATGAGGAATTATTTACTTGAGATTCTCAGCATTCATGCCACGGCCAATAACTTGCTTAATGATGCATTACGAAGGAGCACTTATTATTACTGATTCGTTAAGTTAATCATAAAAATAAAAGAGGCAGATTAAAAATAAAGAAATCTCAAGTTTCTACAGCGTACTTTCAGAAAAATACTAGTATATGAGGAAAAAAGAAATGATATTTTTTAAAAGAAAAGGTTCGACGGATGAAATCAATACTTAAATCTCATCCCTCTTACTCCCCACTCTCTCTGTACCCCCACTTTCTTACTACCCTCTCTCACTCCCACACTCTCACTTCCCAATTTCTCCACTCTCTCTCTTACTAACTCTCTCCTCTCTCAAACACACACTCTCTCTCCCCACTGTCTCTCTTACTCACTGTTTCCCCACTGTCTCTGTCTAACTCCCCCCTCTTCTCTCTCCCACTCCCCACTTTCTCCCTCACTCCCCCACTCTCTCTCACTCCTTCTCCTTCTCTCACACTCCTCTTCTCTCTCTCATACTCCTCTCTCTCCCCTCCTCTCTCTCTCACACTCCTATCTCTCTCATACTCCTCTCTCTCACTCCTTCTCTCACACTCCTATATCTCCTCCTCTCTCTCACCTCCTCCCCTCCTCTCTCTCCCACTCCTCTCTCTCACTCCTCCTCCCCTCTCTCTCTCACTCCTCTCTCTCTCTCTCTCTCTCTCTCTCTCTCTCTCTCTCTCCTCTCTCTCACACTCTTCCTCTCCCTCTCACACTCCTTTCTCTCACTCCCCTCTCTCTCCTCCTCTCTCTTTCTCTCACGCTCCTCTCTCTCAGACACTCCTCTCTTCTCTCAGACACTCCTCTCTTCTCTCTCTCACTCCTCTCTCTCTCTCTCTCACTCTCTCTCTCTCTCTCTCTCTCTCTCTCACTCTCTCTCACTCCTCTCTCACCCCTCTTCTCTCTCTCACTCCTCTTCTCTCTCTCACCTCTCTTTCCTCTTCCTCTCTCTCTCTCTCTCCCTCTCTCTCTCTCCCTCTCTCTCACTCCTTTCTCTCTCCCCACTTTCTCCCTTATTCTCTTTATTTTTTGTCCGTCTTACTTGGTTACTACTTTACTTGTCCTTATGGGAAAAAATATATTCATTTTATATGGATTTTATAAAATTTATCACACTAAAAATAATGGAAAAATACTTATTCTAGAATACAGAGAAAATTGTTGTCGTTAATATAAAAGAAATCATAACATTTCTATTCTTGATTTATTACTTTAAATTGGGTTTTGCAGAATTGTTTATTTTTTGCAGAAAAATGAATGTGAAATAAAATAATAAGGGCGATAACACCAAGCAACAGAAATTACTCTTCCGAATTCACAATTAGATCATTGTATTAAATTTTTGCGGATTAAATTTCAAATGCTTGAAGAACAATGTTTATATACTTACTTACATGCAAGGAACTTGAAATGTCAGCTTGAATTCCCAGCTGGATATTATTGTTGTACTGTTATGAAAAGTAGATATGCGACTAATGCCCTCAATGAGGAGATTTATAAATATTCTTTATCTGACCAAAAATATAATTAGGGTTTGACATTCACTATCATTTCCCTATTATGCATTCAGTTTATATTTTATATTTTTATAATTTTTTCTCCTATTCAGTCATTGCGTTGCGTTGAATGTTAACCAAATGCACTTGCATCATAACTCCCTTGTTCTGCATATTACCCGGTATTTCATATTTTCTTTTATTGTATATAATTTTACTGTATATAAAATATTCGTTTGGTGTTTTATCCAAATACGTATATACTGTTTATAAAACTACAGGTTATCTTTACTTGTTGCATGGATCTACTCTACTAACCATAGATTTCTACGTAGCGTTTTTGAATGGACAGTGTTAAATCATTTACCGCGTTGGACCATCAGCGTAATTTGAGTAAACGTTCACCTTAATTATAACAGGTTCTTGCCATGCTTAAGGGGGGAATTGAAATCATTTAGAATTAAGCAATAGAGCCATTCAATAAAAAAGAGAAATATAAGTAAATTGTGGGTTTAATATTGTTCCAAAATTGTTTCTATAGTGCAAACGCACCCTCCTTAAGCTTACATAGAGTTAAAAGTTTGTAAATCGTAAAACACTTAAAACAGGCTTTCAATTCTAAGTCAGAATGCGGTTATGACAATGACTGGGTTTACGAAAGCATATTAGTGCCACGTAACATATTTTTTTAATTTGGTAATTCCAACTTTAATCTTGGCTCTTTCAACTTAATCCCAAATTAATGTTGGTAATTCAACTTTGAAATAGACTTTAGTTTGTAATTCCAACTTAAATCTATATGGATTTTCCAACTTTTAGTCTTCGCCTTTTTAACTTTAAAATTGACTTTTCCAACTTAAAAGTTGGCGTTTTCAACTCTAATATGCATCCGTAAACGTAAGTGTTGGAAAAGACAATTTTCAAGTTGGAATTATCAACTAAAAATATACCGGTATTACATGATACTAATATGCTTTCTAGACCGCCACCAAACTTCCCCAACCCAGCTTTAACCATATCACATCTAAAAGTATTATGAAGTTTCCAACAATCTATTGGAATTCCAAAACTTTGCGCCTCAATTTTCTTTTCGTAGTCACACGAAGCAGAATTTGACCAAATTCATATACGTGAAAAGAAGAAAACGCTTGCTGTGGCTCTCAGGTTTATAAATCCATAAAATTTAAAGGCGTAAAAATTTAACATAATTTATAAAACGGCTCGTATAATTTTTTAACATGGTATGTGTAAAAGTAATGCTTATTGCTACTGACTCCATGTTATATAATTAGTATACTGTTAGTATTTTGAACACCAATCACAATCATCAATTGGGATCATACAGGTAAATCTCAATTAACTTGTATATAAATTATACAAACATTGTCAATTAATTTATAAGTTAGACCTACATGGTTACTCTTTTTTTAGTATTTTTTAACACGCATAACTTCTGATAATGACTTAATAATTACAGCTCTTCCAATTAAATGTAGATGCGTGTTTTCAATCAGCTTGATGTTTTGAATAAAACTTCGACCTCTTAATACGCTGTACTTAATTAAATACTTTCACTTCAATTATGTTAGTTTGAGTTGTCTCTCTTTGTTTTCGGTAAATATACCAGACATGCACGTGTATGGCACGCCAAATTCACAAAAATGAGATAAACCTAGTTTCACAATTGATAAACTTATATTTAAACTAAGTTTACAAACCGTAAACTGCGTTCAATATAGTTAACGATTCGTTAAGTATGGTTTTCTTAAAACATATTTAACTGCACTATAGTTTACTGCTAATCAATATATTGTGTGTTTGTTTTGCTTTCGAACGTGTGTAAACTAGAATTTTCTGGATTATAGTTATTAATATTTTTCACAAATTTATACAATATTTACGAGATTGCCACTAAATTTCCTTTACAAATCGTGAAACTATATTTATCAAAATTAAATTTTGCAATCGCAAATGATAGTTTTCGGTGTTAAGTATAGTTTACGGTTGTGAAACATAGATTATCGCGTTAACCCGTTTACAGAAAAATATTAAAATTTGTTAACTATAGTGTACAGTCCGTAAACTATAGAAATAAAATTTTTAAACTAATTTGCTTGTGTGAAATGTGCCTAGCTATGTTTATAAATATATAAGGGCACATTGCTCATGTATATATAGGTTATTTTAAAAAAAATTATACCATGTGCGGACTTCGGGGGGTGTAAAATCTGGGTATGAAAAGTTAAAGATTTGAGGCAAAGGAAAGTTTGTAATTCCAACTTAAATAGGTTTTTGACGATTTTCTTTACTTTTTTTTTTTTTTGCTTGTCAAGAAATTTTTGATTTTTTTTTACTAAGTCGGACTTTGGAAAAAAAATTCTGACTTGTATACAATTCATTATGTAATTTGTTTGCATTGTTTATATTGTTATATCAAATTAACATGTGTTTAAACTCTCTAAGTGTTCTCTCTTAAAGACATATTTTAAACGTTATTTGTACACGTAAAAATATACCGGTTTTGAATTTTTACGGACATATTCAATTCGTAAAAGATCAACGTATAAAAATTTAAATCACCTTTTTTGACCCAAATTTAAAAATATACACATAAAAAAGTATGGTATTTTATTTCAGTTTCCATAGTTTGTTTTAATCAATATTGCATTTATTAATTTCAATTTTATGCCTGATGAAATCAGGTGCTTTGATCCTTTTCATGCCAGCACCTACTCCGACACAAGACCTTGATTTATCCAGTCACATAGTAGCAGATCATTTCACAACCAAATTTCAAATAAAAGATTCTCATTGAAACTTTGAGAAGAAAACTGTTTGTCATGTACGTCTTTTTCCGCTGTGCTTTGCCCTCAAAAGCTCAATTTCAAAGAAACTATTCAATTTTTTTATATTAAACTATGTATATCGCACAACATATTTTAACTTTTATTTCCTTTGAACTTAATCACACCTTATGTCGATAACATTCAAGATAATCCAAACTTCATGTGCCGCTATGTACTGATATGTGCTGATACATACTATAGGCCTACAGTTTGTAACTGATATATTTTGTTTTACCTTTCTTATTTAAGTTTTCTCATATTTTACTCAGAAAAAATTCAAGACTATAAGTTTCTTTTAATGGTTATATTTTTTTTACAACCAAGCTTTATAATTCATTGATAAACTTGATGAAAGCATATATTTTTACAACTTCATATGCTGATACACTGTACACACTTATGCAGCAACATGTATAACAAATGTCATCACGTGCATACGGGGTTTATATCTTCAAGACATTTTTATACAACTTTATATCGATACAGTTTGATCAACTTTCCTGCTCCTCACGTCTTTAATTTGAAATTTGCATTATTAAAGAAACAATATTTTATTGTAAGCCTAAAACGAGGAATTTCCAATTTTTGACAAACAAGTCACTGAAAAAACGAATATCATATTTAAGAATAAATCATCATGTAAAATCATAGTTTTGAACCTAATAAATTCTATGGTTGGATATCTGCTCAATAAAAATTTGATCAGCAATTACAATTTATCATTGAAACTTTAAATACTGTATTTGTACGTTTTTATAATGCAGGGTACAATTGTTAGACCATTATATACGAGGGGTGATCAAAATGTTCGCGAACTATAACTTTCAAAAAAGAAATGATATAGGGTTTCGGTGTTGAAAATGTTTCAAAAGTTCAGTCCTCTCATTCTTAATACAGTCCTTTTCTGCAAACATTGTAAGTTACTTCCTCAAAAACCTTTGCGCGGATCACGTAATTTTTATAATGGTTTGACAGTCACGTGACATGCTCCTTAGCGTTCTGTCACAGAAGCTTTAATTTTTTTCCGACTCTTATATTTCTAACCATGCAAGTTACTTTTTGCAACAAAAACAGTCTAATTGTCAGAAATGGCCTAATCTCTGAAATAGTATGGGTGGATAAAGATATCCTTTTGCAGAATGAGCATGGTGACCATCAAAACCCAAGTCCTCTGTCTTTTAAGCGTCGTTTATTTCATGTGGATAAAGTATGGGTGCCTTTACTTTATCATATCTGATCTGTTTAAAGTCTAAAGTGAACGATATTTTAGGAATTTGATAATTATATTATTGTAAAGATATTCATTATTTTTCCAAACTGTAAGTTGGCGATCTTTCATATCAAACTGCTTAACAAAGGATAGGTCTCTCTCCAAGTTTGCTTTCACAGGGCAACAGAACAAACATCATTTTTATACATCTCCCTTCCTTCACTCAAACAATCAATCCAATTAATGACAAAGGTTGTGGCAAGTCTTTTGTCTTCACAAACCATATACAAATTATTATAAACTTCTACAAAGGAATTTCCAAGATATACGTATAACTTTACAGCCGTTCGTTTCTCGAATAAGACTGAGTCAACCATTTTTTGTCACAAGTGATCTACCTTATAACGTCATTTTCACATTGGGAAAAACTTTCCATTACATATGCTATTAATAGAACATGTGTATGACTTTATGTGTGCCGAATTTCATTCTGAACTGAATCATGTGAATTGTGGTTTTGTAAATATAGAGATAGTTCGCGAACTTTTGATCACCCCTCGTATACCCTGAATTGTCCACGGATTTCCCCGTAATGTGACCGGTCGGCAGGGGATGCTCAATCCTCCATGGCATCTGATTCCATCTCTGATGTTTTGAAGGTCTGTGTTTGCTCTGCTCCAATTTTGTATAGTTTAATTGACTTTTGAGCTTGAATACTGGACATTTTCTCCATATTTTCATCTAATTTTCACAAGAAGTGAAAGTCGCGGGTTTTTCGGGTGAGACTTTAAAAGCCGAGGTCCCATATCACGGAAGGCGTTGAAACGATAATGAATCCTTACTGATCATTGGCTCTAAGTGCCAAGTATAGGTCTAAATCTAAGATCATTGACTAGCGATGTCTCTATATGAGTCAGAAATTCTCGAATGGGACTTTAAACAACATACAATCAATTAGTCAAGTAACTGGAATTCTAGTTTCAATAGGAATAAAATGTTTACGGATTTTTACAATCTAAAGCAAAAAAAGTTCAAATATTTCTTAATATCATGTTATTTTAATCAAACGATTCTCTTCTGATCAGCTGTTTAAAATATTCGGTTAATGTTGAATGAAGTTTCCATCTTAGTTTGAGTTCATTCAAGCTCATTTGTAATTATAAGATATTTCTTTTCTATTTATATTATAAATATTTTGAATTATCTCACGCGTTGAACCCTTCGTGCTGAGAGGGCAACCGTGCAATAGACTTAATCGATTTAAAACACATTACACAAAATTATATATTTCATCCATATTACTTCTTCATTTTTCTTCCTTTAATAATGACGGTTCTTTTAATTAAAACAGACTTTTGCCATGATAAGATGTAAGTTGACTGAAAGAAATGTAAACGCACAAATATTTTTAGCCTTGGTATCAATGGAATAGTAAATCTTGGTCAATGTGAAATTAATAAATGTAATAATTTTAGATAAAATAGAAACATATTTTTATTAGATACATATGCATAGATACGGCATACATGTACACGTATTATAAATACATACACATGTATATATCTGTCCGTCCATGCGTCTGTTTGTTACGGATACCCATCCATTATCATCATGTCCTCTTTTACCACTAATTGAAATTTTATTAGACTTTCACAGAATCTCTGGTACATAGCACCATTGTGACCTACATTTTTTGTTACTTTCTGATCGAATACATATTTGGGTTTCCCATGGCAAAAAAAAAAAAAAAAAAAAGAGGAAACTATCATTCTTTCTATGATATTGAAGGATATTACTTGAGTAATCTCTTATCCGCAACTCCTCCTTTTCCACTGTATAAAATTTAATGATACTTTCAAAGGTTCTTCATAACATAATACTCGAACTCACATTTCTGCTTCTTTTATTTCAACACACTTATTTCGGGTCTCCGAAAGCAAAACATGGATTTTGCCATCAGAATAACACAAGAGGTGGGGGTATCATTTAGTGAGCTCAGTGCTAACAGTACCTCTACTTGTTATTCGAATAATGTATTTTTTTTTTACTTTTAGCGGGAAAGAATTCTGGTATAAGAGACGTTCATCGACTGAAAAGATACTCCTTTTGCTGACCGCCATTTTAATTCTGTTTTGTGTGATTCTAGTTTGTGTGGTTGTATATTTATCAGTTACAAACACTCCTACAGAGAATCAAAACGGTAATTCGCACATTAAAATACATGTACTAGTAAATTCTTTAATAAAGAACTTTAATTCTGTGAAGATTTTATATTACAATGAAAATCACGTAAATGTACTAAATTTGCCCTTTCAGTTTGTGATACTTTAGAATGCATAAGAGCAGGTAAGATTTGAAAGAAATAATTCCATGTAATCATTGATACAAACATTAAAATACGGTTTTTACTTTTTAGACATTTATTTGAAGCTGAATTTATTTTATTGACATTCATAACTGTTGATATCATTTAAGCTGCTAGAGTTGCAGACGGCATTGACTTTTCTGTGGACCCATGTGACAATTTCTATGAGTACGCATGCGGAGGCTGGATGAAGAGTCACGTGATACCCAGTGACAGATCTTACATGGCTAGCTTTACAATTTTACGCGACACAATACAAGTAAAGTTGAAACGTAAGGATAAGCTTTTTATGAAATTTCCTGACGTTGAACATGTTTATTTTTGCCATAAAGAAGAGAGTTTCAAAATCTTCGGATTTCCGAACATACGCAATATAAAAATGCATTATATCATACATTGAATTTGTACATGGTACTACAGTATTCAGGATCTAAACAAATGAACATAGGGTAGATGTTGTTTAAATAAAGACATTGTATCCAGGGAATGCATTGGTATGATTTGATTTGCTTTTTTTCCCCAGAGCTCTTGGAAGAAGATATTACCAGTAATGATCTGGACGCCGTTGTAAAAGCCAAGAGACTGTATGGTTCCTGTATGAATACAAGTATGTCGACTGAACGTTTTCCTTAGTCTAACGATTGGCGAAAAATTAACTTGCCCAATTAATTTTTTTTCTAAAAACACTTTCCTAAAACCTGAATAAAGTAAGAATTTAAAAAAAAATCCATGAAATATATTTGTATTGCTTTTAAATAAAAAAGTTTTGAAACATTGGCATGCATTGAAGTTGAAGTCCATTTACAGCATGGAACATAAGCTGGACAGATTAATTTCATTTAGTCAACATTTCTTTATATTCACAGCTGAAATAGAAGGCGAGGGAATATCTGTTGCTCTGCCACTGTTAGAAGAAGTCGGAGGTTGGCCAATATTAGGGACAAACGAGGGAGGGAACTGGAAGGAGGATAATTTTTCTCTGGCCTCTCTAATCGTCGTCATAAATAAATACAGCAACGTTCCATACATATACCCTTACGTTTTAGCTGATAGCAAAAATAAAGAGCAACGTGTTTTATATGTGAGTACAATTAATGTTAACTTTCTGAAAAGGATTGTACAATGCTATTATCGATGAGAATTCGGTTTTGCAAAACACGCAAAATATAAACGGTGTATATGTATATAAAATAAAAAAAACCCATTGATTTACGGCGCCCATAGTCTAATTCATCGAAAGATGGTATAGGAGATTTCCTATATTACAAATTGTCATATATATGTACATGTGCTCTAACATGTATTTCACTGCTTCTTCGAATTCAAGTTTCTCAATGTACAATTGAGTTGTTGATATTTCTGTATTGTCCAGCTTGACAACCCCGGCTTCATTATGCCAGATAGGAACCACTACAACAAACCAAAGGATAACCCTCTGATGAAGGCCTATTTGGAATTAGGGGTCAAGGTCGCTGTGGAGTTCGGAACCGAAAGAGAGGCAGCACAGAAGGACATGGAAGACATCTTGGATCTAGAAATAATCCTGGCAAATGTAATTAATGTATTTTTGAAATTTGAATTTCAACCTAAAAACGTCTTGGAATGAAATAATTGTGCAAATGGCGTATATTGTTTTTGTCCTCCCAGTCTGTTTGTCTGTTTATTTTGTTCTGTTTGTCTGTCATTGTCTCTCTTTGTATTATACTGTTGACCGTTAAGGCAACTTTATACCTTTGCCATAACTTTTGAACCATTGGATCAAAAACAAAGACTTCATATTTGGTATGCATACTCCACCAATGAAGTTCTTTCAAATGACACCAAGTTCAATGACCTTGTGACCTTGACTGTGACCTATTTGCTAAAAATAGCTTTTTCGAATTTTCGCCATAACTTTTGAACCATAAGAGACGGAGACTTCATATTTGGTATGCATACTCCACCAATGAAGTTCTTTCAAATGACGCCAAAGTCAATGACCTTGTGACCTTGACTGTATGGCCTATTTGCTAAAAATAGTTTTCAACAGATAACGACCGATTTTGTTTGACGCCATAACTTTCACCAATGTAACCATACATCGGCCGAGAGATGCATCGAGACCTTTATAATTGGTATGGCAACCACTTCATTTTTCTCAATAAAACGCATTGGTTGCCATCGCTGGATAATGTGACTGATACTTTAAGGTACTTGGCCGATGACCTTGTGACAACACTTGACCGATTACCACCGGTCTACGACCGGCCGGGAAATATTTTTTAATTCACAAAAATTGAGCTTATCATAGTTTCACAGTCAATAAACTAGGTTTATCGGTTGTAAACTATAGTTTACGGAGTGTAAACTATAGTAAACAACGTTAATCTATATTTTACATTTCTAAACCATAGTTAACGCGATAATCTTTCTTTCAGAACCGTAAACTACCGGTATACTTACATGTAACACTGAAAACAATCATTAGCGATTGCAAAACAGATTATCATGATTATCTGATAATACAGTTTCACGATTTATAAACTAGGGTTTACATCTCTTAACTATAATTAACGATCTGATAAATATAGATTCACGATTTGTGAAACTATGCTTAACAACTCTTAACTATAGTATACAATTGTAAATTATAGTTTAGAAACGCGAATCTATGTTTATCAACAGAATCTATTGTTAACGTTTTATTTCAGACAGATTAGCTTAGATTTGCATTCGTAAACTATAGTTAACAACCGTTAAACATAGTTTTACAGATGAAAACTATAGTAAACGAATTGCTAACTATAGTTTACGGTTTGTAAACTATAGTTTACAGTCGATAAACCTAGTTTATCAAATGTGAAACTATGTTTGGCTCATTATTTGAATTTGGCGTGCCATACTTACGAGAGGTGATCAAAAAGTTCGCGAACTAATTGAATAACTTCCAAAAAAGAAATGATATAGGGTTTCGGTGTTGAAAATGTTTCAAAGCAATCCTCTCCGATTTTAATACGCATCTGCAACCATTCTGCCAATGAGCGGATCACGTGTATATATATAGTCAACATGCTCCTTACGTTAATCACATATTTTACATTTTCTAACCATGCAAGTTAAACAAAAACATGTTTCAGAAATGGCCGTAATCTCTAAATAACACTGAAAACAATCATTTGCGATTGCAAAAACAAGATTATCTTTTAATACAGTTTCATTTTGTAAACTATGGTTTACAACTCATAACTTTAAAGTTAAAGTGAACTATAAATTTGATAATTATATTTTTGTAAAGATATTATTTTTCCAAACTGTAAGTTGGCTTACTATATATCAAACTGCTTAAAAAAGGATACAGTCTCTCTCCAAGTTTGCTTTCACATGGTAACAGAACAAACATCATTTTTATACACGTTTTATTCACAAACAAATATCAGATTAATGACAAAGATTCGTAAAGTCTATAGTCTAACAAACTATATACAAATTATTATAAACTTACACAGGAATTTTTAAGGTATAGTTTAACTTTAATTGCTAACTATAGTTTAACGTTTTTTGTAAAGTGATATACTATGACGTTTTTTCACATTGTGACGTTACAAACCTAAAACGTTTATCTATTTATATGTGTATGATTTTATGTGTGCCAAATTTCATTCTGATCTGAATCGTGGTTTTGTAAATATAGAGATAGTTTGCGAACTTTTTGATCACCCCTCGTATTACATTTTCGACTTCTTCTTAAGAACCAGTAAGCCCATTTCAACCAACCTTGCCACAAAACATCTTTTGATAAAGGGGATTTTAATTTGTCCAAAGGAAGTGCCATGTCCCCTTTCAAGGGGGGGGGGGGCTAATTTTTTATAATATTTGTGAAAATCTAGAAGCATCTTTTAAAAATCTTCTCAAGAACAACATAGCAAGAAAAGATGAAACATGAAAGATTTTTTTCGTTATTTTCCGATCATGACAAGGAACACACAGCGGATGTAACCGGTCGGGGGATACTCGCCCGTCCATGATATCTGATCCCATCTCTGATGTTCTCGAGGTCCATGTTCGCTCTGCTCCTATTTTAGATTGTTTTATGGCCTTTTGAGCTTGAATGCGATTCGTTATCTCCACATATTTCATACTTTAGTCTCAATTTTGTTCGTATCAATTCATAACCCCTTAGGGTAGGGCGGGCCACAGGAGGGGTCGAAGTTTTGGAGTTACCTAAAACATTGAAGGATCTGGTTAGTTCAGGACATATAAAAAAAATATAATAATATTTTTATCGACTCCAAGATTTTATTTCGCGTTTGAATATATATACTTTTAAAAAATCTCCTCTATCGTAAGCCTAGAATACATTTTTTTATTTAGCATATTCAGAAAAGACTATTAATGCATTAGTTATGTGTTGGTTTAGATATCGACCCCTTTGGAAGGACGTAGAGACAACGAAAAGCTCTACAATAAATTTTCTGTGGGAGAAATGAAAAACAACCTAACGGAGTCAGATAAGGTGAGAGAAAAGTCTTACTTTTCAAGTAAATAAAAAGTTTACAATATTTATTTCCTAACCTCTTCGATGAATTTATGTAATTACACTAAATCAAGTAAATACTTGTGTATAGAATTTAAAGGTATTAATGCTAGACTTCTTTTTTTTGCAGCTGGGTTTTACATGGTTTGACTACGTTAACCAATTGCTCCAGTTGGTGAACTTCACAGTGCAAGAAAACAACACTGTGATTGTTAAGGACGTGGAATATATGAGAAATTTAATGCACACCTTAGAAAAATTCCCAAAGAGGTTTGTGATTGAATTTGATACAGTACTCTAAATTTTGTTCCAGATCAGATAGTATGTTGAGATGAAAACATGAACACAGATATAAACACCTTTATATGTTAAAAATTTCTAAAAATACAAAAAAAAAACCACCCATCAGTGTTTAGAGTTTTCTTAAAAAAAAAAAAGAACAGAGTCTTCCTCAATTCTAACAAAACATGTTTTCCAACTTAAGAACCATAGCCAATTACGCTGTTTGGAGACTGATGGTGAACCGAATCAAAGACCTTCCAGACAGATTCAGGCAGTACCTAGGGGAGTTCAACAAGGTGATGTGATAACTCTATTTAGATTAATTAAAACGGGTAACATATAGGGGATTTGGGTTTGTATGAAAATATAAGTTTGCTAAAACTTTTTGAAAAAAAATCATGTCAATTTCATTTAATGACACAGAAGCGGCAATGACCAGATACAGATAGTATGTCATGAACTTGACTCGAATTAAAGTCATTTCGACATGGATATTTGGAAATGTGGTTTTCTTATTTCTGGTTCAGATCTCCAGAGAACCAAACCATGTTTCATTGTTCAAAAAATGTATGGTCAAAGAAATTCAAGGATAAGAAGTTGACTTATTCCATGCTTTTATGAAGAATGAATAAAGCAAGACTTCATGTACACAAAGTAATATTGTAAAGGTCATGGCCATGATGTCTCTTTTCAAATGTTGTTTGTACAGGGTCAAATAGGTCATGATAACTATGCCATACTGATACTGAGGTATATTCAGATTTAAATTGACATCTTCAGTTATTTGTATTTTGATAGGTTCTTTATGGATCTACTCACATCCGCTCCCGTTGGCGTAAGTGTGTCGGATTGGTCGTGAGTTACATGGGGTTACCTCTTGGTCGACAGTTTGTAGAGCGACACTTTGATGAAGAAGCAAAATCTGGAGTAAGTTATCATATACGTTGCGCATTCTAAAGTATATACATGTATACACAAAATATTAAATGAATTTACTGAATACCAATTTTTCTGACCAAAATAAATATCATTTTGCTATGACCAGAAGTACTATCTCATACTTGTAAATCTAAAATTGTTGATCTGTTGTCGACTTGGATGCATATTTTCATCTTACAGATAAGCACCATGACAGACTATATAATGGCAGCGTTTGGGACTATTTTGTCGGAGCTGGACTGGATGGACGAAGACACGATAGATGTGGCGGAAGCAAAGGTGAAAGTTTCACATTGTTTCAAAAACCAATTAAATGATTGCAAGGAGAATGTTTCATATCACATCATGAAGAAAGAAAATAGTTCAGTAAAACATCACAAGAAAACTATATTTTATTAAAGTAGCAATTAATACATTAGACAGTTATTTGAATAGGCTAATGCCATGAAAAGAGAAATTGGCTATGACGATAGGATCCTAGACAACGAACTCCTTAACAAGAGATATGAAAATGTAAGTTAATACATGTATTAGTCAATTGATGTATGAGAGAGATGTGATTGTTTAATTAACTTTGTAAAGTCTTATTGATATACAAAACTTCAACAAACTTGATGTTTTCTTCAGATCAGTTGTTTGAAAGTTAGCCTTGTGTTCTTCTTGCTTATGCTTGCAATGAAATATTTATTTAAAAATTAAATCTTAAAATTACAAAATGTAAAACTTATATGACATTGTGTGACATTAAATGACAAATCACGTGTGTCCAGCCGAGCGGTCTATATATACATGTGGACACGTTCCTGCAGTGCAATACTCTGTAGTATAGGACACAAACTTAATCAATATGTTTACGATAATTATTTAAACAATTTACTTAATCAATATATTTACGAGGATTTGCTTAATTAATCTTAACAAAATCAAGGGACAATTTGACCCTAGACCACCTGTCCTACCCTAACCTATGTCCCCGGACAACTGGCCCAACCAACGGTCCTGGTTACTGAACAAGAGGTCTCTAGCCAACTGGCATCTGGAGCCAGTTCACTTTGGCACTATGATACAGGCTTATTCAGCCTTTATTTCCAATACCAAAACTACGGTTGTCGACCAGTCGACGCAACCTATGCAATAAGGCTTATTCAGCCCTAATAGTAACCTTATTGTGATTCGGCTTATTCAGCGTCCCCACTATTCTATCACTCGTACTATTTTATCACCCTTACCTGGCCACTTCTTAGATCTGCTCAAACAAATGGAATGACCACTGACTCTCTATTTCATGATGGAGACAGGTTATTCCATGTCAAAAACCCTCACATCCCTAGTAACAATCATTGGTATAACCCTGATTCATTTAAACAATAAAATGCTTTCTTTGTTTGTTATTACTGGAATTAACGGAAGCAGCTGTTGCAGAAAAAATACATAACCCGCGTAAGCGGGTTATGTACTGCAAATTATTCCATGTAACAATAACCCATTTAAAGTAGGATTAAAGAGATTAATTATTGTGTTAATGATGCATCCCATTGATAACAATGAAATCTGTACAACATGCCTAATGTAGTTCATTGATTAAAGCATGAATTCATGAAATAAAGAAGAAAATATTCAGTGAATGTAAATATTACAAAATGAAATCAAAGGTATATTGATTCATGCGGTATTCTTTTTATTCTCGTTGTACTTTGACTAAAATTTTGAAAGTTTTGCATAATTCGCTTTTAATTTTTCAGGTAACCATACAACCATATAACTACTTCCAAAATATGCTGTCGCTGTTAAAAAGGACAGTTATTGATGACCTGCTAGAGCTGCGATATAGACTTTACAGAATGAGGTAAGCGTCACTCCAATACTGATATGTCCATTTAGTATATATTGAGAACTGTAGTCAATATTTTTCTTTTTTGGACTTAAACGTCATCGAAGGTCTATATTTCAGGTGGGAATCGGCTCCGTCTACAGTGAATGCATTCTACAGTGCTGAAAAGAACAGAATAAGTACGGACTACCGTATTGTCATTAGGCTGCTCTTTTATAGAACATCTTTTCAAACAAATGTTGTGCAAAGTTTTGTTTTATGATTAATCTGGATGCTTTTTATAGTGTTTCCAGCCGGCATACTTCAACCTCCTTACTACCACAAAGATTACCCCAGGTGAGCATCGTTTTCCCTATTCAAAAGCTTTGGATTCAGTGTGATGTGAAACGTACATGGTTCAAAACCGGTTCGGTTCAATTTCGATTCTTTTACGTTTTTTTTTCTTCAGATCTTTGAATTACGGTGGTATTGGAACCTTAATAGGGCATGAGATCACTCATGGCTTTGATGACAGAGGTATCTGCTACAAAGGAAGTACTTTATTTGAGATTGGTGAAAATCTTTCTATAAAAAACAAGTTTAAGAAAGAACAATAAGCCTGAAATGAATAAATCTTTCACCAAATAATCACGTTGACCATTTCACCAGAAATTCATTCTTTTTTCAGTAATTTTGTAGTTAGGGAAAGTGTTATAATGAATGTAAAAAAAAATAAAAGTAAAGATTGCATACAAAGAAAAATGATTCTTTCACCTATGTCATAGCATGGAGTTTCGCTATGTTTATTTAAGGGAGACAATTCAATAAGGATGGAGAGCTACACGAATGGTGGAGTCAGAAGTCTGTGGATAAATTCAAAGATCTCACAACATGCTTTATTGATCAGTACGGGAACTTTTCTTACCCGGAAGCTGGTGGAATGAACGTAGGTGTACACGTGGCTTATTTGATATCAGATTTATACATGTATTAATTCTTTTGTTTCTCTTCGGTAGTTCATTTTCAGAACATTATATTTCTAAAAGTGAGCGGAGACCAACTTATTCTGAAAGTTATGTTCAGACTTTTTGCCCGCTTAGATTTGTGCATGCTATTTCAAAGACGGAATAATATTTTTAATACTTGAGAAATTGTTTCACAGTTTGAAGACTTCACATAAAGTATACTTTGATTTCAACTGAAATATGAAAGAAGTTTTTCTTTCAATTGTCAGATATTAATTTTTTTTTCATCTATGTCAAGTCAAAGGCACTTCTCTCAGTTTGTTCGCCCATCTCCTTTATTGGTTTAAAATTAATTTTATTAATACTCTGTATCAATAGGTAAATGGAATAATTACACTTGGTGAAAACATTGCTGATAACGGTGGGGTTCTACAAAGTTACAGAGTGAGTAAATAACTAGAAGAAAACATCTCATGAAAACCTAGAAAACATTTAAAAATATTTGCATTTTCATGACTAGAATTTGTATCCCCTTTTAGCTGTAAGAACCGTTTTTTAAAATATATTAAATAAAATCTTTTTCGCAGTAGGGCTGTTTTCCATACCTTTATTTTATTGAATTTGACTTCTCGGTTTACTTTTTGACAGGGCTACAGGAATTTCATATCAAACAGAGGAAGTGAAGAAGTTCCACTTCCGGGTCTGAATATGACGCATGACCAACTATTTTTCATAAATTTTGCACAGGTTATGCAATTTTTATTTTTAGCACATCTTTAATATAAAGATTTCTTTTTAAAAATTATCTTGAAAATTTGTACATGATGAATAAATTTCTATTATTTTTTTATGATAGATAAGGTGTACCCTTGCAACACAAGAGAATTCTATAAACCATCTAATGACGGGTCCACACAGTCCGTCGCGGTTCAGGTTTTTATTATTATAGTCATTTACAAACACCTTCATCACAATAAAATGAAATTTACACATAAATGTCAATCACAATTTGAAACTTAATAATTACACATAAATGTCAATCACAATTTGAAACTTAAAAAAGTAAAACTTGTCGGTTCCTTTTTTTCAATTTAAGAACTGTTCACATTATTTTCTCGGTCAGCAGAACTGGATGATAAACAGAATTGAGGGTAAAAGTGAATCTGCTTTTTCAGGGTGACGGGCACGCTTCAGAATCTTCCTGAATTTTCGGCAGCATTCCAGTGTCCCAAGGGCAGCTATATGAACCCCACACACAAATGCAGGATTTGGTAGTTTAGATAACTCAAGAAATAAAAAAACCCACACAAGATTGTCAAAATGTTTAAAGAAATTGTAGTCCATTAATCATTATTATTTATTTTAAATAATAAACAATTTAAATCTTTCATTCCCCTACAGCTTCATTTAATTCATCCATGTTGTGGAAACATAATTGTTTTGTATGCATGTATTTGTATATTTTAAATAAAATTTCAGAAAAAAATATTCAGAGTTTTAGAAAAGTGTGTTTTAATTCCAAAACTTTTTTCTCTTTAAATCTTAAATGACTAACTTAAAGTTAAAATATGATAAATTAATTAAAAACTGACTGAAAGTATGATTATATATGTAACTACAAGTTTCAAATAAAAAGTTCAAATCCCGAGTTGGAGGGGATATAGTGATGCACAAGTTGTGTGTGCGTTAGTTTGTCTTGGTGCGAAACGTAAGCACGTGTTTATTTGCCGGATGGTTTTGTCATGGTTACTAAATTAACCTGCCAAAAATATTTTAAAAAAAATACAAAATCACTTGCACGTACAATTCCTTTAAGATATCTTCGGTGTTAGTGTATTATCTTTGAAAAGTACAAAAAAGTCCAAGTTTATGTCGCTCAATATTATGCAAAGTTTTTTTGACGTAAGATCGGACTTGGACCTGTCAATAATATCGACATTTTCGATGAACAATCCCGGGTCCAAACTCTTCATACTCCTGCCTTGAGATGAGATGTTTATCGAATGATGATAGGGACGCCACGATAGATCCGCCTAACCAGGCAGATTTATTCCGTTCTGGAGGGGCCATAACTTTCAAGGGAAGAGGTGCCAAACCCATGATTTCATGCATAAGTCTTTCTTGAAATCCTTAAAAAGCAATGAAGATGTGATGAATGTTTCTTACAACACAAGTTGTTGCATTTGTATAGTTTTCTCTTTAATTTTCTTTAAAGAGTAATACTTCCTTAAAAAGAAATCAAATTATGGTGAGTAAAAAAAAAATGAACGTACCTCGAAACATGGTGGATGCTCCTGATAGTATTATGGTATAAAACAGGTCTCGGCGAGTGCATATATCACAGGCCAGGATACTCTCATTCACCAAGTGATGAATTCCCTTAAAATCCAGACCTGCAAGGTGAAGTTCTTAATTTTGAAAAGTTTTTATATATGTCCAAAAAATTTTCAGTGGGATATTGGCGAATTGCATACTAGTATTTTTACCGCAAAAATGAAAAAATAAGACTTTATTGTCAACATTTAAGAGACTCTAACAGCGGATTTTCTTGTTTGATCAGTACAGGTTCGTTCATGTTTCAGTTTTGCTGGTTTCGGTCAGTTCTGTTTGTTTTTCGTCCCTTTTGTTTCCTTTTCCAAAAAGAAATCTGCGACTTAAGATGCATGTACATGTATTCCTTATCAACATCGTTGAAATGGTATGCATTCAGTTGAAAGGCATCACGGATTCTACCCCATTTTATGCTTTTGTCACATTTTCCGACTGTTGGTAATCGGTGGTGTGAGCGTACATCGCTCATTGTGCCCCAACATCGGCCTAAAGTATCAGTCAAATTATCCAGCGATGGGGTAAACGATGGGCAACCAATGCCTTTTTTGATAAAAATGGTGTGTTTGCCGGCCGGACTTGCAAAGGCCGAGCTATGCATTGCTAATCATAAAAACGATGTTCCAGGTTAATCGGCCGATGTATATTACATCGCTCATACATTGGTGAAAATCGTTCGTACGTCGGTTGACTATGGGCCATTGTTTGGTCGAACATCGACCGATGTCTGATGCCCACCACTCAACCCCTCGATGATCTCAGATTCAACGGACACTTGACGATGCTCGGCCAAACATTGGCCAATTCTTGAAAGATGTGTTAATGATGGGTTGCCGATGAGGAGCGATTTGGGGCATCGGTGGAGACATCGCTGATTTTTAACTACAACTTATTTTCTACCGATGACCCCCACCGATTCACCAAATGGCCTCAGTCACCGTCCGATTACTGTAGGTGTCCGGCGCGCAACCATGCCATTTTTTTTATCAAAAAAACGCATCGATTTCTCATCATATACCCTATCACTGCGTAATGTGACTGATACTTTAACTCGTGAAGTAAACATTACACAATTTAGATACTCTCTCTCTCTCTCTCTCATGCATTTTGAAAGAACAAATTCTGTCATCACTTTGAAAAACACCATAACATTTACTAACTTAAAAGAAAACGTAGAGACGTGAATAAAAATATATTTTCCAGATTTAATATAATTAATTTACCTAACAATGACGGTTGAAACAAAGCTTCCGGACACATAAATCTTTCGGTGTTCAGTGTGAGTTTGTTCCCATCAGGCAGTGTGTAGGATTTGTCAAGATCCGACGAGGTAGAAGCGGTGCTTCTGTCTTTTTCAACATTAAAGCTGACATAACACAGTTTCTCCTTCATATCCCTGACCAATTCGATCTCGGCTTCAAAAAGAAAACGGGTAACCAAGTAAGTCAACATGAATCAGCTTCTTCATTTCCCAGACCAATTAATATCAACAATTAAAGAACGATTAAAATATCGTACTTTACATGTACATGTATTAGTTGAAAAGTAAGTAACCGAATTCATTTTCCATTAATTTTCCCAATGTGAGTAAAGAACAGCGATTTCTTTTCAGGAAGAGTCATGTTTTAGTCACATTTCCCGGCCGGTGGCCGTAGACCGGTGGTAATCCGTGGTGTGAGCGATGCCCCAACATCGGTCCACATCGGCCTATAAGTCTTTAAAGTACTTAATATCAGTCACATTATCCAGCGATGGGGTATACGATGGGCAACCAATGTGTTTTTTTTTATAAAAATGGCGTGGTTGCCGGCCGGACTTACAAAGGCCCAGCGATGCATTGCTAATCATAAAACGATGTTCCAGGGTAACCGGCCGATGTATACTAGTATTACATCGCTCATACATTGGTGAACCCCCGATGACCTAAGATTCAACGGATGCTTGACGATGCTCGACCTTATATCGGCCAATCCTTGAAAGATGTGTTATTGATGGATTGCCGATGAGGAGCGACGTGGGGCATCGGTGGAGACATCGCTGGTTTTTAACTACAACTTATTTTTTACCGATGACCTCCACCGATTCACCAAATGGCCTCAGTCACCGTTAGATTACTGTAGGTGTCCGGCCGGCAACCACGCCATTTTTTTTTTTTTATCAAAAAACGCATCGATTTCTCATCGTATACCCGATCACTGGATAATGTGACTGATACTTCAATTGTCTTCGATCATTTTTTGCAATTAAGGCAGGTACTTATGTTGAAAATGAACTAATTAGACTCAATATACACACTTTTATACTTATTGATTCTTTAGTCCGAAATAACTGACGTTTACCAGGCTTTTTCACGATTTTCTTATTTTACGTTTTCCTGGCCAGCACGTAAAGTATCGAAATTGTGAATAAAAAACATTTAAAATGGACTAATGATTCTTATGATATATTTTTCCCTAGTTCAAAATGCACGTTTTGTTCGTGTTTAGAGCTTCCTAATTATGAATGACAGAACTGTAAGCCATTACCTGATGAGGTGAAGGAGTAGCCTTTGTTGTGTAAGAGTCTTTGTAAGTGTAACGTTAAATCTCGTCCTGCAAGTTCCACGCGTCTTCTACCAAGTAAGTCCGGTACAGCTAGCAAAGAAAAAAATAGATTTCTAACAAGTACACTATATATATATATTTAGGTCAATGAGTTTACCATGTGACCAATTTATAAAAGAATCTAAAGAAGGAATATCACCTTCATAAATAGGGTCGACATGGCACACTCCTTCTCCCACTGTTACAATAGTTCCTGACGTACGGCCATTAGCGTACATGGAGAGGATCCCCTGGTTCATTACTTGAAAGCCAGGAACATGAAAAGATTCCATCATAACCTGTAATAAAGTTTTCCTTCGATGACTTTTTTGTTTTATAAAATTTCTTATCTCAAAAAGTAAAATAGCATGTGCGGTTAACGATGTACTGAACGTATATTTCTTTGAAGGTAAGTTGGGAACACCTAAATTGATAATTTTATTGGCAAATATTGCTCTATATCTTAAACACAATTTTCATTTTTGTTGATACACATGAATTCATTACATACTATTTTATATATATAGCTTACCTGTATCATTTTTTCTCTGTTTCCTATCGGATTCAGTGTAGCATCTGCCATCAGAACAGGGCTATCTTCAGATTTGACTCGAAGTTCCCGCTCAAAAGCATACTGCCATATTTTTTCCATGTCATCCCAGTTCGTGACGATGCCTCTTTCGACAGGGTAGGTCAGGGATAGCAATTCTTGTTTTTCATTTAATTTGTCACCAATATAGGTGTCTTCATCGGAAATCCCTGCCCTTTCCTTATATTGCAAGGAAAATGAACATTAAAAATACAACAGCATTGAAAGCATGTTACCATGTTACATAGATGACTCACTCAGAAAATAATTGATGAATTCTTTCATTAAAGGGTACTTCAAATAATGATAAAATTACGACACATAAAAATTTTTAGAATGTAAAATACCTGAAATCGTCGTCGACCAATCGCAGAGGGTCTTAGAATTGCTGACGGAGAATCATCTCCACTGAGCCCCGCCAAAAAACTCCAAGAACCGTTGTCAATAACAACAGCGGAAACGCATTCATCGTCACTTGATGTTTCATACATATTTTATGTGATTATCTGATTATCTGAAAGGAAAAAAATATGTCAAGTTACAGTCCAACGTAGACGTACACCAATTTGGGAAGAATTGCACGTAATATATGAACAAGGAACGACTTTCTTTTCTTTCTTAAGAATATTTTAGAATTTTTTAACATAATTCATGAACACGGAACATATCCTTCTTTAAAAGATAAAGGTTAGTATATTTTTCAACATTAATTTATCCACATTAATAAACATCATTGCAAACAATGATATATTACAAGGTCCACTTAATGTTCAACCAAGCCCCTCTCCTTCTTTTCACCAAAATGTTAACTGCATTGTCAAGGATGAACATCAATATCAATGCAATAACATACATATTGAAAAACTAATTGTGCTTCTTTATTAGCCGACCTGTTTTTTTTATAGTCCTTGAAGCAAATTTATACAATAACTTCTTCATGAGAAGGAGAAAACTATTTCTTTGGCGTTCAACATTTAGATACATGGAAATTCGAATTGTCTTTTTCATAAACTTTTCACATTTTCATTTTCTTCTTTAGAACCACTGGGCCAATTTCAACCGAATTGGCACAGAGTATCCTTGGTTAAAAGGATTCAAGTTTGTTCAAATGAAGTGCCACATCCTTTTTCAAGGGGAGATAATTGAGTAAAATGTAAGACTCATGTGGGGTCATTAATTTTAAAAGCTTCTTCTAAAGAACCAATGAGACCTATAAATAGGCTTCCCGACATTTGTTCCAACCATGATCCTCTGGATAGATTGTGGCCACAATGGGTGATAAGTTTTACAAAAGAAAAAACTGAAAAATCTGTAAGAATCTTCAGTCTTTTTATGACATCACATGTTACTTGGCAGTTCCATGATTTGGACAAAGCAGAATAGAACTGTAAACATCTTTTATCTTTCAATGGGAAGACTTGACCCTGGCACGAGTAGAATGACATCAACTACGCAGACGATTCTTACATTAAGCTTGATCATTTTCCAGCACCAAAATTAGGTTATATTGAGTCATGTTATTCGCTCACCAAATCATGAACTGGCTATGTAACAATCGAAATGTTAATCTTCATATAAAATGCAATCATCCAAAAAGTGTCGTTACAATATGTTTCATATTTCATATCGACGCAAATTTTAATAACGTAAAATGTATCCATCCATCCCCTCCCTACCCCCTTCCTCCATCCACCAACACCACCATATTAAGTTTATAATTAGATTCATGGGGTATCGGTAAAATAAAACCCCAAAATACAATTTTTATATTGTTTTACTTTATTGCTGCAAGGAGAAATCATACAAATGAACAACAAATAATTAACCGTATACCCGGTATATGTAAATGCACTGCCATTTGCAGTAAAATACATGTATTTACCAGTATTTATTCTTTATCTATACAAATATATCATTCAACAAATTGACACTAATATTTTTGCAGAAAATATCTGATAAAGCAGTGTTTGAAAATTCTTTTTGCTGCAAGTAGGCAACATTTTAAAAATACATGTACATGTGAAATACACACAGTTATACAAATTTTATTTATATTGCACTCTTTCATTCCACATCAGAACTTGCATTTCCGGTGAACAATGTTCGGACCATATTCCTGATATTCTGCTGGGGTAATCCAACACTTTTGGAAAGTGGATAGAGACGCTTGGATCGATCCTCCAATCCAAGTCGAATAACGCCTTTCAGGGGGCGCCACTACCTTTACAAAAGACGAAGGAGCCAGTGCTTTTAATGTAGAGCTTAATCTTTCTTCAATACCTGTTAAAATCAACAAAATTGGGAAAAAAGAAGTCTATAAAACATGCATACAAACAGATCCCGACGATTTACATGTAAATATTTTACTTGGTAAAATATAGTATACCTGGACACATTGTGGTTCCACCGGCTAGAATGACATTGGTATATAATAAACTCCTCAGATCAATATCACATGACAAGATACAGTTGTTAATAAGTTCGTGGATCCCACCGGATTCCAAACCTGTAAGGAGAAATTCTACTCATAATCGCAGATATACTAGGATTGAAGCTCATAAAATAACAAAAAAAATCAACTTTATAATTTCCCCTTCTTTTTCACACGTTAAAAGATGCGAGTAATATGAATAGCAGGCATTTTGTATACATGACAAACTTATATTCTAGACCTATATATACCATACTTATACTGTATACTACTAAGTTCAGTCTGTCTTTGAAAGCTTATCATGCAATTAAAAACAAATGAACAAATTTATGATTTGAAAATACATGTGATATACATTAAAAACAGAATGATTCAATTACGACAAATATAGTTTACCTAGCAATGACGGCTGAAAAAGGGCCTCGGGACATCGGATTCGTTCATCCCCTACAGAGATTTCGTTCCCATCAGGTAATGTGTACGACTTCTCGATTTCAAAGGAAGACGATGCTTTGACAAGATCATTCTCAAAATTCTTGCTAACAAAACAGAAATCCTCCTTTATTTTCTTTACCAGCTCCATTTCCGCTAAGAAGAGAATCAATGCACTCTTGTTACAGTTGTTTAATGGTGTTATTGTTACTATGGTAAGAGATGGACTATGGCGCATTTCCTTCGAGATGCAAAATAGCAATGACCCAGGAAAGATGTATATTGCGACTAGACAAACACCTGCGAGAGTTTGCTAATTTTCTTGAAGTTGTTGTTTTTTGTTTGTTGTTTAACGCCCCTCTCGAGAATTTTTACTCATATCGAGACTCCACCACTTGCCAGTAGAGAGCTGCACATTTTGTTCTATACTCGGCACAAATGGCAACTGAGCAGTGAAGGATCTTTTGCGTGCAAACTCCAACTGTAGTAGGATTCAAACGTAAGGAACAACTCCTTACTTCGCAATTCTTGAGCAGATGCTTTAACACTGCGTCAAGCGGTCAACGGTTTTCTTGAGGTACATGTAGGGAGGAGAAAGAAACAACCATCAGAAACCATCAGAAAGATAGATTTAGTTTGTCGGACAAAGGGAAGCAACGGCTCTCGTCAAAGCAACAAGAGCAGCAAGACGGACATAAACGCTGGATAGAAGGTATGACTGGGATATCAGAATGAATCTAGAAAGAAAGTTTTTATTCCCCAACATTGTGGAGACCAACAGACGACCAGATGCAGTATTACTATGTCAGCAGTTGAAGACATTAGTCGAAATAGATTTGATCATGCAATGGGAAGAAAACTTTGAGGAGGCACGTGAGTAGAAGAGTCCTAAATGTGCAAAAGAAACGATATGCAAGACTGTGGGAATAGAGGATGGACTGTTTGACTTTCTGATAGAGATGTGCTGCAGAGAGTTCCCAAAGCAATCGGTGTAGAAGCTGCATGTACGATTGGGAGTATCAGGGAGAGCATGAAAGACAGCAATAAAAAGACTGGAAGAGGTAGCAGAGAGGTCATCCTGCAAGAAATGGCACTGTCGAGATGACCTGTGCTGGAAATTGGAATCCATTGAGTAATTGATTGGCCAACACTGCTGAACCACCAACTGGAAAATCTCATGGTTTAGGGTCGAAACAACCAGTGAAGGAAGGAAACCATTTTATAACGATCGAAACCGACAGTCAAGCACCAGGAGGAAAAAAATGACAGGCAACGATAGACACGCAAAAAAGTACTAAGCTGATAGATAAGCAGAAATTCATCTTCAGTGAGCCTGTAAGTGCGTATTGTTAATCTTGGAAACAGGTGACTTCAGGAAAAGTCTTGACACGGGTACTTAGAGGAAGCTTCCCTTCTATACAGTCCCTGTGACATGACATTGAAATTAGCTATGACGAAACAAAATACTCCGTAATCAGGACCCCCAACTCTCCCGAGACGGGGTGGATGAGAGGCTGGAACAAGGAGGTCTAATAGCATATAAGGACAAAGAACAGTACAGTGTATAAGGATAGTGAGAAGTATGGTGCAACTAACTTTAGATTATGAAAAGACTGAAGTCAAATGTAAGTATGGTAAAGTCTGCAAAAAAAATTAGAAGATTGAGCATTCACCATACACAGCGCAAAGAGGCAAATGGTGAAACAGGAGGATCCTACCCAGGGCACAACCCACAGAGCCAGGAACATCTCTCTGTGTCTGACTGACTGATTGATTGTATGTTGTTTAACGTCCCTCTTGAGAATATTTCACTCAAATGGATACGCCGGTGGAGAGCTGCAAATTTTGTCCTATGCTCGGCACTCAGGGCTTTGAGCAGTGAGTGAATTTTTTCGTGCCAGCATCTACTGCAACACGGGACCTCGGTTTATACAGTCTCATCCGAAGGACCGGTCTCTACGTCCCATTGAACGGGATTTGAACCCGTGACGTAAGGATCAACTTACTTCGCAACTCTAAAGCAGTCGCTCTAAACACTGCGCCACTCTACGTGTTCGAGGCAATTTAATGGAGATACTAGCCAGGGTCTGCAGACACAAAGGAATTAAGAAAAGAGGCTAAGAATATCTTGAACAAAAGGAGATGATAATTCAATACTGTTCAAAGAAATGGATGGGGTATTTACTGTACACGAATCACACACTGATTCACTGAAAGAAGAGCTTCTTACTCAATGCCCCGATGAGATGAAAGTGGATCCATCAGAAGTTATGAAGGATGTGAAGGAGACTACATGTAAAGAATCGAAAGAAGTGATCAAAAGATGAAGACCAGGCTCAGCTCCCGAACTAAGTGGGATACTGTACATAGCGTACATAAGAGGTACTTAACGTAACTGAGGAAATAGCTGTAATTTTCACGAGTAATCTAAAGGAAAGGGGCAATACCAGTATGCTGGAAAGATGCAGACTATTGCAGAGGGAATTTTTTGTTCCGAAAGAGAACTCTAAGACAGTCAACAAGTTAAAACAATACCGGTATCTTTGAATTTGGAGGCGAAAATGTTCATGTCAGTGCTAGCAAAGCGAATAACAGGGTTCGTGTTGGACAAGTGATACATAGATATATCTGTTCAAAAGGAAGACATACCAGAGTAGTAAAGATTCTTACAACACATAAATTTCAAAGTATGGTGCAACTATCTAAGATTATGAAAAGACTAAAGTCAAATGTAAGTGTGGTGAAGTCTGCAAAAACATTCGAAGATTGAGGATACACCAAACACAGTGCAAAGAAGCAAATGGTGAGACACATGAGGATCCTTCCCAGGACACAACCCACAGAGCCAGGGACATCTCTGTGTCTGACTGATTGATTGCAAGTTGTTTAACGTCCCTCTGGAGAATTTTTCAATCACATGGAAACGCCGGTGGAGAGCTGCAAATTTTGTCCGATGCTCTTCACTCAGGGCATTGAGCAGTCAGTTATCTTTTTCGTGCCAGCATCTACTACGACACGGGGCCTTGGTTAAGACATTGTACAGTCTCATCCGAAGGACTGGTCTCCACGTCCCACAGTGGCATTTGAATTCGTGACGTAAGGATCAACTTACTTCGCAACTCTAAAGCAGTCGCTCCAAACACTGCGCCACTCTCCGTGTTTGAGGCAATGTAATGGAGAAAGTAGTCAAGGTTTGCAGACACAAAGGAATTTCAAGAAAAGAGGCTAAGATTATCTTGACCGAAAGGAGATGATAATGTAGGAGTGACTTCAATTCAATACTGTTCAAAGAAATTTATGGAGTACTAGTATTTACTGTACATGAATCACACACTGATTCACTGAAAGAAGAGCCTCTAAGTCATTGCCCCGATGAGGTGAAAGTGGATCCACCAGACGTTATGAAGGATGTGAAGGAGACTACATGTAAAGAATCGAAAGAAGTGATCAAGATGAAGATAAGGCTCAGCTCCCGAGCCAAATGGGATACCGTACATAGTGTATTTAAAAGGTGCTTAACGTAACTGAGGAAATTGCGGTAATTTTCCGAGCAATCTCGAGGAAAGGGGCAATACCAGTATGCCGGAAAGATGCAGACTATTGCAGAGGGAATTTTTTGTTCCGAAAAAGAACTCTAAGTCAGTCAACAAGTTAAAACAATATCTTTGAATTTGGAGGCGAAAAAGTTAATGTCAGTGTTAGCAAAGCGAATAACAGGGTTCCTGTTGGACAAGTGATACATAGATACATCTGTTCAAAAGGCAGATATACCAGAGTAGTCAAGATGCCTAGAACTCACAAGTGTTATAAGCTAACCCATCAAGATCTGGACCCAACATGCTGACGATGAGTTGGCGATGGACCTGAACTATATACCAGAGAGGGTTTAGTGTTCTCAATTGCTACTTCGGAAGAATGCAGATCCGGTTCATTGTCGATGGATGACCACTGCATCCTGGCAAAGAGTGGGGCAAGAAATTATAAAGGGATTTACAATCTTTCCTATCCTGTTTGTTTAGGGAATGGGAATAGTGGTCAAAACTGAATTAAGAAAAACAAAAGGGCCAAAGATGGACTCGGTTTTTAATCAGCCACCAGTCAGAGGCTTTTAGGAAGATCTCAGTGACAACAACAGCTGATATATAGTGAAGACATCACATTGGAAGATTGTATTTTCTGTACACGCATGACTGAGGGCTATTGAGCAGTGAGGGTTCTTTATCGTGCCAACGCCTACCGTGACACGGGGCCTATGTTTTTAAGGTCATATCCGAAAGACCCGTGACTTTAACTTCTAGTGCCGAGCGCTTGGCGACGGAACAGTCAATACCTATGTTTACGTCTTAGGTTTGACGCGGCGCCGCGAACGACATTCGAACCCGGGCCTCCCGATCACGAAGCGAGCGCTCTATCACTAGGCTACAGTGTGTACACGCATGAAGTTCAATCCAAAGAAATCGAGATGTCTCGTATTGAGAAAGACGTGTTTCAACAGGCTAGTAAAGATTCAAATCTAAGGAGAATAGATGCCATCAATAGTAGGAAACTCAGTTGAATACTTTGGAAAGTGGTTTAATGAATCCCTCACAAAGGTAGCATCTTGGACACAAAGAAGAAAGCACTTTCTTGGCTGAAATTGATTTAATGGAAGTGGATTACCTGGAAAATGCTAGTATAAAGCATCGTCGGATTGACCAGCATAGGATACTACCAAGACTTATAGACTGCACCTAATATATGAAATTGCAACTACTACAGCCGAAGCCATGGAAAAGAAAGTGAGTGGGTACCTAAGGGGATGGCTAGGAGTTCCATATTATTTAAATCGATTGGAATCTACCGCAACTCAACTCAATTACGCATAGAAGTTACCGTTGTGGTTAAAGAATTTAAAGTAGCCAATGTCGCTTGGTAAAACAGTATACCAAGCAGAGATTATATTATACTTCCGTAACATCATTGGAAACACAAGCACTGGCGAGAGAGCATCGGAATGTAATACTTCCAACAATCATCAAAAGCACAGGACTTGGAAAACAGGAAATCTGGATGAATTGGAATGTATCGGACGGGAATTAACATGAGCAGAACTGTGGCGGAAGGCCATGTACATGTAGCGATGACAATGGGGAAATACAGATGGCGACTTTAGGCAAAAGCCGTGCTGGAGTTGGCTTATTTCCTGGATTTAGAGAGGAAAAAGAAACGACCATCAGGCATGAAACAAAGACAAATATAGTTTGTGAAAAAGGGTGAAGCAACTACTGAATCAAGTGCAGCAAGGCGGAAATTAATCTTCAATGGAGTGAAACGCTTGGGAGCTCAAAGTAAATCTAGACATGAAGTTAGCTTTCCCTACATATAACATCATGGGAACCAATTAACGACCATAAGCAGTAATTAGTGTTCGAGCAGTCAAGACGTTGCTCGCAATGAAGCTAACGTGCCGTGAGAAGAAAATTGTAATGAGCCACATATGAAGAAGGACCTTAATTACGAAGAAGAGACTTCAATTTGCCAGTTTGTCGGAATAGAGAATAAATTGTTTGGCTTTTTACGATAGAAATCGGCTTCACAGGGCTCCCAGCGCAATCGACGTGGATGCTGCTCACAAGATAAAGAGTATCAGGGCAAGCATGCAAGAAAAAGAATAGAAGAGGCAGCAAAGCTAGAGAGATTATCCTGCTGGATATGGTGTCTAGATGATCTGTGCTGAGAATCGGAATCCATCAAGTAATGGATTGACCACCACTGCTCAACCACCAACTGGAGGATGTCATGGTTTAGGGTCGAAACATCCAGTGAAGGGTGGAAACCATCAAAGCAATTAGGAATTACTTATACTAATATGGATGTGCAAGCTTCAAAATTGCCTTCAAACAAATCCTTTTTCTCCATAGCAATGCCTTGTTAACGATATTGTTATTCACAGTTCATAATCTCCATGTAGTTAGTGGTTATTCATACATGTATTCTCAACGCTAGGATGGGGTCATAATAAAGAAACTTAATAATAAAGGCAAGCATTGCCAAGGTTACTCATGAAAGTTTTGTGGTTTTTGGGCCTCTTTAAAAGACACGTATTCTTTCAAGATTTTGTAATTAAAGGCATGACAAAGGATGTATTCGCTTTAACAAAAGAATTGACCTATAGGAGAGATCAATTTCCCGGAAAAAGTGACATTTAAAAATGAATCTTTATTTGTTGTTTTCTACCGTATATATGTCTAAATTTTTTTAATTTGTATTTATACCTAAAATTTATTATTTACCACTTTACTATAAACCTCCAAAGTTGATCGAAACACCATTTTGTCCGTTAAAGCGTTGATTTTTGCATGAATTTTGGCCTTGAAGTCCATCAGGGCAGGCCTGCCCCTAAATAAAATTGTGATATTTTGATAGGTTAGGATGCAAGGAATAATTTAAGATAAGATTTTTTTAGGGGCACCTCTGGCCTGGGGTCGAAATTCACAAAAAACCTACAAAAAATAAGGAAACCAGATTTTCATAATCTGCTTTAAATTTATGCCTTCCATTCTTAGAGTCAGACTAGCTCAGTTGATAAATGCGCTGACTTTTATACATGGGATACTATCTTTTTCAAAGTCGAGGGTTCGAATCCACCTGGTACAACACACATAAAGTTTTAAATTTCGACTTTTCAAAGACTATTTTATTTTTTTTATCCACTTGTGTATTTTTCCTTCAATTTTCTATCCCTTATGCATGCCCATTCTTGATATAAGAAACACTAAAGAGATATCAAATCGTAACAATCCAATGTTTAGTTGTCAGTCAGGTGGAACGAACCTCAGTATAATCACACTTTCTTAACTCACTGTGTGTTACTCAATACGAAGCATTGAGCTGCGATGAATTTCAATTGTATATATTCCTTAAAATTTAATCACATTGATTTTGGCTACATATTTCAGTAAATGCACTTCCTTTGATTTCATTTAGGCCTTTATAATTTGCACACATTAATGACAACTTTTTATTATATCCACAGATAAATAGCCTAGACATAAAAAATAGAATTTCAGAAACAGTAGACATTACCTTTATGCACAGTGAAAAGTAAAGACAAAAAATCTATTATTATATTTGGAGATAACAACTCAGAAAATCAATAAAAAGGGTTCCTCCTATCTCTACTCACTGAAATAAAGATTTAGGAAAAACAAATTGTTATATGTATTCAACCTAATGTCATTAATCAGAACGGAAATCGACAGGCTTTTTGTAGAGAATAAAACCAAGCCCGGTCCTATAGGTCAGATCCCTATTTACAACGAAGTGATCCTTTCGTCTGATTCTAATCTCTTTGTTGCACGTGCCTTTGATGATGAAATTTCAAATGAGATAATGATATATTCTTTTTTCTTAATGAATTGATTCACATTCAAATATAGGTCTTCATATTTTTATTCCATCTTTCAGATATACATGTATACTAATACATACCAGATGTAGTGAATGAGTATCCTTTCTGTTGAAGAAGTCTTTGTAAATAAGAGGTTAAATCTCTCCCAGCAAGGTCTAGCCTTCTCATAGCTGAAAGAACTGTGTACCCTAAAGACATAAAACATATAAAGAATATGTTTATTTAAAAAAGATTGCATCCAATTTTGTGATAAGAACTACATGTATCTGAAACAATATTTGCTTCCATACCTTCGTATATTGGATACACTTGAGCAACACCCTCTCCAATATTCACTACGGTACCACATGCTCTTCCTGAGGCAAAAATGGTGGGTATACCGTGATTTATCACAAAGAAACCAAGAACATTAAATTTTTCTAACATAATCTGAAAGAATAGGTTAAAAAGATAATCAAAAGCAATATTCGAGAAATTGTCATTACTAATTTATTGTTTGTTTGAAGCCAATTTATTAAATGATTACCTGTGCCATTTTTTCGCGATTTCCTACTGGATTCAAGATTGCATCCGTGATGAACACATTCGTTTTATCAGACTTTGTTCTGAGTTCATTTTCAAAGACGTGCTGCCATATCAGCTCCATATCATCCCAGTTTTTAACTATACCTCTCTCAATGGGGTAGCGAAGGGAGAGAACTCCTCTTAGGGACATAGCCTTATCTCCCACATAACGGTCGGAGTACGTGATACCATGTAACTGTTTCTGTATAAAAAGTGTCTGCATCAAAACAACTCCTTAAAGATATTGACAAATTACTAGTATGATGAAATTTTTAAACACTGTATTTAAAATAATTAAATTAAATCACCTGGAATCTGGGTCTTCCTACAACGGATTCAAAAAAGGACCGCGGAGCATCGTCTCCCGCAAAGCCCGCCTGAATGGATCCGGATCCGTTGTCAATGACGACCGCACTCGACCAATCACCATCATCGTCACTCATGACATATATTTCTAATCTTTAAATGAAATGGCCTAGATTCAGTATAAGGTCTGTATGGTTTTAATTGTCGATAGTTAGCGTTCGAGATTAATCAGTCCTGAGCGATCAGAATAAAAAAATAAACCTAGATCCTGTCTATACTTTATTGTGTAATTTCTACCACCACCAAATCTTTGCTTTTCAGACAAGAACAATATTCTTTCATCAATCTTCTCTGATTTGCAAGTGTATGGACGTAAAACATAAAGGGTATTTTGTTCCAAACATTTTTAATGATGATGGAGTTATCGTATTGCAAATATTGAATTTACTGGTTCGATGTACCGGTAAATGCAAAATTTATTTCGTTATTAGATTTTAATTAGTTCAACTTTCTTCCTTACATGGTTAAACCGGTAGTGTCTGGTCTAGAATTGCTAAGTAAGGAGTTGATCCTTACGTCGCGGGTTCGAATCCCACTGTGGGACGTGGAGACCGGTCGTTCGGCTGAGACCGTATAAACCGAGGGCCCGTGTCGCAGTAGGTGCTGGCACAAAAGATATCCGTCCTTGCTCGGTGGCCCTGAGTGCCGAGCATAGGACAAAATTTTCAGCTCTCCATCGGCAAGTGGTGGCGTCTCCATATGAGTGGAAAAATCTCGAGAGGAGTGTTAAACAATATACAATAATTCAATCTTTACAAATGCATGAAGTTGAATTTTATTATTTTTAACATTTTTATTATTTTTAGCATTAATGGAATTGACCATAACAAATCCCGAAAAGTTGTTATTGGCTCATGAATTGAATGTTTAAATTACAAACAGAAAATGGAAGCATGTCTCTTCGAAAAATATTGTAACGTTTAACGCTCCCTTTTGTTTTTTGGCCTCAGTTCCCACTATAAATACTGAATTTAGGGAGACTCTTTTTATTAGATCATGACAAGGAGTACTCGGTGGGCGTGACTGGTCATCACGGGATGCTTAATCCTCCGTGGCACCTGATCTCACATCTGCTGTTTTTAACGGTCGCGTTTGCTCTGTTCCGGATTAGTATTGCTTGGAGCTTTGAGCTTGATTACTATTCATTATCTCCATATTTGATGTATAAGATTGACAATACAAATATAATAAACTTCTAATATAATTGTGTATTATAATACTTTTCTTAATTTTTAATCATCACACATAATCTTTAGTTTGCTGTACATTTGCTGTATATATATTTTTGCAACCAGTTCGATAGATCGGGGGCGTGTATTGTTTTGTCCTGTCTGTCTATTTGTCTTTCTGTTGTCAACTTTAACCTTCGCCATAATTTTGAACCATAAAAGATAAAGGCTTGTGACCTTGACTGCGACCTATATGTTCAAAATCGCTTTTTCGAACCTTCTCTATATTTTTTGAACTATGAAAGAGAGAGACTTTATATTTGGTATACTCATTCTCCATTAATAAAGTTCTTTCTTTCAAATGGCACCAAGGTCAATGACTTTGTGACCTTGACTGTGACCTACATTCTAAAAATAGCTTTATTTTCCGAACTTTGTTTCCGCCGGGCGCATAGTGTTTCACAAAGACACATTTGTTTTGTTCATTTCGATGAACTAGATATATATGAACTCCGAGCCTTTTAGAAAAAAAAAACATATAACTGTACAACTTGCACATCCAGAATATAATCAAATGGTCCTTTAACTGTAGTTATTTGTTGGTTCATTGAATGCATGTAAGATGCCTTTGTACAAATCAACAATTATCTCAGAAAGCTACGGCTAACCTTGAGTACTATTTCTTAAAATAGAAATGATTGTAGCACAGAAATCAGTGAGCCATATCACATAATTATGGTTCTAACTGGTGACCTTAGAAATCTCCCCGGAAACAAAATTTACAATAGGTCTGAGGTAAAATAAATCGTTATTTTAAAACTTTAAAAGACAAATACAAAAATTTAAAAACACAAATACAGAACAAGTAAACCTGATATAATTTATAAAGTAATTGATTTTTAGAAGAAAAAAACTTACTTTCAGGGATTTTATGGTGTTCAAGGTGTACGTCAAGCACAATATTAAAGGCCATAACAATTTTACGTATGAACGAATATGATAATGGATACCTTATTCCCAAATATGGATTTGTTTATCGAAAGGTTTAAAAAGCCGGACATTAGGTGTGGTCCTATATAAAGTTAAAATGTATTTCAATATTTTATAATATCAACATGACTACAAAAAGTATTTTTTAAAGTTTTCGTCATTTCTTATCTCTGCCTGCCAGTGTAGAAAGAATAAACAAAGCCAGTCATTAATTCCACTATTCCAGTTGGGTAAACTATGATTATGAATTAAAATTTTCATTAAATTATAAATATTTGGTTAGGATATTTAACCATATTAATTATTGTTATCGCATGTCATCCTACCATATCGTTAAATTGTCCTTGTAATCTGAAACTTGCTGCAAAATCTTCATAACATTCTTATTATAATTTCGTAGAAGACCAACTGTCTTGTCCATTTCTCATTCGAATGTTTGTAAACAAGCCGAATAAATTAATATGCAGTATGGTGACCAATAACGGACTAAATCTGCTTCTTTCTTTGCCTGCACTTTAAATGTCATAACCCCTTTTCATAGTGCTGTCCGAATGCTAAATTATCGAAGGAACAGTAGCTGCTGTCTTTTTTATATAGAGGAGAAATCAAGGTATTCGCGGGCGGGTTTCGATATCACGACCTTCCGATCATGGTGCGTCTAAGTGCCTTGTAGCTACTGAGTGAGATACTCTGAATGAGTGGCAGTTTGAAATATTGTGAAGGTTTTCATTAATTCGCTAATTATTTTTGAAAAAAAAGTTGCTCCTTGTGTTGATGTTACGTTCTGAATTTTAAATGCACTAGTAGGTGGAGATCGATAAATTCGATATTTACAACATAACTAAGTTAAAATTATTTGTAGGTATTATTTTTTCTGTACACGTCGCAGTGTTTTAAAATTGTACATAATAAATTTTCTCTTTGTGCAAAAAATGCAAAAAATTATGAATTGTAAATTTCATGGCCTCTTGTTTAAAGCACGAACCAAAGTTATTTGAAAATTTTAGACATATATATACGGTAGAAATAAACTAACAAAAATATACTGATTTTAAATGTCATTATCCATAACTAAGTTAAAATTATTTGTAGGTATTAAACTGTTCTCTCCTTTTTAGACATATATATACGGTATATATTGATTTTATCTATGGGTCAATTATTTTGTGTTTTATGTTGTGAATATCCAAATTTTAAGTTTATATATCGTTGACGTTACTCTCTAGCTACAAGTATTCTTTATCACCTTACCACATTGGTGTCACTTGTCATCTGCAATATGGTAGTGAATCTACAATTATAACATCGTCGCAAACCATGGTCAAAATGTACGATCCTCTCCCAATCCGAGAGCTATATGCGGACTCCGGACCGTGGCTTCAAACGATGCAATCGATAAATGAGTTACAATTTTGGCAAGATCTTTCTTAGCTTCCGTATTTTTATATTTTAAGGTAAACTCGTCTATTGTTTGTAGACCATATCACTATTACATGAGATTCTCGGATAGACGGTCTGACAATAACTGAGGGATCAAGTAACTGTGAACAGTAATATAATGTACGTATATAGATGAAATTAGATTTTAGATCATTTGTGTACTCGTGCTGTTAAATATACCAAAGGTCGAACCTTTCCTTCCTTTCCACATCTACGAGGATGGTGGACCATACCCGACATGCCCAATTCAAAATGTTTTTTTTATTGAACTGATGTATGCTGTTTGGCTCTATTGCTTTGTACTACTATTATAAAGTGTTTAGAATTACGAAGGTTGCTAAATTTTGCTTTTTATGCGCCTGGATCGAAAGATCCGAGGCGTATATTGTTTTTGTCCTGTCTGTCCGTCTGTCTGTTTGTCTGTTTGTATGCAAACTTTAACCTTCGCCACAGCTTTTGAACTATGAATGACAGAGACTTCATATTTAGTATGAATACTCCACTAATGAAGCTCTTTCAAATGATACCAAGGTCAATGACATTGTGACCTTGACAGTGGCCTATATGCTAAAAATAGTTTTTTGTGCAAACTATAACCTTCGCCATAACTTTTGAACCATAAAAGATAGATACTTCATATTTAGTATGCACACACCACTGATTAAGCTCTTTCAAATGACACCATGGTCAATGACCTTGTGACCTTGACTGTGACCTGTATGCTAAATATAGCTTTTTTGTCGGCAAACTTTAACCTTCGCCATAACTTTTGAACGAAGAAAGATAGAGACTTAATATTCAGCATGCATACACCACTGATTAATCCCTTAAACATGACACCAAGGTCAATGACCTTGTGACCTTGACTGTGTCCTATATGCTAAAAATAGCCTTTTTGAACCTTCACCATTACTTTTGAACTATGAGAGATAGAGACTTCATATTTGGTATGCATACTTCACTAATCAAGTTCTTTCAAATGACACCAAGATCAATGACCTTGTGACCTTGACTGTGACCTATATGCTAAATATATATATTTTTTTAAAATTTTGTTGCCGCCGGGTGCATAGTGTTTCTCAAACACACCTTGTTTTTTACTGCAAAGGTAATCAGCAAATGTCTGACACGGATGATGAATTCGTCAACAACATCGTTGCAGATCTGGGATCCGGGAACTGTCACGTAGGATTCGCTGGCGATGAAAGACCATGCTCTGTATTCCCAACTGTTCTTGGACGCCCCAAACATCGAGAGGTATATGAAGAAAAAGTGTAGCTCTGCTGTCAGAGCAGTTATTGTTTATTACGCTGTACCACTCCTATATTGAGAAAACATCGCGAACATTTTGCGGCATTAAATGAGCCATCAATATAAAACGGTTTTCATTAGCTCTCGTCTGACCCAAAGGCTTGCAAGTGAGCCTCTCCGACCAAAGACTGTCCGGCATTCGTCTGTCGTTTGTCTTTTTTTCGACTTCTTCTCAAGATCCACAAGGTCAATTTCAACCAAATTTACCACAAAGCGTCCTTGGATGAAGGGGATTAATTTTTAAGTTTGTTAACGGGAAATTTATGCCACATCCTCTTTTTTAAAAGGGGGATAATTAAGAATTCATAAAATTTCTGGTGGTATCACAAGAGCGGAACGAAGTTTTACGCAGGAATGCGTAAGGAAATGTCATGATTAGTCATATTGTTATATAAATAACTATCCTCATTTAGTGTAGTTTCAAGTCTATTACATTTATGACCCCTTGGGGTAGTACTGAGCCACGACAGGAGGTTTATACCATAGGAATATATGTAGGGAATTCTCTTAAAAATCTTCTTCTCAAGAACAGCAACAAAGTCATCATTAGTCATAATCATATAACAGGAATATCCTCAGGTAGAATAGATTCAACTTTGTTCAAAACAGGACCACTTTGGGTTGAGAGACACTAAAGGAGCACACAGGAACAAATAGGTAATATCTTTATATCACTGCAAGCGAAATGCGGTCTTTGACTGTCATCTTTGACAGCAGCATGTATCATTTGTTTCCTCTGAATATCAACAGGCGTCACCAGAAGTCGGTCTGTTTGTCGGTGATGAAGCCCAGGCGAGGCGAGAAATCCTGGCTATGACGTCTCCCATTGAGCGTGGTATAGTTACAAACTGGGAGGACATGGAGCAGCTATGGCAGTACATCTTTACTAGTGTGTTACGGGTATCTCCAGAAGAATTCAATGTTTTTAACTCTGAAGTGTCTTATGTACCAGGTGCTTGTAGAGAAATGATGTTACAGGTGAGCTTTTATTATCTGGTTTTATATGTTTTTCCTCGTGTTTCTTGCAAAATTCAGAATTTCAATTCTGAACAACAACACTTTCGAATGATTTAATTCTACTGCACCATGACCGCTTACAAGAACTTAGGTACTGCGACATTTTTACATTTGAAATTAATATACACATGTTTAAATTATATAATTTTGAATCCCTTTACAGTTGTTAATGGAAAAATTCAATGTATTAGGCTACAATGCCCAGCTGTCGGGCATTTTAGCTGTCATGGGATATGGACACACCAACAGCCTCATTTTGGAATGTGGTGATGGTGTCACAGAGGCATTTCCGGTCTACGAGGGTAAATAATTGAACACAATAATTGAGATTTTTTAAATTTTATGGTTGATGGTTAAGTTTCCTCACACATTTTTAGATAAATACCTGCAAAGCCTACAAGTGGATAAAGAATTTTTTTTTGTTTGTTTTGATTTACTTTACTACTAGTATTTTCAGTTCATCACGGCTGATGAGCGTATGCTCCTATACCCTGACGTTAGCGTTGGCGTCTATTACAAAATTACCATTAGCTCTACCTGGACCAAACTTGCATGGACGAGACATCAAAGAATAGACACTTTCAGACTTTCTTTGGAATGCTAGATCAGACCTACATTTTCGAGATCAGTGAACATGGATGCGTTCAAGATCGAAGCAGCTAACCACTACGACCTTGAACGCAGCTCGAATTAAAGATGATGGAGCAGGAAAATTCCCAAGTCACTTAATTGACTTGTTTGGATGCTGGATCTGACCTACATTTCCAGATGAGTGATCAGGATGTTTTTGGAGTAGCTCTTCAATTATATGGCTTTAGTTATGATAAAACTTGCATTGGTGATTTGGCTACAAGGATGGACTCTTTCACATTTGCTTCGGGTGTTTCGAACAAGTCCATTTCCAAGTAACAATAACTCGGACCTACTTTAACCGAGCTGCTAGGGATTTTTGATCTTGGGATACAACACTTACTATAGAGAAAATATTATATGATTTGCCTTTCTTATAGATAACATTCGTGGACGTGAGCTTTGTAATCTTTTTTTTTTTGGGGGGGGGGCTTCATTATTCTAAGAATAACCATCATTGACGTTTCACGAAGTGTCTACCTTATTTGTTCGCCATGCAAATCATTCACATTGTTCTCTCTTCATTTAGGACACGCTTTTCCCGACACAATAAAAAGAATGGAGATCGGTGGAAAAGATGTAACAATGAATTTACAAAAACTGATGTACGAAAAGGGATATTCCTTTACTACATATTGTACGTTCTTTAAGAAAATATTCCACATAAGTTTTTTTATTACGGTAGGTCTGTTAAAATGAAATGAATCTAGACAGGGATTAATATTGTAATCTGAATCAATTGAATATAAAAAATGTCAAAATCTCTACAATTGCAGAACAATAAAGAAAGTCATGTATTTTTAAAAATTATATCGTGTGCCAAATTTACTAATTAGCTGAAATAGATACGATTAGAAGACTGAAGGAAGACCATTGTTCTGTGTGGCCCGATAGCAATACCCTAGACACAGCGACATCGTCATCGATGCAGCTGGATACATTCACTTTACCAGACGGTCAGCAAATATCCATCGGCGAAGAGAAGTTTAAGGCCCCTGAAATACTGTTTCGTCCATCTTTACGAGGTAGCGATGTCCTTGTATAAAGAGTAAATTGATAAAACTATGATGAGAAGAAAATGAAAGGTTGTACTATGTTTAACATACCGGTAGTTCTACCCAAAGTTCGTTTACAGTACCCATGAATATTAATTTTCCTTTATTCTAAAGCTATACATGTACTCATTTGTTGATGCATGTAAAAGGAATTTTAGATGATACCCTTCAATTAGAATGATGACTCAATCACTGACGTTGAAATATTATGATTGTTATGTAGCGGTCCTCTAAATAAATTGCCAATTTTCTTTTTTATAGTAATCCCAAAGAATTATTTGTGAATAATAACTACATGTAAATCTAAAATCATTAAAAAGAAAGCAAACGATACAGTTATCGTTCTGGTATTTTTAGGTTATGGCTTTGATGAGGAAGGAGGCGTCCAGGATTTAGTGCACGCTTCCATCCAGGCCTGTGAAGCTGACTGTAGATCAAATCTCTATTTCAATGTACTTCTGTCGGGTGGAACAACATTATTGCCTGGTATGTCTCCATCACCATACTTTTTAGCTCACCTGGGCCAAAGGCTTTAATGACTTTCACCATTTCGGATGCCACTTTTTTCGTTGTTTGTCGTCAGTATAGTTTTGTTTAAACTTTAGATTTAAACTTTTAATGTAACAAAATTTTTTTCTGCACCATTGGGTAAAATTTTGACGCAAAAGATTCAACAGTAATGGGATCTGTTTAATTTTTATGAAGTAATTCTTTTCTACTGAACAAACATCGAACATGTGTTTGTGTGTGTAATTCGCAATCTTTTCCCGTAGGTTTTAAAGAGCGACTTTTGAAAGAACTCAGCAACAAGGCCTCGTGTCGAGTCAAGGTGTGGGCGGATCCAGCCCGTAAATATCTGGTGTGGATTGGTGGGTCCATTTACGCTTCTTTGTACGTTTGTCAGTCGAAATGGATCACCAGAAATGACTATCACGAATTTGGACCAAATATTATACATCGAAAATGTCAACTTTCAGCGTGCTAACTCTAAAAAATGTTATTTTGTGTCGACAGCATAAATTTATTTATGTTGCAGAAAAAAGAAAAACTGACATAACTTTTGCAATATTACTAGAGTATATGTTTGTTTATATGCATAATATATATATGTATAAATATCCTGTTGTATCAACTATGATAATCTTATATAAGCATACGTTTGAGCAATATAATTTTTCGTTTGTACGATTTCATTTGATTTTCAATTGTATTCCATAAAAATAAATTTTATATGTTTCCTATAAATCATTCAATAATTTTCCATCGGAATTGTATTTTTTAAAGTTTGTATTCTATATTGTCGATTGTATTGTAAATGAAACTGAGATTTCGTCCTATCTTGTAGTTTTCTTTTTATTCAAGAGGTCCATTATATAATACATCTTCATACACTTAATGCATGACCATCTGATCAATAGTTACTTAATGATAAGGAATGTTAAGCAGATCTGTGAAGAAACACAACAGACGTATCAAATATTATATCTACAAGCGTAGATAAATATACTAGTAGTAAAGACGGTGAATAAATTCTGAATTTTGAAAATAGAACGGGTGAAAATTGCTTTTTAAAAAAGTCCATTTTTAAAGCAATCGGGTATGACTGATGCATTTAAACCATCATAGTAAGATACACGCTAAAATATTGAGTAGACACGTAGTATAACGGGGTGGGTGGGTGTTCAGGTCCCCCATTTTCCCAAACATAACTACATCTATTTTAATTCCGAAAATGTTCATCAAAAGACCCCCCCCCCATTTTTGGTGCATCAAACTGAAATAAGGGTAATATAGTAGTGAATGAATGCAATTTGTTATTGAAATATGTTGAAACATCTCCCCACCCCCACCCACCGGGACGGTATTTTCGAGTATGAACATTTTTTGGCTTGTCGCGTTTTTTTTTTTTTTTTTTAAGGTAAGTTGACCTTTTCTTCACTCCTCCACTCCACCCCTATTCAAAAATGATGCAAAGTTCCTGTTTGGTCCTTATGAACAAACACGAAAAAGTCTCGAAAGCAATAATTCCAAAGGCAAAGATCCATAACTTTCATATGAGTTGAACTACTCATATGAAAGTTATGGATCTTTGCCATGTTACACGAAACAATTAACTTCTTGATCTGTATCAGTCCTTAGCATTACAAGATTTCTACCTCGCTTTGGACTGGGTCTGGTTTTGTCAGATATCCAAATTTTTAAATTTATTTATGCACAAATAAAAATTAAAGGTAGATTCTCAATTTCTAGTCAAGAACTCAAGATGCTGTCAAAATTTTACGAGCGTTTCACTCGATCAGAAACATTGAAAATATGCCTTTTTGTGATCAAAATATATTACATGAATTAACTGCGCTAACTTTACAAACTCTATTAAACAAAATCAATCAATTAGAAAATATTAAATCATTGAAAAATGTAATATATTTTTTTTAATGTTAATTATTAACACATGTATACTTTACTGTATTGCAGACTGGGCAGGTTGATTTTACTATAAATTCAAAGCAAAACCTTGACGTTTTTTCCTTTTAAGGGGGTGGGTGGGTGGGAGGCGTGTACAGGCACTATCAAGATGCATCGTCAGAGAAAGAACTCTGTTGTATGTATTTCTCTGTTACAACGGTACAATGAAGAACTCGACCTTATTCGCGTGTTTATTACACTGTCAATGTATAAATACAAAAGTAGCTTGGAATTATATTATTTTTATTTTTGTAAATAACTTATTGGCGACGAAGAACCCTTTATTTCAATATATTGATTAGTTAACACGTTTATTATCAGAACTATAAACCAGAAATGTAAGGTGAGAACAGATTAAAAGTACAATTTCTTGTAAGTATCAATTCCTGACGTTACGACAAAGTAAGATGATAAGGCTAAACTACCCTGGCCATGTCGTGACGGAGCACAAAAAATATTATTATTAACATGTGAGCGTTGTGGCCCATGGAACTCTTATTACAATGTAGGCCTAAGTGGTTTGGAAAGTTTTCATTAAAATTTATTTCGATTTTCGCTCTCTGTGACTAATTCAAGTAGGTCGAAATTAAAAGCTGGATTAACCAGACTGGACCTCCAACGAAGGTGAAGTACGTAAATCAATAAAATGAAATGTACTCAAGAGTGAAACAGGGATGGGACCGTTCACCTAGAAAAAATTCCGAGGAGTTCCGAAATTAGAACGTAAACAGAAATGGCGGCTATGAAAAAAAAACACGGAAGTGAAACATGACTAAATCTGAGCTTCAAATAAAGGATTTCCTGGGAAATTTAGAAATATCGCGCCTCATCAGAGCATCAGTGTTATGCTTCAAGTAAACGTGTTGTAATGGAGCAGTTGTACAACAAGTTTGTGGAAACATGGAATGCTGAATTTCCACAAGAAGATCCACCGTTACTTGACCTACATGGCTGTATTTCAACTTCAGCTGATGGATTCGAGTCAGTAAACATAGCTCATCTCGGAAAATTTTACAATGAATCAAGAGAAACGTCAAAGAGGCTAAAGCGAGAGTTAAAAAAGGCTGAGCTTATTGAAAACTTTTGGCACACTCTCATGAAAGACTGCAATGGGTTTGAATCTTCCGAATACTCACCAAGAACTAAAAGTGCAAGTAGAAAAAAACATCCCTCAAATACAAATGATTCTGAAAGAAAATCATCAGATGAAGTTGGAAGAAGGAAATATTCTTTGTTAGAAGGTCTTGGAAAATGTGTGGACTCCAGCTTGGAAACTTTTGTTAACATTGGTATGGGTGGTGATGTTATTGATGTAACTGATAATCATGAAATCCAGGTAAACGCAGCAGTAAGCGGTAATCAATATCTTATAATGGATAAAGAGTCAAGTGATGGAGCTATTGGAGATAACCCAGTAACACAGGTATGTGATAATAACAGGCGGGACTCAGGTAGCATACCAAACAGAGAACAACACAGTTCACATAGGCCTTACAATGCTGCAGGACTAAACAATGAAGGAAATGTGTCCAGTGATGATGACGATGAAGCAGATTATGAAAATCAATGTACAAGAAAATTAACAGCGTCCACGGAAAGAACACCTTCTACAAAGCCCACCGTTCCTCCTCGTAGACCAAGAGCTGAACATCCAGCAAGACCAAAACCTCTCACAACCCCCCGCGGTATAAAACTCAGTCCAAGCTCAAGTCATCATAGCCCAAACAGAAGTAAAGGGGAACCGGTTCAAACGAAAGTAAACAGAGGAAAGCATGATTATAACATAGGGAACGTAACAACAAGGGCATGTACACCTGAGACTAACCTAGATGAACTGACAGGAACAAATTCTTTTGAAAATTCTCCCACTACTTCCTTAAGTGAAACAGCCAGCTCTGACAAGACTGTGGAGGTGCTGGACAAAGACATGTTAAGAAAATTCAGGCTAAGTGACGGAGGAAAGGAAAAGCGTGGAAGTGGTGAAGTGATATCAACAGGGTACAAACACCTCAGCAGTGAATTAGACAATGTTAGTAGTCCTAGCGAAAATATCACCGAATCTAGTCAGAAATTATCTCCAGAGAATAATAAAGAATCCAAAAACAGGAAACGATTGAGGTCTAATGACTATGAGAATTTCTCTGTGGACTTTCTCCTGACAAGGAGGACACCTACCATCGACTTGGACGATGAAGATGAGCCTAATAATCGGGACTCGGACATTTACGACAACACGGTCCCCAATGGGACCAAAAAGTCTAGTAACTCTAGCTTCTCTAGTGCGGACTCCACTTCAATCACTAGTCTCACTAGCGGAGAGGTGTGTGATTCTAGCACTAATGGCCCTGATTCTTCTGAGAGTCATATCAAGAAACGAGTTGGAGATGTCAGCACTTCTCAGAATAACCAAAGTAAGTATAAATTACTGCAGGAACTGTACAAAAAATTGCTATAGTGAGATGTGTTTTTATCAAGTAAGGAAAAAATTCAGTATTTTTGCACATTGCACCAGAAGGTCATACATTTCACTTCCTTCAAAATTATACATTACAGTGTTCACAGTCTTTATCATGTTGATCAGTTTTGTGCTTGACTTTTTCATGTTGTTATGAGCCAGTGTTTATTATACAAATCATATCAACCAAACCATATGTGCTTTTGTTAAAAAAAAGCCATCAGAGCCCATCTTTTGGCTACCTACATCCACACATTGACAGCAATCACAGCTGTGCTATAGCATGTATAGCCACTAAAGGTAGGTATTCCATGCACACCTGTTATACAGTAGATTAATTACATGTATATACTCAGGTATCCTGTTACATAGGCGTACACTGATTGTATGCTTAGGTTTTCTACCAGTTACAATCTATTTCTCTGATCACCTTGTTAAGGGAAGGCCCTGTAGTTGTTATTCTAACAGCGAAAAAAATTATTTTGGTCAAAAACCCCAGCTGTTTGTGAATGATGACACATGAAGATCTATCTCTGTTTGATAATTATTATCTTCCTGTTGACAATATTCTTATACCCACAGAAAACAATTCAACTCTTTATACTATGTACAATGTGAACTCCACATAATTAATAATAATTGTATGATTTATATATTCCTAAATTAGATTTTTTATATTAGGTCCATACCAGCTATTAATTTTGTGGTGGTTTGGATACTTAGTAACTTGACTTTTGTCATGCTACTAACTAAATACATGTACATGTATATAATTATATTGATAAATTACTTAACATGTAGTATACTAGTAACTAATTGCATGGATAAATTATTATTTTGGGAGCTAGAAGGAGATCTCTATGTAGGATTATTAAAATGAAAAACAAAAGAAAAATGCTATTTTGCTTGCAGCTAAATTTAATCAATATACATGATATAGAATGATAATGTTTGACAGAGAGAGAGAGAGAGAGAGAGTAGGATATCTCATTGAATTATACACAACATGTACTTATCAATATGTATGATTGATGTTTCTAGTAAGTTTCATCCTAGCATTATGCATTTAATGCTATTAAATCTGAATCCTGGATTCACAGCTTTTATTAAGCTTGCAGATCATAATGAACTTTCAGATCATGCATGTTTAGAATAAAGTTGGTATTATAATTCTCTGCTTGTAAATCTTAGCTTATATTATATATGTAACAGATGGTACGTGATATTTGAAATGTTTTGCATGGAAAGTGAGATTTTGGAAAAGAATTCCAAAATGATTTAGAATCTTGGGCAGATGTGCATATTTTGTTTTAGGGATGATTTCTTATGCTGTAGGGTATAATGATGATGAAACTGTGAGAAAAAGAACAATTGTCTCATTTACATTTTAGTGTAATCTAATCCTACATAATAGAAATGCTATATTATATCCCTGGTAATGAAGAAACTATAAATCTTTTTTATGCGCCCGAATTTTTTCGGGGCGCATATTGTTTTTGTCCTGTCTGTTTGTCTGTTTATCTGTTTGTCTGTTTGTCTGTTTATCTGTTTGTCTGTTTGTCTGTCTGTCTGTTGTCAACTTTAACCTTCGCCAAAACTTTTAAACCGTAAAAGATAGAGACTTCATATTTGGTTTGCATACTCCTCTAATAAAGTCCTTTCAAATGACATCAAGGTCAATGACCTTGTGACCTTGACTGTGACCTATATGCTAAAAATAGCTTTTTCCACTGTTTGTCATAACTTTTTAACAATAGGAGATAGGGACTTCATATTTAATATGCATACTACACTAATAAAGTCCTTTCAAAGGATCAATGATCTTGTGACCTTGACTGTGACCTATATGCTAAAAATAGCTTTTTACACTTTTTGTCATAACTTTTGAACAATAAGAGATAGAGACTTTATATTTGGTATGCATACTCCAGTAATAAAGTCCTTTCAAACGACGACAAGGTCAATGACCTTGTGACCTTGTCTGTGACCTATATGCTAAAGATAGCTTTTCCCACTGTCTGTCATAACTTTTTAACCATAGGAGATAGGGACTTCATATTTGGGATGCATACTCCACCAATTAAGTGCTTTCAAATGACACCATGGTCAATGACCTTGTGACCTTGACTGTGACAAATATGCTAAAAATAGATTTTTTGAACTTTGTTGCCGCCGGGCGCATAGTGTTTCACAAACACATCTTGTTTCATACTGATTCACAAGAACTTTATTACAAAATTATTTCAACTAAGAATTTTAAGTTCTAAACAAATTATAAGTGGTGGATTGAAGGGGGGAGCACACCCAGCATGTGTCCCCCCCTAAAATTATCAAAGTTACCAAAAAATCATATTTTCGTCAAGAAAATTTTAAAATGTTTACTCGCTAGACCTCATTTGAACCATACAAAATCTTTAAAATCCAGGAGCTTCCAGGGTTTTGCCCCCTGCCCCCCCTAGGGATTCACCCACGGCCTCAAGGCAGACCCCAGACCTCCTGCCTTAACCCCCCTTAACTTCACTCCTGGATCCATGTCTGATTATCTCTTTACTTGAATTCAGACCATGCCCCAAAATCATCTTTCTGAAATACATATACAGTGTATATGCATGCATTACTTTTGTCTCATGATTGACTTTGAAGTCCTTTGAAATAAAAATGAGGTATGGTGACAGTTTCCATAATTAATCTATCTGCATGTTGTCTTGCTTAATTTCTCAAAAGTTCTCAAGTATGCAGTGTGTCATCTATCCAAGTAACATGCAGTTATATGAAAACTTTGCAGATATTGAACATAAACATGTACAATGTACATTCACTGGACAAAATATTGACTTATAGCAGGTATATTGAAATAGTATCAGACAGCTTTAAAAAGATTTTAGAGATATACCGGTAATCTTATTTTTATTAAAATAAATCAGCACAAAATACCTGTACAGTACATAGATTTTTTTTAGATAAAATTAATAGCAAGTGCAGTATGCTGCATTTTTATGCTGGTTATATAATTGTTTACTTTAGAATTACCCTATCATTGATAAAGTTTGTTTATGTCTTTTAGGTCTCCGGTTAGACCATATAAATCATATCATACCCAAAGTAATAAAACAGGTATGCAATGATATAAGAATATCCAGGAAGTAAACAAAATATTACATAAAGTCTTTATTCAAATTTTACATTCGGATTCTTTTTATGAGACCCAGGTTAAAAACCATCTTTTGAAAAGTTTTATCATTGGTGATCTGTTTTTTCCCCCTAAATGTTTCCTCATTTTTAAAAAAAAAATTATTTGTACATTGTTGTTTGTGAATTTTAAAAAATATTTTCTCACAGCCTCAAGGGTTCTACAAATTATACCAGCAAATGATATGAGTGAATGGTTATAAATTAAAGAAAAAAAATGGTCCCAATATAAAATTTAATGGGCATTTTAAAGATGCTAGGAGGAGATGGGGTGTATGGTTACCCTGAAGGAAATGGGCACATGACTGGCCTCTAGAAGGAAACTGAGTAATGTTAATTCCAGTTATGTCAAGGAAGTTCCCACTCTCTTTTCTATAGATCCTCTCTCATTTCACAGGATATTAATTATATTTCTAATAATTATTTTTAAAAAAGTATGAATTCCTTGACCTAAATTTCAGAGAGAGAGAGGAAAAATCTTAACTTTTTATTCCAAAGGAATTTAATCTTCATGTAACATTTACATACAAATTAGCCACAGTAGGATTTTTAATCATTTGATAAATAGTTTGACAATATATAATATCTTGGAAGTGAGGAATGGGATAGAGTTAAATGGCTATTTGGTCTTTCAATAATCTCAACTGATATCTCGCATGCTCTCTGAGATAAAATGCAAGTAAAACAGTTAATTCACTGCCCGAGAAAGATAAGACTTAAAAGAACTATAAATCTTTCATAAATCTACCAGTATATGAATAGGAGTTCTATTCTGTATATCTCTACTGTTATATATAAATCTAGATAACAGACTGAAAAATTTACAAAAACTGACTTAATAATCTTTAACGATTTAACAGTTCATGTAAAAGTCCCATTAAAATTTCTGAAGAAAGTTCAAATTGTTTTGGAATGTGGGTGATCAAATTTATTTTCTCATTTGATTTACTTTATAGCTATATGATTCAGTGGGAAATGATTTTGTAAAATGATGAAATTGATCATGTTGGTAGCAAAGAAGATATACACAGCTTGTAATTAGTCATTTCAGATCTTGTGACTGGTTTAGGAAAATGTCCATCTTGGTTAGTCATAAGGATTAAAGTCACCGTCCCCTATTTGTAATTTAAAGACATTTTTTTTTTTTGTCATCACATAATAGATTTATACACGTCATGTTCAGTATTGTAAAACATTTTTAGCAGTCTGAGTTTATTTGTTTTTCCTGACTTTTATATGTTTCCGTGCTCAATTAAGTGTATCAAGCATTTTGAAAATGTCTCTCTCTCTATACATATCTGTCTATTTAAATCAAATTTCGAACATGATGAGTGACTCATTGCCTTGATATTTGAAATAAGATAGAACGAAAGTACATAATATTCCTACACCCTTTTCTCCTTTCCCAGAAAGGATTTTCCATGAACTCCACCCATATCAGCTTGTTTTTATGTACAGTGTACAGATAATAATGGTATATTTTGCAATCAGTGACTATTGGCTTATTGAGACTAAACACATGACCACAACACCTATGATGAATTTTATTGGATTTTTAAAAAGTTTGAGTTTATTACTTAAAATTTATACATAAACAAGTTTTAAAATTGAAATCAACTGGAGGAAGAATGAGGGAGAAAAGAAAATTATGTAAGAATTTGTATCCAAGTTAATATTGTACATTGTAGTCAACATGATGTTTTATATCTACTGTTAGTTCATTACATTTCTTTTGATTTAAATTCTTTTCTTCAGATTTTTTTTTTGGGGGGGGGGGGATAGGGAGATTGATTAGAAATACATAGGAAGAGAAATCTTTTATAAGGAGACTTTTTGCATATGAAGCTTAATCCCATTTGTCCTTTCTTTTTTTGCAAAACGTTTGCAAAAATTGAAAATTGACACAACCAATATATCACCCATGAATTCAAAATAATATTATTCACATGTAGTGGTTTGCCAATTTGGATTTTAATAAACTGTCAAAATACTATAATAATTGGTTTAGAATTTAATACACTCACATCCATTTCAGTATAATCTCGATAATACAGGTCCCTACCTATTATATAGCAGCCAATATTATGTGTCCTTGGATTATATGACCTTGAAAATTATATGAATAAATTACATACAATGCAATGCTAGCAAATTTTGCAAATGGATCATAATACAATTTTTCACCTCTGGTTAAGCTACTGCTATTAAAGAAGCAAAAAATTAACTTCAATGCAGATACATGTATATAGAATCGGTATGAAAGTAAGATTTACCTGGGTAGTTGATTTTTTTCTTTAAATTCATCAGGCATGGATCTGGAAGATGCAGAAAATACTCAACAGAAAGACGAGGCTGATGGGAAAAGTCATGTGACCACGGAGGCCCCAGGGGCAGACTCAGAAGACACAAGTGATACTGAAGTGGTATGTGATTTCAGTAGAAGATTGTCCCAAAATTATGAATGATATTGAGTGCTGACTAAGTTGGAACTTTCATAGCAGAGATTTTTTCTCATAAAAAGCCGTTCTTGGTTCGCTGGTTTAGAAAATCTTAGAACAAACTTTTAGTGGTCATTCTAGTAGATATATAACTGTACAGTAAAACATGCTAAATAGTAAACACACTTTTAATGAATTGACACTTACCGGGTAATTGCTGCAAAGTGATCGTCATTCCCAGTAACTTAAAAATTTATTGTAAAATTAAAGGATATAATTAATTACACTTATAACTAAACAAAATTGTCCATCTCTTGCACTTTATTATAAGCATGTTTCATAGTGTATAATTGAAAAATTATTTACACAAATATTAATATCCTATACATTTATTTTAGCCTGAAATGTCCAGAACTATGAGCCTTAGTAGTTCTAGGAAGATCAGAGACCAGAAAATTCATATGAGGAAAATTCTAGTCAAGGGAATTCTGGAGAGCGAGAGGACCTATTTATCCTTACTTAAAGATATTACAGAGGTAAGTGGACCTATCTATCCTTACTTAAAGATATAACAGAGGCGAGAGGACCTATTTATCCTTACTTAAAGATATTACAGATGTAAGAGGACCTATTTATCCTTACTTAAAGATATTACAGAGGTAAGAGGACCTATTTATCCTGACTTAAAGATATTACAGAGGTAAGAGGACCTATTTATCCTGACTTAAAGATATTACAGAGGTAAGAGGACCTATTTATCCTTACTTAAAGATATAACAGAGGTAAGAGGACCTATTTATCCTGACTTAAAAGATATTACGGAGGTAAGAGGACCTATTTATCCTGACTTTAAGATATTACAGAGGTAAGAGGACCTATTTATCCTTACTTAAAGCAGGGTTCGACATTAACGTTAGTCCGTTAGTCTCAGACTAATACATTTTCATTCGGACTAATAAAATTTGTGGCTAATAAGTCCGAACGGACTAATAAACTTTTCTGGGGGAGAAAAAAAAGAGTTCACCGATGTTCAATTCTCTACAACTTTCACTGGAAAACCCCATATGTAATTTTAGCTTTCTAGCTTCTTGGCGGGAAGTTATGTAATTCTGAGCCAATTAAGCACTTAAGTTTGGGGATTCATTGGTATGAAATTAAACATTTTAATGATCATGATTTAGTATGACACATGAAGAAAGATGTTGGACGTTTGGATGATGTAATCATATAGAGAAAAACGAATGAGATCGAATCGCGCAGTTTCAATGAATCTTGGTATAAAATATTTCATGTAAATGCTATGTTTATTTCAAAAAAGTATAAAAGTACATTGCAATGTTAATTCTAGTTATTATTTATATTTTTGACGGACTCATAAAATTGCCCACAGACAGTAAAATAATAAAGAAGCACTAGTCCGACCAGACCAAAGCCTAAAAATGTTAGTGTCGAACCCTGTTAAAGATATTACAGAGGTAGGAGGACCTATTTATCCTTACTTAAAGAAATAACAGAGGTAAGAGGACCTATTTATCCTTACTTAAAGATATTACAGAGGTAAGAGGACCTATTTATCCTTACTTAAAGATATTACAGAGGTAAGAGGACCTATTTATCCTACTTAAAGATATTACAGAGGTAAGAAGACCTATTTATCCTTACTTAAAGATATTACAGAGGTAAGAGGACCTATTTATCCTTACTTAAAGACATAACAGAGGTAAGAGGACCTATTTATCCTTACTGAAAGATATTACAGAGGTAAGCTAAAGGGGTTGGGGGATGGGGGATGAGGGTGGATGTGGATGAACTGCCAGATGATTGTGTGTTTCAAAAAAAGTTGATGTTTCATTTTCACTGCTTTAATGAATAAACTTTCCTGTAGTCCTTATTCCCAAGAACTAGCTAGTTGATAAAAAAAATGTTTTCTTTTTTTAAGGTAAGGTAAGCATGTTGAATTTTATTGCCAGCACATGTTCATTGATATTGAACAGAGCACACATTCTCACCTGAGGCTAATTGATTTCAATCATTTAAGCAATTAATTGGATGTGTAAAGAATTTCCAGTTGTAAGTTTTTATTTTTTACAGCTTAAAAGGAAGATTCAGAACCAGATAACCAATTTAAAAGAGCCCCCCATGTGTTTAATGGAGGATGTCACCACCATATTTTACCAGGTGGAGGAAATCCATGTTCAGCATGGGAACTTTGTGGAGAAGCTACAGGCTAAAGTGGATGCCTGGTCAGACACACAGAAAGTCGGAGATACGTTTAAGGAGCTAGTAAGTCGCAAAAGTGTACTTGATAGGTGTAGAATATTATGTAACTTATGTTTTAGAAATGTTTAAGTTGCAAATATTTCCCAGTTTAATGTTACGTACCTTTGTCCTTATACAAGTATTGTTTTATGCCTTGTAAAGTAGTTCAGTTTTTCATATTGCATGTGATACTTATACTTCAGTGTTTAAATTATTCTAACTTTATGTCAAATTGAGAGGATTTGTGAAGTAAATCATTTTATGCAGCTGTTATTTTTTATGATCTTGATTGCATTAGTTACATGTATTTGTTTTCACTCTTCATGACCCCTTAAAGTCCTACTTGTCAATATTTACATTTCTAAATATTTTATGTATGATTTTCTACAAATCTGGAAATGGTTCATTTTCTAATAAACTACCAGGGATGTATATCTGTTGTGACATCATATTACCATACTTAACATCAAAACCATATTGCAAACTGTTTTGTTTCAAAAATGATAGTTAAACTACCGTTATATATTTTGTGGCAGGTCATTATGATCAAATAGATAATGTAAATATAATATTTAAATTTAATTTTTGAAATTTTTTGAGGTACTTGAACAACAACGCATCATGCCTGTTTATTTAGCATAAAGTTCTAATACTCTTTATGAAACATGCCAGCCAGAAGTGTCATAGTCCATGTCCTTGAGAATTTTCAAAAAATCAAATTTATTTCTTAAGTAAAATTATTTATGTATGATTTCTGTGTTTTGGGAATTTCACTTTTTTATGGGGTTTGAAATCATAAAATTGCATGCAGGAAGTTTAATTGGTTTTATTAACTGCATGGTTGATAGAATTACAATTAAGACAAAAAAAACAACAGAAAAGTTCCTCATGTGTTTTGCTGTTTTATGAGCATTAAGATTTCCTTGATCATGGTTAATATGATTAAGACCAGATTTAAATTGTCATGTTGATAGCCAAGTTCCTGGAAAGATTGATTATTTGATAAATTTTTTGTCAAAATTGGATTTTCAGACATTATTGTTTTTATAGTAGGCTTATATTATACAGTTGGTTTATATAAATCATTCATTTGTAATGCAGTAAAATCCAAAATTATGAAAATTAAATTTTATTTATTCAATTTCAGATTGTTTATTTTCCTATGTATATGAAATATGTTAACCACACCCATGAAGCAGCAGAATGTATACTGAAATGTAGCAACAATAACGAGGAGTTCCGAAAGCTTGTCTCTTCTGTTGTAAGTCAGTGTTAAATCTCATTTTATATTAATTCTGAAATTTTTGCAGAATAGTGGAAGGTTCTCTTATGCAAAGAAAGTATTCTACTATTCTTCTTGCTGAAGTGGTATTCAATTTACATGCTATTCATTTTTACAGAAACTAACCACTGGGGGCACACATACACTGCAAGGTAAATATGAATAAAATATTATGATGTGATACATGTATAAGGAAACAAATTAGTAATTATAAAATATTTCTAGAAGCATTGAACTTATCATTGTCAGATTTGTATGTAATAATGATGTCAATAAAAAAATTAGCCCAGCTTTGTAACGTAAACCCTAACAAGAAAAATGAAATATATTTTATTTTTTCTTTTCTTGGGTTCTACCATTTAAATTTTGCAAAGCGTTCTTTGTTTTGCATTGCTGTAGAATTTAGTTACATTTAAATCTGCTGTCTTGATTATCCAGTTCTTAGTTTTCAGTATATGTCTGATGTTTTTTTTTTGTTTGTAGAACTTTTATTTACACCTGTACAAAGGCTTCAAAGAAATACTCTAGTCATACATGTAGGTACTACTTATACAAAAACAGGGCTGGAAAAATTATAGAGCATTTCAGTTTTAGAGAGAAAATGCAGATTTTGTTTAAAAGGGGAGGGAGACATGCATGTAAAATTAAGTAGTGTGACCTGCAATGTCATCTGTAAACAGTTATGATTTTTTTACCTTATTTTTTACTTTTACTATTAAAACTGTACATTTTTTTGTTCATTATGCACATAGGATCTCCTGAATTACACACCAGAAGATCATGAGGATTATAAAGTCCTGATGAAGACCTTAGATTTAGCTGACCACAACCTAAAGAACTTTGCCACCAAACCAGATTCAGAAATAGCAAATGTAAGTTTTCTCATTATTGTTTAAATAATCCTGGTCTAGGCACCAAAAAATGACCTGACATATGCATGCTCTTATAATGTAGCTTCCATACTTATAAAAAAGACTTAATATATTAAAAGATGCTGATTATTATTTTAAACTGATACAGAGATTGAATCAGCTGAGAAATTTCTTGTGAGTAAAGTGGTTGATATGTGTAACTAATAGTCTTCCCCATGTCACTTGATTGCACTGATCACAGAACAAGAATATTGCTAACAAAAAATGGGTTTGAGTATTGGCTTAACTAATGATGTTGTAGATTAGAAATGCTAAACGTTACTATGTTTCTAGACAACTTTTACTAGCACAATTTCTTGACACATGTCTTCCCCAAAAAATATATTGTACTGTAGAAAATCTGTACATAAATTCACTTTTTACATGAGAGAAGCTAAAAATATTTTAAAATTGTTGAAATATTTGTTTCTATCAAAATATTTAATGATTAATTTAACCATATTACGGTTTATTACCAGGGTAGGTGTATCACTATCAAGCATGGAGTCTTAATTGAATTAGAACAGGGATACATGAACTTACTTGAATGAAACTGCATACCTATATACATGAGTGTATATCATATTTTGAACAGAACCTGGCAGAATATTTGATATTATCTTTATCTTGCAGACAGAGGACCATCTGGTTAAGAGTGGCTTTGTTGTGGAGATGGTTGGAAACTCCAGAAAACTTAGGTTTCTTTTCTTGTTCACTGACGTCCTTGTGTGTACCAAACACAAGCAAACGGGAAGGTGTGTAATGTGTGATTGTGTTACTATCTTTACTAGTATAACATTTATTTTATTTGGATGAGACTGTATAGACCAAGGTTCCATGTCGCAGTAGGTTTTGGCATGATAAAGATTCCTCACTGTTTAATTAACCCCCTTCCCAGCAGTCACACATTTTAATGCATATACAATTCCCAATTTCTAACGCAAAATCTTGCATATACCGTTTCCCTGCAATCACGCATTTTCACGCACTTTCAGTTCATTTAATCTTCAATTTAATGCCAATTTCCTTCTATTTTATACTTGCTAAAATCTCATAAAATAAGAAACAAGAAAAGTTTTTTTTTTATTAAGATGTTACATCGTAATATTATTTACGCTTAACTTTTGAGAAACTTGTACCGCACTATAAAGTGCTTGCGTGGAAAAGGTGACATCATATTTCTATGACGTGAACATTCAAGTGTATGATGCGTCACAGTTCAGTAAGTTGTAAAGAGTGAATGGCCATGAGTGCCAATGTATAGTCATAAATTTGTAGCTCTCCACTGGGAAGTGGTGGCATCTCCATATGTATGAAAAAATTTTCAGTAGGACATTAAACAATCAACAATTTTATTTTTCTCTGTCAGTGTTTTATATGATAGACAAATTAGAAATCTCTGCTAAAGAACAGTGTTATCATGATATTGTTTATATGAGTGTTCTTGTTCATGTTATGTTTCTAATATCTTAAAGCAAAAACAGAAAAGATAGTTCACACAGAATTAACACTGGTAGATGTATGTTAGAACAATACTGCATAATGACCTCATATTTATTGGTCTATTAGAATGATCTCCCAAGGAGCAATTCTTTATAGCTGGTAAAAGTATATAAAGCCTCCTCATATTAATGAGATAATTTATATTATTGGGAAAGTTGATTCTGCCCTTCCATAGACAAAGCATTTCTTTCCATAGTTGATGCAAATGACAAATTCTTTGAATTGACAAATAACTAGTGTTGGCAACGAGTACCCGGTTAACCGGTTAACCGTCGAACGATGCGAGTATCGGTTAGTAAAACTGCTATTCGGTTACTCTGATAAAAATACATCTTATAAAGTAAATAACTAAAATATAGAATGTTAATTTGTTTTCAAGCGTATACATAAACATTTCTTTAATTTTCTTTACCGTTAGACTTAATGATCTAGTGTTTCACTAATACGATCAATTTGTTTTGATTAGTTTTCACAGTTAATTAATAGCTTTGATTGCCAGCAGGTTAAACACGTTTTGAAGACCTGAGTTATAATTACCTCATTAAGTAATTTAACAAGACTCCATCAAGGACATATATAGCTTGGAAGTATTTTAAAAGAACAGTTGATTCGATACCTGTAAAATGTAATTCATCGTGTACGGTTGTGACTTCAAATTTCTAAATAATTATTTTCCTTGATCATGACATAATTATATCGGGGGTCGAAAAGTAAAAGGTGATGAACGCCATTGTAAACTAGCGTGAAACATTGAACATTTATTTTTCTTCTTCTGATTTAATTAATTTATTAATTACATCAAAATTCTTTCAAGATAGTGCATGCATATGCATGCGTATCTTTAATTTTTAATAATAATGTTCATTCACAATATATTTGTGTTTTATTACTACCGTTGAGTAAAGGAATAAATGATATATATGAATATAAATAAATCATCCGAGTAACCGGGTACTCGATCGGAAGATTGAGCGAGTAACCGGTTACTAAAAATCCTCCGATTTGCCAACACTACAAATAACCCATATTGCATATTTTGTACAAGATAGACTTTCTGAGCTTTGTTCTTATAAATTTCGAGTGCCTGCAAATATATTTCTCTTCTTATAAATTTCAAGTGCCTGCAAATACATTTCTCTAAGGATAATTCCTTTTCTGTCGGAGACAGATAATACTTTGCACTTTTAAGAACATTCCAGCACACATCCTGCCTATTGACAGTTAATGTTAATCTAGGACTTTCTAAATTTATCAAGGATGTGATCGTATATGTCACAATGTCATACAGACTTTCTCTTTATTTATAGTGTCAGATTCCTGTATGAAATATATTTTAATTTAGCCAATGTTGATTTTTTTTTTTCAGAAATCGTGTTAATGTATTTGAAGTCAAATGGTTTCTGCCAGTGCCCCATATCACCATGGAAACTAAGTGTAAGTCATTGAAATTCTTCAAAAATACTTCCATCATGATCTATTTTTACAAGCTTTGTGAAACCTTGCAGATATTTCCAATCAAAGTTTGTTTTCCTTCCTGGTAGAGAAAGTATTCCGTGATAAAAAGGATGTTAATACAGATTTGAACTCTGATGTTGATCCGCTGTCCAAACAGTTTAAATGTGTCAACATACACACTTTATGCAGGAAGTTATTACATTAACCTCAAGGCCCTTATTAGTGAACTCATTCAGTGACGAAGTTCATAACAAGAGAAGAAAACAGTAGATAGTTGTCAATGAGATCTTTCCTTTTTTTAACTGCAGTAACATCATGATTCATAATTTTGTTTTAATACTTTTTTTCTATTTAAGAGTTTTATTTAATTTGTTGTTCTGTTGTACCCAGAATTATTAAGCCAAAGTTAACTTTTCCTCACTATAAACTAGTATGTTGTAAGATCACTGCAGTGCATTAAAAAAAATCTTTATAAATCTTTTTCTGAAAAACAGAAGAGGCATGATTAATCATATTTATATATTATGCACCTAAGGGTGGGTTGGTTGTTTGGACTACAATAGGAGATCTAAGTTTTGCATGGGAATATGTAGGGAAATAAATCTTGAAGAACAGCATGGTCATGATTAGTCATATTAATCTTCAAGTACTAGTATATTGTAATTCTATTTTGTTCAAGTCATAACCTATGGGAAGAGAATTGGGTTTTAATGAAAATCTTAAACAAAAAAAAAAAGAAAGAAATCCAGCAAGGCTGAGATGACATGGGGCGACTTCGATTCGTACCTGAGTATTAACTCTTGATTGACGCCACATGACCGGATGTTTACACCAACAAGTGGTTTTCAAGCGAACTCATGAGTGTGAAGGGTAGCAAAAATAATTCCGTTCAAGTTTGCTCAGTACGATAATTTTATCAATAAAGTGACGATTTTGCACATTTTTTGATTCTTAGAAATTCAGGCTCTATGACCATAAACTGAAAATAAAATTTAGATTTTGAATATTTTAAGAATTATTTAACTAACATACTTAAAAACTTTCAAGTACACAGTGTTTGAATACAAACATAACTTAAATATTTTGTTTGAATTTAAATTTTTTTTTTTTGCCTTATTATTTTTTTAACATTTCATTAACAAACTGCATATAATGCATAAGGTCATGTACCTATTTAAAAAGTGTACTTTGGAAAAAAATGAATGAGCATCTTAACTTTTTTGCAGCTTAACTTTTGAATTTTTGATATTTTTTCAAGATGTATTAATTTGCTGGCCAATAGTTTTAAAAAATAAACCTAAAAAAAAAAAAATCAATACAATAAATGGTACAATATCACATTTGCAGACACACAGACATTCAACACGTAAATTAATTAATTTAAAAAATCAAACATCTGTTACATTATAAACAATGCATACTTGTTTGTTTTTAGTACTATTTTCAAATTAGTTTTTTTCCTCCATGAGATTTAAAAGGCGGTCAGATAGGTTCATTTTGGCGTCATCTGTTGAGTTAATTTTTTTTTTGAATAGCTTTTGATGCAGTTGAAATGTTTTTGCATTTTTTCAGCTCTGAACTTTTGTTTTCGAATTTGAATTTATGTCTCTGCTGTTATCGGGCAGTAAGCCAGAAAAATCTAATCAAATAAACATATATGCATATAGATTATAAAGCGTCATGTAGAAAGTAATATTTTGTAAAAAATAATTCCTACAGTTCGAGTTTTTCTTTGACGCCGCCATATCGAAACTCTTGTAATCCTACTGTATGGCTGGGTTAGCCTGGGTAGAGTTCATAAGGTCATATGACGTAATTTGAGTAGTAACTATGGTTGTTCGATTGAAACTCAAGTAACTCGAGTATGTACTTGGGTACGAATCGAAGTCGCCCATGGTGTCCACAGCCCTTTTGATAAATAAGCAAATAACTGATCTTGAGATTTCATCATATATTCTTGCATCTTATGATGATATTTTAAAATGCATATGGTATATACAGTTATTTATGTACACTTTTTCAGTGGATAAGGTGTTCTCCATTAAAGAAGACACAGAGAGTATGAAGAAGAAGATTGTTCATCTGAAGGCTGAGCTGAGGAAGGAGATGAAGATCCATGACGACAAGGGGGAGGTAGGGGTTTTATGTTTTTAAAGTAAATACAGTAAAACTCCTTTAGTATGAACATGCAAATTCACAGATATAGAGAAGAGTTATCTTGGATCCCCAGATGTATAAATTTAACGAATTCTTTATATGGATATAACGAATTTCAGATATAGCGAAGTAATTTCATAGGTCCCAGTGACTTTGTTATAACCGAGTTTTACTGTAAAATAATTAAAATAATACAAGAACCCATCATACAACTTTGCAAGATTTTGTTTGATTAATTTTCATGTGTGGCAAATGTTTTTTTCTTATTCAATGGTCAACAATCATTTAATAAATTGATTTCATGAGTCGGTGAAACACAAAGTTGACATTGACAAACTGTGTTTATATAAGTGCTTTTTTAAGAACACAGATTTAAAAATAATAAAAGATAGACAGTGATAAGGAAATCCAATTATATTGTTCAATGATTAGTTTTCAAATATTTCATTAACAAATATTCATTGAGATTGATTTAATTAATTTTTTTCTTCAGAGGACATCCTGGTTATCGTCTGGTACCAGGACAATGGAGAAATTAAAACGGAAAATAGAGGAACAGGTTTGTCAATTGTCAATTAATGAGAGAGGAAGATATGATTAAATGAACTAGACATATATTATTGATGATAAATAACAAAGGATTGTTTAGAGATCAGTTTAATTAATATACATTGTACTTGTCAATATTTACACATGTAATGTGTCACAATCGAGTTCCAAGTTTCTGCACCTTATCAAATTGATTTTACTTGACAATGACATTTACTCAGTAGGCAAAAACAAAATCCACTGATGAGATTAAATAGCATCTGTTGTACATTATAGACCTATTATCCAAAGTCTAAATCAGACATATTTCGTTTTCTTTGTACTGTTACAGTCCATAGAGTTACACTTGTAAACTGTTCCTAATTGTATTTATTCATGTATGAAATGAATCCCCTTTGGCTTAACATAAGTACTTTTAATAATTCTTCTCGTCTAAAATGTAGGAAGCTGCCTTGATCCTTGCTTCACCCCATCTGCCATTACAATTCACAATGAAGGAGGACTCCAAAAACCACTGTATCCTAATGTCTACAGATTACGAGAGAGAGGAATGGAGGGATGCAGTGTACGCTCAACAGAACCACCATCATGGTAAGTACATTTACCATAAAGGGGAATACTCTGTACACCCAACAGAGAGAGAGAGAAAGGGGGGGGGGGCTTTGTTCAGTTAGTAGAACCATCATCATCAGACATGATTGGTTTCCATTGCCAGTTAGTTAAGCTGTAAAATAAATTTTGAAGTTTGGCAGAGGTTATAGTAAAGTTCATTGACAGTGGAATAAAGGGAAATAACTGGATTTCTTTTTAATGTGTTAATGACTATATGGTTTCTGCTGTTTAATCTTTAGTGTTTCTTATTAAGCAGGAGATGTAATCATTAGATTATATTGTATTTACTTTCAAAAAACTGATCAAGTTGATAATGAAGTTTTGGGTAAAAAAAATTACCAGAAGCAAAGTCAGAGCTCTATAAAATACATGTAAATGTAATAAGTAGATGACATTGATGATTTAAGAAAGAATTGAAGTTCTCAATCTTTCCTCTCCGCAGGTGGATTTTACAGACAACTGAGTGGACATGATGTTCAGGCCAAAATCAATGAGAGCAAACAGGTAAATTAGAAACCAAATACCGGTAATTATTATTGAGTTGAAACATTTAACTTTAAAAAAATACCTGGTAAAAACTTTTACAGCTCAATTCATTTAAAACTAACAAAGCAAGTTGTAATATATGTTTTTCATAATCTGTGGGTAAAAAATTCAAGGAAAAATGTTGAAACTTTCTATCTTCTCAGCATATTTCAAAATTCAAAAATGTCCATTTGAATCTTGGAATTTGTCTTATTTTAGCTTCCTCAAGTTAATAATGTTGGAAATGTTTTGATGAAGAAAGGTGAGTTGTACAAGTGTGACATGACATGCATTCATGAAAAAATTTTAAGTGAAATATGTATGTTGATATATTAAGCAATTTAAAAAAATGTTTACTTTTACATGCATGTGAAGCAGATGAATTGATTTTACAAAGTAAATTCAAGTTCCAGGGTACTTGCATGTTTATCAAATTTTATTTTAAAAATTATTTTAGTATAAACTTCTTTGATTTGTCTAAAGTTTTAAACCCTTAAATCAGATGATGAGATGCTGAATGGGTCCCTAAATGTCACGATACATAAGATGGACGGCCTGGAGAGTCCGTGTGGTAAGTTCTTGTACAAAAATCTCAGAGGTTGTTCTAGTATTAGAAAAAAATATCATTGGGTTCATAATACCCCCCGCTTGAAAAGCGGGAGGGTATATAGTAATCGGGATGTCCGTCCGTCCATGTGTTACGCTTTTGGGTACCCATCTCTTATCTGCAACTCCTCTCATACCACTGAATGAAATTTGATTAGACTTTCACAGAATCTTTATTACATATTGCCATTGTGCACCTCCTATCTTACTTTTTGATCCGACACATAGTTTAGGTTTCCCATAACAAAACATGGACACATCCATTATATTCATATGGGAGGAAGGGGTATCATTTAGTGAGCTCATTGTTCACAGTACCTCTAGTTTCTGATTACAACTACATTGTAAAAAAATTCTGTAGCACAAATCTTTTAATTTCATAAATATCAAATTAATGTACAAGTAGATATATGTGTATATAAGTAATCTTCATGATACAGGATTTTCACCTTATTTTTATGAATTGTCCTGCAGATACCTATGTACAGCTCCATCTAGATTCCTATGGCTATTTCTTCATGCAAGCCAAGACTCGTCCTTGTGTGAACTCGGTTGAGCCTAACTGGGACCAGGACTTTGAGTTAGAGCTGGAGGGTTCTCAGACCCTGAGGATCCTATGTTACACCGTAAACAAGGAGGGGGAGGATGAGCTCATCGGCAGGAGTGCACTTGAGGTACGCTCATTCGAGTCCATGTTCAGGATTAATCTGTCTAATATTTATTTTCTTATAAAGATGTATGAATTTTCAAAAATTTTATAAATTTATTTTGATGATAATTGATTCTCATTATAGATGGATTGAGTAAAATATATAGATTTTTGTTTGTGGTATAATGTGCAAGAGTTTATCAGGTTGTGTTCCACAAGAGAAAAAGAATGTTGATAGGTTTTCTGAATACCCACATGTGGCAGTTATTGCAATATTTTTTTCAGAATTTGAGTAGACTTTAAAAAAAATTAAATATCAATGTTTCATTGCAGATTAATGTCAAGTTTAAGAAACCATTTCACCATTTCTTTCAATTTTCAGCTCAGCAGAGCTTGGCTCAGTAGCAGTTTCAAAGAACAGAAAATCAGTATGAACACAGTAGGTCTTAATTAGTTGAGCTTTTCTGGAGTAAACAATTAAAAATTAATAACAAGAAACATTCAATAAAACAGACTATTACAGATGATAATCATTTTGAAGAGAGGCCTTTCCATTTAGTATCCATGGAGGCATTAAAATTTGATTTTCAAATTAATGAAAACTAAAATCAATAGTTTTGTACTTGCAATCAAGATTCTTTTTATCTAACCTCAATCTGTAATGATTCCAATTACAACTAAATGTTTAGAGGTATGACCTTTTATACATTTTCTGTATGATTTTTTTTTCTCAGTTATCTCTGATGATCTCGGTGAGACACACACCAGCCACTAAGACTCTCAAGAGATCTCCGTCTAAGATCCAGGGAGGATTGTTTGGAACCAAGATAGGGGTGGTCTGCAAGTAAGCATGGCTAAATATCTTGTCAAAAATATATCTGAACACTTTTGGCAGTCAGAATTCAACTGTAGTGTCAAGGAATTAAAGTAGCAACTTTTTGGAGTTTTACTTATAAAAGAACATGTTGTAAAGTAATTCAGATTATCAGCAGTGTACATAAGAGTTTATCTTTTTTAAAGCACTTGTGAAAAAAAAAATTTTATCTTTATTTCTCTTTTGTCAAGTCGAGAACGAAAGACAATTCCAAGTTTTGTCACTGCATGTATCAAGGAGGTAGAGGCCCGAGGCAAGTTATTTTATCATTTATAGACAATTTTATTTTCTCACCCGTGGCTGACATGAATGTAGATTGTTTGTCAAAGAAATGAAGCCTTCCTTTTAGAGATTGAATAACATACAAAAATGTGCTATGTTATAAAACATATACTGTTATAACAATATGCTTTTATAAATGCAAAGTCAGTGTATTGATTGATATTTAAGATTTTCACTTTTTTCTTGACTTATTTGCCAATTTCCCTCCAAAATCCTATGTACATTATTCAAAATTAAAATTTGTTCACCAACAAACCCAGCCCCACTTTATTATATGGTTTTGTCAATCTTTTCAGGAATGGAAGAAGTCGGTGTTTATAGAATTTCTGGTGTAACCTCAGAAATACAGAGAATTAAGAAAGCCTTTGACAAAAGTAAGGAAACAAAAATTTTACAGTTATACATGTACATCTTTTTGAAGGATCATATTTTAAGAATGAAGCATTTCATGGAAGACTTGTTCATAATACAAAGGCATTGTCAGATTTACAACATATCCTATAATGATTAATCAAATCATATACATACATATACATGTAGGGGAAAATTCACTCTGTTTGAAATGTGTTTATGAAATTATGTTCAACAATTTTTTTTATTTAATACATTTAACATGTGATTAACATTTGAAATTTTACCTGTGTATTAGAAACGAGAAATCATGGTAAACGGCTGGAATATTTATACTCTGTACAATTAAAATTTCTAACACTATACTTGCATACAAAGTATCTTTTATCTTCCATCCTATTTCATAGACTTCTTCATAATCACACAGAGAATTTAGTTGAGAGACTTATTTTACCTCCGATATCTACAATATTTTCAGATTTAGACAGTAAATGGGTCCCAGTGTGTAAATATATTATTTTTTTGTCTTTATAAATTGCTGATCATGGAATGCTCTTGTATAAAGAAATCTTCACCATTGGCTTTTAATATATAATTGCAATGTGCATAAAAGTATTGTATGGATGTTTTTTAGAGTACCTAGGCTGAAATAAATAAATTTCAAAATGAAATATCAAATAATGAAATTATAACTGGAATCTGGTTTTCCTGACAGGAAGCTGAAAATTGATTTCCAGCTTTTTTTTCAGAAATATAATTGATTAATAAAATTAAATTTATTTTTTGAATTATTTATAGTACATGTATAATTTAAATAGATATTGAATTGTATTGATACATCCCAGTTTCAAGCTTCAAAAGCCTTTTGATGAATTCAATATTAGATTTTTTTTTTTTAAAAAGTAGAACAGTATGACTATGATTTTGACACACTGATCATAGCAAATTTATTTTCATTGCATTACTGCATTGATTTTTGCAAAACATAACAAAGATAGCAAGTTGTAAATCATTGAAAATGACATGACTATTTCTGCTTGTGCTTACCCATGGGTAGGATAAAGTACATTTTTCTTTCAATTTATTGGATTATTTTGATATATGATGATATTAGAAATGAATCCCTTTGGAAACACATTTAGAGCATGATGAATGACCTTGAGATTTCTTGATGAAACTACATTGTACACCCTGAGTTGATTCAGTTTTACCGTGTTTTACAGTGTTTGACAAACCAGAAGTTTTCATACGAAATTTGATTTCATAAGGACATTAAGTAAAACAATTATACTAACAGTAGCCAGGACAATCAAAATGTTTTATAAATCAGTAGTCACTTCATTAAAATGTGCGGTACAAAATAATTCACTGCATCATAGTTGGAATTATGGAATTTTAGAAAATATTTGATGCTGTCTAATGTGTAGCAGATAGAAGTCAAAATCCAAACATCTAAACCTAACTATTGCAAGTTGCAACAAATAACACTTTTATGAATCGAATTTTTCTAAAAGAACTAAAATTTAGACCTCTTTTTATGTCTCTGATCTGTTGATTGAACAAAAATCTTTTCCTGCTACTCATTGCAAAACACTTTAATTATAGTAACAAACTTTGATTGTACAACAAGTGCATGTCTGTCCACTTAGTGTTCAGACCTTGTAGATTCAACAATGGAAAAGCAGTAGGAATTACATTTCACAAGCATGTTGTTTGTAACAAAGAACATTACAATGAACAACTACTTAGTTACTGGATGAGGAAATGATTTAAGGGAGATAAAAAAAAATGTTTGTTGAAAGGGGGTGAGGGAGGTTGAAAAGGATATACATATATAATATACATTAGACTAAGAAATGAATCACTTCTTGGAAATTTTTAAAGTCACATTCAGCAGTGCATTGGGTTCATGTGTTTTCATTTAAAATGTATAACACCCACAATCTTTTTTAAATTGTGTCTTGCAAAATACAAATTGAAGCAAATCCATAGTCATTTTAAAATTCATTAATTCATATACATGCCTTATTTACATATATGGTAATTTGCATGGTTGCATTCTCTGTTGTTATCTGTGTTTATTTTCACGAAGTCACATTCAATATAGCATGGCATCTACAAGCACACGATAAAGTGATTTTTGGTTTAATTCCTTGATATATTTTTTGTTAAAAAGTGAATTACCGATTTATTCTTGGACATCTACTATGCACTGCCTTCATCATTTAACAATATCTGGAATACAGCCACTTGGTGACTCTGTGTTTACTAACAGTTTTTTTACCATTTTTTTTAATTGATCATTTTTATCCTTCTGTCACAAACACATGTCCATAAATGTTTATTATATCAAAGTCTAATCTGTCCATATTTCATTCTATCAACAGATCTAAGAGCGGGATTGAATCTCCTTGGAGACAGTGACATTCATGCAGTGACTGGGGTTCTCAAACTCTACTTCAGGGAGCTACCAGAACCTCTCTTTACTGAAGCCAGCTACAAACAGTTCATAGCTACAATAGGTTAGTTATAGCTACAAACAGTTCATAGCTACAATAGGTTAGCTACAAATAGTTCATAGCTAGAATAGGTTAGTTAGCTACAAACAGTTCATAGCTACAATATGTTAGTTAGCTACAAACAGTTCATAGCTACAATAGGTTAGTTATCTACTATAGGCTAGTTAGCTACAATAGGTTAGTTAGCTACAAACAGTTCATAGCTACAATAGTTTAGTTAGCTACAATAGGTAAGTAATCTGCCTTCAGGTAGTGCAATATATGCTGAAGATGAAGTTTTACAAAATTTGGTTGAATCACAATTGCTGTTAGATAGCAAGTCAAAAATTATGTGGATTTCCTTGATTGCCACTTTATGCCTTAAATTTACTTTGCAACAGTTCTCACAGCTACAATGGGCTGATGAAATTTTTCGTGTCTTAACGACCACATTTTGATGAGGTTTTCTTGTCATTACTTCCTCATGCTGATCAAGCTTTGTCAACATTTTGATAGTTTTTTTTAATCATAAAAAAATTATACATAAAATGAACTATTGGTTATTTATAAATTTCTTTGTAGGATTGCATGATGGTGATGCAAAAGAGAAAGTTTTTCTTCAACTTCTACATGATCTTCCAAACGAGAACTACTACTGCATAGTGGCTATAGTAGAGCATTTAGTCAGGTACTGTGTGATTAACATTTATTATTACTTGCGAAAAGGTCATCTAATATCTCGGAGTACTATTTCAGTTTACATGTGGTTGATCTTTGGTATTTCGAACACCAATATTTCGAATACCATGGATATGTCGGAGTGATTTGGAAGTCCCAGCCACTTAATCTTTATGTAATTTACTCTCAATATCTTGAATCCCCAGATATCTCAAAGTTTTTTCTCGGTCCCATCAAGTTGGAGATAACGATGTTTGACTGTACATCAATGATACATGTACCTGAAATGAGTTCTTTGTTTACACCCATCTATTTCTTCTTTGTTTCAGGGTCAGTAAGTACGAGAGTAGTAATAAAATGTCGTTAAGTAACCTATCCACTGTGTTCGGCCCCACCCTGCTCCACCCCGCGGTCAGCGACCACCAGAGCCCCGCCCAGCTGATGCAGGACGCCCAGGACGTGTTCCTACAGGCTGGGGTACTATATTTCCTCCTACAGATAGCAGCCAGGGGGAAGAACATCAGGAGGTGTGAGTCCATAGAAATGCATGGAGAGGATAGGCTAGTATAGGAAGGGCATATAGGGAAACGTGGATTGGGGTAGGCTGATGTAGAGTGGATTTGGATAGAAGAGAATTTGGGATCTGTTGGATGGCTGGAATGGATAGAAAATGGAGGATCATGCCATAGTTGGGAAATATTACTTTCTAGTGATAAATGAAGAAGAATGGACCGTGGAAGTTCTTGGAGAAATAACAAGACTCTCTAGTTGAAGTTTGTTTGCTACTGTTGAAAAGAAATAAATAATTGAAAAAGAATAGTAAATTTATTTAGGTATCTTTAAATAAACTGCAAAATGAAATACTAGTATAAACAGTTTGCATTTGTTAAAAGTGTTACAATTTTGTAGAGAAAACATGAAAAAAATGTGTATAATATTTAATTTTAGTCAGACACATTCACTTTCATTTTAATATACATGTAATACCATGACATTGAAATATCTTATGTACAAAAATCATCAATGTATAGGTACCCATATTGGGAATATTTTTCATAACATTATTGATAAAACCATTTATGTACATAGTTTGGAGGTAGACTTTTTCATGTTTTATCAAAATTATTTCAAACATAACCAAGAGTTGAAGATTTTTTTTGGTTGCATAATAAAGAAAACAGCAATTTGTTTGGGGGAAAAAGAGAAACTTACCTTTCCATTTGTCATGAAATCACTGCACATTGTTTTAAATTTTGAATTTATTTTTTCCTTCATTTGTATCAGTTGGACCAGGCATCCACTATATGTTTTGTTTTTGTTAATTTATGATTTTTTTTTAAAGATTTTTGTGTTTTGAAAAATTAAAAGACCATAGTTTTCCTATAATTGCATTTCGAATACATTTACATGATAAAATGTAGATGTCAAGTAGAAATAGTTGAATTCATTTTGCCCAGAATTTAACTACTGTGATATTATAGAGGACCAGTTTATCCGTCTTCATTTAGTCATGTCTTTGTTGAGAAACAAAACCACGTTTTTAAACAAGTAATGCATTACAGCTTACAAGTTATTCATTACAACAGTTTGAAAATATATATGTTTACTATTTAATTGAACAGCATTTCCTTTTCAATCAAACAAACAAAAAATCACAACTTTGTTTTTTTTCTTTATTTGGAGTAGTGCGGGTATGTGTGTGTGTGTGTAAAATAGGGCTAAAGTGGTTATCCTATATACACTGTACTTTTTTGTGCAATATCAATGTACATTTTAACCAGTGAAAATTTATTTACATGTAATTATAAACAAGTTCGAATAATGATTTCATTAGTTTGTACAGTCATAAATACATGTACCTACCACCTAAAAGTGCTGATTGTTAAAACTACAAGTAGGAAGAAATACTAGTACCTATGTAACCCAGGCCTTTTCAATAGTGCAGTTTTTATTAGTTTTGTTAACCTTTTGTTTCAAACTTGTTCTAAATGTAACATATTAATAATTATGCAAGTTTGAAATACATGTATTTCAACATTGGAAGAAAACATTCTATTATATATGAAATTGTGATGGTTCAAAAAATGAAAATTTGGCATCTGAATCATATATTGGTGAATTCAGTTTAAGCATAATTAATTAAAACAAGTTGTGGTATTTAGCTGTGCAAGATATTAAATTATTAAATATTAACATTTATGAAATAATGTCCTATGTCCATGTTACAATTTTTTTTTTGGGGGGGGGGGGGGGTTCAGACTGTGTGTAAATGTTTTTTTTTCTTTTTTCTTTTTTGTTACATTTTTTTTTCATAGTAGACAGATTTTACCAGGCTTAATAATATCACATTTTCTTAGTACATGTATTTGTATTTGTTCTTTTGATTATACTGTATTGAAATGTTAAAAAATATTTAATTTGTATGTAAGAGCAGTATGTGAAAAAAAAAATCAGTCCAAAAGATATCAATTCTTAGTTTATCAGTTTCAATTTCTTTTAATTATTGAAAAAAAATGAAGAAATTTTAAAAGTGTGTTGTGTATACAGTTATAAATATAGTATTGTATCTAAGTTCATTAGCCCTTTATATTAATTTTTTTTTGCTCTTGTGGTGTATTTTTTTTGTTATTCATTTGTTAACTATGCACAGTTTGTTAATCTTGTATTCAGTCAGTGTACACAGTTTTGTGCTTCTTATTTGATACAACACAATACAATGTAATCAAATTTCTTTGTTGTTAAGTCAGACCCAAAATTAATGTTTAAAAATGAGGTGAAAAAAAATAAAAGATTGTAATATTTTGACTTCTCTTTATATTTTAGTTTCAGAGTATTGTAACATGGCTGGGCCATTACTTATTTAAATCTGTCACTTTGTATAGATATACAATTTAGATGTACAAAAGAGTTTTGAAGTTACCAGTTTTATCCTGGAAACATATTAGGATGTGGGGACAATAGGTTTTTCTACAAAAGCCTGGTTTGCAGTATCCAATCGATTATGATAGGTTGTATCCTATGGATATATAAATTTATGTATTTATTTCTAGGTCATTTTCTTTCATGCAACAACTTTCCAACAAAAAAAATTGGTTCCATTAATAAACCAAGGGCCATGAAATTCACAATTTTGAAAGAGGCACCACTGGTAATCATAACTATAAACTTAGCATGCTGACTTTGATTACCGGATACCCAGAGGCAGATCAGAGGAAAAAAGAAAATATGCATTTCCACTATTTAATCAGAAGTGCTCCACCCCAAAGGAACCACTGACCCTGGGGTCACATATTTCACAATTTTCCAAGGCCTTGAAATTCGTCATTTTGGAAGAGGTACCATTCCTCATCATAACAGTTTACTTAGATCATTGTCATAACTCACAGAAGTAGAGGAGAAGATTTTCAAAGAAATAATGCATTTTCACTGTTATCATTAGAGCTCCACCCTAACACCAGAACCCCTGGCCATAAAATTCACAAATTTGGAAGAGGAACCCTTCCTCATCATAACTATGTACATAGTTCATTGGTTTAATACCCAGGACTAGAGAATATTTTTTTTCAGAAATAATGCATTTTTATATGTACAATATATTCAACGGAGTCCTGCCCTAGCTTCAGATCCCCAGACCCTGGGGCCATGACTTTTGTAATTTTAGAAGAGGGCTCAATGCTTATTACCATCATGCCGCTCCTCTGCTCCTGGATATTAAACTACCTACATATCCAGTTATGATGAGGAAGGATGTCTCTACCCTTCCTCTTCCAAAATTATGAATTTCATGGCCCCAGGGTCGGGGGTTTTGGTGTTAGGGTGGGATCTATAAATTATATAGCGAAAATACAATACGTGTAATTTTATTAAATGATCCTGTCTATAAGCGCCATAACTATGCAAAGTGCATAGTAATGATGAACAAGAGTGCTTTTCACAATTTTTTTTTTAAACAAGTGGACCAAGGGTGAGGAGTTCTGGTGGTGGGGGATGGGGGGGGGGGGGTAGCTACATAGTGATCAAGCAGTTAAGTTAATTTTCCTTTATACTTCTATTCTTTACAGTGTTTCATTATAATTATACAGGTGACACTTTAGGCCCCTATGCCTCTTGTGTATCGGAGATACAAAATTTATTTTTGTACAGTCATTTTTCCAGAATTCCTCTCATGTTTGCATAGTAGCCATATTGGGAAAACTTCAAACAAATCTAGGGAAAGTTTAGTTATATTGTCTATCAGGTATGTCCATCCGTTTTCACGCCATTTTAAACTCCTTTTACAGTGTAGACAGTAGCTAATTCTTTTGATAATTGATATGTGGAGTCCTGATGTTCAACACAATTTTAAGATTTTATTTATTAGGTCCATGGTTGACGCACTGAGTTGTCTACGGATTTCTTCGTTTATCTGTTCAGGACAGATAGCAATGCCGAGACCAATCAACAAGGGTGTTTTCTCTTCTATGGGGTATCTGATCCCACCTCTCGTCTTTTCAGAGGTCCGTGTTTGCTCAGCTAACATTTTGTTTTGTTTCGTTGCATTTTGTACACGATTACTTTTCGTTGCCTTAACTTAAAGGCTTTTGGATGTCGAAAATCAGGGGTACCCGACTCTGGTATTTAACGTAGAAGCATCTTTTGGAATTTGAATACAGTGCGCTGTAGATTAGCATGAAAATCTTAATAGCATAAGAAACGAATTTAACAAGAGGCCCATGGGCCACATCGCTCACCTGAGTACTGTAGCTAAGAAAAAGTAGAAATTGGTTTATTATTATAAAGTTTAAATCCAAAAGTAATCCCATGACCAATCATGGATTTGCTATTCTTTAAAGAATTTTCCTATATATTTCTATACAAAACCTTGTCGGCCATTGTGGTCCCGCCCTACCCCCGGGGGTCATGATTTGAACAATTTGAATCTACACTACCTGAGGATGCTTCCATATAAATATGATGAATTATGGCTTTGCTATTCTTGAGAAGAAGATTTCAAAAGAATTTTCCTATATATTTCTATGTAAAACTTTGGTTGGCCATTTTGGCCCCGCCCTACCCCCGGGGGTCATGACTTCAACAAACTTGAATCTACACTACTTGAGGATGCTTCCATATAAATATGATGAATTATGACTTTGCTAATCTTGAATAGAAGATTTTTAAAGAATTTTCCTATATATTTCTATGTAAAACTTTGGTCGGCCATTTTGGCCCCGCCCTACCCCCGGGGGTCATGATTTGAACAAATCTGAATCTACACTACCTGAGGATGCTTCCATATAAATATGATGAATTATGGCATTGTCATTCTTGAGAAGAAGATTTTTAAAGAATTTTCCCATATATTTCTATGTAAAACTTTGGTCGGCCATTTTGGCCCCGCCCTACCCCCTGGGATCATGATTTGAACGAACTTGAATCTACACTACCTGAGGATGCTTCCATATAAATATGATGAATTATAGCATTGTCATTCTTGAGAAGAAGATTTTTTAAAGAAATTTCCCATATATTTCTATGTACAACTTTGGTCGGTCATTTTGGCCCCGCCCTACCCCCGGGGGTCATGATTTGAACAAACTTGAATCTACACTACCTGAGGATGCTTCCATATAAATATGATGAATTATGGCATTATCATTCTTGAGAAGAAGATTTTAAAAGAATTTTCCTATATATTTCTATGTAAAACTTTGGTCGGCCATTTTGGCCCCGCCCTACCCCCGGGGGTCATGATTTGAACAAATCTGAATCTACACTACCTGAGGATGCTTCCATATAAATATGATGAATTATGGCATTGTCATTCTTGAGAAGAAGATTTTTAAAGAATTTTCCCATATATTTCTATGTAAAACTTTGGTCGGCCATTTTGGCCCCGCCCTTCCCCCTGGGATCATGATTTGAACGAACTTGAATCTACACTACCTGAGGATGCTTCCATATAAATATGATGAATTATCATGGCATTGTCATTCTTGAGAAGAAGATTTTTTAAAGAAATTTCCCATATATTTCTATGTACAACTTTGGTCGGTCATTTTGGCCCCGCCCTACCCCCGGGGGTCATGATTTGAACAAATTTGAATCTACACTACCTGAGGATGCTTCCATATAAATATGATGAATTATGGCATTATCATTCTTGAGAAGAAGATTTTAAAAGAATTTTCACATATATTTCTATGTAAAACTTTGGTCGGCCATTTTGGCCCCGCCCTACCCCCGGGGGTCATTATTTGAACAAACTTGAATCTACACTACCTGAGGATGTTACCCCATAAGTTTCATCTTTCCTGGCACAGTGGTTCTTCAGAAGAAGATTTTTAAAACATGCCACCAAATTTTCATTACTTCCCAATTATCTCCCCTTGAATGAGGGCGTGGCCCTTCATTTGAACAAACTTGAATCCCCTTCACCCAAGGATGCTTTGTGGCAAGTTTGGTTGAAACTGGCCCAGCGATTCTTGAGAAGAAGTCGAAAATGTGAAAAGTTTACAGACAGACAGACGGAAAGACAGACGGATGCCGGACAAAATGTGATCAGAAACGCTCACTTGAGCCTTCGGCTCAGGTGAGCTAAAAAACGAAATGTATTTTGAAGGTTTTCTGTACCTAGCTAAAAGATTAAGAACAATTCTTAAACACGTACATGTAATACAGATGCAATTAATATACATGTGTATGCATTTACATCTGAGCATTTGTGAATTTTCTCTTCACTCTTATAACCTGAATTATTCTCTTTAGAGAAGTTGACAGGCTTTCGCCTTTAGAGACGTGGATGTAAGCGAAAGCCTGTCAACTTAAATTCTCTAAAGAAAACAAACCTGAATTAAACTGATTAAATACTTGTATCATTGATTAAAGCTATCGTTGTTACATGTTTGTAAGTTTACATGTTTGTAAGTTTAAGAGAAATCTATAAAAAAAAATAAAACATTTTATAAAACAATCAGAATGTTCACAATCAGAATCAATATATCTTAAAGAAAAGGAAAACGCCTCTTTCGTAATAACTTTTGTAAATTCATATTGGTACTATAAAATATACTTGTACTTTTTCATGCATAATAATTAACCAACATCGGGGGTCTGTCATGAATGAGTTTTTGTCTCTTTTAACCTCCCCCCCCCCCCCTTCTTCCTGATGTTTATATTTCTTCAAAGAAATTGAAATATATTTTGTTAAAAAAAATCGACTTTATTAATATTTATACAACTGCATTCAACTTCAAGAGATTTCAAGCTGTCCAGTATGTGAAAATTGATTCAAAATTTGATTTTTTTTCTGTTTATTTACCGATTGAACTTGACGAATCCGGTTTACGCGGAATTGCTCAGGTGTGACAACTTCATTAATACCTGTTGGCCCCGCCTACCAAAGTTAAAAATAACTCTATGGAAAACTTGTCCGACAGGTTTCAATGAATAGAAAATGTGCAGGTAGTGTATCGATCCAAAATCTAAAAATAAATCGCGAAACACCCAAAACACGCGAGGAGGGGTAGGGGTATCGCTGGCTACTGTGAATTTCGGACAGCATCCCCATGCGTAGGGGATAGGAATTAAATTTTTCATTGATAAGAGGGATTTTCTACATTATAAAGGTAAGAATCTCTGGTCAATGAAAACATTTATGTATTTTCCTCTGTGTTGAGCCGGTTTGTTATTGTGAAAATGAACGGATGAAGGGTGTGATGGGCATGTAGATAATTAGAAAACGAGGATTTTAAATTGTTTTATTTTATAACATTTACCTTGAATGGATATTATTGAAAATGTTCAATAGTACGTGCAGTCAATTACATTATACTGACCCTCCTGGAACCCTATATTATAAAAATGACAAAAAATATGCATTTTATTTGGATCATTATTTTGTGTATGGTTGATTTGGAAAATTAAGCAAAACCAGACTACATGAGAGGTTTTATGAGAATTGATACAAATATTCTTTAATATGAATAGATTATTTTCAAACTCCTGCTGTATGAGGTCATAATTATACAGGATTGGAAAACGTTATATTCAAGTTTGATATATTGAAATAAATCCCATGTTTTAGGTATAATAAATGGGTCATATAAAAAAAAAATAGAAATGTCTTATTAAAATTTGGCATATTAACATAGTCTAGCAGTGTGTGTCATCTATAATCATTCTATAAAATTTAACTTTAACAATTTAGAGTTATCGCCTCCTTCTTGAATAGGAATAATCTCTCTCTCTCTCTCTCTCTCTCGTTTTGGTCAAAGTCTTATTAGTAAAAGGAATCAAATCTTTTGATTGGTATACCAATTTATATTCTTGTAAAACGGTTTCTTTAAATTGACTTTTTATTTTGATTTGTGGATATAATTTTCATATACAATTTGTAGGCCTATAAGACTTTACATGGACTTAAGGTGCTTTCGGTACATAATGCAGAGAAATTATGTGTTTTTCAATGATGATTTTCTGACACATACACATTTGAATCTGACTTTATTTTTTTTTCTTACATTAAAAAAGACCCCTCCCCCTTAATTTTTTTGCAGGGATTGTTGGAAGAAATGGTTACTATAGATTCCTGTGTTAGGAAATGATAGTTTCACCTTTCATAAAGAAAAAAAATATGATGAAACCCGTACCTATAATTCGTTAAGAGCAACTCTAAATATTTTCTGAATTACATTTTTTAACTGACAAAAAATACTTATCACACCATATCTGCTTTTCTCCTTTAAATTGCTATTCTTTCTTCAAACAGATGTTGCGTGCGTGGTTTGGTTTCGTCTTCTTATTCGTCAGTACCATGGCGCAGACGACAGTTTTGCGAGAGAGCACGTGCCCCGTAGAGGGTCAGAGTGCAACCATACAACAGGGTGCACCAGCGATGATGGGGGGAATCTTCAGTCTTAGAGGTCGCGGGAGTGCGGGGTTTGGGTGTGGCGATATAGACACAGGTATGACTTCTTTCACTTTTAACATCTTCTGTACTGAATGGAAAAAAATACATCAGTAGAGAAAAAAAGATCGACTTTGTCATATATCAATCTTTTTATGCCTGATACTATTTCTGTTTCTTTTTTATCGTAAATTGTTTCTCCCACAGCCATGATGCAGTCCTATGAAGCTATCCGTTGGGCTTTGGACAGACTAAACAAAAAGAATATTATCCTGAATGGACAATTTTTGAACGACAGCTATATTCCTGGAGTGCAACTGGGTATTGCTAATATTTCAATCATGCACATATTTAACGAGTCATTATGTCTGCAGTACTGCTCGTATATTTTCTAATAACTTTAACTTTATCTAAATTTAATCTAACTTAATTTTCTATTTTGTGTCATTTCAAGTTTAAGAATTGAAGATGCATTTCGCTTGTACGGTAGCTGGACCAATAGTAAATGTATTCTATGTTTATTTATTAAGGCATGAAGGTCTATGACTATTGCGGTCAGAATTCCATAGCACTCAGTAGTGCGCAGAGATTGTACCCTCAGTTTAGTGCTGAATCCAGGGACTGTGTTAAAAACGACTCACAACTCATGTTGGGTAAGTACATCAGTAAATACGCATGTACTGTATTGTGATAATACGTTTGTATTAAGCGAATAAAGAATAAACTAGAGGTACTGTGAGCAATGAGCTCACTAAATGAAACCCCCCGCCTCCCATATGTATAATGGCAGTGTCCATGTTTTGCTATGGGAAACCCAAAATATGTGTCGGATCAAAAAGTAAAATAGGAGGTGCACAATGGCAATACATGTATGTAATGAATGTTCCTTGAAAGTTTCATTAAATTTCATTCAGTGGTATGAGAGGAATTGCGGATAAGAGATGGGTACCCCAAAGCATAACAGACAGACGGACGGACGTACAGACAGACAGACGGACGGATGTACGGACAGCTAGACGGACGGACGGACATACCGATTACTATATACCATCCCGCTTTTCAAGCCGGGGTATAATAACGGTATATTAAAAATCATACCCATGAGTAAGGAAATTGCTCCTAATTTTTAAAGACGAAAAGCTCAATGGATGTACTAATTACGTTGGGACAGAAAAGTCAACTATTTAAAACCCTTTTAAGCTTTATTTTTTAAGTTTTACATGCATGTATAGTACACATATTAATATAAAAGAATATCAAGCACATTTTTGTCAATTTGCACTAAATGAATAAACAAACATATATACATACGAGAAGCACTAAAACGTCACAAAACACAGTTTCGTGAGTCTGAAGTAATATTCATCACAAATCACACCAAGTTATTTCCTAAAGAAGTCTGTTATCCTCGTCTGACCGGGGGTTTCACTGACAAATCTTTCAGAAACTATTCTCTCCATTATCCGCAGTTGTTGGAATAATTGTTTCCTCATTTCTGGATCATTAAAGTAATCTGGTACCTTTGCTTGACCGAGGGACTCACGGGCCAATCTTTCGAAAAGTACTTTCCTCCACATCCGCAGTTCTCTAAGACATTTAGCAATGATTTCTGTGTCCTTCGCTGTAGTTGGTGTGTGATTATCTTCTTGACGGCTTCCAAGACCTGCGCAGTGGTGATGGGCGTGGTCTCTCCCTCATCCTCCTGCCAGTCCTGTTCTGGGGGACAGGCACGCGTGTAAGAATTGTTCCGCTGACTCGTCTTTTTCTTATCACTGCTAGGAACTTCAACCCGCTTTCTCTTTGCTTGTGGTGTAGACATTTTAGCATGTGACTGCATGAATGGACCAAAGTTCGATCAGCCCCTGGTTTTCATGCCACCCTTTTATAATTACCCAAGCTAAAATGTTTGGATCACCACAAGCATTCAATACAAAAGATGCGTTAATAGCTGAACACGAACACAATTCCAAGCAAACTCAGGCACGCGTGATCGGTACGAAAATTGTCAACGTTCAACATAAGTGCAAGACAATTTCATATCCATAATTTATTTCACTGATTTCAAACTCAAATATATTATATAATATTAAATATCAATCCCAGATATTTACACGTTTTTGTGTCCACAATTTTACATTTATAATAAATTTTATATTTCATCATCGTACATAAAATATATTTTCAGTAATGTGAATGAGTACGAGGGTTGTCCCGTAAAATCGTGAACAAAGCGTTTTTCTCGAAAAGTAATGGGAGCACTAAGCTGAAAATCTCAGTAAATGTTTTTTTATCATATTTAAGAGCATGATAATTTTTTTGATAAAATATAGGCAAAAATAAAGATTTTATTATGCTTGAATGTGCACGACGTATTGTCCTACGGCGCACGGTTTTTATTAAAGAATACACAAGTTTGAATTCAAAATAAAAGTTTTAAATACATAAAATTTGGATTAAAATTATCCTAATTCAATTCCACAATCAATTTTGTAGTCTTTGTAAAAAATTTAAGGCATTTGCTTAATTTTTGGCAGAAAATTTAAACACAACACACGAAAAATGGCGACGATTTATGACGAGTTCAGTTTTATTTCGATATTGTAATGACACCTTTAGAGATTTGAAATGACCAAAGAACAAAAAAGATTATAAAAATATCACCATATCTTAAGTATACAAATGAAAAAGGAGCTTTCTTAGCGAAGTTTTTTTTGATCGAGTCCCTGGGGAGTACAAAACCTACGGATAAACTCCTAATGTAATAGCAAAAGACGCTGTCACAGTATACCGCCGATATATTTTCTATTAGTTGCATGATGGTGAGAATATTGTCCGTAACTTACTAATAAATCTTCAGAAGATCGCATGAGGGTGCCAATTGGTTCTTCGACTGTTTATGGAGACTAAAGAATGTGATTCAATGAAATTCCTAAATTTAAGTCGGAATCATCCTACTTCATTTTCAGCAAAGATAAAACGTGACGCTGTTTTAGACACTTTGACGTTATAATCCATGCGCCGTAAGGTGATACAATACATGGCATAAAATCTCATAATTTGTTTATTTATGCATATATTTATCTGAAATTTGCTGTGTATATTACTAAAATATGTACTAAATAATAGTGAAAATTTCAGAACGCAGTGATGTTTATTTTTCACACTAGACAACTTGTCCACGATTTTACGGGACAACCCTCGTACTGTTATGAAGTTTAAAACCGTCTCGTAGATTTTAACGTTTCCATAAATGAAAATTTATTTGATTGTACAGTATCTTGGTAAATAAATTAGGAACAATAAAAATCGATCCTGTATTTTCCAACTCTTAAATTTGTCATAATAAGTAATGTACAGTATAACCTGGAGTTCTTCGACCTTGAATTAAATGGAACATATTATACGAAATAGAAGATGTACATTAGTCAGTTATGAAAAAAAAGTTGATTTAAGAAATTATATTAAAAATCAGAAAATAAGAAACAGAAATAAATATGAATATATCAATATTTGGACTTATTTGAGTTGCAAATGATGCACATGAAATATCTAAAAATACAACAATGTATTAAAACTTGTAGACTTTTACGTACAGATTTCTTTCTTTGTACCATTTATGATGGCGAATATAAATCCCTGTGAGGAATTTTAAAATTACCTGCATGTTTCTTCAATAGGTCTGGTTGGATCGAGTTCTAGTTCAGTGGCAGTAGAGCTGAACAGCTTTGCTACAATGAACAATATCCCTCTGGTGTCCCCCACGGCCACAGCTACTGACCTGAGTAACACAGAAAGATTCCCCTATTTCATGAGAACGGTCCCCACCGACGGGCCCCTGATGGATGTGAGTAGAATTCATGTCCCTTTTCTGTAGTATTTCAAAATTAAGTTTATAGCTTGATGTTTAATGGTATTGCAATGTAATTATTTTCAAACTATACGTAGTATACTGTAGATTCCTTATTTTTCGCGAGTACATTTATCGCGAACTGGCTCTAAACCATCAAATCGCGAGAATTATAATTCGCGAATGGACGGTAGATCGACAGATTTTACATAGATTTCAGCACCATAAAAATAAAAGCGAGTAATATTTTTTCGCGAATGATGCTTCTCGCGAAATTAAGCGGAAATTAATTCCTCGCATATAATTAGGAATCTACAGTATGTAACTCCTGTCGACAAAATGTCTAGAGACCTTTACAAACTGTACATTAACAACTGTATCTTGGTATTCATATTAAAAAGCTTTCTTCGAATAATAAATAACTAACTCATGTTTAGTTGAATCAAATTTAAAAATGTGTGGACGGACGTAAAACACATTTATTTGAACATTTTTAATTGTCAAAATTCATGTCTCCTTGTCTATTTGTAGGCAATTGTTGCATTTATGAACGAAGTAAATTGGAAGTATGTTGTCGTTATTTACACGGAGAATACGTACGGAGAGGCAGCTTTGACGGAAATCAAACCTCGTCTGGTAGCGGCTGACAAATGTCTGACCATGGCAATATCCATCCCTTCCGACGACACAAGTGATTCTACAATAGACAAAGTGTTGTCTAAAGCCATGTCAACACAGGCAACCGGAATCATTTATCTTGGAAGCAGAACAGTGGCCAATGCTTTACTAAAGAGAGCCGAAATTAAACCTGGTGCTGGGAAACTTCAGTGGATTTTTACCGACAGCATTTCTCTCTCTGAAAATTTCCCCAACCAGAAATACCCTAGAGGTATTATTTCTGTCCTATCAGGATCTCGTAAAATCATAGAATTTGAGGACCACTGGGTTAGGATAGACGTCAACAACCCATCACCAGAGAACCCTTGGTATAAAGATTGGTACATGACAGTCAATGACTGTCGTCTGCCAAGTAACACCAATCCAAAATTCAACAACAAACCCGAATGTCCCACACTTTCGGAGGCACAGAGGCGTAACTCGTTCGTTCAAGATCAGTTTGTGGAACCCTCAGTTCACGCTGTGTTCGGATATGCGTTTGCATTGAGAAAGGCTCACCAAGACAAATGTAATGGAACTCCTGGACTCTGTTCAGCTCTCTCTGCTATGACTACAAAGGAATTCTACGAAAATTATCTAAGAGCTGTCGACTTTACTTACACAAAGGAAGAGAGAGTTGAAAGTTTGGCATCCGTGGGACTTGAACCATATAATGCTCCAGCAAAAGTCAAGTTTGATGCAAACGGAGATATTTTGAACCCAACATACGATATTTACAACTTCAATGACTATCCAGGAAATCAGCCTTTTAAGTTTAGGAGAGTAAGTAATTTTATAATCCAGCCTGTCTTTCATAATTAATTTGTTTTTTTTTTAGTATTGCAGAATACCTCACCTTTTTAAATTTAATTATTCTAATCTTATTTTGTAGCTGGGATCCCATATAAATGGACGTCTGGAAATCTTCAGTAACAGAATTAGAATGTACGATGACAACAGAGACACCCTGTTGAATCCCCTGCCGTCTTCACTCTGTCCAAGCACGGGTTGCATCCCTTGTTTAGGAACTGTTAGCACTTACCCGTACATGTACCATCCCGGTGATGTCATCATTAACGGAATTTTCACGGTTCATTTGTCTGGAACTGAACCTTTAAGATGTGGAGCTTTCAGGAAAGGACTAAGACCAGGAGCAAAGATGGCAGAAGCTATGCTTTATGCTATCAAAGAAGTAAACAACAGAGGCATTCTTAGAAACGTGAAATTGGGTGGGCTTGGTTTTGATGATTGTTTTAGTCCAGTCCTCGGAAAACTCCTAGTGTCAGAAGTTCATCAACATTCACGAACCATCATGGATTCTTCAAACAATGCCCTTGACCCTAACACAATCGATGTATACATGGGATCATCATTGTACATGCCAACTATTCCCTTGGCTTCATTAATGGACGATTTGAAAAGACCATTACTGGGATATTATTCTTCAAGCATGCGACTTCAGTCTTATCCATTTTACAGATACATTTATCCTTCCAATTATTTCACACTGAAGGCCGTAGTTTTGATGTTGAAAAGACTTGGATGGAACTATGTTCAGGCTGTACAAAGTAATTACGAATATTATGACGTAGCGTTTATGAATTTTAAAACGTTAGCAGCTGAAGAAGGAATATGTGTTGTTTCTCATTATGTATTTGGAAAAGATGGGAACACATCAGAGGTTCTTAACATGCTGAAGCACGAGATGAACGTAAGACCCGTCTTTCTTCTTGCTTCTGATGTTGATACGCAGAATTTCTTAACGAATGTCAGAGCAAACAATGATGGTGGCATGTTCCATTATTTTACACATGGAATGGAATCACAGTTTCTGAAAGGCGTTGAAGACATGGCAGATGGCTTGTGGAACGTCCATGTCGATCCCCTAAACATGCAAGGTTTTTATGATCATCTTTCCAGACTTCAACCAAACACGTACTCGGAGAACCCCTGGTTCAAAGAATGGTATGAAGAATCTTACAATTGTTCACTGGATGCCTCAAATATGAGAGCATACAAAACAGTTTGTGCTGACTCTTCACTAAATCCAATTACGAATAAAATCAGCAAATCTGATGTTGACATTGCTGCATTTCCTGTTGTGGCCGGTGTGTATGCTGCAGCGTACGCATTGGATGAAACCCTCAAGCATTACTGTGGAACATCCTACAGTGGAATCTGTAGTAATTTCCTGACAGCAGCCAATAAAGGCAACGTTTTGCTGCAGAAGATAGATGAACTGGCATTTGAGGTGGAGGCTGGCAAAATATTCAGAATGAAGGATAAAAGTGCCAACTTTATTATTAACTACCAGAACTTCAAAAATGGTGCATTCATACGGGTAAATATGTGTTTTTCAATCAAATGCATGTTTTAATACTAGTATTTAGAATAATTCAAAAACTCGTTTTTAAATTTAGAAATAGTTACTAGTTTATCAACATCCATTAAAAATTTAATTTAAATTTGAATGATTTTATTCCAGGTCGGAAGCTATAACTTTGAGACCAATGACTTGTCGATTCAAACTGGACAAATCAGATTATACGGGGATTCCCTGGCAACTACTATAACTCCCCACTGTACAGAATTTTGTGCTACCTGCCTGTACATGTTTGGTAATCAGAAGTACCTAGATATTCCCGGTGACGTCATTATTCCTGCTATGTTTGATGTTCACTATCCAGGACAACTCCCATACTTATGTGGCGACTTTCGGTCCAAGAACGGCTTCCAAAACACCGAGGCTTTCAAGTTTGCCATTGAAAGAATTAACTCAAGAAATGCGTCTGTCAAACTTAATTCTGGTGTAAAGTTAGGTGGCATTGGTTTTGATGGCTGCATGGACAAAAACAGAGCCTCGACATTATTATCAGCCTTGTATGCGGGAGTATTTCCCTTAGAGAACGGCCGCTTCACAATTCCTTTGGAGAAGTTTACTCATTGGCTGACTTACAGCAATGATTTTACCATTGAAACAGCAGGTCATGAAATGGCCGTCGTAACACCAGGTGCAACGAGTCCAATTCTGGATGATAAAACAGACTTCAAAAATTTCTTCCGAACGATTCCTTCAGATAGTATGATAGCCAAAGCCATGGCCAAGACAGCGAAATCGTTGGGCTTTGAATACATAATTTCACTGAACGCACCAGAAGACGGCGCCAGGGACTCCCTCGAAAAATTTAGGGAGTACGCAAAAGCTGAAGGAATATGTATTGGAGCGTCTTACGAGTTTGTATCTGATGGTACGATGGATCAGCTTATAGACTATATTGTGAAGTCCACCAGTCGAGTTGTAGCTGTCTTTGCAGATCCAGATCGCTATATTGAAGATCTACTAAGAGCAAAGTCCATCAATAATGCTGCAGCAAATATTATCTTTATGGCCAACAGGGTGTGGTCAAATCCAATGATTTCCAATGTTCCTTCAAATCTTTTATCTTTTGCCGAGAGATCTTTGATGTTTGGAATGCCTCAGGTTCCTATTACAGAATTCCGAAACTACCTCAGCACCAAATATCCAAACACATACAAGGAGAATCTCTGGTTCTATGAATATTATCAGGATTTCTATAAGTGCAACCTTGGTGAAAACTGGAAATACCCGTCCCAGTGCGTTAATCCAGACGGTAGACCCATTACTTCATGTAAGTATAGCAAAAAGGTTCGTAAAATTAATCATTGGAAATAAAATTACATTATCCATGTAGCCTATCAATGATTTTTTATTTAGCTTCTGGAGGGTTTATGGAGGATTACACAGTACTGCCAACCATCCATGCTGTGGAAGCTATTGCTTATGGTGTCCATCAAACTCTGCAGATGAAGTGTGGAGTCGGATATACACATGTTTGCTCAAAGTTAGTTTGAATGTGGAAAAAATATGAAAAATTGTACATGAAACTTGAAAAAAATAATCTTATTAAATTTCGAAAAGGCTTCCTTTTCTCGATAATGTTCGAGTTTTCACCTTTAGAAGAAAAAATACTTCGTTTGGCTATATGTGATAAAACAATATGAAGTTATAATATTTGCAATCTTTAATTCAAGAAGCAAACGAATTTGTTGAAAAGATGGAATTTAATTCTGTAGATATCTGACGGATGTAGATACCCATCATATGATCAATCAATTCATGGATAATATGACGTATACCGATATTCTAAATGAAGCATTCCGATTTGAAGAAAGAGAAGTTGAAAAAGGCATGAGAGTGTTTGTTATGAATAACTTCAACCCATCCGAGGTAAATGTAATCTATAATAATTCTTCACGTCTTTCGTAACACCCCTACTAATGTTATTGTGATTTAAATTCAAGACACGTGGTTTAGGTTGATCTATTCAAAGGTTATAGGGTAGAACCGGTTTTATAAATAAAATTGGCAGTAAACACGATATTGCTATAGCCTGTTTCTTTGGAAAACATGTCCTGTAACAAATGTTTCCAGACCTTTCTGAAAGACTTTCATGATTTTCAACAGGAAAAGGGTGGCTAAAGGAGGGGGTGTCAAAATAATAATATTTCTTATACTTTTCGGCGAAAATTAGAGCTCACTAGTGATCGATGCGCTGGTAAAAATGTGCATTATCATCTACACTGACAAACCTTTGTTTGCCTTATATGGCTATTGTTATAAATGCGCACAGAGGATCTTATCACGAGCAACTGGCCAATCGTTGAATGAATAGCAATTAACGCCAAATACATGTTTACATTTTAACTTCGAACACGTAGTTCAGGCCAATCTACGATCATATTAATGGACTGCAAAAAAAAAAAAAAAATGTTCTTACAAACAAAATACAAAGAAACTATGAAAGATGTTACAGGCGTTTTTGATTTGTTGTTAAATGGAAAAATGTTCAATAAAATGTAGTTTGTGTCTAGTTCAGAACACCAGCGCTTCAAGGGTAAGGAAAACGAACAGCTTCTCTTATGCATTTAAATGGACAAAACTTTGTTTACGTTCGTGATCACGTGTTTGGTCAGGGAATTCACCTGGCAATTGTATTCACCGATAGTACAACAAAGGAATTAACTGACGCAAATCGCTTTTGCAGTATGATTTTCAGAAACCTAAACTCCGCCGTTTATTTAATAAATGAATTGTTTGTCGTGATGAGCATGAAAATAATATTTTAAAAAATGCTTTTCATTTACAATAAGATTTTTCTTTTTTCAAGCGTAAAATTCCTGTAGTATTCGTAGTAACCCATAATGCAATACTCATTCAGTTGATTGGTCAGTTAAAACCATGCTGGTGCCTCATTTGCTAATCTGACGCCAAAAAATATAGTCCCGGTTCCCGTGCAAAAATATTTGTCCAAAAAGAAATTTTAATTCATGACAGCAGAAAATTGTATTATAGAGAATACTTATTTAAGTTTGAATGAGTGTAAAAGAGATCAATTGATAGAAGTACATATCTACAGACATTATCAGCTGATTCTAGGGGTGGTGAACACTGAAACGCAACATAACATTTCTGTTTACCATGCCTCCACGTGCTAGTCACTTCCTAGGGACATTTCCGTGAATAATTTACCCTATCTCGCTGAAGTCTCGCTAACTCTCGCCAGAGCCACTGCCAGAGCTACTCTGAACTCATCGGGTTTTATAATTTGCTGAACACCGAAAAATAAAAGGTTCCGAGCACATTAGTAGGGGTGCGTAAGGCATTGTGTAAAAACTAATTCGAAGGGGAAAAAATCAGATCGTTCAATTTTTCTAAGTACGCCTATTCTTATTTGCACAGCAAGGTACATTTGACCACAACACTGTTACGCTGGATACCACTTTCCCTACCCAGAATTATGCAAACATTCCCGCCAAATGTGTTGGAGACTGCGCAGTGTGCTATGACAAAGGTGTTGGCACTGAGAAATTCACATACTTTCCTGCAGACATCATGTTAATAGGTACGATTTTAAAAAAGTTAATAAAAAATAAAATCCCCATTGCTTTCATTTCTATTCGTCTTGAACTTCAGTTTTGCTTTTTTATCGAAAATGTGAATTTTTAATGATGATGTACATTCGTGAGAAATAGAATGCCGTTAAAAAATGAATATTTTATTAATTTGCTATTGACTTTTGACACCTATTCCCTCTTCAAGAAATTAAAAGTCATACCTAAATGGTATAATGTGTTTGACGAAGAAAAGTAAAATGCCTTAAATTTTATGATTTTTGCCAAATATATCACGTAGTATCCATCAATTTATTTCAGGTTTATTTGACGTACATAAAAAAGGCCCAACGCCTTATACATGTGGAGAGATAAATCACAAACATGGCGTACAGCTGGTAGAGGCCTTCCATTACGCCATTAATTACGTAAATAATCAAAATGATATTCTGCCAAGAGTGACCCTAGGTGGGATAGCTCTAGACGTTTGTGAAAGTCCCGAACGCGCTGGAAATCTTGTGGCCAATATACACAGCAAGAATTTGGAACTTAAGAATAATAATAATATCTTGGATCCTGCTAGGTTTGATGCATACATTGGAACAATTGAAAGCGAGTCGTCTATCCGAGTTGCAGATGTCCTGAATTCTCTTGGTATACCCCAAATAAGTTACGGAGCAACGACGCTGAAGTTAATGGATCAGATGAAATACCGCTATTTCATAAGAACTGTTCCTGCTGATGACAAACAGGCTCGGGCAATCGTTTCATTTTTGAAACGATTTAAGCTTTACCATGTTCAAGTTATCCATTCCTTTGACAGTGTTGGGGAATTTGGTCGAGAAGAATTTTCGCGTTTGGCTTTTCTCAACAGAATTTGTATTGCTCAGAACATAACTGTAGGACGAAACGGGCCAGTTTCAGCAACAGAAGCTAGGTCTGCCTTGGCTCAACTCTACAACAAAGCAGATGCTAAAGTAGTAATTCTCTTTGTTGATGACCCTATGCCATTTTTACAGGAAATCGAGAAAGATTTCTCTCTTAGAAATGCTTTTAGATTCATTGGAACAGACAAATGGGGTGAAGATCCAGATATCTGGAATGGACTAGAAAATATAAAGAGAAATAAAACTGCAGTAACATTTGACATTGAAACTGCTGATCTACCACTCTTCGACAAATATCTAGAGGATAAGACTCCAGATAACTACGACTTTAACCCCTGGTTTAATGAGTATTATGAGCTCGTCTACAATTGTTCTCTATCAGGGGGAAGTAATACACCTTGCCCAACAAGAAAGTATGGAATTCCAAGAGCCAAGGGCTATATCCAGGACCGATATGTTCTTTACGTCGTCAATGCCGTTCTTTCAGCAGCTATTGGGGCACAGAAAGCTATAGAAAGACTCTGTCCACCTGATACTCAAGGCTTGTGTAATCTGTTTCGTACAAGTGGAGAGAGGCGTCAAGAAATATTGAATGGTGCCAAACAGGCTCGCTTTGAGGATGCCACAAAACAACCTTTCTTCTTCACGGCAGACGGGCAAAGTGATCGTGGTTATCATATCTGGGAGTCCCTCCAAGTGCCAGGCCAACCAAACAATTATTATCTTGAAGATGTGTGTTATTTTTAAAATATTTTTTGTTATTGATAATTAGGTTCTCACTAAAAACTAACCCGAAAATAATGCAAATTATATCAAATTGTGGGATATACTTAATAACACAATCAATTGCACACATTAGAATTATGATTCAAGATTAATAATTTTATGATTTTATGTATTTGAACAAATAATCACACACTTCTTTGATATTCACAGGTTGGAAGCTACAATGATACACATTACCTGAAGATTGATGCTAGATACGACCCAAATTGGTATGCACCATGCGATGGGGTTGCTTCTTGTAACTGTCCCTTCCCCGAATACCAACCTTCCAGATACATGTTAAACGCATCCAGAAATCAACTTAATGTTGTGTATCTGTCTGACGTTCATGAAGCAGATCCATATAACCCTTATGCTTGTGGAAAGATCGACACAGCTTCAAACTTCCAGAATTTGATGGCTTTCTTTTACGCTCTTAATTTGGTTAATCAGTATGTTAACTTTCCTGCCACACTAAAACTTGGAGGCATAGCTTTAGATACCTGCTCCACAAGAGGTAGGATAGGACAAGACCTGTATAGTTTGCTCAGCGGAGAAGGAATTTGCGGAGATGAGGGGGTTGGACAGGTGATAGACCCATCAACCATTGTTGTTCACTTGGCTAAAAATTCGGAAAACGCCATAGCTACAAGTAGTATTCTTTCTCCATTGAAAATAACCAGCATGAGTCAGAGTGCAACCTCAGTAGAACTTAGTGATAAAACCATTCACAATTACTTCCTCAGAACCGTTCCTCCTGACAATATCCAGGCTGTTGTCATGGCTGAAGTCATCACAGCGTTTGGATGGGACTACATATCGGCTGTTTACACGGAGAATGCGTATGGTAAATCTGCAATTAAAACCTTTTTGGAGAACACAGTCCTGAATAAGAAAACATGTACCACTCTGACATTGTCCATGAAAACTGATGCTACGATTGTGACTGCCCGAAATATCATTGATAGCCTAAACCAAAGAGTTGGAGCTCGTGTTGTTGTCCTGTTTGTAACAGCTCACCACGCCAGACTTCTGCTTCAAGCAACTTCAGAAGCAGGTCTGAACCAACGATTCATCTGGTTTGGAAGTGATACTTGGTCAAATGACATGTCTGTAGTAAAAGGTTATGAAGATGTTGCTTTAGGAGCACTGACTATCCAAATTAAATCCGAAATTATCAACAACTTCAAAACGTTTTTGAAAACTCTTTCCTTTCAAAATCGCCATGGCCTCCCCGATGATTGGTTTGAAGATATATATCAAACGTTACACCAATGTAGGATTCTGACAAGCTCGGTCAAAAAAACCTACACCCAGATTTGTACAGGAAATGAGCAAATCACAGACGCCATGATACCGCAAGATCCATATGTACTTCATACTATTATATCTGTTTTCATGATCGCACAGGGTTTAAACCGAATTGATGCTTGCAAATCGTCTAACTTAGGAATCTACTCCTGTCTATCCCTTCAAGAAAATAAGCTGGATTTGATTTACAATGGCATTTCAGGGGCACAGTACCGTGTTTTGCCAAGTGACTTGGGCGATAAATCGTTCAATTTCAGATTTACAGATGGGGGATACGGTGACATTGGATACAACATTCTTAATTTCAGAAGGGATTCTGCAACTGGACAATACGAATATAAGCAGGTAGGCCATTTACAACAATTGATCATTGTTTGACATCTTTATCCATGGACTATTTAGACGATTTGTAGAATATGTGAAAGCAAAACCTTTACATGTATTTATAAATATTTTACTTGTATTTCTGTAAGTGATATAATTCAAAAATTTGCTTCTTTTTTTACAGATTGGAACGTACCAACAAGAACTAAATATCGAGAAAAGCCTCTACCAGGGTTCAAGTTTTGTTGCACGAGCACTCCCATCGTCTATTTGTCCGATTGGAGGGCGCTGCATGTGTGAGTATGCTAATGGCACCACCTACTTCCAAGAGCATGAGGGAACCCCAGGAGTTTCATACTACAAGTTAGAAGATGGAAGTTACGTCAATGCGCAAACAGGACAAGTAATTCAAGTTGAAAACGCTCCTGAAAATGACGACCGTTTCCGAGATATTTGGGGCATCATTGTTGCAACTTTAGCTGGTATTGGGGTGTTTGCTTCTCTTTGTGTGTTTATCTATCTATTGGTTAACTACCCATTCAAAAGTGGAACAACCGTATTAGGATTTATGTTATCGTTTGGTATTATCTTAATGTATGCCATGGTGTTCGCTTTTATCGTTCATGCCACTGAAGAAGTTTGTGGTCTTAGAAGGTTCTGTCTTGGTCTTGTCTATGCGATCTGTTATTCTGCGTTGTTCTTAAAAGTGGTTGATTGCTGGAGAAACAAGGAGAAAGAAGTTGAGTATGTGTCGCATTATAAAAAACTCGGAAAGCCATTGGGTCTTTTCTTTGTGGCGTGTCTTCTTGTCCTTATTCAGTGTTTGATAAACACGGAATGGTTGATCTTAGAAAGACCCAACATGGAACGTGTTATATACAACAATATGCTTTGGCCTCGTTGTATGCCAGACGATTTCTACGATGAAGGTCTAGTACTGTCTCTCGTTTACATCATGGTCATTATTTGTTTAAGTGTTATCCTTGGTTTGTTTTCGTGGAAATCAACCAAGAACCACAGGGAAGTCAGATGGATCCTGGGTATTTTTGCCCTAGGAATCCCAGTGTGGGTTGTCTCTTGTGTGATTGCCACATTAGGAGAATACAAAATGCGAGACCCTGCCATCGCCATAAGTCTTCTAATGAATGCCACCATCATGTTTGTACTAGGTCCGCTGCGCAGAGTGTACCTTCTCAACAACTTTGACGCCAGAATCGAAAAGGAGGAAGAGGAAATCCGAAGCGTCAGAGGTAGTTATACTAAATCCAAAATGATGCTGATATATTCTGAGTTGTAGATTAGTTATGGAAGATAAGTAAAGCATTTTTATCATTTCAGACTCGATGTACGGGCGACAGTATGATAATGTGGGTATGCTTCACGACACTAACTCGATGCGGGGCACTATGAATGTACAAGAACAAATGTATTATCCGGAGAAAAATTGTAAGTTAACAGTGTCTTTATTGAATAGTGTCATTACATTTTTTGTAATCCTTTTAAAAAAAACATTTTATTCTTTATTTCTAGTACCGTATTAAGGATGTCTTCTTTAGAGAAACAGTGTATTGAGAAACGCTGCTGTAATCATCAGAAAATGGAAAACGCAATCCAATGGAATAGCCAGGTGGCATTTAACTGGTGTCTTGCCAAACATCTTCGGTAGACTTTGTATATCTGGTGCTAAATGCACTCTGAATTCTGTTTGCTAAAACAGGGAAAACTTGCTGTGATAATGGAAATTAATGTTCCTGGTTCGATACATCTCATGTTTAAAATTAATATTTTTTTCCCCGAATCTCCTAGTGCTGGTGAGAATTATGTATTCCGCTGTGAACATTAGCTATGGCTATTGAATGAATGAATGTGATAGGAAAGTGTGGTATTAGATTAATAGATGAGAACCCTATAACACATTGAAATATAGAACCTTTACATCACTGTGTCACGAGTGAGAGTTGTCAGAAAACATATTTATGTACATGATTTTGTATATTGTTTATGATGTAATGAAGTTTTACATATATCGCATTTTGTATTTTTTATAAAATATCACATGATTGTGTTGTTGTTTTTTATCTGGATTCTTGTTTTGAGGTGGGTGATAATATGAATGGCACAGCCTCAAATCCGATTGTGCCTTTGTTTCGACAATCTGTTCTCAGGAACGTTGTCCTTGAGGTCAATACGATGATTTAGCCACCTTCGAAGTGCAATAGTTGAGGCACCTGAGGAGTATGATATCCACTGAGCCCGAAGGGCGAGGTGAATTTTGCACTTAAAAGGTAGCTAAATCATCAATTTGATTTTTTATAGGATCGATATTGATTTGGGGGATCCATTATCAGGAAAACGATGACGGCCCATTAGCCTGCGTGGATATGAAAATCAAAAATCTCGTTGCAACATCTACAGAACGACAATCATATTTCCATAGGGCTCGTCCGTCACACACTATCTTTTCCTCAAATTCCTCTTAAACTTTACTATCTCGAGATACTACTCGCCTCAAATTTTAAGTATTCTGAGTAGGGTGCGCAGCTGGTTAAAAGATATCAAAAGTAAGAAAAGTAGATTTCAATGCGGTGAAAAGGGAACAGTATTAAGTTATTAGTGAAGAAAAACAGTATTCACAATTAAAAAGTATAAAAACGCTTTATTATAATTAAGGTCTGGGATGATTCAGTTTGCTCACTTCCAGTTTGAAATGTTCAACATCTGGAAGCGAGACAACACTGCCCGGCAGTCTGTTCCACTGAACTAATGTAGGAAGGAAAAACGAGTATTTATAGACATTTTTAGACAGCTCATTAGGGTTTTTGTTTTGCTTCTCATATTACTTTGGGGAGTTAACACCCCCTCGATCCCTTTTTTTGTATTTTTTTTATAGTCAGATTTTTTAGTGAAGTCACCCCCTCTTCTTTCGAAACCTTTGCAACGGGCTTTACGGGAAAAAATATAACTATCTTCATCTTTTTCCCGAAGCTTTGATTACTGTTATTATTATTATTATTATTTTCAAAAATCCTCATCTCATACAAATAGATGTATAAAAACATTGCTAGACTTTATCTAAAATCAGAGTACATTCTATATACATTGTACATGTGTCAATTATAGGTTGTGTTTGCTATGTCCTCTATTGATAAGCACAAAAACTATTTTAAAAAATAAAAAAAATTCTTTGAGACGATTCGTCTTTTTCAATGATAAATAGGGAAAAAAATCATTCACCCTTTTGAAAAAAATTAATCAAAGAAATTATTATAGTAGCTTCTAATCATCTTCTTTAAAGTTTTATGTTTGTAGGGTCTTTCACTCGAGATCCGTCTTATAGGATTTTAAAACTGCCCACACCACTTTCAAACAGTTATGACAAAATTCAGTTATATTTTTTTAATGTGCCTTGATTGGATTGAAGAATTATTTAGAGTTTTAGCTCACCTGAACCAAAGGCTCAAGTGAGCTTTTCTGATCCGATTTTGTCCGTTGTCTGTCGTTGTTGTAGTCGTTGTTGTTGGGCGTCGTCGTAAACTTTTCACATTTTCAACTTCTCCTCAAGAACCACTGGGCCAATTTCAACCAAACTTGCCTAAAAGTATCCTTAGGTAAAGGAAATTCAAGTTTGTTCAAATGGAGGGCCACGCCCTCCTCCAAGGGGAGATAATTATAAATTAGTGAAAAATAATGGCATCTTTTAAAAATCTTCTTCTCAAGTACAACTGCGCCAGGAAACATGAAACTCAAGCGGAAGCATCCTCAGGTAGTGTAGATTCATCATTCAAGTTTGTTCAAATCATGACTCCCGGAGGGAGGGCGGGGCCACAATGGCTGATCAAAGTTTTACATAGGAAAATTTTGGAAAAATCTTTAAAAATCTTTTTCTCCAGAACCATTGGGCCAGGAAAGATGAAACTCATTTGGAACCATCCTCAGGAAGTGTAGTTTGTTTAAATCATGACCCCCGGGGTAGGGTGGGGCCACAATGGCTGATCAAAGTTTTACATAGAAATATATAGTAAAAATCTTGAACATCCTTCTTCTCCAAAACCACTGGGCCAGGAAAGATGAAATGCATGTTGAAGCATCTTCAAGTAGTGCAGATTCAAAGAGCGATATATGATAAGTATCTCAAATGGCCCCCTAAAATTGATATCTTACTTTTAATTTATATATTATAGCTTTACTTTGCACAGCTATACATGCGACCTTTATTGTTAATTTTCAATTTGATCAAAATGCCGGTAATATAGAAATATGACATCATAAAGTTCATGTTTTCCCGCAATTTTAGCATATTTTGTATAAAACTGCTTAATTTCAAGCAGTTTTTCTTCCAGAAAATATTGAGCGCAAACGAGAACATACTTTTTTTTTACCAAAGATGTATCTATTCAATACTAATTACTGACAAAAAAAATTATGCATGTTTTACAATGCGCTCTATGTTTCCCATAAGAAAAAACATCAAGAAAAAGAAGTATTTTTGTTTGGTTTTTTTTGGTTAGATATTAAAAAAAATGTTTTATTTCCGTCATCATTTACAGCCAGTGAGTGCTTATAAATGTGAAAAATATATCTGAAATATATCTAATATAATCTCTTCTACAAAATAAATATCAATTAACTATATCTGAATGTCATTCTAAAATGCTGATTTTTAGTGGGCTAAAATTGGCTCTTAACATATATAGTCCTTTGTTCAAATCATGACCCCCCGGGGTAGGGCGGGGCCACAATGGCTGATCAAAGTTTTTTCATAGGAATATATAGAATATTTTTTTAATCTTCTTTTCCAGAACCACTGGGCCAGGAAAGATGAAACTCATGTGGAAGCATCCGCAGGTTGTGTAGAATCAAATTTGTTCAAATCATGACCCCAGGGGGTAGGGTGGGGCCACAATGGCTGATCAAAGTTTTAAATAGAAATATGTAGAAAAAATCATTAGGATTTTTTTGCTCTCCAAAACCACTGGGCCAGGAAAGATGAATCTAACATTGGAGCATCCTCAGTTAGTGTAGATTCAAGTTTGTTCAAATTATGACCCCCGAGGATAGGGCGGGACCACAATGGTTGATCAAAGTTTTATATAGGAATACCTAGGTAAAATCTTTTTAAAACAAGCTAATTCAGAGAATTCGTGTCCCCCGCTTAGGGAAAAAGTCGGCTCCCCCTGACTGAATTTGTAGAATTATTAAATGTATACATGTATACTGAAGCAAATAAAATACATGTATGTCAATATGCATATAAAGATTTGATTGCTTATTCTTTATTATGTGTATAGAAGATTTTTTTATGTGGAATGTTTATCACACTGTAATGATGATTTTATAACCTCATAAATTTTTCATTTCACATGCTGAATACTATCATTTAGTAAAAAAAAAAGTATTTAAAAAAAAAAAAAAAAAAGAAAGGACCGACCGAGGTTCGATCCCTGGACCTCTCACATTTACAGCGAGAGACATAACCACTAGACCACGGAATCGCTTTCCATAGACGTGAAGTATATGCAGAACTGAAGTCACATACATGTATATATTCATGTTTTCATGTTCGGTATTCTCAAAATTTTACACAATCCATGGTGTTTGATTTATTTAGCCTTTATTGAACAGTTCTAATAGATGTAATAAGAACATAAAGTCCGCCGAGAACCTGTTTTATACGCAATAACTCTCCTCATGCCCCTGCGCTAAAAATAGCGACATGTAATACTATAAATATTAATAAAACAAACGGGGCGGGGCACTTTGAGAGGGGCGAGAGACGTCCTAGGGAGTTTTGGTATAAAATTACATTGCATAAGCTCAAATTTTCTTGAAATATCGCCCGGAAATGATAGTATTACATACAGACAGAATGTATAAATTTACGACCTTGAACTTTGACCTTTTGACCTCAAAATCAATAGGGGTCTTCATTAGGCCACAAGGAGTTGTTATATAAAATTTCAATGCAATAGCTCAAATGGTTCTAGAGATATCTTATGGAAACGAAAGTGTTTTAACAGACAGAATTTGCTTATTTATGACCTTGACCTTTGACCTTTTGACCTCAAAATCAATAGGGGTCTTCTTTAGTCCATAGGGAGTTGCTATGCTAAATTTCATTGCAAAAGCTCAAAGGGTTCTCGAGATATCGTGTGGAAACGAAAGCGTTACAGACAGACAGAAAGACGGACGGACGGACACACAAACCCAAATTAATATCCCCCACTTTTCAAGCGGGGGACAAAAATTTTTCTCAAGATCAGCAAAGCTATGAATGGTGATATTTATATGGAAACATTCTCAGTTAGAGTTAATTCAAGTCTGTTCATATCATGACCCCTTGGGGTAAGGTGGGACCATGATTGGCAATCAAATCTTTAAATAGGAATATATAGGAAAAATCTTTAAAACTCTTCTTCTCAAGTATGGTGAAATTATATTTGTATGCTTTATCGATATCGTGACATTCTCAAGTAATAAAAAATGCAAATCCCCCTCTCCCCCAACAAGTGAACTTTTCAATACTGAGTTGATTTGTGTTTTTTTAACAAGCCCATGTGCTCAGGTGAGCGATGTGGCCCATGGGCCTCTTGTTTTTTATTGGTGGCAGAATAGGGTATGCTTTAATACTAGTACTAAGTAGACATACATCCAGCTGATACGATTGCCTGTTTACTATAGCTACTTTAAAAAAAGAAAAGGAAAAGGAAAATGATGTGCGTGCTGGATGATCGTATTGCTTTCATGCCGTGCTTTTAAATGCATTTTTTATAATATTATAAAATTATAAAAATTATCTAAAAACTCTCAAACGTGTACAAAGATGTATAGTTATATTTGATCAGTTTTCTGTTCTATAAAGAAGTTAACAACAATACCTTTTATGTTATTCTAAAGAGCCAGTAAATAAATGAAAATATTATAGATAAATAATAAAAAATTTTTAAAAAAATACCAGTCAACAAAAAATGCCATATAAGAAAAATTCAGAGGAGCAGAAAAATAAAAACATTAATTGGCCTATACAGCATTCAAACATTAACGATGATTAAATAAGTTATGAGTTAATTAAATATTGACAAAGTTGGGTACAATATGAAAAGTTCCCATTAGAAGTATATGCAAAGTATGTTTAATAATAAGAACAATCAAAATCTCATTATTGGTGACATCGGAAGACATTCACGGTCAATATATTTCTAATGACCTGTAATTTTACATGTATTATAGTCGGTATTTTACTTTAATTATTATTTTCATAATTTGGAATATTTTTTTCTTTTTAGGTAAAACTTGTTATTCCTTTAATTTATGAGGTTAAATCGTTTTTCAATAATAAATATTCATTTATTGACGTTTATGAACATCTATGCACACCTCAATCGATATTGTCAATGAACGCAAGCCCAGTCTATTTTTATCCAATCTTCGCGTAAAACTGGTCGGACAGGTTTTTCGAGTCGCGCGCCACTGAGCATGATATTTTCAGATACAAGAATCATCCTCGGGGTTTATTGCTTTCCGAGCATGTAAGAGTCCGAGGTCTCGCAACATTAGTTTACCTGTATACAGGTATTCAATACAATACACTAGTTTGGTTTTCTAAAGACTTATTGGGTGTGTATTTTTAGAACGCCGGTCTGGGTTGGGTTAAATCTTGTTGCCTCCAAGAAAGAGGGATATTCCAGGATTTCGAAAAGTGTGACACGGGAAGGGGAAAAGACAGACCCCCTGAAAGAAAGGTAAGCATTGCTAGCATAGAAATCCATATTCATGAATTTTGCCAATTCCAAACACAAGACCAAACCCTGAAACATGTGTATCAGTGAATGGAATTCCATCAACAAAAACCAAAGTATTGTTTTGAACGAAGAAAAAGGTATTTATATGTTTTTGATAATGCGAAATATTTTATTTTCTGAACACCATTTCCCAACATCTAAACAGAGATTCAAGGACTTGATTTAATTATGGAACAAGAGTATATTGTGACTGAAATTTTGTAAACAATGCACGTAGGACACCACCCTCTGTCTTCAAAAAACTAAGGTGGTACTGTAAACATTCTCTGAAATTAAACAAATTGAAAATATTGACATCTTTCATCAATATTAAGTTAAAAAATTATAATCATGGGAAAAAATTAAAAAAGTAATTGAACGGATGTGTTGAGGTGTGATCAATTCATGTGCAAAAAAAAGTAAAAGATGCAGCAGAATATTTCAGTATCGCACCATACCTTAAAAAAACGTTTAATGTTTCAGAGGTAGGGTAGTCTAATTCTCAATCACCAAATTGACTATTGGCAAAGCAACTTATATGATGGAACCATATATAACTGTATAATAGTTTGTTACATCCTGGAAATCATTGGCCAAACTGGTTTTAGGGCTAATCCCACCTACAAAACCTTTAAAAAAAAAAGGAAAGGCCAATGAGGTGTTACTAAAACAACGGCTTAATTGATTTTTTGGATACACAATATTGACTTTGCCGGGTTTGCCCCCCCCCCCCCCCCCGCGCCTTCAACTAAAAATTGATGCATTTTGACAGTTTCCTAAAAGTTTCAGTTATTTCCAATGTATTCTTTGAGAGAGAGGAGGGTGTTATGCTTACATGTATGATACTTTAAATGTAGACTTGAAAATTTGCCCCTCCCTATTACATCTTTATTTAAAAAAAATCAGTTTCTTTTAAATATATTATCTATTATATTACTTTGGCCTTGTTCATGAGATAAAATTATCATTTTCAAATTAAGTCTTTATTTTTATAGCAAATTGCATTACTTATCTAAAGTACAGCATTCATACATACTAGCTCCCAGGTTTCTCAGTGACGTTGTGTGGAATATGCTCAAACACTTCATCTAGGTGTATCATTTAATGCTGTTTAAGGTTTGTTAAGGCTTTTTTATGCTTTTTATGCATATACAATAAAAACAAAAACAATCCATATAATCTTATCTCTCTCTTCCTCTCCTAGCATTTAAATCATACACACCCTACTATGACACAGTACCTCTTTCCTCCCTTTGCTATGAAATAAAGATCATCACGGTTTAATGAATGTAAAATCAGTAATTCTTATTTTGAAAACACAAATATGCAACCTCCATTCAATTAAAAGAACAATTCTTGTATCTGACATAAAATATATGTACAGATATATTGAAGCTTTTTCATACATTTTACTGCCTTTCACATGTTAAACGGATCGAAAATAATTATTTTCCTTTTTTTTCTATTGGACGCTTCGATTTTGTGTTCATCCAACACTGACAATCTTTAGTTTTTGGTGGTATTTGAAGCGATTAATAGAATTAAATATTTTTAAATAAATTTAGTTCAGTGACGTGGCATCGTTTTTGAACGGGGGGGGGGGGGGCAGCCAAAGAATTTTTTTTACTTACCTGAAAAAGTTGACAAGCAAAAAAAGGGCCCAATTACCCAAACTCGAAAATCCTATGTTCACCAACTTCTTTCAATATCACATCCCTTTCCATATTTTATTACATTACCCTTATTTCAATTTATCGTAGAAAAAGGGGGGTGTGTAACCAGGCTTTCAATGTACATTTTCAATCGTAAAAATTATGTTTGGAAAAAAAGGGGGGCAGCCCCCACCCCCCAAATGCTACGTGCCTGAAGTTCATTATGAAAAAACGAAAATTGAAAAATCATAAATGCATTTGATTTATTTAAAAATATTTAATTGGGAAATATGGAAGAAATATGTGACAAAATAAGATCTTAGATGGCTCCCCCTCCCCCTCCACCTCCTTTTGAAGAAAATAATTGTCTGCCTCTTTTAAACACAAATTTTGCGTTTTAATTTCAGCCAAGGATGGGTCGTTTACATATCCTGCTGTTTCTAGCTGCTGTTCTTCGATATGCTCATGCACAAGGCACCTGTCCTGTTACTGGAAGTGGGGCCTGTCAGTACGAAAAAAGAGCCATAATACCTGTTTCAGACAATTCTCCAAATTCTCATTACTACATAGGCGGTCTCTTTGGTGTTCACGAGAGAGTTAATGATGCTTATGCATGTGACAGCGCCCCCATCCGGGAAGAAGAAATTATCAATTTGGAGGCATTTCTCTGGGCGATTGAAAAATACAAGAACATTCATACCCAGATGTCGATTGGTGGAGTGGCATTAGATACTTGTTCCCGTTACCAACGAACGTTGGAAGATATTCTGAGTTTTGAGACGTGCAAGGTTCAACTGAATGACGTTAACGCACCATCCCCACGAAATCTCTTGGCTTACATAGGACCAGGCGACAACTACGATGCAATGTCGTCTGCACGACTTCTGAAGGATATGAATAAAACCCAGGTTAGCTACGCAGCCTCGTCCAGTTTGTTGTCTGACAAAGGAGAAACCTACGATTTCTTTCTGCGGACAGTTCCCAGTGATGCAGTACACTTAAAGGCCTTGAGTGCGCTAATCACTGCTGCGCTAAATGCAAAATATGTACAAGTACTTTATATAGATAACGAATTCGGACATGCGCAATTCAAAACTTTGAAAGAGGACGTAGAAAAACAAGCACAGAAAGTCTGCATCGTTCATCATGCTGGTATTCCTGCAAATCCTTCCGATGCCGAGTTAACTGCCTTGGCTAATGCTGTGTACGAAAGGAAGGAAGTCAGACACGTAGTGCTTCTAGCACCAAAAGGTCTAGCGAGAACTGTCCTTCAGAAAATGAAAGATAATTTTAAAACCAAAGACCCTGCATTATTTTCGAGAATGATGTTCTTCGGTACCTGGGACGCCAGCGTCGTTGACGGTCTTGACGTGAGCGCCTATGCTACCAGGCTCCGAAGTCCCACTTCATTAGACAATGATGTCGCAGAGTTCTATCTATACCTGAATAAGATAACTCCCAAACTCAACTCTCGAAACCAAAAGTGGTTTAGAGAATACTGGAGCGAAAAACTAAACTGTGCAACCAGAACCTGCAATGAAGATGAAACCCTTGAAAATTTATACACGAGAAGTCCCTATGTACCATACATTCTCGCTGCCGTAAAAGCCGTCATTCAGGGTATTCAGGACGGTGCAAAAAGTGCTTGTACCTCTGGTGATCTTTGTTCAACTTATCTCAACACCAACAATCGTGGTCAGCAGATATACACCGGGATTGTTAACACGACTGACGGAGCTATGCACTACTTCCAATCCAGTGGACCGATGAAAGGGGATGCTTCCAATTCTTTTAGTAATTTAAGAATTAAACTTTACGAGGCTCAAGCTGGGCGGGTAGTTCAGGAAACTGATGTAAGTACTGAAACTTATACTTAGTTACTACAAAACGGTCATTCAATTCTGGCTTATCAAAATAAAAGGGAGAGAATAACAATTAAACGACAAAAACTTTTTTTTCTTTCTAGATCAAATTTGTATATATAACCTTTAAAACGTACATTAAAAAGCTTCCAATGATTAAATACGAGATGGTTATTTTTTTGTTTTTGTTTTTAGATTGCCGACTACAACCCTGCAACAGGACTAAAAGTACTGGCAACATTGACGACTTTTTCATCAACTTGCCCAAACTCACCTTGTCTAGAATGCAACGAAACCTTGTCGACCACGACTTCAACCGCCAGGCCCACCTCACAAGCCATGATGTCCACCACAACGGATCCGACAGAGGGCGGGAAATACGCATTGATAAGGTACCCTTACGACGAGGAAATGACGGGAATATACGCGTCAGATGACGGTAGGGATCTCTACGACACCAGATTTAAAACTGGCCAGAGGTGGATTATTGCTCTGGGTGTTTTAGCAGGTTTAGGAATTTTGGCTGTTCTTGTCTTTGAAGTGTATATCCTGTATAAGTTGATTGGTACCAGTATTGGACGGCAGTGGCGCACGATGTGGCTTGGTCAGTTGTTACTGCTAGGAATACTTTTGTCCTATTTGACTCTGTTTGCTTTTATCTTCATACCTACAAATGCTACTTGTGGTATAACAAGATTTGGGGTAGGTTTTTGTTATGCCATTATTTTTGCTGTTCTGCTAGTAAAACTCATGGTTCTTTTAACATCGAAATCCTCGGAATCCATATTTGCTGATATGGAATCACCAAACTACCTCAAGGGAATCTATCAGTTCCTAATGTTTATGTTTGCTGTCGGAGTCCAAGTGGTCATCAACGTACAATGGCTCATCCAGGTTCCACCATATGCTGTGAAAGTCACCGCAAATTATGGCGGAGAGGAATGGATTTGCAACCATTTTACCTGGCAAGCTAACAAAGGATGGAGTGATATGCAAGATTTTGTGAGGACACCATTTGAAAACCATCTTCTCTCTCTCTTGTACATTATGTTCTTAATTCTCATGACCACCATTGTTGCAATGAAAGCCCACGGTATTATTACAAATCACAGAGAAAGTGTCTTCATTGGGATTGCTGCTGGATTTTCTATTCCGGTTTGGATTGCTTGGGGCCTGGTCGGAGGACTGAACCGCGATGATGCCTATGGTCACGAATACGGCGATGCCTGTATTGCTTTTGGACTTTTTACCACTGCGACCCTTTGTCTCTTTTCTTTATTTTTACCCAAAGTAAGACAACTTGTAAATATGGGCGTCGAGGGAATTTATCTGGAGGATGACCGCGATACCTACTACGCAGGGTCGGTGGTCATGGCGCCACCTAGCTACAAGAGCAGGCCAAGCTCAATGGTGTATGTCAACTCCGCAGAATACTCCAACCCGGTTGTCATTGGCAACGGAGATCCAAGTAAGTTGTAAATTAAGAAATTTATTGACATCCTTCGCATTTGACTGTAAATAAGTTGAAAAATATTCTCACTTATGTTTCCTGTATTTACAGACCACCTTAAACATCCGGGCAGTATGTACAGTGGGCACAGCGCCCCCGTGTACACCAAACGAAACGATATGGGAAGCAGTCGTGTTCTAAGGGTTACTGGAGATTTAACAGGGAAACACCCTACAGAGCGAAAACGCCCAGTGTCAGAAATAGGATACACCGGTTACGCCGGGTCCTACAGGAAAACAAGATCAGAAAGCGGAGGAACACTTAGAAGTGAGTATCACTACCATTCTTAGAATATCTGAAGCCAATCAGCCTTCATTTTTTTTTTAAATAATGATGTTCTTTTTTCTGTTTTACAGAAGCCCGCTCACAACGTGAACTCGGTGCTCTTTGAATGAAAGAAAGAAAAAACAGTTCAAAACTAGACTTTAAAATTCTTGTAAAATCAGTTAAGTAAACAGCCAATCAATCTGTGAAAATAGGCATTATGGACAAGTACCTTAAAGTAAAAAAAAAATGCCTGTTATAGCAATCGAACACTCGTGCTGGTGTATTCGATTGAAGTACGGACTTACTTGCCAATGTGATAGCCAAGGGATATTGACTCGACTATATCGCATTATATGTACCTATTTTCACGTTTACCTTTATACTGTTTTTCACCATAGCTTTTTGATATATTTTTCTCTGTAATTAAAGACAATCTGATTACAATCAGCAGGTTTAATACGCTTCCGCTTCCGGGCGTATTAGAGCAGTTGATTTTAATCACTTTGATGAAATATTGCATAATACAATTTAACAGTATAGTTCTTTCGTCTCTGTTGATGAATCTCATTTTTTATATGGAATTCTTCATGTTTAAGACATTTAATTCTTAATATTCTTTTTTTTTTTTCATCGGGAAGACATTTATGTATACATTTTTGTACATAAAATTATATATGTTTAAAACCAAAATTACATGTACTTGTAATTACATTACTCTGATCAGTGTGATAATAGTGCTTTTGAGAGATGCATGCATGATAATGTGCGAAAAGATGTTTTGTACCTTTGGAAAGGTCATATGTGGTTGTTTTTTTTTTTTTCGATAGTGTGTTTTTTGCTTATCAGATTTGTACGTCAAGACATACTAGGTGAAATATATATTTATATGTAATAAAATCTATTTTGTACAAAAAAGACTGTTTTGCTATGCTCCAAAACGAAAACAAAAACAAGACAAAACGCAGAAGTTATTGAACAAATGATAATTCGCTAGAAATAAGATTTTCCTCAACGAAAAAAAGGCGCCATTTTAATATACTCAATATTTGTTTGGGCGTTTTCTGATACATGTATCAGGAAATAATTTTCTGATAACATAAAATCTATTTTCTGATAGAGAAAATGATTTACTGATATCAGAAATTCGAATTCTTGATAGAAATTTTTTTTTGTCAGATCAAAATTTCGTATATTTGATACCAAAAGACTATTTAAAACATTAAAAAAGTAAATTGATGAAAAAATCGAATATTTGAATTGAAAAAAAAATCACGTTCTGATATCAAAAAAAAAATTGAAAAGGTTTTTCTTATACCTTTTTTAAGGTCATATGACACGTTCCTCGAAAATCTATTTTTTTTTAAGAATTTGGTCATTATATGTCTCATAGAAACTTGGGAATGAAACCTGCACCAAAAACTTTAACCTGTTCACTTAACCGGAAAATGTAGGTCAGATTCAGCATCCGAAGCAAGTCTAGTAGAATGCATACTAAGATGTACCATCCATGCAAGTTTGGTCATTATAGGGCTCATAGTATCTTCGAAATGAAACCTGCACCAAAAACTTTAACCTGTTCACTCAACCGGAAAAAGTAGGTCAGATTCAGCATCCGAAGCAAGTCTGGTAGTATGCATCCTAAGATGTACCATCCATGTAAGTTTTGTCAACATAGGGCTTATAGTTACTCGGAAATGAGACCTACACCAAAAACTGCACCAAAAATGTTAACCTGCACCAAAAACATTAACCTGGTCATTCCTTTGCTGAAATTGCAGCATCTGAAACTTTGACTTTGAAGTAAAGGTATTTAAACAAGTATCCTCACAAAAAATTAGGGTACCTCACCAGGCATTTGGACAAGATACTACAGGGTGATATTTCTTATATAGCCCTTACGGGTAATCTTATGAATGGCTTATATCACAATTTTTGGTGTACTCGTTTTGAAAACAATGTAGAAATCAGAAGCATTGGCGTCGGAAGCAAATTGAAAGTGGGGGGGGGGGGGCTAAGTGTAAGAAAAAATTTTTTTTAGACCTCCAAACAAAAACCTGACAAGCAAAAAAAAAAAAGGAAATGTCCATTGCCCAAAGACGAAAATTCTATTTCGTTGGGGGGGGGGGGGGGATAGGTTTGAACTTCAGTAACAACATTTTTTCCAAACAGCACCACTTTCCCAATTTTAAACCTATACTGCAACGTGTCTGTGGAAAGGGGGGGGGGCTAAACCTACGCAGCAATGTTCAATGTCTATACTAAGTCTATCTTTGAGGAAAAAAAAGTGGGGGGGGGGGGGCATTAAAAGATACAAAACATAAATTTGAGCAACGTGTCATCTGACCTTAAATTGAATTTGGTATCAAAAAATGTAATTTTCTGATTTAAAAATGAATTTCTACTATAGTTTTCTAATATAAAAAATTCGAATTTTGATATCAAAAATACATTTTTTTCATATAAGAAATTCAAGCTGATTTCTTGATATATCTAAAAATACATATCCTGATACATATATTAGAAAATATAACAATCAAATTCAAAGAATTGTAGGCCCCCGCTTTCGGTGTCTCAGTTGAAGGGATGCCATTATTTATGGCATATTGTGTCAAGTATGTACGCCCCATCATATACATGTATCATGGAAAAGTAATAACCAATGTTAAAATTTTTGAAAATTAAGTGAAACACGAAGGTCCAGGAGTACAAAATTATAGCATGTCTGAAACATTATTTCAGGCAACGCACATGTCAAATATTGAATCCCCATCCCATAGGAAATATGATAATTTTGAAAAGTAGGTCAAACTTCAAGGTCACGGGTTCAAAAATACAGTGTGTTTAGAAACTTGAGAAAGGTCTTGTCTTAGGCCATGTACATTATTAATATGAAAACCCTAATTTTTTAAAAGAAGGTAGATATAAGAGGGTGTAGCAGAAATATTTGTTAGAAAATCTTTATGGAATAAAAATTATGAAATAAAGGAGGCTCTAAAAAATGTGTATCCGTTTTCGTCCGTCGTGTGTTAACATTTGGACATTTTTAGCTTCTTCTCTGAAACCACTGAACCAATTTCAACCAAATTTGGTGTATAGCATCTATGGGAGAAGGGGAACAAAAATTGTGAATTTTATGGTCTCTGTCCCCTGGGGCCTGAGGGGTGGGGCCAAAACCACTAAAATTAATGAAATCTTTAAAAATCTTCTTTACTCCTGGACATCATGCAGTCAAACTGTTGGCATAAATGTAATAAGCATTCAGTCCTCTACCAAAATTGTAAAATCCATGGCCCCAGGGTCAGGGGTTCTAGTGCTATGGCGGGGCTATATAGATTATATGGTGAAAATGCATTACTTTTTTGAAAATCTTCTACTCTGCTCCTGCATGGGTATTAAATAAACTAACTAAGTAATAGTTATGATGAGCAAGAGTGCCTCTTCAAAATTTTTGAATTTTATGGCCGCAGGGCCAGGGGTTCTGGTGTTAGGGTGGGGCTCTATTGATTATATAGTGAAAATACATTAATTCTTTGTAAATTTTCTTCTCTGCTCCTGGGTATCAAATAATCTAACTAAGTACATAGTTATGATGAGCAAAATTGCCTCTTCCAAATTTGTGAATTTTATGGCCCCAGGGTTGGGGGTTCTGGTCACAGGTGGGCGGGGCTCTATTGATTATATAGTGAAAATACATTAATTCTTTGAAAATATTCTCTGCTCCTGGGTATTAAATAAACTAACTAAGTACATAGTTATAATAAAGAAGAGTGCCTCTTCCAAAATTGTGAATTTTTTGGCCCCGTGGTCAGGGGTTCTGGTGTTAGGGTAGGACTCTATTGATTTTATAGTGAAAATAAATTAATTCTTTGAAAATCTTCTTCTCTGCTCCTGGGTATTAAATAAACTAAGTAAGTATATACATGTAGTTATATTGAGCAAGAGTGCCTCAACCAAATTTGTGAATTTCATGGCCTCTGTGTCAGGGGTTTTGTCATTTGGTGTAAAGGGGGGGGGACTCTTTTAATTATATAGTGAAAATACATTAATTCTTTGAAAATCTGTTTCTTTGCTCCTGGGTATTACGCCAATGATATAAGTATATATATATTTATGATGTCATCGTCGTAAACCATGCACGGCCAAAATGCACGCTCCTCTCCCATTCTGAGAGAGAGATATATGCGGACTCCGGACCGTGGCTTGAGACGATGTGACGATGTGCGCCCGGCGGCAACAAAGTTTTTTTAAAAAAGTTATTTTTAGCATGTGGCCATGACTGTGACCTATATGCTAAAAATAGCTTTTTCGTACCTTCGCCATAAATTTTGAATTATAGGAGATAGAGACTTCATATTTGGTATACATACTCCAAGTTCTTTCAAATGACTTCAATCTCGGTCAATGAATTTTCAAGAAGAGAATGTCGCTCTTTCCCTTAAAAAGATGAACTTTTTGTAGAATAACCTGTGCTCTTTAGTGTCATCCTCATCACAAGACGCTTTAGAAATACAGAATATTCTTTTTACGAGTAATGTTAATATTTCTGGGATCAAACGAGGAAAGATCCAGATTTTCTTGATACGGCCCCTGCTCTTTAACCTGCGTGTCCACCTCACTCCCATCCGTAATGGCGGGTACATCCTCCAATGTAATGTCCACCTCATCGTCTTCATTAGGAAGCATTGGTCCCTCCACTGTGTAATGGTTCTCGTTACTTGGGTAACTGGCCACACCCTCAGGTATTCTGATGGTACGGCGGATTCGTGCACATCGCTATTAAGCTCGTTTTACCCAGGTGTTTTGCATGTATCCGGACAATGTCATACTAAATATCGAATTTCACTTCATCAAGGTGATAGTGGTCCAGACGAATAGTCTGGTCCCTGTTGAGAGCAGCTTGCCGGTGAGCAAAGGACATTCCGGTTATCTCCTCTCGAAGCATTGGTATCAACAAAGCAAGAAAAGCAGGAGCCTGGCGTTGATCCTTCCATTTAATAATTTAAACTCCCCTTTCACCCAAAGATGCTTTATACCAAGTTTGGTTAAATTTGGCCCTTAAGAAAAAGTTTAAAATGTGGAAAATTTACAGACGGACAGCAAGCTAAAACAGATCATCGTGACCTGCTTTTGAGATTTTACGCTATACATGTATCTAAATAACTCAGGTACTTATTGGCTTGTAATCATCAAACTTTGTCTGTCAAGTGATGCATCTTGAGTCTTTCGAGAACATCAACCGAAAAAAGGGTCTTCAAGACCTACTTTTGAAACTTTATGACTGTATTCAAATATCTCAGGTACTAATTGGATTAGAATCAGCAAACTTTGTCAGTTAATGCATTTGTGGTTCTCAAAGAATGTCAACCAAAAAATTAGGTCACTATGTCTAGCATTTGAAATGCTATGGCTTTATTTAAGTATTTCAGGTCTTTGTTGTTTAAGAATCACCAAACTTAGTCAGTTGATGCATTTTGGATCTCCAGAGAATGTCAACTAAAAAGTAGGTCACCGTGGCCTACTCTTGAAATGTAATGAATATGTATATTTAAATATCTGAGGTCTTCATCTTTTAAGAAACATTCAACTTTGTCAGTTGATGCATCTGTGTCATCAGAGAATGTCAACTGAAAAGTAGGTCATTGTGACAAATGGTAGTTCACAAACCAGGGACAAATTGTAGCTCACCAGCCCAGGACAAATGGTAGTTCACTAGCCCAGGTCAAGTGGTACTTCACTACTCCAGGAGAAATGGTAGCTCACTAGCCTAGGGGTGCGTTCAACAGCATAGCTGCTACGAAAAACTAAGCTCTTGAACGGACAGCTAGCCTAGCCACTATGTACAAGAGCTAGCATTAATATTTGTTGCTAATTATAAGTATACCAAATCCAAGATGGCCTCCTTATTTACAACTTTGCAGCACATATGATTTTAATTAAATGGGAAATTATTTTGTACGTTTTAGTACATTTACATGAAGTTTCACTTGAAATAAACTTTTTTGCTCCAAATATAAGTTTAAAGTGATATATTTATATTCAAAATTTAACACTAAGCAGCTAGATTAGCTTTCCGCTCAATAGAGACAGATATTTACAACCTAGCTGCTAGGTTAGCCACCACCATCTTGAATGCAGCCAAGGACAAATGGTTCACTAGCCCAGAACAAATGGTAGTTCACTAGTCCAGGACAAATGGTAGTTCACTAGTCCAGGACAAATGGTAGTTCACCAGTCCAGGACAAATGGTAGTTCACTAGTCCAGGACAAATGGTAGTTCACTAGTCCAGGATAAATGGTAGTTCACTAGACAAGAACAAATGGTAGCTAACTTCCAGGACAAATGGTAGCGACTGTGATTTCATTAATATTCGTTGTTGAGCAGATCCACGAAACTTTATAATGTATTATTCGTTTGTATAGACAATGCATTCATCCAAGAAATTACGTATCCTTGAAAATATCTGTTTTACAAAATCCATGAAAATTGATGAAACCACAATAACTAGCCCATGACTAATGATAACTCACCAGGCCAGGACAAATGGTAGCTCACCAGCCAAGCCAGGACAAATAGTTGCTCACTAGCACCAATGGTAGCTCTCTAGCCCAGGACAAATGGTAGCTCCCTAGCCCAGGACAATTAAATATTTATGTTATGCTACTTCACAAGGTATCAAGTTTGTAGTGAGGGACCACTGAAATCTTTAGTACAGTGAAAAGTTCTACTCTGACACCTGTGTAATTTATTTCACTGAGAATTCCTTTATTTTCATTATTTATTTTAAGTAAATACATTTACAATAAACAAAATGTACATTGTACATGTAAGGACAAATAAATTCTCATGATCAACAAAGTGAAATTTATTATAAACAATTGTATATAAAGAAAACAAATATCTGTAGTGCATCTCAAGTGTAAAAAAATCAAAATGGCATCCACTTTCTGAAGCATCCCTCACTACAGATCCACTTTGTACATTGTCTAGAAATCACATGGTATTCTACACAATGTCTATGTACAAGTCAGTCATTAGCTGCATTGTTTGATCTCACAACATTGTACAACCAGTTTTAGCCACTGCATAGTAACTAAGGTTAAGCTGCATTTTTACTTTTCTTTGGTCATTCATGGAAATTAGATGATTATGGACATCCAGTCACAAGACTAAAATGAAAGAATTTAAAGCATGATTTTATAAAATAATAATTAAGACTAAAGTCTTTTATAAACACAACGAGCTTTTAATTATCATGAAAGTTTTCTTTTTTATGAATTGTGCAGAGGTTCATTGAAGTCTGTGATCATTTTCAATTCATTCATTGGAATCGTCAAGTTGACATACAAAGATATTAAATCAAATGATAGACAACAGCTTAAAGAAAATATTATGGCATAATGGCTACTATATGCATTATAGTATATTAATTTGTTTTATCTGTTTAAAACATTTAATATAATCTAAAACAAATGGTAGTGTCACTGACTCTAGGGAGTTTTTGACAAACAAGGTAGCAATCTAAATGTAGCTTTAAACATGATCAGAGAAAAATAAATGATTACCTTGCAGGACATCAGGAGATTTTGTGGTCCCAGGTCAGACACAACAGAAAAGGTAGGTGGGGTGGTGCACATGTTTTCATGAAGTTTTACTCCTTCATCAAGCAGCTTTTTAACATTTACAAGGGTTAAGCAGTCTTGCTACAATTTAAACATAGTTTTATATTAATAAAAGTTAAAATACTTATTTTTCTTTGCATCAAAGTAAAAAAAATAAACTCTAATGGCCAGTTGCGTATCTATGGCTCAGATAAGTACAGCTCAGTGGTTGATCCGTGGATCACGTAAGTAAAAATAAATTTCTTTTTAAAAATGTAAGGTTTACCTAATCTTGACTTACTCATATAAAATGTTGAAGGATAATAGGTTTTTTCCTCATATTACAGCACTTCAAAACAAGTTTTAATACTAGTAAATGGATGAAACTTAAAAGGATATATTTAAAAACAAAGATATATATTGATGTTAAATTGTAAATTAAAAATGCCGAAAAAATGCAATACAATTTAATTCAAATCACGGCATCTTTCATCGAAACTCAAACCATAAGAAAATATAAAATCGCAAACAAAATAAAGCTTTTACAAAAGACTGAAGAGAAGAAAACAGGGATGGGGGTCTTGGAATAAGTAATTTAGAAACAATACCAAAACACAAGATATGGGTTTAATTATATAAAAATTTGTAGTTTAAAAAGATCAAATTATAAGACATTATTTTTGATATTAGCTATGTTTTCTATTTTTTACAGCGGCAAAATGGGTTCCTACGGCCATGTAGATAGCCTGATTAATCAGATAACTGAAATACTTTTTATCCTTAGGAAAATCGGCATTACTAGAAATAATTGGAATGTGTATCATCATCAATTCCTAAATTTGATTTAAATTTGGTATACTGAGTATTAGAAAGTTTCTATAAAATTCCTGCTTGTGTACATTTATGTATTTTAAAAGTACCTTCAAAAACTTTATATTACAGCTACATCAGTGTTAAAACGGCACATTGAACAGCTGTTAAAGAATTGTGCAAAAAGAAAAATCCCCATGCAATATGGCCATAAAACTTTTCTTGCAGAATAGCTCTTTTAATACTGCAAAATCTATCAATGCAATCATCATTACCATAAAACATTTCTCTAACATAGAAATATTTCAAATATCGGATATTTTCCATGGAAATGTTATAAAGCCGGGTTTAAACCACCCCTACACCAGGTTCAGAATTTACTAATTCTGACTCCACATGCGTGCACGCGAAAATAAACCCGGAATCATTGATTTGGTTTAAATGCAAAATGTGTCAGTTATTTTAGCTTGGTCTAATTTGATCATCACATTGTAAGAAATATGAAACCAAAGTTTTTTGGTTTTTTTTTTTTCAATTTTTTCATGATATGTATATCTAAATATGGAAAATTTTCTACATACCTCAGTATCCACTCTGACTCCACATTTACAAAATATCACAGATTTGTTTTGCAACATGCAATTCCTTAAAAAGAAAATAAATGGAATAAGAATCTTATCCACATTTTCTAAATCATACTGGTAATACTCAACATTTATATAACATAGAAACTAATTTTTAGTACAGCACATCCACCAGTATTGGAAATAGGGTTTAATAATTACTTTTGACACACTGGACAAATGACATCTTCTGCTGACAAACTCTCAATGGCTGAACACAAAGCATCCTCTTCCTGACGTAAACTGGCCTCATACTTCTCAAACTCGGCCAACATCTTCAATTCTAAGACACAATAGAAATCAATTTTGAAGAGGAAATACTCAATCATGCAAGGATGGCAGACTGAGAATTTTAGAGGAAAATAATATCATCATCAATCATGGTTTTTACATCAACATACACAGTATGTATGAATTTATGACCTTAATATTTGACCTCTTGACCTCAAAATCAAAAGGAGTCTTTTTTCAGCCAACATTTTTAGTTCTGAGACATATATCATAGTTGCCAATCAACACCCGATTTTTAACCCGTAGATTATTTTTTATTTTCATGCTTTTCACCTGACTTTTGTCGAACAACCCAAAAATCTCCCGATTTCCAGATTTGGTTCATCTTTTAACTTCCAGTTACAACACAAGCTTAGATCTACGTAAACAATGCTGATGGATTAATTATCAGTGCAGGTGTAAACAATTAACTGGGTGTTGTTTTGACAAATCAATGTTTGAAGTCAATTAAAATGGCTTCCGATAGAACTAGATCGTTATCAGGGCCAGCAGGAACAAATTGAACCAAACACATGTCTCTGATTAAACCAAGAAAAAGAGAAACAATATTTACTGGTATGTACATATCAAGGAATCTTGGAAAAAAAACTTTCATTCTAGATAAAATAAAGTGATCGAAGACAGTGTAGGCCTAAGTAGGGACTAACTTCACATTTAATACATATTGCAGTAGTTAATTAAGAGAGAGGAAAAATAACTTCAAAACTAAAATTGGTAAACTTTCAAATTTAGCAGAAACTGAAAAGGCTTTGTTTTTTTTTTGTTTTTGTTTTTTTTTTTAAAATGCACACTTACTTCAGGTCAATACTGAAATATGAAGCCTTCAATTCTCTTTTTTAACATGTAAATTTAATCAAAGTATGCATGAATTTTTTGTCATTGTACTAGGGCTGGGCAATAATATCGATATTTCAATATATTGCAATACAATGACAAAAAATATCGTATCGCAATACGATTTTGAAATATCGATATATTGGCAATATTCTTAAGTTAAGGAATTTAGTCATTAAATATAAAAATGGACTTATGAAAGTTTGATATTAGGCAAAACATTGACAGAAGTTGTTTTTGTGGGAACATTTCAGAGCATAACTCAAATGACATCAACAAGATTTTTTTCCGTGTTGGTAACTTATCATAGTTTTGTACATTCTGCACATAAATTAAAGTTAATACAAGAAGAAAATGCCATTTTATTTTCATTTAAAATATTGCAATACATATTGCAATACAATTAAAAATATCGCAATATATCGCAATACGAAATCTCGGGCCAATACCCAGCCCTACATTGTACATTAAAGATTAATTTTCAATAAAAGAATTCTCAATGCACAAATACTTTGTTTATATATGTATAAAATTTAATCATGGTATATATGTCGTGAATGTCGTTACGCGTTATGACCAGATTTTTTACTTTCCAAATCTGGTCATGACCAGATTTTTACATGCTGGAGGTTGGCAAGTATGACATATATCATAAAAAAACTTAAGTAGAAATTTCTATTCTCAATCAACGATGAAAGAATTTTAGGGGAAGAGAGTTTTACGACCAATCTGGTTTTTACTATTAATATACATGTTCTGCCATACCCTCTTGTCTAAGTTCCTCCTGAATATCTTCAAACAAATTCAGTACACTCTCAATATCAAAGTCAGCAGCAGAAAAATCATCCATCTGTGAGCAAGCATTTTAAAAATCATACAATGTAGAATTAACTTACAATGAAACAAATTACATATAGCAATTCAAATCTCTGGAAGGCATGACATTTCCCTTCTTAATGCAGGAAAAAGTTTTAAATGAAAAGAAAAATACTTTATATTTCAATAATAATGTTCATTCTTATTATTTTCTACTATAAATACAGGCTGAGTTGGTTATCATAGATATTATTAGGTGAGAAAATGCAATTTCAAGCATCATTACCTCCACATCCAGTTTCTCCTCCCCCGAACACAGATTCTTCTGCATGGTCTGAAGCTCCTCTCTCATCAGATCTGTGATAAATTCATCCTTTTCATTTAAAGCTGTACTGATGTTACGGAACTTCTCCTGAAGCTTTCCCCTGCTCTCTTTCAGTCTGTCCAAACATCTCTGCATTAAAAAATATAATCTGAATTGCACCTTTGTGCATTACATAATAAGAATATTCTCTTTAATTTTAATCAAGCTATATACCAGTACATTTAAACTAAAATTAAAATAACTTTCTTTTCATTCAAACTTTTAGAATTAAAAGATAATAAGTTCCTCCTCAAATACATGTACATTGTATGTACATAAGTGACTTTCATTTTTAACTCTATAATTGTTTAAAATTACTTTACATAATAATTAATTTAATATATAGACTCTTAGAGGGGCATGGACACAGTTTCAACTGAATTTTTTAAACAATTTTAATGTTTACAATTCCTACCTAAGGCATCATCTATTGATTAGCAAAAATTTGAACATCATTTGTTGATTAGCAAACACGATACAGAACTTCATTTCAAGTTCTTCATAATGTAAACAAGGCTCGTGCTTTGATTTGTTTACATATGGAAAACATCATATTTATAACAAAATGAAATTCAGCAAATCAATAGTAACTTTCGAATCGTATTTAAAATTAACTTTTATTTGAAATTATCAACTTTGAACGAATATAAAATTATAGTATATTAACCTGTGTAAACAAAAACATGACACAGACCTTTTTTTACATAACAAATTAAGGTTTGGAGCTCTAAATCTGTCTTGTATCTGGACAATTGACGTTTTTTTGATATTTAAATACTAGTATTCTAATAAAGCCTCGTTGACTTATTTTACCACTGATCTTTTGATTTTAATTTTCAGCTGACTTACTGTAAACCAACTATTATTCGTGTCATTTTATTCGCGAATTGTCATTATGAAATCAATCCGTAATGATTAATTTTCACGACTGAGGAAACACTGTCTACAAATATTAAGCAAAATAAGTTCTTCGCAGCAATTCATATTCACGTTTTTAAATGAACAAAATTTGGTTTACAGCAGTATACCTTTCTGTAGGTTTCTTTCCACGGAGGAGTCCTAGCTTTGTACAGAGCCCTGTGATCTTTCCTTGTTTTGTCGCTTACTGACATACTTGCTCTCTTTCTATAAAGCACACAAATAATATCAAACTACATGTAAATTGCATACGCAGTTCATGCACAGTTATGAGGACAATATTATCTGCAGCATTATCATTTTAATTTAAAGTTGCAATCCTGATTTATGTCCTTTAGCGTAAATTTCTAATAGTTTACTTCATGAAAAATGATCATATTTAGTCCTGGAATAAGTTAATTTCACTTATCTGAAATTAAGTACAATTTTTCATACAAACATATAAGGTTTTTTACTTCACATTTCTATGGCACAACTGTGTCTCCATACAATAGATATTGGCTCCAAATAATGAAATGAAGAGTTTATTTACTTCTCTATTTAAGAATATAAAACTGACAGACCTATCAATAATAAGAAAATTGAACAATTACTGATTTTAAAAATGCTTTCAAGCTGACACCGGAATGCCCCGTAATCACCGAAATGCCCTTACAAATCACCGTGCCCAACAAAATCACCGAAATGCCCACACATATGTTTTTACATGATGTTTTTCATAAAAATTAATTCTTATTTTTATCATTAAAGTATAACTGACGGTAAAATTAATTATTTTCAGGTTTTGTGCTCGCCTACTTCAAAGGGCGATAACTCGTATTTGATGATAATTTTCTAAAGCGAAATCAACGTAGCCTAATAGATATATATATAATAATAATGATATTTCTCAGAAAAAAAATGATGACAAATGATTGTGACCCGTCACCGTTATTGTTTCATGACCTTTGAATAATATAATGTTAAAATATGGTCTGTATACCTAATCTTAATTTTTATAGTCAAGTGCATATGCTATTATTACAGATACTTATTTCATACGTACACTGTTTTTTTTTTAAAACTAGTTGAAGTTTTGGGGAATTTTGATTTATTTAAGTTTTTTTATTAAATGTTTGTGTTCTTTTCTTTTTTTTCTTTCTTCCTTTTTAATTGACTTTTTGTGAACCAGGTTGGACAATTTATACGCCTGCCGACGCCTGTCTGGGGAAATACATGTAGGTCTGGCGGTAAAATCTAAAATCATTATTTATGGAATTTTACTTTTATGAAATATATCTGATTTTAAGGACTATAAAGTTTATGTTTTACCAAACAAAATGAGAGAGAGAAAGAGAGAGAGAGAGAGAAGATACCGGTAGACCAACTCCTGTGATAATTTACGATCGACATGAAAAATTTTTCCAAAGACAAATGCAATCACAAAAGGAAAAAAAAGTTTTTAAACTCTGTACTGCGTTAATCAATGAAAATGTTTTCATTTTTTAAAATAATTATTTATTTTAATTTGTTACTTGATTAGATACATTGTCTCAGGTCTTACGGATCTTTTCTTTTGTATATTAATTATTTCGCACACATAAATCATGTAATGTGTGTATTAAACCCATTCAACAACTTAAAAAAAATAAAGGTAAATTGTCAACTTTTACTATTTCATTTTCAATTGATGTAGTAAACTGTTCATTAGCAAAAGATACCCTTTCCTGTGTTTGTATAGCGCACGTGCGTAATTTTGGTCACTGATTGTCATGTACCTGATGATGTAACATGACATAAGATTACTACACACCTGTCACTAGATCAATTATTTAATCACTGTGTATACACAGTAAACATAATTATTATTTCAGATATCCAATTGTTTCAAACCAATTGAACATTGAACACAATAAAATCAAATTAATTTTGTCTTCGTTCTATTTTTTTTTAATCTTTTATAGTAAAATATGAAACTTCCAAAAAAGTTTGTCATCTTATATATACAAGAATGAAATAAATTTATAATTTTTATAGATTTTATTAAATTTCTTTCATTTGCAGTTCTTTTCTGTGCTGAAATGATGTATAATGATTTATTTTCCTCACAAATAGTGTGAACATAATATAATTTCATTAATTTACGAATTAGATCAGCAAAACTTGAATTCATACATCATGTACATGTAATATTTATAATACACTATCAACCCTTGTAAATTAAACAATGTACGTACCAGGGACATATATAAGTCCCTGATTATACCAAGCATATATTCTTATATTCAGTGAATAAAAAATAAATTTTGATTAAAGTCATATATGACATATATTTTTGTTTATATACTATAATCTTTCTATTTGATAATAAATGTAACTTAATATATACATTGTTAATAAAGAATTTTCCAGTAAAATTACACACGTGTCCTCCTTTTTTAGAAATCAAGAAAATACGTTAATATTACAAACAATTTTTTTTATCAAGAATAACTTATTGTTTGGAATATATTTATCAAAAATATGAAAATTGAAAATAAATAAAACTACTTTGGCACGTGTCTTTAATCAGTGAGAGTTATCTTTCTTTGATACTTACATGCACATATCTTCAAATAAAAATACTTATGCTAAAATTATGAAATTTTTAATGGCTTTATAACAGTTATTTTCATCAATATTTATTATTTTTTTGTTTATTCTTAACAATATAAGGGGCTTTTCGGTGGCATTTCCTTTTTCGAACACATTCCGGTGAAAAAGCTGCTTTATTCTTGACTGTTTTCAACTGTTCACTGTATCATATTGGAGTTATTCCCCTTTGAACACTAAACCTTATGACGTTTTTCACAACAGACTGAACAGAAACCGAAAACAGACGACTTGTAATGTTATTGTCCGTATCACAGCTGGACAGAGGCTGACCATAATCCGTGATGATGTAATACAACAATAGTAGCATCACGCTTTGCTTACTTTAATGTTTGTTTACATAGTTGAGGGGAAACTGATTTGCAGAACTGCTAAACTCTTGGAAAGTGAAAATGTCTGGTGAAACGAAAACATTCAGGTATGCTATAATGTTGTTGTATACAATTTATCATGTTTTCAATTTTAAAAATGTTTATCGAAATAAACTATTGCTTAGACCCCGCCCACATATAGATATGAATTTACATTAATTTGATAATTGAATTGAATACTGTATTAATCTGACATTGAAATGTATTTTGCTGATGTGATTTTACCCTGATATAAAAGTAGATAGAGAGATAGGCATGCATACTTTTATTACAGCTCTTTATGGTGGTGTGGTGGATGGGATTGTGAAATGACTTCACTTTCAATTTGAGAGACTGAAAGTGATTTTTTTTTTTCAGTTTAGCATTATTTTTTTTCTATTGTGCAAACTATTGCATCTTCCTTAGCCAAATCTCCTCATCGATCCCTCATCTCCCCTTTGGCAGAATAGGATAATTTTCAAAGCTCGTGCTTTGACTTTCCAGGCCATCTGATATTACCCGTAAACTAATGTGTACCACAAATGCACATAAATTCTTGTTTCTTTCATTTTCCGTGGTCATGTTGGTAAACCCTTTTTGTACCCAGGTTTAGGTTTACCATGTTTACATGTAACTGAAAGTCAGGGATATTGATTTGGGTCTGTCTATATACATCCTTCTATTACTGACTTTCTGTCTGTCTAGTGTTATTCTATCTACTTACATGCCACCATTAAAGCTCAGTGTGCAGCCATTAAATTAGCATTAATGACCTTATAAATAACAATTGAGAAGATATTTATTCCCTAATTTATAGCTCACTTTGGTCTAAAGAAGACCAAATATAAATTATATTGATTTTGAGTTCAAAAGTCTAGACCATAAATTTGTTAATTAATTAAGTTTATTTGTAACTAACACTTATGTTTTCAGTGATATTTTATTTTATTTTATTTTTTTTTGAACTTTTGCAATGAAGTTATATATGTGATATCACAATTCTTTATGACCTACAAGACACCTTTTGATTTTCAGGTGAAAATGTCAGTGGTCAAGGTGATAAATTTTGTCTTTTTGCTGCAATTTTTCCCAAACTATATCTTGAAAACAATTTAGATTTTCAATAAAATTATATCACAACTCCTCATAGCTTTAAAAAAATGAAACACTAGAATGACTTGATGCTAGATGGCAGTAAATTGTAACATACAAGGTACATGATCTGCCAAGGGAGTGGGGGTGGTGGGTGGAATTGGAGACTTGTCTAGCAAAGAAAAATGTGGGACACATGTAATTTTTGTGAAATTTCATGTAGGGAGGGGGTAAATTTAAATTTAAATGACTTAATTGTCCATAAGTAACCCCACTGTGTATACATTTGTATTTATTACAATAATTGCATATGTCAAAAATTCAAATCATAATAAAGGTGTTGCTTGTTTTTAAATTGACCATAAAGACCCAAGAACCCCTGTGAAAGATATAGAATTGTCTCTATGTTCTCAAATTTTATTAACACATATTTGACTGTATAGAAAGTTAATAAAGATTTACGGTTTAAAACTTTATAAAATATTTCATTGAAGTTTAAAGTTAGTGACCTGGAATGTAGGAGATGAAGAACCTCTGGCAGATTTTACAGAATTGTTGGATCTAAAGGCAGATTCTCTACCTGATATTTATGGTATAGGGTAAGTATTTCTTATCAGCATTTATAACAGTAAGTTGAACAATTTCCAATTCCCAGGGTGAGAAAGCTCAAATTTATGGTCACTTGTCCCAAAGAACAGTTACAAAAACTACCATGTAGTTTTTGTATGCTTAAAAAAGGAACTTCAAGCTTTCAGTAGAAAAAAAGATTAAAACAAGATGCATATATTCTTTGCGTTAATTGTTCTATTAAGTTCTCAACAGGTCTACTAGCTGCAGAATTGTAGCATTGTAGTTTGATATGTACATGTATAAGTCTTTGACCATAATGCTACAGATCCAGTAATGCAGTCCTTAATTTAAATTTTCTGCCAATCCATCTAAAAATTCAAAATGAGGAAGTTTATCGGTTTGTAGAGCCGATTATAAAGGATCGGGAGATGGATAAAATACACAGGTTGGTTAAAGAGTGTGTCTAGAATTATAGAGTGAAAGGTACTTGATTGAACAAAGCTGGAAAGTATAGAAATTCCCTCCAGCAGTGCACAGAAAATCTTGCACCATAACATGCACCTTTATTTGCATTACAGGATCTCTAGGGTTATGGTCAAAGACTAATATATAAACAATATTAGCACTACAGTTCTGCAGCTATGCTCATGCTTGACAATGTTTAATTTATTCATGGATCAGAATATATTCCATAAAGTCCATAAATTGAATCAAGAAATTTACTTTAATATAATTTTATGTGATACCATATTGAACAGTTTAATACCCATTTACAAAAGCCAATAAAGTATTGAATTGTAGATTGCAGGAGCTGGTATCAGGAGAGTTTGCTGCATATAAAAATTCATGGACAACTCTCTTTACGGACATTTTAGGCCCCAGGGGATTTTGTTTGGTAAAGTTTTCTTTTCGTAATAAAAGTAAAATTAAGAATTCAGTATAAATTCAAGATTTTGTGCATATAAATTATGTTTGTATACTTGAACATCTGCAGTTTAATACCAGTAAAAAGTTTTACGAAAAAAGGGGTATTGGGGGGATTAAATTTTTGTATTTAAAAATTAAAAAGACAAGGGGGTCAGAGAAACAAACAAAAACAAAATAAAAATGACAGGATTGTTTGCTTCATAGTAATAATAATCTTAATATGTATCATTTTTTCAGATAAAGGCAGTGAAAATGCAGGGCCTTCTGCTTATAGTGTTTATCAAGAGAGAATACATTCTCAGTGTAACTCATATAGAGTCTGAAATATCAAAGGCGGGGATGGGAGGATGGTGGGTAAGTGTTACCAACAGCTGTCAGGGTGGGGTGGGGGTGGGGGGTGGGGGGTAGAAGGGGTGAAAGTAAAGTATACATGTATACTGTATATAAAATGTTACTGAAAAATCTTTATTTACAATATTACTCAAGAATAGGAACATAATATTGCTAAACTGGGTTACTTTGTACTTTAAAGTACTGGTATATTATAGTGATTTTACAGTGTTGTGGGAAATCATTATCAATCTAAGAAATTAACTGTGGTGAGCATTGTAGACCAAGAGCTTTTTTTGTTGGAATATACATCTTGAATGCTATAAGGAAGATTTTTTAATTTCGTGTTTGATGTTTTAGGGAAACAAAGGAGGAGTCAGCATTCGATTTGATCTGAACGGAGTTAATTTAATTATCGTTAATTGTCACCTGGCAGCTCACATGAACAACTCAGCCGAAAGGATCGAGGTACAGAAGGGATTTACGGATGTAAATTTAAAAACTGAATTGGTCATATACACATATACATTAGTTCACTGACTTAGACCTTTGAGAAAATTTTAACATTTAAAGATTTTTTTGAATAGAATTCTAAATATTTTACCTTTTTGATTTTTTTTTCACAGGATTTTTTCACTATTTTGGATACTCAGAAGTTCAGAGATAAAGATGTAGATCATATATTTGATCACGAGTGAGTATGTCTGATAGTATAAAAAGAAAACAAAGGTTATAAGCAGTACATATTGTATGTCGGTCTGACTGTATCTTTTTTTAAGGTATTTTTCAAGGCTTTCTATGTTTACCAACTAATATTTACATTTCCAATGTCTTTGTCTTTTTACAAACTGTAAATGTATTTTTATCAATTTTTTGGCTTTCATGTGCAGGGCGGGACAAATAGCTAGACAGAAGCAGGGCTTGGAGCACATGGATTGGTGGAAATTTATAAGGAATAACTCCTTTCATGACGGTGACCAATAGATTTGATAATTTTATGCATATATGCCTTTGGCGTTTACCTGTTTTAGAAACCGAAAAATTAATATTTTTATCCACTTTTTGAATATCTGCTTGAATGACTTTTGAAGTTTTGTCTGCTGTGTCAAGTAGACTTTATTTCAAATTGCACATAAATTGCCAGAAAAATTAATGTGAAACACCGAATCTAATGAGAATTCTTTATGTTTTGTGATGGCTACAAGTACATATAGATGGAGAGTTTTAAATCCATGAAACAAAAAGAAATATTCTTGTCAACGAGTAGGTGTTTTATACATGTAAATTCAATTATTAGTAACTAGAGAATTACCCGTAAAAAAAATATTATCTTTTATTTTACCGGTAGTTTCATATTTTGGATGGGAGATCTCAACTTCAGAATTGACAATTACACAAGGGAAGAAGTAGAAAAATATATCGAGAAGAAAGATTTTGAAACTCTTTTAAAACAAGATCAGGTAAACTGTTTTGTATAATTAAATTTGTGCAATTTATGATCAACTGTAAAAACATCAAGTGACATTTTTAGTTTGGATGTAAACACAGATACTGATAAATGTACTGGTACATGTATTTTATGATTCCTATTGTAATGTGTAAATTTTTTTATGTTATTTTAATTCTCAAAATATATATTTATTTACCGTATATACTCGCCTATAAGTCGGTCCGCCTATAAGTCGGTTGTATTTTTTGACGTTATTTTGGTGGGATTTGCTATTGACCCGCTTATAAGTCGGTACAATTCTTTTGCCAAAATCTGGTGACAATTTCAAGTAAATTCATTGATGTTTTAACCTGGTTTCAATTAATATTTTTCGAAATGACACTGATATTTAATCTTAAATTATTAAACATAAAGGCAATGTCACTTAAAATACAAATAAAATTATTAAAATATGTAAATACTTGTACTTTATATATATACATAATCAAAGAATACATAAAACATCTTATATATCCAGACATTTTCTTTGATAATCGTAGAAATGCAAATAAGATACTTTCCTTTTTTTTTCCAGAAAAATACCATATCTTTTATGACTCGCCTATTAAGTCGGTTATAATGCAGAGAATATTTAACTCCCAAAATACCGACTTATAGGCGAGTATATACGGTAAATATTTGTTTTCAAGTGGTACTTTCTATCTGTTAATCAATGATATATTAATAAACTGTAAAAGTTTTAACTTTATACCTGACATAGTTTTGGAGCTATTGTAAAAAATTTTTGGACATCTTGACCTTTGGCAGAACCTTAACAGATACATGTACAACAAATTATGTAGCTTCATAACAAATCAAAGTTGACAATTCCTGGCACTTCTCTCTAAGCTTCTTTTACTTGTAGTTTTGAATTCACTTAAAAAGTATACTCACGGTAAAGGATATGTCATGTACCTTTTGAAAGTAAATGTTTTCTTTTGTTTAACAGTTTTCTTTATTTTTTCAAGTTCATTATATTTTTTTCTGCCTGTTACAGTTGGTTAAATGCAGAGAAGAAGGCCTCATTTTTTGTGATTTTGAAGAGGGAAAAATTGATTTTCCTCCCACGTACAAATTTGATAAAGGAACGGATGATTATGATAGCAGGTAAAACCAGTTATTATATTGTGTAAATTGACTGTGATGGATCCTTCAGCTACGTAATGGTAAACCCCTTTTTTTACAGTGCTAAGAAGCGAGTACCAGCATGGTGTGATAGAATCCTGTGGCAGGTTCATGAGGATGCCTTTGAGAAAATAACACTATCAGCTGATCTACTAGAGTACAGATCTGTTCCTTTCTATGTTTTAAGTGATCACAAACCAGTGGTGGCAACTTATAAAGTTAAAGTAAGTCTCTGAAATAGCAGTAAAACAGAGAAAATTTACAGGTTAAAATTTAATTTTAAAGTATTTGACGACGATCAAAGTTCAGAATCAAATGGCTTGGGCTATTCTCTTAGATATTGTCAAAATTCATAAGATTCTAAAATGCACATGCACCATCCTCACATTTTTAGCTTATGTATATATACTTCTTTGGAAGTGAATTTCCTAGACTTTTGACAAGTCACTCTTCAGAAAATTTAGATCAGATTCAGCATCTGTATATGTAGGAAAACTGTCATTAAAAATCCCAGGCCTAGATATTTCAATTATTTGAGGATCTTTGGGAGGGGGAAATATAGTTACAGTAACTTGAGAATGATGAGATCTTTTCAGATAAGAGTTGTTTTATGTACTCTATTTCACTGTTTGTTTGTGTTTTTTTTTAACAATAATATTGTTTTTGCAGGTATTCCCATGCCAGCGATTTCCAGCACCAGTAACCTTTGATGTCGAGAAATGTTGGAAAGCTGGTCAAAGTGCAACAGTTAAATACAAAATGAAAAAAGACTCAGAACTAATGTCCTCCAGTAGAGATTGGATAGGACTGTATAAGGTTGAATAACTGAATTTTGTATCTATATATAGCTCATAATCAGTATGTTAGTAGAAATTGCTATCTATTGCTATTGAAATACATGTACATGTAACAATTAGCATACCAGATACATTTATAAAAAATAAAACTCAAGTACATATGATGTCCTGGAGACCTTTGAATTGACCTGGCTATATCCACAGTTCATTTTTCCATACAGCAAAACTCGTTTATAGGTGACGGATATATGGAATTTACGGTTATAACGAAATTGCTATCTAATCCTATTGTATAAATTTAATGACTTTCTATACGGTTACAACGAATTTTATAAAATATAAAACGAAGTAATTTCATAGGTCCCTGTGACTTCGTTATAACCGAGTTTTACTGTATATTGAATGAATTTAAGTATTTATTATGAATTTGCACAACAGGTTTTCTTTAAAATATAAACTACCATATATATAAGAATTAATTTTATTAATAGTACAAAACTGAAGTATAAAAATGTTTTCAGATGAAATGATTTTAAATATAAAAACATACTAGAGCTTATATATCCTAAGTTCAGTCTTTTAAATTTGTGAAATAAAAAATTAAATTGTTACAAAAGATGTAAAATCATAAATTTAAACCTCTGTGGAACATAAAATAAGTTCAATATATTCGTAATTTTGTTTTATCAGAGTTCATTGTAACCATAAAATTTTACACGAAATTGTTAAGAAAGGATGATGTGACCTACGGCCCCAAGTAAATTGACAAAAAATCAAATGTCCAAATTTTACTCTAACTAGTGTTAATTGTAACGGGAACCGTTACAGATGTTCCTCAAACGCTCCCCAAATCGCTTTTTGTGCCTTATTCCTGTAATACGTTTTTTTATTTGCTCAGTATCGAAGGATTTCATCCAAAAATATAAAAGTTACAATGATATCAACTTTATATCATTTAACATTTTGCATGCGCGCGCACTTGCATGCATATGCAAGATGATCAGGGCATATTGACTAAAGATTTCCTGAGAATCAAAAGAAAATAATACATTCAGATATAAATACGATTATTTTTCAAGTATTTTTGTCATTTTACGCATTGCGCATACGCACATGCTTGTCCTTGCATTCGATTTTGATAGCTGCATAATGTAGGAATCCATTATACCTATTCATATTCTAAATTTCATCATGGTTTATTGAGAACTAAGAACGTTATAAGTATTTAAAGTTTCAGCCAATCAGATTGCAGTGCAGGTGCATGCGCGTGCTTTCATGATAATTCTTATATATCATGTTGTAAAACTATCTAATATATTACTATTTTTAAAATTTCAAAGTATTTTGTCAAAAATCAAGAAAGATATTGAGACTTTAGTTTCAGCCAATCAGAGCGAAGCACACGTGCATGCGCGTGAGTTCATGATAATTTGACCATGTCCTCTTGTCTACAATACTAATACAGTATATACTTATATTCTGAGTTTCAACACATTTCATCGAAAAATAGAAAAGTTACGGCTATATCTATTATATTGGTCATTTCACGTATTGCACATGCGCGCTCTTGCAAGCACATGTGCGCAAAATGACCTTGATTCTGCAAATCTACATAACATGTCTACCTACCCTCAATTTTGTTATATCATGCATTGAACAGTTTACAAATTTTACACAAAATTATTACCCAGGAAGAAGAAAAATAATAATAAGAAACAGAGTAAAAAAATTCAATGTCCAAATTTTACTCTAATTACTGATATGTGTACCCTAATGGAAAACTACTTTTAACAAAAGTAGCATAATTTGGAAGATATACATCTTTCATTTGGGTAGGGATACCATGTTTACATTCAATTCCCATTGAATTTTTGCCCCGCCCCACTCTTTGGAGCCCTTAAATTATACGAGTGTAAGTAGGTACATTACTTTTTCTCCTTGGGCTGGTCACTGTATCTTATTGATATCTTCCTATATGTGAAAGGAAAAAAAATTCCCATTATTCATGTTGATGAGTAAATCTGAATATTTATCTCTGGAATTGTAGAGTGATTTCAAACATCTACATGACTATGTAACTTATGTGTGGGCCAAGGAGTATGCAGAGAGAAGTCCTGAGGGGGTGGAGGTGACATTCCCAGGGCGGTACCTTTCTTCCCCAGGGACCTACAGGGTGGCCTACATCAGTAATTACAAGGACACATTGTTAGGGATCAGTGAGGAATTTAAGGTAATGGATGGAGTAGGCTTCTATTGATGAATGTTTGCATAATTGAAAATTTCATCTTAGGGTATAAAATTAGATTACCGTATACAAGACAGGAAGCATGGTTTTTGAAATATTTAAAAACTAACCCTCTGATTTAAATGTATGTGTAATATGAAAATGGGGTTTTACAATTCTGAGATTTTTACATTCTACATGTAAATGGAAGCAAAACATGGTCTATCTTTGAGAAAATCAATCAGTTTTGCCTCATCTGTTATTTATTAAGTTGTTGTGCATGACCAAGACCATTAAAACTTAAATATATGCATTTTGGTAGATGTTGTCAAATATAAAATCAGCAAAAAGCACATACCTCTCCATAATTGATTTTTTAAAATAAGTATATTATTATTTTTCAGATTGTAACCTGAGTACCTCGATGAAGAAAACATTTCCAGTCTGGGCAGCATCCTGATTTTGACTTGCCAAAAAGAACAAAGAAATCCAAAGAAAGTGATATCAATTAACATGCTTACTTATTTGATATATATAGATTTTTTTTATCTCAGGAAACTGATCAATTTAATAAAAAAAATGAGTATTTTTGCTATGGATAGTTTAGCTTACTGGTATGGAAATTTTGACCAGAGAATTTATGTAAACAGAAAAAGTGCAATTTGTGGTGCAGCCTCTTTTGTGCTGGATTATTGAGGTGAAAATACTAGGTATGTACAAAAAAGCTACATATTAAAGTGCTCACAGCAGAACTCATATTAAAAACATTTTTTTTGTACTACTGTGCACAGCTGTGATGGGACATCCTGCATTTGCTTTTAAGATCAAACCAAATATTTAAAAGAGAAGATAATGAAATGCTTGCTATATAAACCTGACATGATAATGTTTTGGAATGAGATGATCAGACAGCTGTAGAAGAACAATGACCTTTCTCTCCTGTGTTCAGATTTTTCTTACCTACTTTTTTGTACCAATGTTTTTTTTTGTTTTCTTTCTCTTACATCATTACAGTTCAGTTGTTGGTACACAGGTATTTATTGTTGTTTTAATCACAGAGTTGTGTAACTTGTGGTATATGAATTACTTGGCTATGAGTTAGATAAACCTATCCAATATTAATATGGCTATGGTTCATATGTTATAATTGTCATTCATATTTATGTATTAAATGCATGAGTTAGAGTGCCAGGTATTCAGAAACAAGCTACAGGAAAGAAAAACACAATTCTGAGAACCCTGGAATCATTTTAATTCGAGGGGATCATTGTGCATGGACAAGTAAAATTTTGCTAGTTCTCGAGGACATAAATGCATGGGTAACTCTTACAGTACTTGCAAAAGATTCAATGAACAAATATGTTCGTAGGGGTGTAACTTTGTGGATTTGGGTTACCCACAAAATCCATGAGCATTTGTACCCCATGAACATAAGTGATTCAACAGTATCAGTTTTGTATATTATAAAAGTTTTATTGAATATTCTAAATAATTATTTGTTACTTACATTTTTTGAGATTAACATTTTTTTTATTTAAGGAATGAATTTAATAGCTACCCATTTTATACGGTATAAACTGGGTTGGGGCAGTTTACAATTGCTAAACCGCGAAGCGGTTTATAAAAAAGCGTAAACTGTTCCAACCCAGTTTATACCATATAAAATGGGTAGCTATTAATTATACCCCCCGCTTGAAAAGCGGGAGGGTATATAGTAATCGTTAATTCCGTCCGTCTGTCCGTCCGTCCGTCTGTACGTCCGTCCGTCCGTCTGTCCGTCCGTCTGTTACGCTTTGGGGTACCCATCTCTTATCCGCAACTCCTCTTATACTACTGAATGAAATTTGATGAAAATTTCACAGAATCTTTATTACATATTGCCATTGTGCACCTCCTATTTTACTTTTTGATCCGACACATATTTTGGGTTTCCATAGCAAAACATGGACACTGCCATTTATACACATATGGGAAGCGGGGGGTATCATTTAGTGAGCCCATTGCTCACAGTACCTCTAGTTTCATTGCTTATAATTTAATTTTCATTCATTCGCTGTAAGAAAAAAAGATAATTGTTCTAATAAAATGACTTCAATTTGTACAAAATTTGAATGTAACGTCAGGCGGATTGATACGTTTTTGACGCAAGTCATTGTGACGCAGGCAACCCATTTTATATGATATGAAGTAAATTTTTTATCCAATCAAATACAGCGTTACAGCCAGAATTAAATTATATGTTCTTATAGTCTTAGAATCTTTATTGGTAATTTAAATTTTATGGTACAAAAGGGTTTTTGTAATGCCTTTGTTTTCTTCAAGAGCTATATCTTTTATACGATATTTGTTTACTAAAAACAATTAAGAATTTGTGTATTCTTTATTCATTTATAACGATGATGTTGAAAAGAGTTTGGATTGGGATTTTTAATATTGACTTTAATGGGATGAATACTTCCAGAATGCTTAAAGTGAAAAAAAAATTTGCCAAAAAAAAAATATTTCAGTGAGCAATGTATAGCAAGAATAATGCATGATATGAAATAAACTTTTTTGCAGGGACTTAAAAATCTGTCACAAAATGCCCTGTGAACATACACATATCATTGGATTAAATTTCTATTTATTAATAATTGATTATTTAAGTTAGCTAGCATATAAAATAAAAACTCTTATTTATATTTTCAGATAAATATAAACAAATGAAGCGGGTTAAGATGCTCATAAAATAAGTAAAACTGAGAAACTTGCATTAGGTGAGTGAAAATTAACTTCATGCAGTTTTTGCATGTTATAAGCATATAATTCTTATTTTTTCCAATTTTGATAAGATCAGGGCAACTTTGATGTCAAAATTTTCTGTTACAAAACTATTTCAAGGACAGAGGATATTCTGTTGTTCAATGTTCATACTAGTAATAGAAGAATTATTTACAAGCTCTAGAAATGATGCAAAATTACTTTATTGTTGTCCTGTACAATATTGTTTTTGTTTTTTTTTCAAATAATACTATATTTGATTGTACAGAGATCTTTCTTTGAAACACTTTAATACTTTACATGCTATTTAGTCTTATTGATCGTAAAGTTTTAAATTATTTAAAAATTATGGCAATGATCACACATTTTAATAAAATGAAATTCTCAAAATGTAGCTCACATTGCTTTCAGATTGTTAATTGATATTTAATATGATTTATTATCCAGAGAACTGAATATAGGTCCTCATAAATTATTGTACTTACTTGTATGACTGAATGCTAATACATGTAGATCGATCTTGATTGGCGGACTAGATTATGAAAAGTACATCTTCACTAGTCAAGAATTTCTATTTCGTTAGATACTCTCCTCACTAACAAGGGTTAAAAGGAGAGTGGCATATCAGAAACCCTTGGCTAGCAAAGATGTAAAAAGTATTGTATGTATACATATATATAATAATTCATTACAACATCAGAAAATAATACAGATTGTTACTGTGATTTTATTTATGTTTTGTTATTTTTACATTGAATTTGGTGCATTATATCTAAGAGGGCTGTGAGTTTTAAAGAATACAAGCTCTTTTAAGGAATATACAATGTAGTTGACATTGTGTTTGTACTCTTTGCTCAATTATAGGAAATAAATGTTTTTTATTCAATTTGAAGTTTGCTTTTCAGTATGTTAGAAGTACATAAAGAATGTATACTTTTTTCACGACCAGTATACGAGGGCTGTTCGGAAATTATTGAGACACTGTTATATTTGTCTTTCTAATGAACGTCTTTCGGTGTTAATTCGCGCATTGAAAAGCGGGAATTCATAAAAGCATATATATATATATATATATATATATATATATATATATATATATATATATATATATATATATATATATACAAACCATCACAACAAGCTTCCATGAAATACTTGTGAAAAGGTCCGTCCGTCTGTTACAAATGACACAATTAAGAAAGTACAGGAAAGGAAGGACAAGAAGGCTGTTCAATTCAAGCAGAACTCCTCTGATCAAACAAAAGCACAAAAAGAGTATGCATATGAGGCCAACAAGAGAACAAAACAAAGTATTTCCTTCAAAAGAAAGTACATTGAGGAACTAGCAACATTTAACAAGCTGCAAAAGCAGGAAACATGAAAGATCTGTATGACATAACAAAGAAGCTAGCTGGGAAGCAAAATAAACAAGAAAGGCCAGTGAAAGACAAAGCAGGGAAACAACTAGAAGGGGATGAAGAACAAAGAAGGAGATGGAAAGAACATTTTGAAGAACTGTTGAATAGGCCAGTCCCACCCAACCCTCCTAACATTACACCAGCAGATGAAGACCTACACATAGACTGGGGACCTCCTACTAAGGAGGAAATCAAAATAGCCTTAAAATATCTGAGGAATGGCAAGTCAGCAGGGCCAGATAACATTTGGCAGAGGCACTTAAAGCTGATTTTGACAACTCAGCCAACATTCCATACTTTTCCTGAGAATATGGGAGAAGAAACAATCTAGAAGATATTTTAAAAAATGATATTCAAGCTGCCATGACCTCAGCAACTGTGCCAACTATAGAGGAATAACACTGTTGGATGTTCCTGGGAAGGTATTCAACAGAATCATACTAAACAGGATGAAAGAAGAAGTGGATGATAAGTTACGCGACCAACAAGCTGGCTTTCGTAAAAATAGATCTTGTACTGACCAGATAGCAACGTTGCGTATAATCATTGAGCAATATGCAGAATGGAACTCCTCGCTCTATATAGGCTTCATAGATTACGAGAAAGCCTTTGACAGTGTTGACAGGGAGACAATATGGAAATATTGCCCAGGATAGAGGGGCCTGGAGGAATCTTGTTAGCGGCATATATGCCCCAAAAGGGGTAGCAGGCATAAGTAAGTACTGTAAGTATATATATATATATATATATATATATATATATATATATATATATATATATATATATATATATATATATATATATTAAATTTCTGCTTCAATGGACTGTTGATACTGTATACAGGGTTTTTCGTCTTATTTTCGCCCTTTCACACTTTCAAGCAATTTTGCCCCCTTTTAAATTCACAGAGTCATACTTTTGTTTAAGAAATTATACTGTATTCTTTGATTTCGCCCTGTTTTAAATTCGCCCAAATGAGGGTAGGGGGAAAGGAGCGAAAATGAAACGGGGGCGAAAATTTCCCTGTATACAGTATGTCAACTGTAGGGATACCCGGTGCAGTCATGAAATCAGCTATTGAAAACATTTTTTAACATTTCGAATATACTAATAAGGGCGAAAATAATAATTTATGTTTATAATTTTTCAATTTTATTTTGACTGCATGTTATGTAAATTTGTTAGAATTCTGATCAGAAATACGGAGATTATTTTTTTAAAAAAATTAAGCGCAGTTAAGAATTCTGATAAGTCGAAAAAATGGAATTTGACGTCAAGGCGAAGCATATTCATATATGATTATATATATTTTTACTCGAGCCCTAGAGGGGCTTGAGTTATCTAAAACGATGCTAGGTCATCGATTTACTCAGTTTAAAAACACAAAACTATATTATTTTTGTAGATAAAAAGATTTCTATAGAAACAGAAATGAAGCTTATCTTGAAAACATCTGTATATTCAAAGATATTAAGTGTTAATTGTCGTTCTATTGATTTTAATGAACAATGAGTGAGGCTATGAAACAGTTTCTATACAGAGATTTGGCGCTTTCTTTTGCGTAGGATCTCAGGTAACTTTTTACACACAAGCCGACAAAGCATCCTTGGACGAGTCCACTGCAGACTCTGAAAGGTGACGTGGTTACCCCATCATTAACAAATTTACAATGCATGGTCAAATTATGGCTTTAAAATGCCCCCCCCCCCCCCAACTGAAATTGCTTTTCACGGGCCTGCAAATGATGTGTACTTTGGGTGACAGTAAAATGATTCGTACGGAATATGTATTGGGCATGGGGGGTAAAGGTATACTTTTTCTCAGTGTCAACTACTTTCAGTACCAGTTTTAATACTACATTTTCGGTATATCACTAAAAGTGGGGTGGGGGGGGGGGGGGGCATCCAGGCTTTCAATTAACATTACCTATAGTATAAGTAAGATTGGGAAAAAAAGTTTTGATGAGCGGTGTTGTCCCCCCCCCGTTGCTACGCCCCTGCGTAGTCACGTGTAATTTAATTGGAGCCAAAATGCTACTCCTTTCCACTTTGAAAAACTTTTCTACAGGATTGTAGCAAGCTATATAGATTGATGTATATAATATTGATTGTGATGTACGTCATTAAGCAAAAAATACAAAAAACGTATATAGTTTGAGGTACACTAAATG